CTTTTCCTGTTTCATCGATATGATAACAAATTAATTCGCCTTCTTGGGCTACATCGGACGTGAGTCAGTTTCAAAAGTTTGCTCGAAATTTGAGGAGGATCGGGATTGAGGAATTTGAAACGTTGGTGTATTGTCTAAGAAAAGACCTGCAGGGGAGCTTGATTAAAATCAAGTTTCATGAAAAGGAAAACATTGTCTGTTTAACATTTTGTGCTTAAAACTTGTCGGATTTTCATAAATAAGTAGCGAGATAGTTCAAATTTTTGCTTACTTATTATATATCAGTGTGGGTTCCATCAATTTGTTTAATACCCACCACCCACCCACCCATCCTCTATGAATGTAGTTTAAGGATTACCTCACTCTCGTTATGTCTGAATGGAAATATTCGATTTTTATGTGATGTAATACTTTACGATTCTACTAAAACTCCTAGAAAAATATTTTATGGTGACGTTACACCGTAAACTATACTAACAAAGTGGGCGAATAATTCGGTTGGGGTCAAATTTATACGGATTTGGTGTAAAAGTTGTACCTTTTTATGGACATAAATCTTTTACTTTTTATTAAATTATTGATAAATTACAAGGGAATAGTATCCCCATCATGGTCTTTCTACATCTGAAAATATAAGCCTGCTGCTGCAGGTACACAGGAGTTGAATCGATTTTTTCTACAACTTGCCCAATACATAAATAGAATCTCAGAAAGAACAAGTTTTTCGGACTGGATGGACACAGATCAGCGAATAATGTTCATGCGGAGTTATCAAGTTAGTCCAACGCTGGAGAAATCTCCCATGGGCTCAATCAGGTTGCCGATAGACAGATACGAAAGCAATCATCAGCCGTGGAGTATCTGAAATCTGAAATATTTGGACGGAAGGAATATCACTGTCTCGAAAAAGAAAGTCTTCAATTCTACTGGTCAGACGATCAGGAGAAGAACTGAAGTCTACCAAGTCGTGAGAAATTGAGCAAGTCAAAAGACCGAAACGGATCCTTTCAACTGAGGAAGTAAACGATTTCTTGAACTGATGTGAATCTCGACCAGATTGATAACACGACGATGATGATTATGTGATATCTTACTTGTTCCATCCGTCTTATCCGAAATGGATTCCCTACTCGTTTCTCCTACTCGTACAATATTGCGAAACATTCATCCTAACACAGGAAGACATGAATGGAGGTAGAAGTACCCTATTTCATCTCTTCTTCCTTTTCATGAAAAATTTATAGGAAACGAACAGGAAAATATTGGGCACATTTGTAACTTAAGAATATTCCATTTTCTCTTTTGTTTCCTAAATGTGTCCTTAAAAAGGGGAAAGTTGGCAGAGCTCCATGCATGCCCATCTCGTATTTATTTATTTTTACTCCAGAAAGTTGATGACATTTCAGAGTAGGGACGGTCTGCAGCGTAAAAATTAAATAATTAATAAACCGTGGTAATAAAGTTTCTGTGTCCCATCTTGAATTCCTTATTATTCTCGAGTGCGTGGGGAGAGGAGAGAACAATAAACATTAAATATCTCTCCACTATACGTACCTATTTTGTGCTGTGTCCTTATATATACATAATATTTCTTCAAGTGCTCTTATGACCACTTTGTCGCACGTGGCCATTAAATTTCCACTTTAGAATATCTTGGTAATGGAATATTGTCAGAGTTCTGCTATGTAAAAGGGTAAGTTTATGTAGGAGAAGAAGGCTTTCACTTTCTATGCTCTACTTTCTTTCGCAATTCTCTCCTCCAATCCAATGTCATAACTGGTTATGATAACAATGTAGGATAAATTGGAAATAACAACGAAACAGCCACATTCAAGAGAAAAGCGGAATTGTGGACGGAAAGAGAAAGAGAGAATCTCAAAATACCACAGTAGAAAAAGCAACAGAAGGAGAGAGGTAGACATTTTTGAAGAGGTTTGAAACTGACAAAGGTCCCGTATTCTGAGCCATTTCAAATTTTAGTGGGGTATAACTTAACATACTTTATAAAATAATAATACGCAGTGATGACTCTATTCGAAATTATGTATTCTGAGAAATTTAGCATAACGCGTATACATAGTATATCCTCTCGCACTGTATACGAGTGGGAGGATATACGTACGTACGTAGCTGTTATGGTACAAATGATCTTCCAGAAGAACGCTCCCTTGTAGGATATTATCCACAATTTGGCAAAAGAATTGCCACTCTGAATATTAAACAGTATTTCGGGGAGGATATGCATGCAGATGAAGGCTGAAAGAGGAGAGAAAGTCTGTTAAATTTGGATAGGAGGAGGACGACCTAATATGAATTCTATAATCACAGCAGCATGTCATGTCGGTGGTGGTAGGTAATAGCAGTAGTTTGCCTTATTTAAGGCAGTAGCTGACATCGCCGTAACTCTGCTTCCACCCGACTGGACCTCACTCACTAGTGAGTAGGCAGGAGGGAGGGAGATAAGAATAGGATAAGCCTGCGATTCTGATCGAATTTCTGTCAGGATTATCCCTTCCAGATGGTCGATGCACATATGTAAATTTACAGAAGGGGATCAAAGAATACCCGGTCTGTTTGTTATAAAGTTCATTTCGTTGAAGCCATTTGATTTCGAGAGGACTTTTGCCGTAGGCTGTGAAAGAAAGGAAGGAAGGAGAAAGTTTTGTCATTCGAGGCACGACGGGATGAGATTTATTCAGTGGATTCAGCTATAAAAAGAAGACAATAGTTTTGTGTGGTGGTATGTACTTCGAGTGGTGGTGGCGACAAGATGTTGTTCGAAGGTTTTGACACATTTGTCCGAATTGTATTATGAACTGCTATCACGCACCGGGGGGTGTAAGGTATAATAAGAAGAAGGGGATTTCAATCAGGTGAATTGGTCACTACTGAATGAAATAATTCACTTCTTTTAAAGACAATTGCGAGTATGAATCTTTTCAGGAGAAGATGCAATTCTACGGAAATTTACTATTTATTATGGTTTGCATTTTATAATTAGACCGTTTTCTAAAGAAATGTATACAAAAACGGCCTAATTTTAAAATACACACCATAAAATATTGAGCAAAGTGTAGTAAATATTTATGCAAATCTACATACTACGTCTCAACGGGACTCTACAACCACTATTTTGTGTCGGTAGGACACACAAAAGGAGAAACAAACTGAAACGCCTTAGCCAATTTGTCAACTTTAATGTCCTTCAAAATTTACACGTCTCATCCCAGCCAAGTCTTTGTATTTCTTCTTGCCTTCTTCTTACTTAAATAGGTACACGGGCCTTGTTTCAATTCCCGTCTCACACTTTCCTTGAAGGGTTCTCCTGCAACAAAGTAAATAAGTATCTAAATTGGGTAAAGGTTACTCCGTTCGTGATAGGTGAGCGGGTTTAATTGCCATGAAAAACGGGATTTCCGTGCCATGTTGAAACTTCTTTCGCCTACTCTCGACCTCGACGTCATCCTCTCCCATTGAGCAGAATTACTTGGTGAAAGTGAGTCTCGGATGAAATGAGATAGTGGGATCTGAAGAAGCGAAGAGAGAATAATGGATGGATGGATTGGAGGAGTAGATCGCGTTTAATTAGACAGTGGAAAAGTTTAGAATTTGTCGGAGAGCAGGTAAACAAATGCACGTTTCATTCAATTCATCCATCGCTTTCTCCTCCAGTTGGGCGGCGGACGTGAACTATTGAAGGAAAACGTGTCGCTCTTTCTTGGATGACTTTGTTCTGCAAACTTGTTGGTTTGGGAGTAGAGTTTGGCATTGTCGTAGATACCTTTGCTTTGCCAGTACCTTGGAAAGTTTCGTTGTTGCGAACTAAGTATTTATTGGGGAGGGAAAGAAGAAGAAGAATTAGTACGAAAGGATGGAAGGCAAGCACTTTGTAATAGTTTAAGCAATGGGATGAGCAGGCAGTTTTAAGGCATGTATTTAATTGTATCTATTTATGTAGTGGATGGGTGGATGGAACTGTGCAAGTAAACGGGATCAATTAATCTGTCTAGCTATTTATTATAATTCACTCTTGCTTATTGTTTTGTTTTGCGTTTATGTAATCTAGTCCAATTTACGGGCAAGTTTCAAAATGAAGGTAAACTTTGGATTTGAGATTGTTACTTGAAGTATGAGTCACTTAAGAGGTGCATTTCACTGGAAAATCTTAATTATTTACGTTAATATGCCATTTCTTGGAATGACCAGGTTACATAAGGCGAGTTTACGTGGTGGTGAATATAAATATCTGAGACTGAGATTCTGAGTTGTTTGGTATAGAATTTATGTACTTGCCTCTTTAGGATACGAACAAAGTAAAGATTGACATGGATGGGAAAAAGGTGTGATAAAATACCAATCTCATCTTTTTTCTCCACCAAACACTGGTCAAGAATGGATGCCAACATGTGGGAACAATCTCTTCCATTCGACCAGAGAATTGCGTTTGGATGATGGCACAGATTTGTCGAATTTCCAAACAAGTGTGAAACCTAGTCGGTTGGTGGGTTTGTCGTTTTCGTGAAGTTGTGAAAAATAGCACACATTACGCGTTAATGTCGTTTTACTTCACTTTCGCTCTCCACTTTGTGCCATGATGTCACTCGTCAGTTTTTATCAGGATGGAAAATGCGCACTTGGCTAAAAAAATTGACCCTTTTATCAATTTTTTTTATATATATTTTGTATTTACTAAACGTGCCCGGATTTCCGTTGATACATACAAAATTATTTTTCATGCTCATGATAAGTAGCCTGCTCAAAATGGTGTACAAACGTCATACGTACAAATGAAGTTAATTTGTCAATTGGGATTTGTCCAAATCGTCATCACACACTGACCGATCGTGTGTACACATTATATCACACGACTGTTTTCTAATGTGAACACATCTTTTTTGCCCTCTAACAAATTCCGTATTTGTCCAACTCTGACTTTATGGTGGTGACTGAGGTCTCGAATTCGAAATACATACGTGACATGCACATGTGCGACCATATAAATAGACAAATGGATCCAATTTCCTCACACACAAAAGTGACTCTCGCCCATCGCCACATCCACATCGCGTCGACGAAGCGAGAAGACGGGGAAAAAGCACATTTCCTTAAAGACTTTTCTTTGCCAAACCACTTTGAGTTAAGACTGACTGACGTTCTTTATTGAAATTTTGAGGTTTCCTTCGTCTCAAGGGGCCTCGTCTGCACCGATCTGGCTGAAAAATGAAGTTTTTGGTAAACAAACGCTCCACTTCACAAACATTTGAATTCGCTACTTCTTCTTTTTTATACATAGTAGAAGCTTGTTTGATTCCTTTGAAATTTTAGATTGCAATACGAACCTTTGTTGTAATATTTGGAGCTTCAGCTTTCACTAAGGCGGATCATCATCACCTAACCCCCCAAGGAAATGAGGATGATAAAGGTGTCAGCATTGTGGAGAGTATTACTGTTTCAAATTTCAATGCGAGTAGTCTAACCGTGGGTGGAAATGAGAAAGATGAAGAAACCAAAGACGGACAGATTCATAATAAGACGACGATGACGAGTAGTGTCAGCAGGAACAACAACAGTTCTTCTGAGCAACAACAAGAGCAACATGTTTTCGAACTTGGGGAAGTTGAAAATTCGACAAACTTTTCCGACAACTTCAAGGATAATGAACTATCGACAGACCTTCTTCCTCCACCGATTGGTTCATTGTCTCAATTTTCTGATGATAACTTGGAAACTTTAGCACCACCCGAGGTCCTCCCAATTCTTCCTGACATGGACGGCTCGTTGACAGATACCGAATCCAATTACAGTGACGACCCCGAAGAAGAAAATCCTCCCAGAAAGTCGACCCATAATAAGGGCAGGAACTTATTAGAAGGGGAAAACATGGATACAGCCGAATTTAGTATTGGTATTATGCCATATTATTGGCATAGTCGACGCTATCACAGACCGGACCCTGTGTGGTACCCTCCAATAAATACGCTTTACAACAATGACTATGACCGGAGACGGTATCGTGGGTTTCCTGCGTTTGCTTATCTTGGGGGGAATCGTCATCACCACCACCATCGTCCCAGCCATCATCACCATCATCATCACGGTCACTCTCACAGTGGTCATTCTCACAGTGGTCACTCCCACGGTGGTCATTCTCACGGTGGAGGTGGTCACGTTCATGTAGGAGGAGGTGGTCATTCGCACGGAGGTGGTGGTCATTCCCACGGAGGAGGTGGAGGTCACTCTCACGGTTGACGACATGGAGGTCAAAGATTAACGAGATCATACAAACTAAATATCTCCCCAAAATACTTAAAAAATCTTTATTACAAAATATAAATAAAGTCAACTACTTAAATTATACTCCAACGTCCTCTTCCTCCACCATTCATTTCATTACTCATCGTCCCTGTAGTTTTGATACAACCGAATGAGATTCCTCTGCAACATGGCGATGGTAATCTTGCCGATGGCCGGCGCATAAAAGGACGCCCGGTGCTTCACATCATCCCCAAAGTTATTCGAACCCGAGAAATTTATTGCTATTACTCCGTCCTTTAACAGCTCCGTTGGAACCTTTCATTATTATTATTTCCACCATTATTCCCACCACTACAAGTACCTCTGTAATGCTTTATGGCTGCTGCCCTTACTTTGAAATTAGCCGAGGGCACTCCGGAAATCACAACGTCGGAAAAGGGCAGAACATCCGTCATCTTGTAAGACGTGTTTTTCGCCTGAAAAACAAAATCGTTTACATAAATGTTTTCAAAACTTCTATACAAGCACATTATTTAGCTTCTTATGTACTCACTTCATGAGTTGAGAACTGGAGGCCGGTTCCTCTATGAAATTCCTGGACATCGTTAATATCCACGGAGAAAACTTTTGCCCCGTCGTTCGCAAGTAATGCAGCGAGGGGCCGGCCCACCACTTCACTGCGGTTTATGACCGTAATCACTCTGCCATGGAGGCGATTTCCATAAGGTAGGAGACGATTATAGGCTGCAATATGTTCCAAGATCTGCATACAAAGTATGTATGCAAAAGCAGATTAGACTTTGAATATGAGATAATTTATATTTGATGACGAAAATGTGTGCGAGGAAAAAACTTTTCACTTTAAAACTTCCTCAGGCTTTCATTTAAAAAATAAATGAGGATATTTCAAAAAGACTTTAGTGGGGGGGGAAAAACGACTATTTTTTTATGAGGAGGATATACGGTCGTAAATTTTTACAACCATTTATAATTGACCTGAGGGGATGGCTCTGTAATAAGTCGTGTGTGATGCAAACTTTATTTTTAAGGAAAAAACTCGCCTTCACGATGGCCAACGGCGTGCACGGGATGATGGACTTAATCTCTTTCCCTTCGTCGAGAAATCGTACGTTGTGGTACATATTGTAAATCTGGGAAGAAAGGTTTGCGTAAAGTATTTTTTAAATTCTATTTTACTTATTATTATATAAAAAGGAATAATATTTGCATAAATTCTTCTCTTCCTCACATATTTATGACAGAGTCCTTCCACGTCTTTCTTGGCGCTTAGGACATTTTGCAAATATTGGTCCTGCAAAAAAGAAAACGATTTAATATGAGTCACATGTGTCGCAAACGACGAGCAAACAATGACAAATCTGCACAGAAAGGAAAACAGTTTAGGATTCATGTGACCTAAACATATGGCAATGCAACTGTCGGAACTGTGATATATGAGACGTTTAATTTCATTATAGGCAACTACATACCCATTCCTGATGGAGATCTATCAAAAAGGTACGATTTAATTTAAAACGGTTTTCCATCACGAAACTGAACGCGTGACATATTGTTTGTGTAGGAAGAATCTCAACTTTGTATACATTATGTGTAACAGGAAGTTATGTATTATATTGTCTTCCTCCGTAAGTGGAACAAGTCAAGCAAGCATTTTAATTAAAGTGAAAGCATTTTTATTGTTTAGACAAATTCCGGAACAAATTCATGCACAGAAATACATAAAAAGTGCAAACAGGTCGTCGTAAAAATTACACGGGGAAAACCATTTCACTTTTTATGGCGGTAAGTAAAAGGTATCGTTTCTGACAGCGTGGTATTGTCCGGATTATTCTACTTTATGACTTGGGACATAAACCTGTCCATGGATTTAGAATGGATGCTTGTCTAATCCGTCTCAATTAATAATAATAGAGAAAATCCCGACAAGACTTAAGGGTTACATCATATCCGTTATTTTATTCTGGGCCCTTGTTTACTCAACAGGATATTAAATCGGATGTTGGTCGAGGTTGGGAGAGAATTAAGAACCAACCAAATCCGACGTGGGGCAAGAAGACAGGGATAAAAATATCATCAGAATGCCATTGAGAAGAAAGGAAATTGATTTGATTTTTAGCTTTTGGCTTACGACTCGACATACCTGACGAGAGTTGAAGACGGGATAATAGACAATGATACCTACCAGATTGGAAAGTATGTAAGAGGAATTTCGTATTACGGATTTTCTTTTTTACCATGAACAGAATTGTCTTCATTTGCCTCGACTATTTTCTCCTCCAAGTCTTCCTTATCCACGTGTCGAAGTTCGTAGTGAATCCCGACAGCGAGACAGGATTGAGCCGTGAGAGCGGAATATGTTTTGGCTGTTGGGTCAGAATTAGACAAAAATCCGACCAGCTTGGGCCCGAAATTGAGGTCCTCTTTCTTTATTGCTGCCACTATTTCCTCCCTGATTGAGTGCGGCGATATGTTAAGAGTCAATTTTAATAAATTGCTTGCCTCATTTTATATATAAGTAGAGCATATTTTTTTCATGGGTAAATTGATATATGTACGGTCGAAAGGAGAACACTTCTTCTTGGCAAAGGGGAAACTATTTGCAAGTAAAAGTAGTTTCGAGATATAATAAAACTTTGTCTGGGAAATATTCACGAGGAAGAAGTCATTTTTAATACAAGTTTTCTCAACATAAAAACAAAATCGGATGGTGAGAATGATATGGAAATATGTTAGGTACAAGGGCTACTAGAGGTTTTTTTCGATTTCCGTTCTATTTTCGAGATGGAAAGTTTCGTAACTTTTTGAATATTGTTTTGTTATGCAAAAAGGATTGTAATGCTTACCTGAAACTATCAGCGATCTCTCCAACGTCCACAATTTCACAGGGCATTGTAAATACGTTCTTTTTAATTAATGTTTTTTTTAGGAAAGATATTAAAAATTAGAAAGAGTAACGAGAGATGTTAAATGTCACAATATCGTCATAATGAATGATATTAATGAGAGAGCTTTACCCTACTAATGATGATAAGTATGTGCTTATAATCTGAAAAACATCTGCTGTCTGGGATGCCATGTGATGATTACATATAATTTAATCTCAGTTTAAATGACTTCACTTTATTTAATGCAAGCGCATGACTCTGACTTCGTGTTGATTGTATTTAGTCAGAGACGAGATGTAAGTAAATGAGAAAAGGGTTAAATTTGTAATGCTCCCTGAGCACAAATAGAGATTAACATGCAGTTATTCGAACACAATGGTATCGACTTTAAATAGAGAGTCGCCCGAGTACGAGATTATCTCTCCGGGCCCATTATTTTGAAGGATATTGCTGACAAAGGAAGAATCGATACTTATTTGCATCCTTATATTAATGAGAATTATTAGTATTTCCATGTTATGTAATAAAAATATCTGTATTTGGGTACATTGGAATTTTCCATTCATTCCTGCTTTTATATAGTCAATTAAAAAAATCCAGACAAAACTGGTACCCAGCCACACATTTTCTTAATGACGCAAGTCTTCAGCTCAGCACACACACGAGGCCAAGAATAGAAAGCTTAATCATATTTGTCTTTTTCAGCAGTTAAAAACTTGAGACTGTTTACACACACTTTATCATAATCACCAGACCACCACCACCAACCACCCTTCCACATATGTAGGTACTTGCTAAACGTGACAAAGTCCATACTTTTTTATTCTTCTGCGGACATGAAATATTTACGATGAGAGAAGAAAAAGAAGAGTCTCAAAATGTAATCGGTCCTTCCCCACCATTAATATCGCACCCACCGTGAAGAGGGCTGAAAAGCCGATCCAATTTCAATATTTAGAAAATATACGAGCTCAGAGTTTCCCATCATTTTGGTAGAAATTCAATTTGCATAACGAGACATCTGATCTCCCTTCACACAAAGTTGCAATAGGAGAAAGTAGAAGGATTTTTTATTGCCGTTCTCTCATCTTCCACATCCCGTTGTCCCTTCTTAGTGTAAACGGTTCGAGGATAAACATTAGGATAGGAAAGGCTATAACTGACTGACTGACGTCGTAATACCACTCCTCCTCCTGGATATCTTCTTATTTAGATCGGGGTGTAGGCCGAACGTTATTACGAAATCGGGATTTCCAAATTCCACCACAACTCGTCAATATCACCTCTGAAAGTAAGTTTGGCGTGCATGCAAAATACCGCTGGAACGACGATGTGTATCCAACCAAATCCGGAGAGTTGCCATGTTTCAAATATTATGCGGAGTACGTACGACAAATAATGTGGCATTGCATGCATCGTCTCTGTCTCACAAATGACATTGTCACACACAAAGAGAAAATCCTGCATGGCTATATTTGCTGTGTGTGTGGTTGAATAAATGTCATACCTGATTTGATGGGTGGGTGATAAAATTGAATTGCGTGTGGCATCATTAAAGCAGCAGGAAACAGCGACATGAACCAGTTTTGTCCTTCATATCAAGAAAGTAAAGGGGATTTACAGTGTCGTAAAATAAAGCGACTAAATTCATCCGTTATTGCGTATTGTAGGGAGAAAAATGACAAGAATGTTGTACAAAATGGTTATCTGGGTGTTGTTAGATATGTAGAAAAGAAAGAATGAAAAATTGTTGAGGATTGCTCAACAATTGAGATTTTCTTTTGGATTAAATGGCCGGAACTGGTGCATAAAGTTTTTCAAAATGGGGCTACTCATGTTCTGTCTTTAGTACGACATTATTTCGAAACGGGCCCATCCTTATTTAGCATCTGCCCACTAATGAGGCAATAGTGGTTGGTTACATGGTGAAAAGTGTGAACTAATGAGGAGTAATTGCTGGTGAAAGAAGAATTGCAAACTGGACTGGACCAGAGACAATGGCCGAATCTGTCTCTGTGTCCTCCTCGTTTTTCGCAGTTCCGTCGTCGTCGTCACAAACACAACTATTTAACCGAAACTGCGGTGTTATGGTGTCTGTCTGGAATGTTTTCTTCTTTCTCCACTTTCTTTTTCGGTTTGGTCGAGCAACTAATCTCTGCCTTCTGCCTGACTTGCCTCGCCTGGCTGATTCTCCTTTCTCTGCCACCACACTTTGTATTTTGCTCTGATTTCTCTATTCCCACAGGGGCAGCAGGGACGTCGTCGAGTTGATGTAGCTTGAAGCTAACTTTTTAAAAGGAGGTTATAGTTTTAGAAGAAGAGGAGAGTGCAGTAGAGAAAGTATAAAAGTATCGTCGTCGCCTTCTTTTCATGGTGAGAGTATTACACGCACAGTTCAACCAGCCGTACTTGAACCGAGAAGGATGTTGGAGCTTTTTTATGGGGTTTATAACTTTACTTTTGATTCTAGTACTTATCATGTCGAATTGGCTGCCTATTTTTGAAGACAGAATTCGGTCAAGTATTGATTTATGTGGGTTCCTTGTAAAATGTTGACATTTTTTCCTAGTAAGGCGCTGAATTACTGACCATCATGTCACTCAAAATTGATTACATGGGCTTAAAAAGGCTTAAAAAGGCTGTGATAAGTATTTTTTATGCCTCAAAAAAAAAGTCGTGAAATTTAACAGTAGGGATCAAAAGTTGTGACGAGGTTGCATTCCATTCGTTGAATTGCACCATAGGTCGTGATTCCTTCGATTGTTTCTTAACGAATTTGAGTGCCCACTTGCCCAGAGGACGATTACAGTTTTTTTGGCCAGTTCCACGTCGTCCTTATTGGTCCAAACAGTTATAAAAGAATGTTGTCATTTCACTTAAGTGCAGATTCTTTTTCCATTAGTTTCTCTCACTTTTAGGACCCTTTTAACTTGATGGAATGCAATGACCGGGGGTTTTTTTATCATGGGAAGAAGTCCCTTCTTCCTTCAGTTTCTTCAGGCAAGGTTGGATTTTCTGTGTAAAAAATTCCACCCAGAGAAAACTGGGACTGTCACGTTTGTTATGTTTTCTTTCCCAGCCGAAATTCAATTTGGTACGTGTCAAGGAAAAGGGAAAATAGCACCTGTAGCTCAATTCAAATTCTGCAATTCTGCAACCACACAGGTTGCTTGACGGGACGGGAGAAGAGTAAAAAGAAGATGATGAAGAATAACAAACTAGAGATGAAAATATCTACGTAAGTAAATGCAAATTTTATGCAAAGGATGGGCCTGGTTTTTGGTCTGGAATTTTGTTTATATTAGTTTGTTAACTCTCGTATTTTTATATAGTTTGAACTTGATTAAATCTTGAGATTAGGGAATTGCGCAGGATCCACACCTTTTTAAGAGATGAGATTTAGAAAATAGGGAAATATTTCGCAATGGGGATGGATATCTTTTTGGTCACGCGATCACAAAATAATATACAAAAATTGTGTTATTTATCATCTAGTACAGCCCTTCAATCCTATTTTCTGCAATCCATGCGTCCATCTTGGCCACTATGGCCACAGAAAGTTCGTCTTGCCAAGACCCAACTTTTCCTTTTCTCATGAAAGTCGAGTCGTACGTCCGCCCATGGATTTTCCTCAAGTTTTCCACAACACTCTCCTGATTCACGAAGGGGTTGACCTTCATCTTCTCGAAACTGAGATGGTCAGCCAATTTCCGAACTTGTTCCGGACTTAGTTCCGCTTTTCCAAGAAATTTCGCAGTTTTTTGAATCACTGATGGGAGGTCCTGAAACAGAGTAGAAACATGTTATGCATATATTTAATAATATCGTCAAACTCTTGGGGGTTGACTTTGAAAGGTCACTGGTCTAAATTATGGAAAGTTTGACAAACAAAATACTTAATAAAAAATTGCCTAGCCTAAAAATAAACTGTTGGAAGTATGTAGGTGGTCCAAAAAAATCTGTTTTTTAAAACATGAAAGGGACATTATACACATCACCGTTTTTCACTATATTCAATTTCGCATTTCTTCCTCTTGTTCCGTTCTTTCATTTCATTATGCATCGTTGTGTGGGCAAGTTTTAATAAAAATGCAGATTCTCTTACCTTCTTCATGTCTTCATAAGTCAAGAAGAGGATGTCATCGCGATCTCGACGTTCCCAAAATTCTTTCAAATGAGTCCAAAAAGGCGAGCAGAAAACTACAGGATAATAAATAGAATATAATTCACATTATTACATATATCACGGCAGGCACGACACACAACAATACACGAGGACTAGAAATAAAACGAGATCGAGATTCCTCTCCCACTTAAATTCCTAATGGTTTCATTCAAATGGAAATATAAAGGAGGACATATTATTATTTTGCATTTTCACTGCTGCACTGGACCGAAAGTCAGGAAACGCGACGAGCCAGAGAGAAGAGAAAGCGAGCATCATTTTCATTTATTTTCACAGATCCACCAACCAGACAAGGACAAGAAGGATAATATTAAGCAATTGCAATTGCATGCAACAGCCATAAAATTGAATGAGATCTCAAATGAGGGTCCACAGCAGAAAAAGTAGGTGAAGTGAAAGTCCTGCTTTCACTTCCATGCATTATTTGGCACAATCTCTTCCCCATCATTCCTGGGAAAACGAATGGGTGGAAATTTCACTTAAATTATCTCCTCTCTGGCCTAAACCCTAAAAGTATAAGAGTTTAAATATGTTTCGCCTCTGCAGACAATTGGCATAGAAGAAAGCGTGACGACGCTGTGGTAAAAGTCGTGATATAACTTTCACCACATGAAAATCTTCTCGTCGAGCAGAACAATGTTGTTACCGTTGTCCGTGATAAATTGCTCCGCAAATTGTTCCAAAGTTCCACCGTAGCCGTCGAGAAGGCAAGAGTGGTGGTAGAAGGATGTGCAAGTATCCTTCGGATTTCTGGCTACATAGATGATCTTCGCCTTCGTAGACTTTTCAATTAGTTGAGTGGGAAGGAGGGAAAAATGTAAATGACATTTCAGAAAACGTGGCGACGCCATGTTCTCCGCGAGGGTGAAACTGTCCTGGAAAAAGTGTTTCTTGTCAGAGGACACTGCCTCGTTTTCAACCACGTTTTTCTCGATGATTGATGCGAGCCGGGGGGACCAGTTGGCACGAACCCTGGAGGAAAGAATTATTAGGGGATAGGAAATGATCAAGGCTTTATGAAGGGAAAAGTATTTAGTTTTATAAGTTGGGAAAATGAGGATAGTTTTTTTCTGAGAAAGAGGAATTAGGATAAATTGGAGCTATGTATTAAGTACTTACTCAAAGTATGGAAATCTTTGTCCCAGGTCCTTTTTCGCTTTCTCAAAATCATCGTCACCATCATCATTCATCATGCACCAAACGAGTTCTTGAGTCCATGTTGTTCCTGAGGAGGAAATTTTATAAAATGTTTTTCATGTATGCATGAATTTTCAGTATTAAAATTTTTATTCGATCTGAAATTGGTTAATTATTATACTCACCAGTTTTCGGGAAACTCACGACCCATACGTCATCATCTCTAATCACAAAGTTCTTTATGCGGTCATAAAACGACAAATAACTTCTGGCAAACACTCCCTTCGTCTTCCCCAATTTTATGTATCCTTCATCATATATTTCTGGGGAGCAAAGTTGGTTCCACTCACGACCTTCTTTACTGTCCAACTCGGCGTATTCGACTGGTGATAAAGGACACGTCATGACTTTTTGTTTTTACTGAGCAAGAAAAAAATGGTCAGAAACTAGAATTAATCCAATTCGTCACAGAATTTTGGAACGGATGACGGTTATAAAAAATCGTGACAAATGTTGTGGAACTTAAATGCACACACATATATAATGCATTATACAACATGCATCATAATATGCACGTAACTAACTGATCATTATCATGGCATAAAATCTAGGTCACAAAATATTCATGGTTTAACCACAGAGTTTAACAGAGATAGTAAACTGGGAGCAAAAAAGATTAATAAAATCACTCAATTCACAGACACATTCATGGGAAGGATGAGACCAATCTAGATCCAGATTTATTCTACAGGCAAAATTGCTTCTCATTAAGAGGATTATGAACCAATTGGGTTAATGTTGATTTTAACGACATGGACACACACAGACCACAACTGTCGTCAAAACTATACTGAATACTTGAAAATTGAGAAGTTTTAGTTGAGGTTGAGATGACACAACAGTTAGAATTACCGTTAAAACTTGCATACATTTGGTTTCATGATTTCATGTGGCTTTTAATGTGGGATGGATCATTTTTTGTATTAAAGATTCAATGCCTGGGTTGGCATAATAAGTGATTCATTACGTATGTACATAAATTGATTTGACATTGATATTCATACATGCACATTATAATCTTTATTATACAAAAAATCCGAATTACAGTTAAGTCTGTTAAAAAATTTGCTCGAATTACTTTTAGTTAAAAATACAATTTAAATGGAATGGACATTTGTTCATTTAAAAATACATGCATCTATTATTTTGTGAAATTATCAAGATAGGGTATTATTTTATATTACAGTAATATCAGTGCGGTGTTCATCACTATCTTTAAGATATGATCACAGTGAAATCAGTACGAGTAATTACATTAAATAGTTATAAGGTGACATTATATTGACAGGTAGAAGTAGTAGGAGAGAGACAGTGATAGGAATACAACTAAAATTTTCAGGCATGCAACGCTTCTCGATATTGATATTTGAATATTGAAACATAATTAGTATTCATTCAAAGAATAAGAGATTCAATGCAAATCTCAGGAATCAAATCTCGTTTGAATCTTCATCGTTGCTGACGTCCGTACTGTCTTCGTCTGAGGAAATTGACGGTAACATATTGATGGCAGATAAATAATCTGAAATATTCACGAATTGTTAACTGTGACACGAATACTCATCCTCAGATGTATGTATATACTCACCAGACATGAAAGCTGAATGGCTAGCAGGATCGTATTTCAAGGTCGGTGGTTGTGAAATGATCGGGTCATCTTTTTCATATTCGAGATCGCATACCCAAACTGCAAATAAATATTTAAAAGTGTTCGATGAAAATATTAAGAGTTATTTTAATTATATATCTATCTATGCATACCTTGATTTTCAACACAATTTCGTGTAGCATATCCGGATGGAATTGTCTCAATTTCCGGGTAATTTTCATCGTCATCATCATCTTGTTCTTGATAACTATCATCGAGTCTACCCGTCCACGTAAAGTCATCATTAATTCTTGGAATGAGTTCATCTTCTTCTTCAAGGTTTATTTCAATCGGGGATGAAATAATATAATCTTTTAAGTCTCGGATTGAAAAATCTCGCAAATACTCTTGCTCTGGGTACCAATCGTCCCCATCATCACCGAAATCGTAAAATTCGTTGAGATCCTTGAGCGGCTGTGAAGGTTTCTTATTATTACTGGGAACCGAGTTGGATCGATGCTTGCCATTTGTCTCATTATTATTAGTAGTAAGATCCTCGATAGAAGCGATGCTGCGAGTAGCCTGTTTCTTGATACCGAGAGGGGTTGGTTTTTTGAACCCAAAACTGGGAATGTTCCCAAGACCCAGTTTTGATTTCTTGATGCTGTTTGAAGAATCACTTAACGCACAAGGTTTCCGAAGTCCACTCGCCATACCAAATTTACCTAAAAAATGGCAAATTTAACATCTACTAGTTGGTCAAGTTAGCAATTCAATAATATGCAAGCAATACCCTGGCTAATGGTTGGTGGGATGTTATCTGCAGCAGAGAAAAAAACGTCATTTTCTTCCATTTTGACGCTTGATTTTTTCTGTCCAGCCTGTGGAATTAGACGACCGAATTCACCGGTGCTGTTGTGATGTTACGCAGCGATGACCTTGTATGTGTAGAATTCCTGGAATCCTATAATCTAAAAATTAAATTTCGAATTAGAAAAAAGTAAAGTTCCGTTATAAAAACCATTTTGCATTTACTATTCGCTTTCTAAATTTAATTTTTGGTATATTTTCGCAATAATGAATCTTCACCCAATAATGATAATAATCAACTAACTTTACCTTGATAAAATCTGTAAAATATTTATGACATATTATTAGAAACCAACAATTACTCGATTATTTAATAGCAAATTATAATACTTCAAACGGAGCGAAGAAACGACCGACTTTTACAAGCAAACGGCAACTTGTCGACGACGCAAATGAGAAATTCAGGCGGTATCCCGTCTCAAAGCGAGTTTTCGTGTTTACATAATGTTTGTTGCTGCAGATGATGGAAAGCAAACATCTGACTATTTTGACTATGCTGTATTTTTGGAAGTGACGACATTATGAATAATTAAGCCCCAATAGTTAACCAAGTCATTAAATTATCTCCAGTTGACCCAAAGTTTCACTGAAATTCTAAGATTGTGGATATTGATTGTGATGCGACTAACAATTATGTCATACATGAAGAAAAATGTAAGTTTGTATATTATCTTTAAATATACGTCCAAACATTAATTGTACTAGAAGTTACAAATTGTAACTTACAATACCTATATAAATTTATAGAACACCTGAATAATAATCATCATCGAACGAAATGGAGCATCCTCACAAAATTCGGAGCACTTTATCCCTCTCTGACCTACGATCTCGTAACCTTAGCTCTCTGCTCCCCTCAGGTCACGATAAGGCCTTAAAGTACGCCTTTTACAATGTAATCGCTCTGGTCCTCACTGGACTCTCAATTGTTGGCTTGTGGGCCGTATACTGCATTCTTGAGCCTTTCATCAAATCATTATTGTGGGCCCTTCTGTGCGGAAGTGTGCTTTATCCGTTTAAAAGAAAATTGGTCGAAACAACGAATGGATGGATGAGTCGTGTCAAGAGTTCCAAAGTTCCCTTCGTCCTTCAGGTTTTGTCCAGTCCGGTAATAATTGCAGATTCGGTATCTGACCAGATTGGGGATTACGTCTCGAATTATTGGAAATCTATTGGTGGAGCGTTCGTTTCATTTTTTGCTACTTATCTCATCTACCACAACCCCCCTGTGACGCTGGGATTAATGCTGCAATGGATTATCTCGACGTTGTACTCCATAGTTTACACGGTGCTGGGATGTGTTCGAAGCGAAATCGTGTTTGCATTGATAATTGCGTATGGTGGACTAATTATTCATACGATTATGATCAAGTAAGCATTTCGAATTGAATTTTAATTAAGGAAAGAGATCTGTGGTGTGGTATTTGTACAGGTCATAACTAATTTTGATTTTGAATACGCTACTAGAAGTCGTATAATCACTGCTCCCAAAACTGAAACAACCCTCGGCTTGCCTGATCAACCAAAGGATGAAGTTAGCAAAGATGTCCCGGATAACATCACTGTAACACAATCTGGAGGACGGATGGAAGTGTCGGAAATGGAATTGCTAATTTTGAAAGTGCTTTCTATCGTGACCTGGACCGTGACATTTCTATTCATCTGCCGAAATTTACCTTTCACTATCCTCCTCCCGTTCTTGGTATGCATGGGAGCAGGGACTACTGCTTACTTTCGTCAGAAGACAACACAATCAAGGTTAATACAAGTAGTTTAATTAGAGGAATCCCTATTATAATTCAGTTTATTTCTTTACAGTTATGCAATCCCCCACATCTCTATGTTGGCAACCAAGCTCGTCTTGGGGATCGGAAAATCTCCTAAATTAATAAGAAGTCAAAGTTTCGACACGACTGGTTTACCATTTTCACCCTCCACCCCCAAACTTAGAGGTGAGAACTTGCGTGAAACCGTTTTACTTCAGAATATTCAAGCATCCAAGCTAGTGAGTCCAGATCAGACGGATACGAATACACCAATTCAAGAAGAAGACATTTCTGAAGATGAGACGGACTATGCCTTAATTGACAGTAACAAATTCTTGTACGGTGTATTTTTGGCGTGTCTTGTGGTTCAAGTGAGGAAATTTTCACATTCTTCTAATCTAAACTATATAGAAAAATGTTGGTGAATTTTATCTTTATGATTGTAGGTTTGGCATCATCTTTGGTTAGCACGCCTTCTCCCAATTCCTGTGCTCTACTATGGAATTAAAAAATTATGCTTCAAGTTCGGAATAATTGAATTTCTAAAGAAAAATGTTCGAGACCCAGTGGCATCGTTTTACGAAAACGAAAAGGACGAACTCAGTGGTGAGTTTGGGAACATTTTGCATAAAACTAATATTTCATACTCATAAAATTTATATTATGCAATCTCAGAAAACGTGTTCCCACTACCAGTCCGAGTACTACTGAGGATTATGTCCATTGCTGATCGAAAACTTTGTGAATTTTGTGAAGCCTATCTAGATCCAGTCGCATCAACAGTCATTTTAGTTGCTGTTCTCATCATTACGGTTTTGTTCTTCGTATTCGCTGCAACTCAAGTGTACCTTGAGGGAGTCCATTTAGCCCGTGTTAGTATCGACCTTGTCAACTCAACAGTGTCTCAACATCCAGAAATTTCCGAAATGTTACCTGAAGGGTGGGAAAGTATGATGGGATCTGCAGTTGATAATGCGGTAATTTATCACCAAAAATTAATGTGCGATTCATAGTTTCACGTTCAGTATTAATTGACAATGATTTTTGCAGTATGTGTACGGAAAAGAATACATCACAAACACGATCCGGGATTCGATAGAAGAGAAAGATCCTCAAAAGGCAAGAGAGATTGAAAACCAAGTGATTGAACTTTGGGACAAAATATATTTATCCTGGAACAAAACTTGGGAAGGAACGAGCAACAATTCTAAAATGGTAACCATTTAATCAATATTAATAACTTTCATTGTTACTTAAATTGTACTGTATACAACAGGAATTTGACGATCCCGATGGAGGCTCTGGCATAGAATGGAATGAGCTGTTAGAAACGGGTAAAACGGTTCCGAAACTTTTAGACTATTCGGTTTTTCTGGACTATGCTAAAGCAAATTTTGGAACAATGATGTCGGTCGTGGAGACCGCATGGGGTATTTTGATTGGAAATATATCAATTGCCTTGTCTGCTTTAATGTCGATTTTCTCGGTGGTTTTTGGAGGTACAATCTTTTTTCTAAAGACTGGAATTTTATAATGATAAAATATTCACTATTTACAATCTTGTAAAATTTATTAGGTGGATCTGCAATTGTAAATCTCATGTTAAACTTTATCGTCTTCTTCACCGCTCTGTTTTATCTTCTCAACTCATCAACATCCGTGTACAAACCAGTAGAAATATTTCGATCGAGCATTCCAGGAGATGGTAAATACAGTAGCAGATTGCTTTCCGCTGTTGAGGAATCAGGCAAGTGACTTACCATAGACATAAATATAATGAGATATCCAAACCAACGCCTTCTTTTAAATAATGAATTGATGCCTTTAAATTTGCAGTGAACAGCGTATTTACAGCATCTCTTAAAATGGCAACGTTCTACGGAATGTGGACCTGGTTAATTCATAGCTTGTTCCAGATCAACATCGTTTTTGTACCATCTCTGCTCGCAACACTTTTTGGAGCCGTTCCTTTGCTTCCTCCATACTGGGCAGCGTTGCCAGCAGTTCTGGAACTATTTCTTATTCATGGGGAGTGGACATTAGCAATTTTGATGATGATAGCTCAAATCTCCCCCATATCGATGGTTGATACTCAAATTTACTCTGAAATCAAGGGAGGAGGGCACCCATACCTTACCGGCTTGGCTGTTGCGGGTGGAATTTTCTATTTTGGCATGCAAGGGGCTATTGTCGGGCCAGTTATTTTATGTTGCGTGGTCGTTTCTGTTAAAATGGGGAGCACCTTCTTACAAGATACTGGTGATAAACCAACCCCTGCAACCCCAACTTGATAACAAAAATCCGCCATTTTCATTATAGTAAGAAAAAGCTTCTTACATGATTAACAAGTGCAATTTTTTAAGTCTGACTAAAATGGGTCATAAAAAATGACTGAAATCTGATAAACTCTACATTATGTGCTTAATCGCTGTGAATTATGACGATCAAATGTGTTATCTACTTAATGAAATGCCTTATGAATGACAATAGTATTAACCTCAAAAGCTTTATTACTACTATTCCACGTTGAAGGAAATGCGAGTATTTACTGAAACAACTCTGAATCTTCTCTAAATGAAAAATACCCGTTTGCATGATATTATTACAAAAAGTACACATACTGTAAGAGTGCTACCCTAAACTTTAAAATAATAAAGCAAAGCGTCCACGTATCAAATATCCACAAGTATTTATGAACTGATTGGATTGCATGTCTGGAGAGTTCACTTCTGGAGAGTGAGTTCAAATGATCGTATTAGTGCGGAAATGGCCCACTTTAAGTCTGCTTTCTCCACTAATACCCCACCCTTTCTTGATTGACTGACTATTTCACCAGCGTGACTCCTCTCCCTACTCCACCTTATTAAAAATGCATTAGATTTGTGTACGGAAATGAGAAATGTGTGGAAACTAGTTTCATGCATTGCACCAACATACAGCAAAACATACTGAACTAGTTCCATATCCTGTCTAGCAACTTATTTTGTATCTCTCTCTTCCCTGATGCCTTTAATCCTCCTCCATCCTCCACTTGTTCAGACTGCATACAACCCTTTTTTTGCCCAATCCATAAAACGGACTGTTACACACATATGCACCTATACGTTATTTAGGTGTATATTCCTTTTAATCCGACGTAGAGACTGCGCCGGCAAAATCGAAGGTTACATTATCAAGGTTTTCTTTCCTTAACACCTGCCGTGCTTGGTTTTGAATAGGCTATCAAAAAAACAACCAACTCTGCAGTCCTAATAGCTCTCTAGGACATAGAACAAGTCTTTCCTAAAAAACTTTCCGTCTCTTTTATGCCCAAGAAGAAGTCACATTAAGTTAAATTATTGAGACTTTCGTGCTGCTAGGATGAGCGACCCCACGATCTAAATAATTAATGTGTAATGGGTTAAAGCAGAGAGAGAACCAAACCAAACCGTGTGTAACGCTACAACAAGTTCAAGTTGATTCCTTTAACAAATTGTGGCACAAGAGGAAGAAAAGATAACATAAAAGAGGAGTTCTCCTACATACAAAACTATGTACATGTGCAAAATCAGATTACGATTTCCCTTTGCCACACGCACGACTTTGACTTACCCAAAGATTTGCAATTCTTTCAAATAACTCTACAAGTATAACACGGTCATTATTATTATCCGTCTACTGTCACGGTACGTAGTCTTACTGGGTTGGAACAACCATACTACATAAGGTTCCGTTATTCGTCTTTCTAAAAAAACGCGTATGTTTTCTGCACTATGTGTTACGCTGAGGAAACCACGCTAACCACGCAGCGCAGTTGTTATCTTGCAGGGGAAGTGAGCAAAGTTGGTTGAAGTTGTGCTGCATGAAATTTTTATGGTGCTTCCTCGTCTAAACGCTACAATATAAGTCTGCTGCGCGCAATCTAATCTTGAGGAATTGTATTACAAAATGTGAAAGGAAATAAGATAGTTTTATCTTTTAAAATACCAATAAAAATATTATGGTGATCTCAGGAGTGAAAGGAAGTTGAGAGGAGGACTTCAATATTTGTATAACCGGTTGACGATTTCATAAATGACATAAGAGAGAGAAAAATTCCCTTTAATTTGGATTCATGACTTCTTGGACGTTGAAGGTATAATAATAATCTGGGGAAAACTGTAATTCGTAATCTCAGGAAAATGTCATGAAGCAGTGGTTAGTGTTTGCAGAGAGCAAAAATGCATACTTTGTGTATAAAAAGTATAAATTAAATTAGACCTTGTTCTCTTCCTGTGTAAAATTATTATCAAGAAACTTGTGTACCTCGCAACAATACATCATCACAATCTTACATCTCTTACGACTTATTCGTCCCCCGACATCATCATCATCAGTATTATCACAATCAATTCTCTTAAACAATGTAGTTATTAAAACAATATTATTATATTAGTTACTCGGTGAACTTGACTGAGTTGACTCCTCGTCAGAAAAAGTGGTACTCATTTCGTGCTTGACTAAAAATAAGTAGTTTTTTTCCACGAAATTATTATGCCTGCCGACTGCACATCACTTTTACGTGGTCGAGGAACCAGTCAACCAAGACTTTTCTTCACCCTCTGTTTCATCTTCTCTGTGGTAATTGTTGTCGTGATAGTGACATTTCTATACTACCCCCCGGACGGCGTCTCTGTTTCCAATGGGGGTCACCACTCCTTTGACTTTGAGCATCACGCGAGACGACCCGGTCTCCGTTCCGAGTTGCATGGAAGGAGTCCCTCCCTCCACGAGTTGGACGGTGGTGGGGGCGACGACGCCGTATTGTTGTCATCCATGGTGGTCGATGGCAACAATCATAATGATCTGGACTACAAGAGTGGAGCAGTAAATTTTGATGGTACTCAACAAGAACAGCATTCCGAAACCTCGCCAAGACTTAGGCACCATCATGCACATCACAACCATGGGGGAAAACCTGCCATCATAACTGTGGAGGAAGTGGAGCAGAGGCCGATGTTATCAAACGTGATTGAGTCAAGGTTATTGCATTTCGACTTGAAGGGTGCTCCGCCAAAGATATCGTACTTGAAAGAGGTAGGAATTTGGCATTCTTGGAAAATGGGACTCTTTTTTACTCAATTGAATGATTTTTTGTTTGCATAGGTATTGAAACTTGCAAAAAGGGCTGGGATCAATGGGCTCTTGTTAGAGTGGGAGGATACATTTCCGTGGTCAGGATCCCTGTCTAATTTATCAATGATTGAGGGAGGCTATACTCGTGATGAGGTGGAGGAGTTGATTGATTTCGCCGAATTGGTGCTCGACTTTGAAGTTATTCCTCTCGTGCAGACTTTTGGGCATGTGGAATTTGTCTTGAAGGGAGCAGAGTTTCGTCATTTGAGAGAAATTGATCAAGATCCTCAATCATTCTGTCCGTCTAAATCGGAGACGATGAAGGTCGTCAGAGAAATGATTGATCAAACTTTGGAGTTGCATAAAAGGTCGAGATTCGTGCATATTGGGTGCGATGAAGTTTACAATTTGAGGTTGTGTCCGATTTGCACGGCAGCGTCGGAGTATAAGGAAGATCTGTTTCTGAACCATGTCCGAGGTGAGTGTCCCATAAAACTAACCATGTAATGCAATTCTATGCACATCTGTGAAATAATCACTATTAATTACAGAGGTCGCAAAGTATGTCCGACGCAATGGTCGCATCCCTATAATTTGGGACGATATGCTCAGAATAATTTCTGTCAGGCGTCTGAACGAGTCTGGAATTGGAAATTTGGTCGAACCAATGGTTTGGGTCTATGCTGAAGATGTGGATCGCTTCGTGGGGTGGGAAGCTTGGGAGAAATATGCAGAAATATTTCCTACAGTTTGGGGTGCAGGAGCGTTTAAGGGAGCGTTTGGCGAGGTACATAAATAAGTTAAAGAAATCGGGTTTAATCTCTTGTCAGGTTTTCTAATAAAAACTCCTACGTTGTATTTTTAATCATGTTGCATGCATATTTCAGACTCTAAACATTCCACCGTTAAGTCGACACGCGGATAATACCGATCGGTGGATCAGCGTGCTTACAAGAGAATCACCAAAGTGGAAATTGGGCACGGCTGGACTGGTACAAAAATATTGATGCAATCAAAGGCAATACCGCAAATCAATTGTTGAGACATTGATGTTTTTACATAGGTATTGACCGGATGGATGAGATACGATCACTTTGCAGTTTTATGCGAACTCTTACCAGCCGGACTCCCTTCGCTGATTTACAACAGTTTGCAAATATCTATCCCAGCGAGTTCTACAGCACGTATTAAAAATCGAGTATTCATGTTACCAAGTCAAGAGACTGACGAATTCTCAAGCTCTTCTACTACCAATAAACCTAACCCTTCAAGTTCTTCAGAAATACCACATGATTACAACTTTATATCATCTTCGGAGAAACCAAGCTCCTCATCATCTCGACATCCTCCATCATCTCAACCCTCACCATCTCACACCCACATGTCGAAAAGATCCCCGAACTACCGGCGACAAATAGCTCACCCCAGAATCTTAATGGCAAAAGACCGTCTCGCACGGTTATCTGCTCGCAGTGAAATATCTACGGGAGAAATTTACGATAAGTTTGACCACGTTGCGCGTGAATTCTGTCAAATCCTCAACTGTCCGAATTACCACACCCGATTGGACCATTTACTCAAAGGTTCCGACACAGAGTTAAATTTTGCATCAAGATGCAACTTCAGTGGCGTGGCATTTTTCAGATCATTATTCAGATTAAAGGGTCTCCTCCACGAGAGCAATGAGTTGCTGGCAAAAATTGAGAAGAAACGTGGTTGGGTAACTCCATACAACATTCGACACAATTATTCCCTTCCACTCCGCGTTGATGAAGTGTTAGCAGAAGTTCCCAGGTTAAAAAATCAGCTTCAACTCGTAGTGAAAAGTATTGAAACTAGTCTCAAGCCCATTTTCAGACAGGAGGACGTTTTAGAATGGATAGAGCAGAATGTTTGGGATCCGTGGAAAGCATTAGAGAATTTAGAACTAGCTGGAAATACTTTAAAGGCGAGGAACGTCTGGCCACGGAGACCGATTCCTATCCAATGGGAAATGGTGCAAGATTTGAAGTTGTCGAGGGTAGATCCGGATGAGTTGTAGAGTGTTTAGGAAGCATGCTGTGTCTAGGTCTGATTTAAACAAAGCTATTAATCTTACAAGAAAAAATGTTGTGTTCCTCTAACCAAAGCTTGCCTCTGCTATCAATTGCAGTACAAGAACAACGATTACATGTCAATACTATACACTAAAGTAAGTATAAGTGCATCATCAGCAGTATTATTTTTACACGACACCTATTCCACAATGTATATAAATACGTATATAAATACTTGTATCACAATGATCGTGTATTCACACGGCACAAAACATATCACAAAAAATCAATCTACTAATAAGTATTTCTGCGTACCTTACCCGCAGCGTAGGGACCATGATTACAACATGTTATGAAACGTAATTATAACGACGAAACGCATATTTTCAGAAACCCAAAGAAACTTCCCTGTTGTATTTTAAATATTATATTACCTGTTTACCACTTTTATTATTTACTGAATCTCATGAGCATAGACTTGTTTAATTGTTAACAATTCCATAATACAGACTGGTTTGTTGTATATATTTATTGTATGAGTTATTTCTCGCAGTAGTGTGAGCACAGATATTTTTGTATTTTTTTCATCAAGCACACCCGTAAATAGTGTGCACAAATATGTAACCTATCCATCCACTATTGATAAAGTACCGATTAAAGGATAATATAAGGAGGCAACTTGCTAACTAAACAGCTATATTTCCTTCCAACTTGGGCCTGGTGGTCGGTGTTACGTGACCTGAAGCTTGAAATAATAAGCTTCTTCTTTTGGCTAGGACTATTTTTATAGCCTATTGCGATGCGAAGTAGTAGTTATGTAGTAATTGAACGTAGAAAAAATACGAAATTGTTATGTGGTAATATCAATCAAACATGTTATGATGTCAAACAAATTGGTAAAGAAAATAATGAAATGTTATCGCTAAATAAAAATATTATTGTTGACCAGAATATGAATTCGATAAATTTTGTCTAAATTAAATCATTCTGCATTATGCTCCGGCTTAAGTGGCTTAAGATTTGTATCTTTATTGTGACTAATTGTAACAATTAAGATTGAATAGTGAAAAACTTAAATACTATGACCCACTCATAATAAAGCATAACAGTTGCATTGCAAATCACAGAAAATTTTAAGAATCGTTAATGAATTTATAAAATGAAATATAAAATCTGGTAACTGGATTAAATCCCCGAACTAAATATTCAGGAATAAAGCTGAATTCTAAATTACCTTATTATTTAGGCGGACGGCGGTTTTAGTGAAATTGGTTGTGGAATGTTGAATATGGTACAAATTTGGTTTCGAATTGGGCGAACTGCGTTGGCGTCTCCTTCCCATTGTGATTCTTGCAGTAACGTCATGACGTGCTCGACTTCCTCCTGGCTGGCCAACTCTTCTGCACCATAAGTCAGCAACGCTTCGTAAATCTTTTGCGAGGTGATAACTCGGACACGAGGATAAGCGTGGGCCAGGTACACGGTAAGCTTCTTCATGGCTCTGCAATTAACATTGTGTTTTATACATACATACATTTGGGTATACAAAATTTAAATAATTGTTTATAATTCCGTACGATCTGATCACAGCCAAACTTCCTTGAAGCATTTCGCACAATAATTCCACGCCGAGAACAAGTTTTTCAACTCTCCCACTTTTAAAGAGTTCATTTTTTGTCAGCTCAATCAAGGCAAGACCAAAAGAATCGGACCCATCCGTTAATAAAGGCAGAAACGTTCCAGACTGTAGTAATTGGGTGACAAATTTCATCAAAGGCACCGTAACTCGATCCATTCTAAGGTTGCTCTGTATTAAGAGTAATGTGAAATTACGATGCATGCATAAATCTATTTATCGTAATTGTAAATACTTTAGAGCTAGACGTACCTCAAAGATTTTGAGCATAACCTGACCAATTCTATTCAACTCAGCATCCCCCATAGCACCAGCCGCAACGAGATAATTAGTAATTGCACCGTTAGCGTCTTTCATTACACTGTCACTCAAACTTCCTCCACTAATGATGAATCCTTCGAGCAAGTAGTATGTGCAGTGTTCCAATGTTAACATTTCTACGAACTTGGGAAATGTGGATGTCGTGGATCTCCAATTTACAGATCTGCCTATAATTGATTGAATAATCAACTTCAAAATATTAGAAACAAAAATACCAAGTAAAAGTAAATAAATGTAATCATACAAAAATCTTCTGGGAATATTCGTAATATTGCATCTCTATGTGGAATGTCCAACATCTCAGGATCCCTAATTCAATCCATTAGATTTAGTACTATAAAATAATCAAATTTACTGTTTAATTTGCAAGGGATCTCACTTTTGATGAATAATTGTCGCAAATGCTTGGCCAGCATGGACACGAACATTATCAATCTTTTCAACACATTGTTTCGCAATTAGTCCCATTATCTTGGAAATATTTGAAGGATCCACATCTTTAAATGATCCACATTCGTTTAATCGTATACTAAAAATCTGAAACGGGAAAACAAACTTTTAATGCATGCTGAAGTTATAATGGTTAAATAAACCAATTTAATATATGACCTTCAAAGCAGTTATCGAAGATTTTCTGACCCAGCATCCGATATCTCCACGTTTATCAGTTGTGTAATCTTCAATCGATTCTAGGAGGGAGTTTAAGATTTGTTCAGTATTCAGCAGCTCCAAAGGTATTCCATCTTCCCAAGACTATTAAAAAATAATCAATAGGTTTAAAACAACATTTGATATTACTACATATCAAGGTAAATATGTAATATTTACCGAATTTCTACTAAACTTCTTATGAATAAAAATGCTACTTAAAGCAACGAGAGCATCCCTTCGAGATTCGGCCCACAATACGGTGTCAGGAGTTATTGTCGAACATTTTAGTAGCGCAGTAATCACGTCGACAAAGTTTTCTTTTAATACGCTTACAGGAAGTCGACCTAGAACCAGGGTTGTTATTTAGTTCAATTATACTTGATAAGGCCGACTATATTATGCAGGTTAATTTATATATATATATATTCAACATTACCTAAGGCATGAGCATGCCCTTGCCTAGCAGGCATCACATTACTGGTCAACTCTTTGCACATTCCTTCAAGAATTCCTGTGAGACAATTGTGCTTGGCTGGGTTGTTGTGATAGTATTCGACGACAAAATGTGCGAATGCTTTTCCAGCGGATATTCTAATTTGAAATGTAATAATTTTCTAATTCCAGATAATCTTAAACAAAAACAAACTAGTGATAATTATAAATTCACCTCGTGCGGTTTTCAACACTGGAAAGATGTTCCTCAAGAAGTTTATGGCAGACAGTTATGAAATTTTCATCATTATGATACGGCATTCTGAAAAAATAATGACCTCAAATAACGCACTTCTTTAAAGAGCATAATAATTAGTAATCTTACTTGGACAACGAACACGAATCAATGAACTCATTCAATCCCACTCTGATAAATTCATTCCCACGTGCACTATTTGCAAACTTTTTCTCCACAATTTTTGGAACAATTTCGCCAATCGAAGTTAAAATATCATTACTGAACTTCAGTCGATCAATACTCTTCAATTTGACCAAAATCGCTCCTAAGCTGATTAATGCTCCATGAGAAGTGTAAGTGTCCGAGTCGGTGCAAAACGAAATCAAAGCTGGGACGACTTTTTCCGTAACGTACAACGGTTCCATTATGGCAAGATTTCCCAACGCCTCGGCCGTCAACTCTCTCACTACTTCGTCAAAATGGTTAAACTTTAAATCCATTAGGTGAGCAATCATTGCTGTCGTGTATATTTGGAATTTTCCTATTTCGACACTGCCAAGTATAAATATGAAACGAATTAGCACATACAGTATGTAACAAATTTAATGCTACGATGACATAATTTGTATATCGACATGGTCGCGTAAATTTTAAAATTTGAAACTTCGCATAAAAATCTAAAAAGTATATACGGACAATTTCCTCGTCTCCGATTTTTAATATCGCACAAAGGTCAAAGGTCACCATTATTTTTGTGAACCAATTTGAGGCGTCGAAAAGCAAACTTCGTAGATAATTTTTTTTGAACTTTCTAGTATTTTTTATCGGATGCGACATGCGTTTTGAAGAAAAATGAGCTTTGGTCGGACCGTGTACGATTTTTTTGACGCCCACAGGAATTTTTCGCCAAGGACAGGTTGAAGACCTAAAATCGCCACCGCGGCGAAAATTCGAAAACTGAAATATACGTTAGCATATTGACAGTCCCGGTATGCAAACGTATATTTCAGTTTTCGAATTTTCGCCGCGGTGGCGATTTTAGGTCTTCAACCTGTCCTTGGCGAAAAATTCCTGTGGGCGTCAAGAAAATCGTACACGGTCCGACCAAAGCTCATTTTTCTTCAAAACGCATGTCGCATCCAATAAAAAATACTAGAAAGTTCAAAAAAAATTATCCACGAAGTTTTTTTTTCGACGCCTCAAATTTGTTCACAAAAATAATGGTGACCTTTGACCTTTGTGCGATATTAAAAATCGGCGACGAGGAAATTGTCCGTATATACTTTTTAGATTTTTATGCGAAGTTTCAAATTTTAAAATTTACGCGATCATGTCGATATAAAAATTATGTCATCGTAGCATTAAATTTGTTACATACTGTATTATTATATTGGTACCTCCATTCTTAACGTGGCATTGTATCACGTGTTTTTTGTTTGAATTGTTGTGTCTCAACTTTCCCTTCCTCCATGTATTCAAATGGCGATTTTGAAAAATGTTCACCGCCTTTCGTTTTTAACAATATGAAGATATTAATGCACCTAAAAATCGGTAATTTTTAGGCTTACATAGTTAGGAGATAAAAATTTTGATTTTTTTCTTCAATGAGGAAATATTTAAATTTCATTGATTATTTTTCATCTATTTTATATTTATCTTCTTGTTGAAGAAAAAAATCAAAATTTTTATCTCCTAACTATGTAAGCCTAAAAATTACCGATTTTTAGGTGCATTAATATCTTCATATTGTTAAAAACGAAAGGCGGTGAACATTTTTCAAAACCGCCATTTGAATACATGGAGGAAGGGAAAGTTGAGACACAACAATTCAAACAAAAAACCCCGCATCAGCCAGCATGCTATTCTGCCTTAAAGGCAATAAAAATCATTTACCTGACTTTTGTGAATGCATTTGTCCTAATTCCAACGGCAAAATAATCAGCAACAGTAATGATATCAATTCCATGTGGAAAGTTCCCTTGTCTTCCGACATTTTCTTGAAATGCAGCAGACGCAGCTCTTCGGCAATTTACTTCTCGATCAAACGTCATCGTAATGATGAGACATGTGGCAATGTCGTTGACGTACGGTTCGATTATGTGAGGCTCAAAGGCTCTTGCGAAGGCCCACATGACGTAACATGCTGCATCCCGAACGTGCGATCCGACAGAAAAATTTCCCCTAATCTGAGGGAATCAACAAGAAAAAACAATTAATTCATTGTTCAAATTACTTATGTTGTATCAGGTCTAATTAATTATTAACCTCGTCATAAACCATCGCCCGTTTAAGAACTGGGATAACAGTGGGAATTCTTTCTGGAAGTAATAATCCCCTCCGCGCAAGTTCGGCGAGAGCGAGACAGCCCCCATGCCATGCAGCGTTCCCTTCTCGTGGAGAAAAATTTTGCAATATCCCTTCCATGACCTCATCAGCATACTCTTTCGGAAGGCGGTTTGTCACCCGTCCAATCCCTTTGGCCGAAGACCACCGAACAACGGTGTCCTTATCCTTTAGACCTTCAAGTAACTTGTCAATTACAGATTCAATAGCGCCCGAATACTGGTTTAATTCTTCGTAATTAGCTTGATCATTTCCGCCTAAATTTTTAAGATCAGACGATCCTGAAGTTTCAGAAAGATTAGTCGTGCCCTTTAAATTGCAGACCAGACTCCGACTTCCTCGCTGATATCGCCAGGGAGCCATCTAAACATACAAAATGTGAATTGAAACCAATACTAACCTAAACCTACTAACTCTAAACTAGTTATGTTTTACCTTCGTTTTCATGAACATCATTCCAATCCTTTGAATCAATTTCGTCCCAGCCTTTCGCAATACGGTGTCACATTTTTCGTATTTCGAAAATAAAACTGCCTTCAAAACTTGTTCCCCATATTTTAAAATCTCCTGTCGTTTCGCATGTTTGAAAATTGCCGATAATGCGGCAAATGCACCAACTCTTGTTCCAAATGCCATAGGTTCCGGTAAACGCTACAAGAATTATAATACATCAACCAATGTTACGAATTAATCAACTCCAGAAATTGTTATAAACTGTATCGATTAACTAACCACACAAGTCCATTCAATGAAATTATCCATGTATACTTCTTGCATGTCGGGTCTCGTTAAAAATCTCGAGATTAAAAACGGAGCCGCTGTCCCAACGTTGTTGTTGAGGACGATACACTTTTTGCAAACTTTCATCAACCGTTGTGCAATCGTCAATCCATCCTTCCTCTCCTCCTCCTGACCATCCAGCAGTTTCAAATGGAATGGATTAATGACCAAGATACTGAGCCACATAACGAGGACGTAACCACTCTCCCAAGTACAAGGGTCGTCCAAGTTCTCATTCTCCAAGTAATTCAGCACTGGGACTAGGTCAGCTATTTCGTGGGGAAAACGTTTCACGACTTCTTTCGGTCCTCGAACTTTGAAAAGGCGGCGAAGAAACTGGAGACTCAAATGTTTTAAAATGACCTGTTCTGGTTTCGAATTACTGTCTCGGAATTGTGACAAGAGGACGTTTATCATGGCTTCCAAATGATGATCGATCAGATGGGGTTGCTCTTGATATCGGTCCATTATTTTGCCGTACGTTTCGTACGTTACTTCGACCTGTGATTCAACGAGTTAAATTATTGATTATCAATTAATGATATTTATCCATAAAAAGACTTACCGTCGACTGCGACGTATAAATTCCCGGGAGTGAATTTAATATTTCGAAAACTTCGTCCTTTTCACGAAACATGTCCAAGGCACAGCCTAAGCCGATTGGAAATTCTTCCAACTCATGGTCCAAATCTAGACCTTCCAACTCGGCCAAACTCTGTCGAGATCCTTTCTTTGACATTTTGAAACTCGTTTCCTGAAATAATCGAACATCGAACAAACAAATATAGATAAACCAAAAACAAACCACCTGTCGCCTTAAATCCACTTGACGTAACGACCTACACAAACTAACATATCTAACTATTTAAATACTTACCGTTACATGAAAAACTTCAAAATAAATAGTAAAATTTCAAGCTAGAAATTTAACTCGATTCAGAAATCAATACTTTGGAGAAGAGGAAAGTGAGTGAAAATGTGAACTGGACGGAGTAATAATAACCGGTGACGCATTCCCACCGCAGATTTTATTGCAAAACTCCCCGTAACAGAATTGCGACTTTCTCCCGTAAAAACAACGACCAGCTTGAGAATTTAATTTAAAATTTGGCTATTATTTTAGACAACTTAACGCTAAATTGTATGGTACGACTACAAAAAAATTTATGACCTGATGAAGGTATCTGTATGTGCCGAAAGCTTGTCAATAAACTCAATTTCAAACATATGTCCTCCAACGCCGATCAATCAAATTATATACAAAAATTCTATTATTAGTACCTATTGAAGATGCGATAAATATAATGAGAATATAAATATAAATATAATGCTGTTGAATAATGACATTTATTTATTGTACAAAAATCAACTCAATCAACATTTGGAACAATATTGCATTCTATTTCTAGATTTTTTTTCATCTTACAATTTTTTTTTCACTTTATTTCTCATCGTTTGACTGAACATGATAATAGGAAATGATGGCAATGACCTCACGCGTTGTAAATCTCTGAATTTATTTTCACCACACAATCGAGGTGTACCATGCACTTTCACCAATCTGCATGCACTCTCTTTGAACAAATTTGACGAGGTTGTTCTATGTTCTCGCTTTTCGGGTTTGTGGTTGAAATCAGACGAGAAATAGATGGAGGAACATATCGAATTTTCTGCTGACGATGAGCTCTACATCCTTGAACTTGTGCTGACAATGCTGTGAACATCCAATTTGCACCTTGTCATCAGTTTCCCTTGTGCTCAGGTAAATTGGATTATTCGGAAAAAGTCATATATTTCAAAGTGTGACACGAGCACACGTACCTACTCACAAAGTATCCACTTTCTCCCCCTTGACGCATTTTCCTATTTTCGCAACAAAAGAAATTTATACTGTATTTTCCTTTAAAAAAATGAATTGCGAAAGAATCATGATAACTAAAAAGTCTTTGTGTTTTCGTCTTCTGACTTAAGCAGGAGACTTAACCTGGCCAGATTATACATAATAATAGCAACAGGTCGATTTAAAGAATGTGGGTCAACTCCCTGGAGCTAGCACGGCTAACAAACAGATCCGGAATGCAAATGTAATAATATGAATAGCTGCGGAGGCAGAAGCAACGTAAAGGTAGCAGTTTTCGAGTGGGTTGTCTGTTCTGGGTATTTATGAGGGAGCAGATTATTTCAGCCATCTGCATGCTTTCCCCAATATCCACTTGGAGAGGAGATGCAACACGACTTTCTTTTTGCATGCATGGGAGAAAATATAAAGAGAAAATTAAACCACCAACTCGGAAGAATTCTCCCATGCACCGAGCACTTACTTGGCTCTCAAGTATAATAAATAGGACAGTTTAGCACTCTTTTATCTCACTCGTCTGCCTGCCTTACTCGAAATCGCAAACTGAGGAGGCGGATTGGAAAGAATGCAACAATGTGGTTATCTCGCTCAGAGAAAATTAAGTGAGTGCATGGGCGGATGGATGGATGTGCGTGTCAAAGTCAGATGTTTGATTTGGCAAAATGTCTATTTTGGTTTGAAAATTTGAAATCCCTGTCGAGTAAATCTGACCAAATTGGAGGTACATCTATCAAAATACATGTTTACCTGCTGTACTCGGAGTAAGCCTTCCTATTTATTGGTCCAGGTCTGAAAATAGACCAGGCTGGCAGGTGGATTGGATATCATAGAATAAGTAACTCTTTTATCAAAAGAAGGCATGTATGTACTTCGTATATTGCTTCCTCCACCGTTTGTATGAAGTAAACTGATAATTCCATAGAATCTGACACCACCACACGCTCTCTCGTCATGCTATTCAGTCATCCTTCCGGAAAGGTAAAGAAGAAAGTGAGAAAAGAACGATATTTGATGGCAGGCAGAAAGGTGTCTGAAAGTCGTATTAAAAGGAAATGAAGCACATTCAATCCCTTCACCGCGTCATCATCACTTTTGCAGCCTTTTCCCGTTATTGAATTTCAATCAAAGCAAGTGGTCCCATGTACGAGGAGGACAGATCACACAATCTCACTTGGAGGTGATAATGAAGAAGGTTTCGCTACCAGGCGTGACGACATTATCCCATTTTCACTCTCTAGCCAGGACAATAATGCATTATTTCAACCCAATGGTCTCTCATTCCTCCTCCCATTCGATCCACCCATTTATCCATTTTCATCCATCCTTCCACCTGAATGTAACAAACAGTTGCGAAAAGGAATTCTCCTCATCGAGATGAAACGGTCACCATATCCTAAACTAACCAACCCTCATGGATCATATCATGATCCACTTTCTATTCACCCACCAACCAAACCGCAAACTCCTACTCTGATTCGGTGAATTCCCATCTATTTATCTATCTTTCTCATTCCATTATTCAACCCGTCTGCTGCTGTCCATGTCGGTGATGATGATGGTGGTGGTGAAATCTTGCTAGAGAAATTCAAACCTTATACATAAATAAATTTCCGCTGACTGAATGACATTGATATGCACGATGATGATGGTGGTGTGGTGGTGAAGATGAGCAAGGAACAAGTGACACTGGCAATATTTTATCATCTCTCCCGTAACCACCACTCACTCAGAAGACCCGTTTGCCATTTCCGTGCCTCGACTTCAAAATTATTTTCTAGAGCTGCCTGCGACGCATTTCATGGGCAAGTTGAAGTATAGCAAAATTCAATAAAGAAGACTGAGTATTTGGCTTGCTTCAAGTAAGTGGTGACGGGGAAGAAAGTCTCCTCGTTTTGATTGACCCATAAAAAATAAAGTGGAAATAAAAACACAAAATTGCAACTAGAATAAGAACCAGGAGTGTTTATATAATGCGTGTGTTATGTGATGTTTTACAGCATTTTGGGGATATTTTATAGGTGAAAGTGTGAAAGATGGGCCTTCTTCCGTATACAGCTTGTTGCTTGCACAGCGTTGATAGCAGTTCACCAAAGCGTGAAGAATTTGTTGTACATTTGCCAAAATTGTGAAAACCCTTGTCTTCTACTACGACGAACCTCTCCAGCAAATCAAGTCGGCTTTATTGTTTCTTTTTTTAAATAGGCTTAAATTGGGATCCCATCGTATTATAGGAGCTTTTTTCTCCCATTTCAAGTCACAATTTCCTTCATGACAACATCTATTACAATAATACCTCACGCGAAAAACAATCGGATTGAACTGTAGCATAGCTTATGCAATTGCAAACTCTTCTCAGATATGAGATATCCTCCCCTCCTCCTCAAACCTTGTCTTTGAAGATCCAAGTCACAAAAAGAGAAAGAGTATCAGTAAGCATACTAGTCTAATGATTTTATATGTAGAAGAAGAACAGAGAATACCATGCAACTTGCCTGACTGAACTTTGTCTAAAGTCCCATCGGTTTTACGTTACGGATGTATGTATACATACGTTGTGAATGTATGTCTGCATGTACATGTTGTTGGTTAGTTGGTCTGGCTGGTTGGTCGTGTGTAGCTGCTCTTGTACCGAATTTAGTTTAGTTGGTGGTGGGATGCTGGAGTAGCTTGCGTTGCTTGTGCAAAACTTTCCCAGGGTCTGCTTTCTCTCCTACTTTCTTTCTGAATCTCTCTCTCTCTCTGCAGCATCCCAAAAGCTACCTCAGTCAGTTTCAGAGTGGAATTCCAACAGGAAAAAGCAGCCTCGAGCAGATTCCGAACCTCATCTCAGAGACCACTATTGCTTTACATCATTGTAAGTACGAGACAACAATCCGGGTTATTAACTCGAGAAGAAGAAGGAACAAGGAAAGCAGAAGAAAAAAATCATGCGAGTATATATAGACGAGTAAGCAGGCCACTCAACTTCCAGTTCAGTTGGAATACTTTAAGTAAATATGCAATCTTGATCTCAAATCTCGGTTCAATTGACAATTTGAGCTCGTAACATATATATTATTGTCGTTTGAAAAATTGAGACTTTGATTTGGAAACTTGACACGGAGTGATTTATTGTTATTAAATTGTGAAAATTGCGGTGGACGAATCAGAATTTGCTAGGAAGTCGAGTGGATTTGTGCAAACATAGCGGAACAATTACTAAGAGGAATACTTTCTCTTTGTTGTGGTGCTCCTCTTTGGAGGTTGAAGTGGTCACGAATGAATAATAGAAACACTTGAGATTAAAAACAAGCTCATGATACATATTGTGTGCTAAGAGGGCAAGTTTCTTCTTAAAAGGTGCGGTTTTTAGGGAAAATTATCTATTCTGGTACAGAATTGGTATGCCTGGGGAGAGGAATAACTTTTCAGGTGCTTATTTGTTTGCATTTCATTAAAATTCTGGGCTGGAAGGTCGTGTAATTTTTTGTGTGACTAAAAATAATTAAGTTTACATTACATAAAGAAGTAATTAGTTGAGAAAAGCATTTCTTCTTTTATCTTCGATCATGTCTGTCAATTTACAGTGGTTGTGGTCGTGGTGGTAGTGACGACGGTGGTGGTATATGACTTATCATATTTGTTTCATCTTATTTCAGACGTCAAGAATTCCAATTACAATTCGTATAAAAATCATCAGAATTTCGCCTCTCTTTCCGTCATCTGACTTACTTACTTTCACCGACTCGTATCATCGTGAGGATCTTGTGGCAACCCTTGCACTCCGACTCTTGCACCCTTGCTTTGCTACAGAATCATGAGGAGAAAATGAGACAAGCAGTGAATTCCGAGTGATAAGGTTTAATTTCACTCCTCTCGAGTGAAAGTGGATCGCAAAACGGAACGAAATCTGACACCAAAAGTTTTCTCTCTCCGATTCATTTCCTCTCCTCACATTGAGACATTGTTGATAAAGAATTTTATCTTTTTACGATATCGTAATTTCCGACGGTGTGGCATTGAAAACAACACATAGAAATATTTCCTAACGTATTTTCTTACCCTTCAAAAAAACAAACATTCTATGTACGTACGTACAAATGTATGTACGTACGTCATAAAAAATCCAAAAAATCAAGAAGCATCAATAATTTTGCAACAACCAAGACCTCCCTTTGGACACAGACGGGCAGGATTTTCCCTAAAAGTTGGAAATAATCTCGTCTTCTAACAAAGAGAGAAAAGCGAGGCTGAGTTACACAGTTACACACACACAAGTAGAGTCACGACCACTTGTGTACCATAAATATTTGATCATTTTTCCTCTTTCCTCATCCAACGATCCAGCCCACACCACGATACGACTTTGAGACTCATTTTATCCGTCAGTCGAGCTTTCCACTTCATGTCCAAATACATAGTCCATTTATTTATACACGGGCAGCAGCATTTCACCATCCGTCCCAGTCCGAGCTCAACATCCTGTGAAATCGAAATGAAGAAATGAAAGGGAAAGTGATCTTCTAATGGTATAATAAATACGTCTAAAAGCTTGCCCCCACAGGTACAGTTTCCTTCCTTCCTTCCCAGGAAATCCCGGTAGGTAGTCCTCAACAGTTTTAAAGAAGAACAAAAAAAGTCAACTTTCTTTCTCTTTCGACTTTCCTTTATTCGTTGGCATTCAAAACGAGCAAATATTCGTCACGAGGAGGGTGAGAAACTTGAGTGAAAGTTAACTTAACAAGGCAGGGAGGAAACCCGTGATGTGTTTTTAAAGTGTATGTGAATGACTCAAGGACGACGACTTTCTCTTGTTGTTGGGAAGAGGAAGATTAGGAAATTTAATAGATTTTGTGGTGGGGATTCTACAAAAGTTGTGTATTCAGTGGGATGACGTATGTATGTATGTACAAACATCTTTATTGGTAATCGTTTGAGGGGACTTTCTCCAAGTCAACTGTACTGAGTAATTAAACCCCAATAAATATTTGCATTTCGAGAGAAATAAAGAATCGGGAAGAGTAAATAGTAATAAAAAAAAGTTCAGTGAGATGAACGCACATCCTTCAGCCTCAAGCTCAAAGTCTAATGAATCAAAATCATCTGAACTTGAAGAGGTTCAAAAGAAAGTGGACGAGGTAACGGATGAGGTAAGTACATAAATCGTGGAATATTTAAGAAGACGAATAAAAATATTCTTCAATATGAAATTCTTAGAAGTGGAAATGTAAGGATTTTGATCATATTAATGCAGACTTGTATTTATTTCTGTCCTATTTTCGCTATAGTCGCTTCAAAGCACTCAAAGAATGGTGGAATACTGCGAACAGGTAATGACTTTAAATCCTCTCTGAAATTTCTCGGAATTGAATCTTTGATAGAGATTTAATTCAAATCCATCTTTTGCAAAAAAATCGTTCTAGCATTTTTAAAATTAGAAAAAATTTGCGAAATTAATTGCTGAATGAATGAAATTAGGCAAAGGAGGCCGGGATAAAAGTGATAGTGCAATTAGACAATCAAAAGGAACAACTGGATCGCATTCAGGATGGGATGACTATCATGCGTTCAACGCTGATTAGAGCTTCGGAGAATTTGCGAGGAATGGAAAAATGCTGTGGACTCTGCCCAAATCCGTTTAAAAAGTAAGTGAATTTTAGTACAAAAGTGACACCCACGCTGGTCTGGTCTACAGTCTTACGTAGTCTCATATCGATGTATGTACATATATTGGCAAGCTGTCCCTTGGAATTCTGGTGTCGTAACGTTGGTTCGAATTCAATTTTTGGTGAAAAACCCGGCAGAAAAGTTGTCCTTTTATTAAACACAATGGGAATTTGTCTCGTTTCAAGGTTCATTTAATCTCCTTTCGCCATTTCATTGTGGTCCTTGAATCACCACACCCTTGAATTTAGACTTCTGTACGTATACGTATATAGCACATACACACGTAAAACGAGTACAATGAATTGTGCAACAGGTCTCAAGTTGGGAACGACTCGAGTTTGTGGAGAGATGAAAGTCAGGGCCACGCAGCAGCTTCTTCCCGGAGGACAAAAGCTCAAAGATCTGCAACAAGTGCGGGATACATTGGAAGGTAAGTAAGCACATGACGCAAGGTTTCACTGGTTTTTAAAAGCATTGTTCTCTGTGTTGGGCAATCCAATTTTCCTCAAAGTCCGGACAATTTTTGATGTATACACTCCATCGAAAATTGGAAGGCAGTATTTCAACCTGGCTTTTATGATGGGTATGAAATATATGTAAATTATGCCATGTTGCGCAATATCCAATCTCATTGCATAATTTTGGCTGGTAAAATTCAAGTAATTAAAATACAAGTAAATTTTGAGAATTGGATGCCGTAGGACTCAAGAGAGAGAGTGATGATGCTTTTAGTGAAAGTGGTAAAAGTGAGAGTATAGCACTTTCGTTTATACTTCTCACCTTGAATATACACGTACTTGGAGACTATTTTACCTTTCGTGCATACGTACTCGTCGTACATATGTTGCATGCAAGGCGTCCCTTTTCACCAAAGTTTTTGAGGTGACAGGCGATTTGTCTCAAGCTTAACGATCCTATTTTACTTACGAAGTGCAGTGAGTTCTGCCTTTGTTTCACTTTACGACTCTTAAGTAGATAGATATGTGCCATGTACGATGTGCTACCAACTACCAACCACTAAAAGTTTTTTATTGCATCCAGATACACTAATGATGAGAGGGAGGAATTGATGGAGCAGAATATGGAAGTCGTCTCCACCGTGTTGTCAAACTTGAAAAACATGGCCATAGATATGGAGACGGAACTAGGCGTGCATAGCGAGCAAGTCAAACTAATTAATAATATGGTAAGAAGAAATAGTAAAGTTTTTACTGAATTTCATCACATTATGGAGAATAAAACTTTAGCCTAAAAACAAGACCAAAAACTTTATTGGGTTCAAATTCAAGACAAAAGGGAAAAAATAATAGTGCAACTTTTTATAGCGAAGTAAAAAAAAAGTTAGGGAAAAAGAGTCCAGAGTAAATTTAATCAGAGATTTTTTTACCAACTACTTTTTTGGTTGGCTCGTTGTTGGAAGTTACAACTTTTAAAATCTTATCAAGCTTGTCTAGCCAGCTAGCCGACGATCTATCTTTAGATTACTAATTAAATCATTGGACAGCACCTACTGGGAAGGTATACATTTCTCCTTTTGTGTACGTAAGTACAAGCCTCGTAGTTAGTTAGTCAGTTAATTACATGGGAAATGTCAAAATTAGCCAGGATCAAATTAGCACTCGAAAATGGTGATGGTGAAAGTGGGGTATTAATTAATTAACCTTTAATGAATGGCAGGCCGAGGCGAACAACCTCCGTGTCAACGACGCTACTCGTAGAACACACGACCTCACTAAAGATAACTGACAGGCGGATTCGACTAACTCGCTTAAATTGGACAAGTAGTGGTTTCGCGTGGGGGTCGTGGTCGTGGTGAAAGTTGATATATTGTATACGCTTTAGAAAATATAATAAAAATATATACTCGTCTATCACCGGAAATAGTACCACTGCATAGATTAATACGCAAGTGGGAATATAATGTATAATAGATTATACCCTCCTGAATATATCAGTATGTAAATTAGTGTATACATAAATTAATGGTTAGTTTTGAAGCAAGATTGAAACAAATCACTTCTTTACAGCACCGATGCAAATTTTCAATGCTATTTTTCTGAGAACCTGCAAATAGTAGTTTGTATGTACATATATATTTGCAAGGATAAACTGACCCCTCATTATTAAGGACGATTGTACCTGCATGGATTGAATACTTTGCCCATGAAGTTCTGTGTGCTACTTATATTAATCGAATTCTACCTGAACCATGGCCTCTTAATTGTTGCGTGGATTTTCATAGTTTTCTTTATTAAATAGCAACTACGAATGTAAAGTCTCAAAATATATACTTGCGTACCTTATTATACTTTAATAATTACTAAATAATATCAAAGTATGATTGTCTCCCTATAAAGAATAAAATGTGATTAAAGACAATCAGGATATTGGCCAGTATCATAAGAGAAGAAAATGTAGTAGCAATAACTTGTGAATTAATAATAAAGTGAATAACTTAAACTTTCCATTGTTCCATCGATCCATGAAAATTTCTTACGTAAACCGTCTGAATTTCGCGACGGAATGCAAGCTCCACCAAATATTGGCAAGATTTGATTTATTACTTCTTGTTTGCAGCTCAACTCCGCCACCCACGCCGTCTTTATTATAAAACCCAAGTAGTTTCGGCATTATGGGCAGAATGCCGTCTTCAATTTATATAATGCGATTTTCACCAAGCACAAATAATGCAGACTCGAGTAATTTTGTGGAGTGGTGCCGTCCTGTCGTACAAGGCTTAACAAACCGTGGCTTAAAGAATGTCATCAATTAATTCTGAGAATTCTTTACAAATTGTAAATCTCAGAAAATTCAATTCCAGACGACCTGCTTTCCTAGTAATGCATACACCCATTTTGCTGTATTCTGCCAAATCAACTAATCCTGACTTGATGGAATACATAGTTTTCCTCTCTAAAACCTCCTTCCTACGTAAAGATGTACTTCCAAGCCGTTCACTAATTGGGTCAGTGTCAGTGGGTTTTCAGATCAAGTAAATGTCAGGACTATCGCAAGACTTTGTGTTTTTGTTCCATGAATCAAAACTTATTATATCCGCCAACCCGAGCATGGTTCCTTAATTAATTTCCAAGTCATCCTTTGTGATGTGATCATAAAGGATTTATTAAGCGGAGTTGGTTGAATATTGTTTGTAATTTAGAGGACAGAATATTGGATCTGACGAAGAATGAAGGTGTAAAGTTCTGTTTGCTTTGTTCTCTCCAGGATTCGTATATGCCATGTAACACGAATTGTAATATGGTATCGGCTTAATTCCTTCCGTATTTGCTCTTAACTTGAACCGACAGATATTTAGCTGGCTGGCTAGCTGGATGGCAAGTAATTCCATCCTTCAACTTAAACCCGGATCAGAGAACAACCACATCGTTGGGTATTATTATCACCAATCTACAGCCTCCAACTTTCACTTGATGAAAGTCCAACTTATTGCGGTCACTAACCAACTTTATTCAATGCACTTATGTAATTCGGTAGCTTGCACTACACAAAATGAATCTTACTCGGATTGCATTTTGGTCGCAATTTTGCCTGGAATTTTCCATGTATAACGGTGACCTTTAAAGTTTATATGTTGGAGAATTGAACACTATTTGTTAGAACATGTGGATCCACTCATTAAAATTAATTTTGACAATAATAAATATGTCAATTTGACACGTGTTTACGTAACATATTGACGTTAGTTTAATACGCAATTGGCATATGTAGACTGGACATACATCGCACGGGTTTATCGGACTGGAGAAGTTGATGGTCCAACTTTGAAGTGAAGAAGAAAGCCTCAAGGAAAACTCGCTTTGAACAAGGCTGAAAAGTTTGCTCATCATTAGTGCAAATGGGAAAAGAAAGAGTACAAATACTTCATTCATTCAGGTGGTGTGTAATAATGAACAGGTTGTTGGATGGAGGCGGACATGACAGAAGTCGGGTCAATTAATTGAATTGTGCCATTCTAGACGGCCGAACACAGTGATTCGTGAAGCAGCAAAGAGTAGATTAGTCTCAGGGTGATTTTTTTTTGCCTGGGGTAATTTCCTGGTTAAAACTTTCTCCAACAGTAGTAAATACTGGATGAGTGACATGGTCTCAATTTTAAGACATCAAAGTTGATCAACCTCTGTAACTTTAGCGAATAGTAAAAAAACGAAAATGTTACTCAATTTTATCAAATGTTTTCAAAACTGTTTAGTTGCTTTCACTCTAATTGGGGACTCTTCAGATATTTATAATTCGTTTCACGGCGTGATTGACACTATCCGACAAAACGAAGCCGCGATCCCCACCTCGTTTACGGTGAACTTGATGAACAATTCGAGAGGAAATAAAAACCGAAATTCAGAAAAACTCACTAAATTCATCAGGCTACAAAATACTCTAAAATTTTTACAGTGTTCTTCACATTTTCTGATAGTCGATTTTCCATCAATTCAATTTCCCAAGAATATAAAGTTCTTAACGGACCTAATATACGACAAAATGTCACAAATTGTTTTCAGAGGAGAAAATCCAGCATATTTTATAATCACAATGCCCACTTCATTTTACTCGATTATTAAACATTCACCATTTCACGACATATTTCGACAGGTGAATTTAAACTCTAAAATTTTCGTGTTATTCATCAACCAAGATAAGTCTGCAGATATTCGAGTTATTTGTGTCGGGTGCTTATCTCGTAGTCAACAATTTCACCCTATTTCATTCGCCAACAATACGAACCACGCTAATCGCATAACTTTGGACAGGATTTGGTGGTACACAAATTCTAATCAAGAGCAAACCAAGATTCAAATAACTGGCCGATTGCTGGAGCGACATTTCTTCATTTATCTGGAGAACCTGGAATGCAGTGGATACATGAGAAACCTTTTCACCCCACCGGGTCCATGTGCTACCAAAATCCTCCTGGATAAGTACAACTTGACGGCAAGTGCCGTTTTCTTGGAGAGGAGATCCTTTCTCACCATGGGTTTAGTGAGTAAAGAAAGTGTGGAGGGTATCGGACAGAATCCTCTCTATCGGTACGAGTGGATTAATCATGCCGCCCTGTACCTTCCATTTAAATGGATTGTGGTCAATGACCCCAAGATTTTTAGCAGTTTTCCACTTACAAAACCATTCGATTCGTACACCTGGGTGGCTCTGATTCTCGTCTATTTGGCCCTGCTGACCACAATCATGGTAATGTCGGGGAACTCAGCTGGTGCCATTTCGAAACTAGGGCTTAATCTGTTTGGCGTCTGCATGGACCAAGGATCGGATTTTGTTGTGCCTTCACATCATTGCAGGACCCAAATATGTGTGAAAGTATTGTGGATTTTCTCAGTTCTCATCATCAGTAATTCCTACAAAGGGAAACTAGTCTCATTTTTGACAAATAAGCCAAATCCAATGGTTCCAGATAGGTTGGAAGGCTTGGTAAAGGATAACTTCCAGATTGTAACTTTTACCACAATCTTCACACCAAATGGTACATTTTCCGTGTTAAAACATGACATTCTAAAGGATTTGATGAACGGGAAGGCTGGTCGTGACTATCCTGCGTATTACCGTTAAGATCTGCATCGTTCCGTATTGTTTTCCAACGCTAATAATAATTCTTTAATATTGAAGCGAATTATAGACAAGGAACCGATCGAGTTTGACACCAAAAATATTACATTTGCGTCTCAATTTGTCTTGCTGTCACCAATCGAGGCGATTAACAATTGGGCATTTTACCTCTCGATTTTCACTAACCTTGTAGTCATCGATGGACAAGAAATCTCTGCCTTTTCCAGTCGACAAATGTGGCTCGTCCAGAGGAATTATTTTGCCGAGTATTTCAGTTCCTTGATAGCGAGGCTGGTCGCCTCTGGAATTTATGCCAAGTGGCAGAAAGACTATGATAAAAATAGGACATTTAGCGATGTGAAAGCAATTATGGGGGAAAACGGTGCTTCCTTATGGGATCGCTTGCCAAGCTTGTTCGCATCAATCTCCCTTCGAGATAAGAGCTTGTCGGGGAGAAGGGTTGACATGGATGAGGATAAAAGTAATGCTCCCAGTCCTTTGACCATTAAGGCTTTCATGTCTGGCGTTTATGGTTATGGAGTGTTGCTGGCTCTTTGTGTAATTCTGTTTTGCTTAGAGTGCAGTTTACTTATTATTACACGAGTCGAGAAGAATTTTTCTGAAGTGTAATTACGCTTTAATGATACGCATAAACATGGTTAGTACTTCTGTAATATCTAATGATTGATCTTTAATGAGGTAATGGGAGATTTATTTGGTCAATTACTGCATAACTTATTTATCCTGAGATATTTCTACGTTATGAAAATTAAGTGTATCATTTGATATAGAATTGTGATTACATAAATAATTCAGGAAAATGCAATGTCAAACATTTTTAGTCTATTCCACGAATTTGTTATCTTTAAAAGTAAATATTTACATGATTTTTTCGTGGTAGAATATTTCTATATTTCATCGTTTATTATTGACAAAAGGTCATCCATTTTTAATTTAGTTAAAGTGTATAAGATTCTACATGCGATTTTATTGGCTAGACTATTTAGTTGCTTTGAATGCATTCTGTCATGGTTTATAAATCAACTTGTAATGAATTGATATCTTTTGCTCTTAAATAAAAGATCATTTGACTCACTCACTCAGAAGTGGTGGTTCATTTATGGTTTGCCGAACAAAAAATGTCATATCAGCAGAAAATGCGTAATGTGAGCCCTTGTTTAAACGATTTTGTTATTTACAATTGTTCGATATTCTACTTACTTTCATATGCACAACGCTTTAACTTTAAAGAGAGTCAGGGATGGATAGATATCATTATTTGACTTAACTGATGGCTGAAGAACAAACAGATTAATAAAACTGACCAGGGTGAGACGGGTGGTGATATTTCATGAGTCATAAGATTATGGTCCCCTCGCTTCCTGAAGACGATGAAGGAGACATGCGAAGGATTAAAACCACGGATGTGCAGACATTCACAATTACGACCAATGCATGCATATCATTTTGTAGAAAATATTCTCTCAGCTTCTGTCTTACATGCGTGGTTAATTGGATTTAAAAACGTATTCCTCATGAAAGAGTCGACTATTTATGACGAGACTGGAGGAAGGTTAACGGTAATCGTATGTAACTTGAGACATTTTTTTATTACACTACATTTCCACGAAAGCATTTGAACAAAAGTAGACTTTGGATTTAGGTACATAATAACTTTTCAAAACTCATGTCCAACTTGACTTAGGATTAAAGTTCCAATTTCATGACCAGTAGTTTGAGGCTAGTAACTTGTCTCATCCTCAGCAAACTATAACTACCAGAAAATTATTATTTTTAAACCAAAGTGATAAAAATTATTATAAACAATTCGGATTTTATCGTGCCTACTTTTTTTGATACGCCTAATTGTGTCGTAATTCGGAGTCCGAATTTCGGACTATTCGAATCACAATGAGTCGCAGCCCATCTTTTGCCCCATGGATCAATCCAGGACTTTTCCTATCGTTTATCCTAACATCGTTGGTTGCATTTGTGGATATTGTAAGCAAAAATATATATCTGTATTTTATGCGATTAGCATTATCGTACATAAATATGCCAATAATTAATCATTGCAATTAATGATAAACCATTCAGACGCTTGGCATCATAACACTGTTCTTGTGCTACTACCCAATCTCTGAGTTTGACATGATTCTAGAAATGTTTGGTAAAAATTGTACTACATTTGCATATGATAATCTGCACGATGCAATTATGCAGTTTTTGACCTTTTAAATTAGACGAACTGAATTATAAAAACGACGTAGCCTGGTGGGGTGTCACGTCGATTCCACTCTTTGCAGCTTTGGGACTGATTAGTGGGTACAATCAGCTAATGGGTATCTGTCATAAGGTACTTTTTCCTTTCGCTTTCTCTTTCACAAACCCACTAATTTTCACACAAGTTTCGTAATTCTCAATATTTAGAAGAAGGATTCGTCTTCATTTTCTTGGAAAATCACAGTTTTCCTCTTGTTCTTTGTCAGCGAAGTTTTCGGATTTATTTTACCATTCAAATTAGTTGAGGACTACGAGAAGAAAGTTACCCTAATCTTGGGGTTACCAAAAGAGGGGAACGGAAAATACATCGTTTTCAACCTATTGCTCGTAAACACGGTCACGATCGGACTCTTTGTGTACCAAGTAGTCTCTTTCGCCGTCGTGTTTAATCATAGTCGATTAATGGCGAAAAAGTTGTTGGAGGAACTGAGGAAGGAAGGTCTCCATAAGAATGTCAACAAGGATGTTGAAATGGGTGCAGTTATTTTTGTCAAAATTATTGCATTAGGTTTTCATAAGTAGTGAGAGTAAATTGACGTTCTTAAAGGCACCCTGGACTCGAAGGCCACTTTAGGGCAAAGTCCAGTTGTCGAATCCACGTATCCACAACTGGATCAATTAATGGAGGACTTGCCACCACGATACTTGTACCCGTTAGTGCCAGAAGATTTGGAAAATAGCAGCGTTATCCCAACACCATCCATGGCTTTATTCTTGAGTAAACAGGTTGGTATCAAATCAATATTAACAAATCATTATAGGTAAATACGCATCTCTGGCATTCATAAATTTACATATCTAGGGACATGTTGGGATACAAAAAATAGGGAAGGCTGAAGCTGAAATTAGTAAATTTGTCCAAATGAAAGGGGCTCAATTAGCTAAAGGGAAATTATTTGAAGATCCTGACTTCCCAGCCAACAAAGTTTCATTGGGAAGATGGGAAGACCAAGTCGAGTGGAAGCGTCCTCATGTAAGGCGTCACACATATGTACACGAAGTTAAATTATTCTTTATCAAGACGTTCAAATGAGACTAAACTGAACATTAGGAAATTAATAGCCAAGCGAAATTCTTTTCGGATGGTGTTACCCGGTTTGATGTAAAGCAAGGGAAGCTTGGTCAGTTAATATTTAAATACTTAAGCTCAACTCATTTGCATTAAATACTTTAGACGCAATCACTCACTGACATTTTTCTTATTAGGCGACTGTTGGTTTCTGGCTGCATTGGCAAATCTAACACTGAATGACACCTTATTTGCTAAAGTGGTTCCGTTTGACAACGAATGGTTCGGGGGTAATGCTTACGCTGGAGTGTGTTATTTCAAGTAAGGATAATATTCGATATGTTCGGATTTAATGCGTATGAGACTACTTAATAAATCTTGTTTTGGATTTCACAGTCTCTTTAAGGATGGGAAATGGCGACAGGTTATCATTGACGATAGGTTACCGACCAGGAACGGGAAACTGATTTATATGAGCTCTTCCGATCCGACAGAATTCTGGAGTGCTCTTATCGAGAAAGGGATGGCTAAGTAATCAAGGATTTGCTTTCTACTTACATAATTATACTATTTTTCCTGTATGTAAAATTTCTATGCAGACTTTACGGATCGTATGGCAAATTGGACGGAAATGATGGCATCGGACCCGCCATGGTCAACTTGACTGGAGGAACTGTCGAACGCCATCACGTTAGAGATTTTAAAGGAAACAAACTTATCAAACTCTTCGGACTGATTTCGGTGACTCTTTCCGCAGGAAAAATGGTTGGCTGCTGTTGCTCCATACCGGGAAGGGTAAGGATTATGCAAAGTAATTTTTACTGTTTGCTATATGAAATTAGATTTCACATCGATTTTTTAGTCACGTGGGATTATCGGGGGACATGCTTATTCCATTACAAAAGTTCAGAAAATCAAATTTAGAAACGGGAAGGAAACTCCGTGCATTCGGATTCGGAATCCGTGGGGAAGTGCGACTGAATGGGAAGGAGAATTTTCTGACAAGTACGTATTCATAGTTCTATTTTAATCTTGCATTACTTTTGAACCAATTTAAAAAAAAAATTGTATGCAGACACCCAGTTTGGAATCTTGTGGACAAAAAGATGGAGAAGGAACTCAAACTGCGATTTGAGGATGATGGAGAATTTTGGTTCCCGTTGAAGGAAGTGATAACATATTTTTCGCATGTTGAAATCTGCCATATTGGTACTTATGCTAATTGAGTTTTTGAAAGTCTCACTTTATTGATTTTGTTTACAATATGTAATCTCTTTTACTTATAATGATGTTGGCAAAGCTATTCATTTCATTTCATACAAATCTGTAAGCGTTAGTGTTTTCTGTTAGAATTTATGGGGAATTTATTCGTTATGCATGGCGTCTGTACATTTGACTACCTTTTTATAGTATCTAAGTACATAAGTAGTCCTTTGATAATAATATCTGTGATGTAGTATCTCATTAAAACTGGATTCAGTCATGTTGCGTAGCTGAGAAGAACACAGATTCAATATTTACCTAACCCAATTCGCAGTAATTATCAAAATAAAAATATCTAAATAAGTCTTGTACGTCTTTCAATCAAATAAATGAAAAATATCGTAAGAGAAAACTAGAAAGTGTTTTTTCTCAAAAATACATAAAAAGTTCCAAAATGTATATGCAAAAAACAACCGTAAAGTAATTGAAACCAAAAAGTTTCGCTCAGCTCCTTAATAATGATAAGATATGATCGGAAGTGTTATTCCAAATTATTATTGACAAATAAATACAACTTGAGACTAGAAAGCAACATAAATAATTATTGATTATTATTGTCACATTCTAACATCATCACAATTTTCTTTTCGCCTTTCACTCTCCTCGCGAAGGGAAAGCATGCAATTATCGCCTAATTAGAACAAAGAAGGCAAAAGAAAGCTGCCACAAAATCCTGCCATAAGAAGTTGGTTCCTATGTACCTTCTTCATCCCATAAGTCCTACACCCGAATATAAGAGGAGATCAATAATTGCCCAACTCGGTAGCAGGTTCGCAATGTGTATTCTGTGAGAGAGCTAGTGTTACAGAAGTAATGGAGTAACCCGACTACGACTTCTCCGAAATTCGGTCCTCCCAATAATATTCATGCCCTGCTGACTACTTTCATCCCGATCCCCGTTAACTTTCTTTCTACAGAAAATTGGCCATATTGTGTTAATTACAGTCTTTCACGGAAAGTGTTCCACTCTTGTCAAAGTGCTCACTTTGTCTGCAGAGTTGGACGAGAAAGGATCACTCAGTTCATCCGCATTCGTTTTCGCAAAAATCTGTCAATTTCGATTCGTTTTGAGATATGGGGAAGGGATGCAAGGACAAGGCCAGGTTTATCACGAAGGACTACTCCGAACCGGCCAGCAACAAGGGCATCCTTTCGGAGGGACGGGTTCTGCAGGTACAATAGAAACACGCACAATTAGGATTAGAAATTTTTTTCTGATAAGCGTGTGATTAAATAATTTAACTTTTTTATCGTTACAGAACCGGACAATTCCTCCAGGTACATACAATTTTAAATGTGTTTAAATAAAATATTTATACTTATTTGACGTTTAATTTATGTGATCAGGACTCCCACCTGGAGTACCAGAATGTGACGTGGTTCTGAAGGGAAGCAGACGGTTCTGGTATCTGGAGCCTGTATGAATTCTTAAAATATTTATTGCCATGTAAAAGCTATCGACTCGACTACTTATTCTTTACGATTGGTTATTAAGCATTGTCCTTTCATGTCCTCTTTTAGGCTCTCTTCATTTTTGGGATCGGTGGTTTCATCTTCTCAGCCACTTTGCTGATTCGCTTCTATTGGAATAACTCAATTTAAAACTGATTCAATTAACAATGAAACGAAATGCTTCCATTAACACATCATCATCATCATCACTCTACTGCGACGAATGAACTAAACTAAACTGCCTTTCCAGTTTAATCAAGTCTTCCATGAACTTCTGTATAGAAGATATCACACAAGAAAATTATTACTGTTGTAAGTGTAGAATATGTACGATGACATTCCGTTAATTATCAAATTCACGTTTACGTGTATATATCATATACATATTATGTATTGTATGTTATGTATCATATTTACATAGTTGATAAGTTAGCATGCAGAAAAATATCATTCTTTAATTAATTTAGGTTATTTCCATTATTATGCGTCAGGCACTATTTAAGCAATATATGGGCAAAAGAGATCAAAATTAATATTCATATAGAGATAAATTGTGTCAAACTGCTAACTTGTATAAGTTCATTAGCAAAATTTCCCAAAATCTGGCTTAGAATTAATACTAACAAAACGTTAATTTATCTAAAAAAAGCAAAATATTTATTTAGAATTGAGTACTTAAGTAATGACTCAAATACTCGAAAATGAAAACAACTCATTCGTTATTACGTTGATTATTAAGTCGTTCAGAACGACGCAATGTTGATTATTCCAGAATTACGTACATACATATGTATATATTTGTTTATACTTATCACTAATTATATTAAATTGGTTTATATACTTTCTCCACTTACGTACGTAAGTATGTTGTAGGTATAATTAAACAAATTACCTTAATTATATTCACATAAGCATATTAGTCTCCTGGTGAAAGTAGTGTAGCATGAATCGTTAATAATAAATGATCCCGAGAGACTTCAAGTTAAATACTACTTGGATTTCCGTCCTATGCAAATGAAATATTGATTTGTTAATTGCTCCCAGCAAGCTTCTTGTATGTAAATATTCAGGTTGCTGAATCCCATTGGGCCACTTTCTTCAATCCAACGCATTTCTCAGAACCACCATCAAATTAAGACAGCTGAATACTTATACATACATACTAAATATATGCTAAAACAAAATTTCATACATATAAATCCTAACAAGTAAATACTTATATTACGGATTGTCAAATAATTCTGGCTTGTCTGGAAGGTCCCGTATTACATAAAAATAAGACCCGAAAGTTAATACATTTCACAGACAGGATTTCAACCTTGTTGGTTGACGACTCTTTTCTCCCAGGGGGTTCCTTCTTTCCAGTGGGTACGGACACATAGATAATGTGTATAGGAAGGAAGCCTTATCGTCTCCGCATGTCGGAATGCATGCAGTAAGGAAAACGAATAAAGCCGGGTCGACCAACATACATAGCACGGTTTTCCCGACTGACTGACCTTCTACAGTGCAGATAATAGTATACGTTCGTACGTTTGTACGTACATACACGTAGTTCGAGATGGTGAGAACATGTAGAGGATAATTGGATGCAATAAAAGGAGAAAAGTTCTCGGGAGAAAGGAGAGAAAGTGAAGACGAAACGGGTGATTAGGCTGATACATTCTGACATCAAGTCGGTAATATGTACTCTGCTTGTGCTTAGTGGGTAATGGACTTTGAATTATCTTCCTCTCTCCCAGAGACCATGCATGTAAGTAATAAAGACCGGTATACATATGCTCCGTATTTCATATAATTCGACACACGACCCAGCACATTTTTGGCATCATCAACCTCAGCATTTTCGACACAATTTGCACAACATAATCCATACATAAGTTCAACCCTGTATGATAAACGTGCTGCTTATGTATGTGAGTGCCTATGTATGTATAACTTAAATATTTATGTGTATAAAGCGACATTGTCATTCAAGTATACGTTGTTTTTTGCTATTTGGTGGTTGTCTTCATCGACCACCTACGACAACTCCTCTGCGTTGTCACAATAATAACGGCATGACAGAAAAATCAGTAGCACAAACATACAACACATGTTGATGCATACATCCGACAGTAATAGCACACATATTCCATCAAATTACGACGCCCGGAAGATGGAAACACGATAATGCCAAGGAGAGAGAAAAGCGAGAGTCTGACATGTACAAATTATTGCACCAACGAAGCCATTAGTTCTTCCAATGTTTGATTATCAATTATCTAGCCTTGCATTAATCCGTATATGTACACACGAATACGAACACAATGGAATTGACAACAAGCAACATCACCAACTTCCGTTGGAATGTTTGTAATGCAATCAACCCATTAATTTCATGAGTCATTAGCTCCAAGAAGTTTAAGTGTGCATGGTGAATACATGTATAGTTTTTTTACCCACAAGTAAATACAATAGGGGGCAGAAAGTAGAAACTAAAATAGAAATTACCCCAGGTTTTACGACGTGAGAAGTGCAAAGTTTACGTATCTAATGAATTTTCATCATGCGAAACACGAAAACTTATGTACAAATGCAATCTTACGTTGTGTATGTGTTGTTTGATGAATTGGGTAAATATTGATTGCTATGTATGTATAAATGCTTCAGGGGAAAGTATGTAAAAATCTTTAGGAAAGTACATAAGCTTAAAGCTGGAATTGTGCATGGGTGGCTGGGTTTAGTTCGGCTGCGTGTCGTAATTCATTCAACATTCAACATGCTTTTCTTTCTCTGCTTTTCTCCCCTCGAGCAGAAATTTGCGGGACATGTGTCGTACCCACATAAGCAAATTGGCAAATATTAATCTCCCGTAGACTCAACCACTTACTCTTTTCGTCGGCTGGCTCACTGGGAATTTTGCCAAGACGGGGAAAAAAGAGGGAAAGGTGGAATTACGTACGTACGTATATCCACGTGCATATTATACTTTATTACTACACGGCTTTGTCGAGAGTCGTCTCCTGGTGAAAGTTGTTACGGGCCGTGGTTGTTAAATACGATCCTGCTTGGTCGGTGTATGCATGGCGTGCCGTGCACATGGGGAGGTGAGCAGGTAGATAAAACTGCATGGGAACTATGTCCCGGTTAACGAGATAGAAAGTCGCTCGATATATTATATGATGTTGTGTATGTGCCTTGGGTAGGTTTACCCTCTCGGGGCCATGACCGTGGTAGGACGTTGGCTATATTCTCACAGACAGGGTATAAATAAGTTACCGCATTTCGTAAAGAGTCCTCCACCCTTATTTCTATACGTATGCCTTATGACTGGTTGTGGAAATAGTTAAATCTAAACCAAAGTTTCTCTCTTCTTCTTCTTCTTTTACTTTTTCTTAGTGCCCAAAGAAAGATGTATTCTTCCCCATGTTTGTTCTAGCTTAGGGTTGATTTGGTATTTGCCCTGCTTTCACCGGCCAACCAACCTCGTCGTCGTCCCAGTTCTCACCCAGAGAAGAAGTGAAGAAGGGAACACTGCTTAAGCCAATCTTATAAGCTACTCGACTTAACAGGGTGGCAATTGGATGGAGTCGCGTGGGAGGCGACATGATGATGTGATGATGCATAGAAATATCTAGATGTACAATGCAATTTATTGCAAATTGAGAAAAGCTGATTATCATAATTGAATCTAATCTTGAAAGCCTTCTTGCGCAATCTCCCCATTGCGAAAAGAATGGAGGAAAACTTTGTAAACAATTTAAATCCATGTAATCCCCTTCGTAATCAGCGTGATGAACCCTTATTAAGTAAGCCTTCATGATTTGATGCTCCTAAAGCCAAACAGCTTCTGGGCAAGGGATCCGATTGTGTGTTCACTACCGAGGAGAAAGCACAGCGGTGCCTACTCAGCAGTGTCGAGTATGCTACACCCTTTTGGCGGTGGTTTGGTTGTTGGTTTGGTTGGCTATGTATGTCCAAACCGTGCTAAGTTTGTGGTGCTTTCTCCATGCCGAGTTTCCTACCAAACTGCCACCAACAACTGTCTGCCGCTGTAGGCACCTACCTACATGGATGGATGCATGCTCTGGAAGCTACCCGGTCCGTGGGTCGGTGGGGGCTGTGTATGTGTGTGTGTGAAACAAATCGATAGCGAACAAGGGAGGACACAAGGCCGAGGGAGAGGAGAAAGCTAAAAAAAATTCCGAATCCATTCCGATGGCGAGGCGGGCGGTGAGTGAGAAATCCTAGTCGCATTGCACCAAAGGAACACGCCTAGTCAATACATCTCCACTGAAACCCACCACCACCACCACTTTCCCCACGGTGGTATTGCATATGAGAGGAAAGCTGTAGCCTTATACCAATTATTATTTCTTTTCCTATATCCAACATGCCTAGGAGCGAGCCATGATCCATCTTTTCCTCTTTATACGATACCTTCCACCATATCCCTCCTAGTGAAAGGAGCAAAAAGCAGCAGACATTGGTTGATATTGCCCCACACACATATTAAAACTAAAGTGATAGAAATAGAAATAGTGGTGGATTTTGCCTTCTAAACATACTTTCTCCCTCCGAATAGTGCATGCTGTTACTACTGCTCGTCTACTACTGTTACTTCTTCTTCGAGAGTGGATGATGATGCTGCTGCCTCTGCTGCTACTGCTGCTGGTGCCCTTCCGACAAGGTTCAGTTTTGTGATAGTGATTCCGCCACGGCAGGCAGCATACGGCATTATACGACGACGAAGACGACTATATCTGCGAGAACTAACTACTTATTTGGCAAGAATCAGGAAGCAAGAAGAAAGCAAGTGGGGAGAGGAGTTGTTGGTGGTGGTGTATTTCTTTCTGAAAACTTGTAACGTGTATCCTGTACCGAGAGGAAAGCACTGCTGAAGATCCCACTGATATACATATAATAATATATACACTGCCTCAGCTCTTCTGTCGTGAGAGAGAGAGATCGAGAAATATTCGCATTTTTCAACCACTCCACCAACCAACCTCTCCATCCGTATTGTTCAATTGTTCACCACGCCGTTGTTCGGGTCCAGCCAGGAACAAAATGTGCAAAAGGGAGTCAGCACAAGTAGAAATGTGGTAGATTACATCATATCTCGAAATTCTCTCCATCTGCATCTGTTCGAATCCCTACTACTTGTTACTTTACACACTCCTCCCTTGGTGTACGTACCCACACGGAAAAAAATTTCAACTTTCACCACCACCTTGCAAATCTCTGAACGGGACTAATCTCTATTATGAGAAGGAACTGAGCCAAGGACAAGGCATGAAAAATCACATCTCCGAAACAGCAATACTAAATAACAATACTATGAGTTAAGGGTTCTTCCAGTTTTCGTGAAAAGTTGACTCTTTCAGCAACTCCAACTGTTTCATCAATTAACTTGTTTGTATTCGTATAAAAAAGTGCTCCAATCTGGATTTATGAGCAGCTAAAAACTTTCTTCTTCCTCTTCTTCCTCCTCCTTTTCTTGATCTCTTCCCTCTCTCCCGACATCATCCCGACTATACTTACTTACCACCACCCGGTCATTTCTCTTCTTCACACGTCCATCCAACCAACTATAGCCCCACATACGAACGTACATCCATCCATACTACTTTCTCCCCCAGCAGAAGATCAATTGATATTGCAACCTCATCCCAATCTTTATGTGAAATATATGGCAATGCATGGCAAAGAGGCAATACAATAGAGGCGGACGCAGCAACTACTATCTCTACACAAAGACGCTGAGCTGAATACCAATTCATCTTAGAAGACGAAAGTGGTGGGAGCAGATTGTAGTAGTGTAGACGAAGAAGAAATACACGTTTTTATGGAGCTGGAGATACAACATATAACAACTTCTACTACATAATAATACTACTTATAAGGCTCCCTTCATTTGCTATTACCACTTTCACCTCAAGATTCTTACCCGCCGTCTACTTTCACTGGAGGTGTTGGAATTCGGACGAATTAAGAAAACGGATACTTTCCTCTTCATAATTGATTCGGGATTAGCGTTTCCTTTTCTCTCCCGTATTTACACTGCTGCTGGAGAACGAGGATACATGCGAGAGTGCTTGGTTTTACCACGGCTTAAAAGGTTTGGTGAAAGTGGGTGGTTTTGTGGGTGGAGTGGAGTGTTTGAGTGGTTTTGAGAGGTGGAGAGAGAGCGAGAGGTTGGAGAAAACTGACTAAATTTCAAGGTAAGGGAATATTAATTATGTAACTAACTTTTGGCATCAATATTGCGTGAGAAAATGTGTGCGTGGGGAAAGTCCGAGAAATTCTGGGCATTAATAACTCGGGATTAAAAGTTTTGTGTGATGGGATTTTTGTTATAGGACCTCCGCTGAAGCCAAAACCATCCTGCCTTTTTGGTCTTATCAAAAATCAACGAAACATTGCAAACTTTAAGATAGGATTATTAACCCAACGAAAAACTTAACCTGCTGCCAATACTTGTAGTAACTACATATTTAACAGAAAAATGACGAAGGACAGATTAGCCGCTTTAAGAGCGGTAAGTCACCAAATTAAGGAAATTTCTGACTTTTGTGCAATTATGTAAATCCTTAATAACGCGGTTTTACAGGCCCAAAGCGACGATGATGAGTCCGACATGGATGAGGTGGCGCTTAACATGGAGCCACGCGACGGCTTCATGGACGAGTTTTTTGCAGAAGTTTGTCTAATTTTAGTCATAATCGTTACATTACTTTTGTTTTCTGGGTATTCTTACTAAAGTTTCTGCTTGGTAAAAATAACAGGTGGAAGAGTTACGGGGAATGGTGGAAAGGGTGCAAAATGACACCGAGCAAGTTAAGAAAACTCAGAGTGCCATTTTATCTGCCCCCACGACAGATGAAAGTGAGAGTTTTCTCAAATAATTGTCTCGTAAAAAGGATGCTTACTCATGAACTTTGTGTAATTTAGAAATGCAACATCAACTCGAAGATCTTATGGCTGTCATTAAAAAGGTATTAATTAAATTCATGTGAACTGTGAAATGTGAAACTCACTTCAAATCATCAAATATTTAACAATCGAAATGTCTTTTTTTAGACGTCAAATCAAATCCGTCAACGGCTTAAAAGTGAGTATTTTGATTCTCAGAAACTCAGACCTCGCTGAAATTATATCTTAAAATCAATTCATTTATTAAATTAATTTTCCAGCAATTGAACAAAGTATCGATCAAGCCGAACAATTTAGTGAATGTAAGTAAAGAAAAAAAGATAAGCATAATTTTCCCCTATTTTATCACACGACACTTTTGCCTCCCTTTCAGCTCCTGCTGACGTTCGAATAAGAAAAACGCAACATGCCACCCTCTCGAGAAAGTTTGTCGAGGTAATGACAGAGTACAATAGGACTCAGACAGATTACCGAGAAAGGTGTAAAGGGAGAATTCAGAGACAATTGGAAATTAGTAAGTTGCTCAAACTTTCTCCCGAATTAGTATGATCAAGATTTACAACCAAAATTGTGACCATTTTTAGCTGGTAAAACAACGACGGATGAGGAACTCGAAGAAATGTTGGAACAAGGAAGTGCAGGCGAGTTGCATACTTGAATTAATGCCAAAGTGATTTACATATAAATGAATTATACTTATGTAATGATTATTATTATTACTGCAGCCGTATTCACTCAAGGGATTGTAATGGTGAGACCTTTGAGATTTCCAAGAATTTTCCAAGAAATTGTTTCTAATGAGGGTTATCCATAATTTATTCTAATTATAGGACGAGCAACAAGCCCGTCAAACGTTAGCCGGTATGAAAATAGTAACAATTAAATTTAAAATTTCATAACGATGATGATGATCCATTACTAACATAATTGCAGATATCGAAGCCCGTCACGCCGACATTATCAAGTTAGAAACATCAATTAGAGAACTTCACGACATGTTTGTCGACATGGCTGTCCTCGTAGAAAGCCAGGTATGTAACAGAGCGGAAATACCCAAATCAATCTTGCCTCAATTATTCAACAGGAAAACAGAATTATAGTGGAAACTGTAAATGTAATTGACTCAAACAGGGAGAGATGATTGACAGAATTGAATACCAAGTAGATCATGCTGTAGAATATGTAGACCGTGCAAATAGAGGTATGACAAAGATAAATGAAATGCATTCATTTATTTACGGTAACATCAATACTAAATTCCTAAATAATTTTTCAAGATATGAAAAAGGCTCGAGAGTACGAAAGCAAAGCGAGAAAGGTAAGTTCTCCATTTTCAAATCAGTAAAATTGTTTGCATGAATCAGGGTTAAATATTTCACCGGCAGTAAATGCATGCGTTTCTTCAACTATAATATGAACAAAATTGGTTAATAGGGTGGACATTTTATCGTATCAGACCCTAGCTTGGGATTTATCAATGCTGTTTTTAAGTCGGAACTAAAATGCCTAATTTTTCCATCTACAGAAAAAGTTGATGATTATGGCCTGCCTGCTCGTAGCTGGAGGAATCGGAGTGTCCGTGGTGGCAGGAACTCTTGGCTTTTAAAGACTCGTCACTACTAGTTGATAACCTAATTGATCCTAGACAACTATCTATTTAACTCCTCCAACCAGCTATAATACAATACGATTATACTACTACATACAAAGTAGGCAGGAACTACATACATCGTCTATCGTCATCACCACCACCAAAGAAGACGTGGAAGAAAAGTCGTCAAGTCATAAAACAATCAGTCATCACATAACTTGAAATTGTGGCAAATCAATCAGATCCTCATCACACCCTAAAAATGACCCGATCGGAAAATAAGGTTTTTAAAAATTATTATACTCTCTACTAAAAAGTTCAACAAATCCAAAAAGTTAACCTTTTCCAAACCTTTCACCTGCTGTGCTAAATTATATACATAATTCGAGCCTAGAACTTAAAAAAATATGCCATAATTCCATCCGGACTGACGGCATTGAGTACTTTACATGGCTCGAATTGTGATTAATTTAATTCAGAAATATCAAAATCAAATGAGAAAAACCGAGTAATATTAATATATAGATTTTTAGGCTAATTACCAAAACCATGCACAACACAACAATCCTTTAAGAAAAAAGTGGCTTTCGCTGGCAAAGTTTTTATTAACGTCTATGTACTTACCATAGCCGTAACCTCGGCTAATAAGGTTGCTATTATTTCTTGTGACAGTTTGCAAAAAAAGAGAGTAGAAAGAAAACATGCATGCTTCCTTAGCTCAAAATTATTATAGGAAATATTGCGTTTACGTATCAGCATTAGTAGGTACGTAGATGAAAATTATGCAAATGAGGTCGTGCAGGATAAGTAGTGGAAGATGGGGGCTTACCTTTTTATTAGTGAAGTATTATCCAGATTGTGGTCAAAGGTCGAAGGTCACGAGGAGACTTTTTGGTGGTGACTTTCACCAGGTGAGGAGAAGTGTGAGGTCAATAACCGATACGAGTCCATTTTTCTCCACTGATTTTCGCCACCTGACGAAATTGAGTCCACTACTTATCTTATCGGGTTGTTATCAAGTAAGGAAATGGATATCAGTTTGGCTACTTAATTTCGCTTAATTACTTGTTAAAGTGCCATGAAATATTTACAGAGGTAAAAGCTTCCGGTAAGCTGTGCTGCTTAAAAAAGTATTCGTTGGTTGATCGTGCATTCGAAATGAAATTGTGCAATTATTTCGTTTAGAAGCACAAAATCTGATTACACATACATAGATGCCATATAAATTTTCATACAGCGAAAAAATAGTGCTACAAAAATAGTGTAGATACATAACAGGAATCGAACAATCTCCACCATATTTGCCAGTTTTCACTTGATTTATCAATTTGTGATGACATTTCAAGACTACGAACCACCACCTACTCTCTGTCACTGTTTCACTGTTTGTTATCATATGATTTATCCAAAAACCTCTCATCCATCTGATTAATGCTGACTGACACATAAATCTCATCCTACTTTCACCATTGTCAGTCAAACTCTCGTCATCGTCGCCGTCATGTCATCATCATCATCATCATCGTTGTCTATTTTACTTGAAAAACTATACAAATTATTGAGGCAGATGTCAAAAGGCTTTCATTAGATAGCAACCAAATAACTCTACTGTATTATTGTGGTGGTAATAATATTATAAATAACGAACGTCATTACAATTACTACAGTACATTAAGATGAAGTATTAAATAAGTACTTGACACACTGCGTACCGTAGATAGAGGTGATATTAGAAGATGTAAGATTTCCTAAATAATTTGAATTTTATCTCTAACTCTCTAATTCCTACATGTAGCCGAAACCCCACAAATTTCTTATCCTTCTTACTTACTAATTAATTAATTAATTAACAAAACTAATCCACTAACCTTTTCACTTACTCTCTCGCACTTTTTCTCTCTATTTCTCTGATTGACGAGCACTACATAATAATAATTGTTGTTTTGTGACAGTGTGAACAGAATATTACATAATAATTATATATATATATAATTAGTTAATTAAGGTAATAAGTACTACACCAAAAAACTAGCGGATTCCTTAGTCATTGCCTTTAACACGGAATTTCAGACTCATTCTTGAAACATAAGTGATCTTGCAATTCCGTGAATAATGCGTACTACTCGTTCGTACTCATAACATGAAACTCACACAGAGATAATGATAGAGTGTGGAATTAAAAATAGTGCATTAATTTCGAGGAGCATTAAAAACTGAATTTATTAATTGTTTAATATGATGGTATGAAGTCATATTATTAGAAATAATGTTGAGTACATATTTGCATATGTACTTATTAGCAGTGTTGTTTGCTTATGTATTTATACTTCTCAATTATCTCAAAAAGTTGATAGGACAGAGACGAAGGAGAAAAAAACTTTTACGAGAAATTAAACGAAGTGAAATTTCCAGTTCGAAAACTGCCTGTAATGTAATAAAAAGTTTTGCAATGAAGTTTGGTCGGATTTGTTGGGAGCGAGAGAGCAAGAGAGAAAGGATGAGGATGTTAAAAAATGACGAGTATTATACAGAAACATACATTGTATGCAGGCTAATGGAATATGGACACAGGATAAGTTAAGTTGACGCATTAATTTTTCTTTCATCATCCAATTACAAACTCATTTTATCTCAATTTTCTCTGAGCAGAAAGCAATATGTATAATTACCTGCCTGTGAAAATGAAACAGATTTTGTACATCATCACTCTGGTGTGTTATGGAAAAGAGAAAGCTTTTTTTCCATAATGATAGATACATAATACGCGTGATGTCAGTCGTAAAAGTGGAAAATCCGTGGAAATGGTGCTTAATTGGACACGACGACCGGAGGAAATGTCACAAATCAGCTCAGACCTGATCCAGCAATACTTTTTAATATCTACGTACATAAAACCGAAAAAAATGAAGGATGATGATTACAAGAGATTCATTTTCATTAGCCTGTAAAATATGTAATAAACGAGCCGTTTGTACAGAAATACAACGAATCCAACGATTGATTGATTGATAAGCGAATGGATAAGGAAAAAATGGACAGATTGCAGACTACTTATTGTTAAATACTTAAATATGAATAATTACATATTAACTACATAATACATATTTAGCAAGCTGTTTATTACGCTGTTAATAATAATCTAAATAGTAATAATCTAACAAACTTACTAATACGGAAAAATGCAAATATTATGACATTATACAATTTATTTATACATAAACAAACAATGCATTCAGTTTTAAAGGAACATATAGCTAACATGCACATATAAATTAGTTACTTATATCACAAGTAAAACAATACACACACAAAAAATACTACAAATTCAATCTCTGTGTTGTCCTCAAGCAATAAAGTATTCATAATCACATCACTATTAATTATTAAACACAGACAGAAATATTGTTTTGTGGTCAATATTAATTACTACTTGTTAAATAATAACACGAAAAGGAAAGAGGTAAACGATGATCGAGTGCATTAAACATATGAATGATTATTAATTAATTAATCAATCAATTAATTAATTATGCAATTAATTCACTCAAACTAAACATTATGTTGTATAGAAAAGTCCATACATACTTGCATTTGATTCACGATATACTTTCTTAATAATCGATCGATAGTGATAACGATAAAAAGGGGCTTGAAGAAATTCTTCTCCTGAGATTTTTGGGTGATAGTAACAAATTTTAATAAAAAAACACACAATGCAAACTTAGAAAAGTTTCCATTTATTTATGCACGTAATTAAGAATTATTATGAAGTATTTGTTGTTGTTGTTGCTGTTGTTGTTGTCATTATTATTAAGCATATACATAAATACTACATGTACATACGGAGAAAGAAGGAAGGAAAGTCTTTTATTAGTGAGAGAGTGAAAGAAAGCAGAAAATATATAATAATTATAAAATAATTAATAAATGCTGTTGCCATTATTAATTAAATGACTCTGTGTATTTAAAAGTGTATCATGTCAATCACATGCCCGAGTTTCATGAGTAATAGATACTTAAAAAACTAGAAAGAGATGAGATGACGATGAAATTGGTAGTGCAGTGCATTTATAATTTTGAGGCCTGTACAGTCAATCAATCAATTCTTAAAGAATACATACATAAAAAATGCATTATGTAAATGCAGTTCAATATGAGTAATGATAAGGTGTAGAGTTAGATGACTAAAAATATGTAAATTAAAATAATAATGACGAATTAGTTTTAAATGCTTTGTAAGAATTATAATCATGATCTGCTTAAAAGGAGGAGAAAGAATTTAGTGTGATGAAGAAGTTGACCGATTTTTTAACAAGTACAAGAGATTTAGTTTGTCTAATAAAGTAAATCTTACAATTCTGTGCTATTATATTGTTACTGATAACACCAACCAACCAACCAAACCACAACTACTTAAAAAAAACTACCACCACCACTACTCGTACCACCAGATAACTACTTATTGTTATTATTATACGATAAGTACTATACTTATTTATGTATTGCGAGAAATAATGAAATAATGACGTGAATTATTAAAAAATGTGTACATATATAGTTTGATTGAGTATGCATATTTATTATATGATCCATGTTGTAATTATGATTATAGTTTTAGTTGTTGTTGTTGTTAATTAATTATGTAAACGAGAGAGAGAGCAAGGAGAAGTGTGCGGATGAAAAAATGTGGTTTATGTAAATGTTATATAGTTTCAATTTAAAAGTTCGACATTTTCATGTTAAATAGTTAACAAGCAAAAGTGCGTTTTTATCCATTAGCTCTGGCTGCTCAGTAAAAGAAATGTAATAAAAATCATGATAAAAAATTAAACGGTTTGCATAACGATGATTATTTTTTTTGTATGTTGAGAAAGTAAAGAATTCATTAATTTATTTATGTAATGCCCAATTCATTCAAATGCATTTACCTCAACTGCGTTACACAAATTAATGTTTGCTAATTGTACATACATTTTAGTTTTTGGGATGGTCAGACTACACATTCATTTAATTTAATTTAATTCATTAACAAATAATAAAGATAGCCATTTACGTAAGTGAACTACATACTCTAAATCTTAATCTTCCCGTTGATACATATTCCGTTTTCCAAGTATTTAAAAGTCGTATAATTGTCGTCAGGCTAAGTTTCGTTGATTACTATTATTCACGCGCTTAAATTACTAAATTATTAGTATTACATTTATTGCATTTTGACATAAATTTGACACGAGACATAGTATCACGAATTCGTATTTATCGAGCAAACTAGAGTTGGCAGTAGAGTGTAGAGAGGTTTCCTTACATTAGTATTGTCACATTGTAAACCAGCTCGATGAAAGTCAATCACTTGTCCCATTCTCCAGTAACGATGCTAGATTCAAAGTCGTCCATTGGGGGTGGTGAGGTAGGTGAAGACTCTGATGAACTGGAGGACGTTGGGGGCATCAGAGAATCAAAATCGTCATCATCGTCGTCATTGTTATCAGCATGAGAAGGACCGTTTTCATTGTCATTAGTATCTTCATTTAACCACTTGTTTAATTTGTACATTGTGTAAGATTCAAAGATTTCGTTAATGGTTTCAACGATGGTGGAGACACCTTGGGCATAAATGTCCTTGTGAGTATCTCCTGCCTGCAATAATACGGAGACATGTAAATAAATTACTAAGAACCTTGACATGATGGATAGATTAGGTAACTACATTTTCGAATATTACATTACCATTTCGAAAACGAGAGAAATAGTCGGGATATCATCAACCAAAGTACAATCGCTCTTAATAAATATGGTGAATGACAATATCGGGTCGGAAGACTCGTTCTTGAGGTCTGCTAATGTCAGCCCCAAATTCTCTAGAACGGCGGATGTCACTCTTTTTTGAATCCATAGAGGGTCGTCATTCGCAAAATTAGAGGATAATTTTTTTAATTTCCGCTTCATCCTAGATTTGGAGTGGGTTTCATCCTTCTTGTTGTCACTGGGTTTTAAATTATAGGTGATATCCTTGTAAATTTGATTGCGTTTCCTCCATACGGGAATTGATGTGGTACAAGTAAGCTTTTGGCAACATATCTTCTCCTCAATCTCACCCAAGCTGACCAATTTCTCTCGCATCTTGTCAGATTGTATTTGAGAAAAGTTTGTAATTGTTTCTGCAGCACTTGACTGTCCTCTTCCACCACCCCTTTTATTTCTCGGCTTTTGGGGAACAAACATTCCTTCGTAGTTTTTGCGAGTTCTGACTACAAAAGGTGGATCAGCAAAAAGTCGTTTGAGTTGGATTCGCTCCTCCTTGCTGACAATACTTAGCAGAAAGCACTCGGTCCAAAACTCCTTGAAGAAATCGTCAACAATCGACAGCCATAAAAGCTTTAGCTTAGAAAATAAGGTCGAGGGACTGATTGTTTTTTGCATTTCGTTTTGCAGCATCATCTGTACGAATAGGGCTTGGAAGGAATCGGATGGTTGAAGTAACATAAGAGTTTCCCAGCCCCTCCCTAAACGGATTGTGTTCTTGTCTAAAATTTGAAAATACAATAATTAGTTATAGCGTTAATCATGACTTCATACGCTGATGTAAATTTAATGCATTGCAATTACCGATAAGTTCTTTTACAGAAAGCCGATGCAATCCCAGTGCCTCTTCCGACATCTGTTCTTCTTCTGCTTGAGGGCCGGACATAAATTCGCCAAACTGTAGGAAATGGCTAACGTCGTTTTTCAACTTGATTGTCATTCGCTGCTTGTCTTGCATACTTAAAAATTTTCTGTCTCCAACTTCTCTCGGAAGTGGAACGAAAAGTTGGAGCAGAGAAGTGATTCCTCCCTCTAGAATCGTAATAGTCGATTGACATGCTACTTGAAATTTTAAGAGTGTCCCGAAAGGTGTGACACCTCCAACATTGAATCCGAGAATGAACGGATCCTGAACACACATCGGACGTCGGATGTTTAAGCGTTTATTTGAAGATTGTTGAAAGGCCCAGTCTTTATATTTCTCAAAGTCATCAGATAGTTCTTCCTCGTTTCCTGCAACGAATAGATGGGAGGGGAGGAATTCTGACGTGTTGGTACAAATGACGGACGTATTAAAGTCCAGACTGGCAAACATTTCAAAAAATTCTTTTAACAGTTTCAAAACAACGTCAACAAGTTGGGATGGTCCGTTAATCATAGTTTGTTTGAGTTCTGGACATTCTCGTCGAATCGTTTCCACATTCTTTTCAAAACTAGTATCCCATCCTACGTAGAGAAGTTAGTGGTAAATCATTGGAGCAAAAAAAATCACTACTTTAGGCTATTTATTTTACCATCAATAATGTGGGTATTTTGTGAAATTTTCTTTTCATTCGTCCTCCCAGAAGATTGTTGGTGTTCCCTCTCGGCTGCGCTCAACTTTTGTAACTTTGTCACCGTCGGGACAATATTTTTCTTCGCAAGGAAGACGAGCACCATTAAATTGAGACAGTAATTTTTAATATGATTTGATCCTGTGAGGCAGTGAAACTTTGCCCAATATCTGACGATAACTATCAACGGTTTCACACATGGGTCCAATTCCATATAGAGAGCGATCATTTCAGAATTTCTGAGGGAAGTTATGTTTTCAAATGACAAATCCACGTTGACATTCGACCTAAATTAGTTTATAATGAGTTAGGTACATTACAGATAAACAATCTAATTATTCATTTATATCCTCAAACTTACCAATGCGTCATTTTCAATATAGGAACGCGAGCCTCTCTGATCGGAATCACCAGCTTGCAGAACACCTAGTTTTACAAATATATGAAATTCTGTCAATTTTTGCACAAACTACTTACTTTGATTCTGAAATACTAATTTTTATACCTTATACGAAATTGGACACTTTGCTCTCCGGAGGGCTTGGTTACACCTCTCTAAAACTTCCTGCGTTCCTGACCCGAATTTGGGCAACCTGTGTCCATTCATCACACCGAAAGCATCGACATACAGGTCGACGTCGCTCGTCGCATCCCCAATCCCGGTGAGATATGAACCGAATGGGAAAATGATACAATTGGGATACTCTTTCTTCAAAATATGACTAATATGGTCAAGAATTCGTAACCGTAGCTGCTTCCCTTCTAGTGTGAGGGAGAGGGCCGCGTCCATTTCTGAAAGTTGGTCTGCGAGACTTAACTTTTCGTACTGGTGAAACAATGGGTCTCGTCGAACCTTTAGTTCAGGATTGTTCAACATTGTATAAAATACTCGTGCATAATTTTCATTGTAATGTTGACTAGGCTTCTGCGCAGGGGGTGGTGGTTGATGATGATATTGCTGATTAACGGTACGGCCTTGTCCTTGATAATCCGATCTGTTCATTGGAGGAACATATATTCCTGCTGGGGCTCGTTTCTGCTGCGCCGCCTGCGCTGGGGCCGGGCGGATTTCATAATTGAATGGATTACGCGGCCCTTGATTTTGACTACTACTGGGTCCGGATTTATCGGTCGTTGTCGTGTGAGGTTCGGATTGTGTGCTTTGTATAGAATGATGATTCTGTCCTGACTTTTGTGATTTAGTGTCGTCGACAGAATCTGTACCAGTAGATGACTGAGATAGTGATGTTTGAGGTAAGTTCTTTGGATTCTCGTTTTTCCCTTGAGCGTTCTTTCTTGGCCTAGACCTTGGTTTTGATCTTGGGCGATTAGGTCCATTACTCTCCGCTGGGGTGACTACTGGTTCCTTTTGAAGAGGTGGAATAGAAGGGGGAGGTGGACCAGAAGGAGGAGGTGGAACGGAAGAAGGAGGCGGCGGACGTTGCAGTATTTTTACGGGTCCTCTTCGCCAATTATCGTCCTGATGTGCCACTGGTCTATGTCTTCGATGTCTTTGAGGTATGCTATGTTGAACTACTCCTTCTTCATCGTCGTCATCACCTCGATATCTCGGATTAGAATTTCGAAACACTTGCGATTCAATAATTCCGGGACCATTGTCATTATTAAAAAACCGATTTCGTCCGCCTCTCTGATTTCCTCTTGAACTCGCCATTATTATGAATCTGTAAATCAAATTTCAACACATTTAGTACCTACCAAGTTAATTAATAAAAATTATACCTGGTTTTGGATCACTACAAGTTCAGAATTTCATAATCACCAGTTTTACAGTAAAACTTTTACTTTACATAAGTACTAGTATATTTTCATGTGACTTTCATCTTTTCCGTGTATAACTTCCCAGCTAGCAACAATCTATAAAATTACGAAATTAACATTGCAGAAATTATTAAAACCGATATTAATCAATGAATCAATAATATTGATTCAATATGTTTTTTAAAAGATTGATCACCTTACACTTCAATTTTGTAATTTAGTTATGCAGTCAAGGCCGGCACCGGATTTTGTATTTGGTATTTCAAGCGATTAACTGTGACCTTCATTGACTCTTCATCGACCAACCGTACCACAAAATACAACACAAATCCTAACGATTAAATCTAATTTAAAACTTTTGACAAAAGTTTGTACAAAAGTACACCCTCAAACTTTTGTGGTTCGTCTGCTCGGAGAGTGTAGGAAAGTGGAATGAAACTTCTCACCCGCCATGCTGCATGCTTGCTGACTCCAAATCAAGTCTTCATTATGCTATCCGAATTCCGAATTCTCCGATATGCAAAAATTAAAGATATGGAATGACTTTGACATCTTATTTCGCAGCAAGTTTAATATATTTTAACTTAAATTTTGTCAAGGTTAAACAAGTCAGAGAAAATTTGAAGTCTTGAAATCTAATTATTTATGGCAGTGTAAATCATAACATTTTAACTTATTCATAGAGATAAACCTCATAATGTGGCTTCTTCTCGACGGTGAAGGGTTTCTTGGCGTGACCGGTATGACCGGTATGACCAACCTCTGCAACTGGGGTGATGACTTCGTCGGCGACGACGACAGGCTTCTTCATTCCAATGTAGGGCGGGATAGGTAGTTCACCCACTTTGGTCGGGTAGTAGGAGTTGTAGTATTGTTGTTGGACAACTGGGGGGTAGGCGGTGGTGGTGGGGACGACGTATTGTTGATGTTGGTTAGGGTACTGGTAATTTAGGGGATATTGGTACTCATAGTTGACACCGGGGGGAAAATCCATGGGGTAGTTTCCGCCGCCAGGTAGGTAGGTTCCACTGGGGTAGTTGTAGAGACTTCCTCCGGGGTAGGCTTCGATGAGGGGGGTGCTGTGACGAGCTCGGGAGGATGGAGGAGATGGTCGCTCATTGGTAGGGCCCAAGTTGTGCTATAAAGTAAACATAAAATTATTTGGATTAGTTTCATCATTTAACGGTCACAAGAACATGGTAAATTTCTCACCCTTCCATAATAATACTTTTCCGAGTGACCATTCTTCTTGTGATCGATGTGGGAGAGGGCAGCTTCCAAGGGGGAGACGGACCCAGTGGGGACATAGGAAGTGGGCTGGATAACGTCAACGACAGGAACGACAGGTTCTGGAACGGTTTTCACTGGAAGAGGAGGAGGGACGACTACACCCGGGTATTGGTTGTACTGGTACTGGTTGTAAGGATACCCTGGAAGAAATTGATGTAAAATTACACAATAATGCTACTGAAAATACACACTTGAAACCTCTTTTAATTAAAAGCTTACACGAAAATGGGTACTGAAACTGACCGTATTGGTATGGATATTGGTTTTGATAAGGGTAGTAATTCCCCTGTCCTGGGTAAGTTGACAGTGGGACCTTTCCAGTCAAGGGGGGCAGATATTGTCCGAAAGCCCCAACTATAAACGTTACAAAAATCAAGAGTTTCATGACGACTGTCTCAATTTGTCTCACGTGGTGAGATTTCAGTGAAGCGAGCTGCTGGATAATTGGAGAAAAGCGAGGTTCGAGTGCCTTTAAATACCAAAATTTTGACGTTTTTAGGGGAGGTTTTCTTATCGATTGTTTTATAGGAATTGCATTGTTTCTTTAAAAAAAGTATCCCTTGTTTTATTAAAAAACAACAGCAAAGCAAAGCATGTTCCATATAGGATCACTATTGTTTTGAGATTGCATGGAAATTGATCCCCATTTTTGGGACCCTTCTTCTACCTGTATCATCCTATTAAATCCTGACCCTTAACAAGATTTGTTACAGGTAATTGCAGTCAAGCTAAAGAAAGGTTCACTTTCTATCGATTTGTACACATCAGGATTTACGAATGGTAGACTTTAAGGTTCAGATTTCACTCCAGTAATCCTAATCTAATCAGCAGTAAATATCTCTCTAGGTCAAGGCTAAGGTTTCCTTTGTTCTCGGATAACTTTCACTTTCTTTTAAAAGTGAATCTGCTCCTCAATTTTTTATGTGCATGTCATCCATCAAACTGTGAGGCATCCTGGGGATCATAAATTTAAGCAGTCAAAAATTGAATTAATTTTACAATATGAAATCTGTGATGTGATGGAATGGATATGACAAGATGCTCATCCTCTCAAATCTTATGGATGCATAATAATAATGCAAATTACACCTTTCACAATTATTTAAATTAGGGAATGTCAACTCCTAATAAAAAAAGACACTGCATATCCACTTTTGCTTTGTCTAAAACATCTTCACATTCACGTTATTTTCGACCAAGTAGCAATTGTTGATGTAACTCTTTGCAAAATGAGACACCAAAAATTGATAATTTTAATTTTTTTATCGTTTTCATCCCATCGTTTCCCCAAAGTTTCAACCTCAGAAGAGATAAGTTGTGAATTGTTTACCGATCATAATTTCGAGGGAGAACCAGTCCTAGCTTTAAGAGATTCAGATATAATTAACGACGTTGATTTGGTGATCGCTGACGCCAACAATAATGGAAGTTCTCATAAACCCATAAAATCGATTCGATTACAAGCTTCCAAATTATTGACATGTACTCAACCCAAACTGAAAGGAAAGTGTTCTGAGCACTCAGAAAATGTACCAAAATTTGGACAGGAATTTAAATCTGCGGCCTGCAAAGGGTCCGGAATGACGAATAGGGTGGCACGAAAATTAGAATATTCTACAGCATGTGGTGCTCTTCATGAAAAATGGTATTACTCTGGCCAATCGCAAAATCTACTGTTTTCCGGAAGTGCGTCTAAACTGGGGTTTGATACGGTAGAATCTGCCCTGGTAAAAAGTGGTTGTAAGGTTACGCTCTGGAGGCAGCATGGCGACAAAATGTCATCACTCACATTTGAGGATAGCATTACTTTCATACGCAATTATGCGAATAAGGTGACAATTTGATTAATTAGAAATTATTAAAACTTATGAAATTTAGCAATTTGTTATAACAGGAAATGGCCGAGGAGACGCCAGAGACGTACGAGTGGTCGTGCTGCTACTGCGACACTGATTCCGAGAAGGTTTGCGAAAATGCGAAAAATATAACTTTACTTCAACAAGCAGAAGAGGTGGATGATAAAGATTTCTCACAATTTGTGGAAAAAGGCAAAAAGATAATTGGAATTGGGAGGAATTACAGGTGAATAGAATTAACCCGTACGTAATGTTTATATGTACCTGCTAATTTATGTATGTATCACTGTAGATGGAAAGTTTCAGAGTTAGCCAAGGTTCTCAAAGTTCCTGAAAAACCAATCGTTTTCATGAAACCAACCACCTCATATATCGTTGAAGGAGAATCGATCAAGGTGTGTATTAATTCATGCACAATAGCTAAACAATTTGAAGATTTTATACCAAAAATATTTAATATTTTCCAAATTTAAGCTCCCCAAGTCTCTTGGAACAATATTTTACGAAATAGAGTTGGGTGTAGTTATTGGGAAACGAGGCAAATTGATCCCAAATTCATTGGCTTTGGATCATGTCGCTGGCTACTTTTTAGCACTTGACATGACTGCCAAGGAATTTCTTGTAAGTTGTAATTTAACAGTTCAACGTAGTACGTAAATGGACAGATAATTTCTTTTAAGCAATCCTATATTCCTAATTACGTACATAGAAAAAGTCGCTAAACCATAGCTTGCCATGGGAAATAGGAAAGGGTTTCGACACTGCATGCCCAGTGTCCGAATTTATCCCCAAACATCTCATCCCAGACCCAGACAATGTGGACATATCTGCTCTCATCAATGGAAAATTGACACAATCGGATAACACGAGAAACATGATCTTCAACGTGTCCTCCCTCATCAGCTACGTTTCAAAGTATATAACCCTTGAGCCTTATGACACCCTGTTAACGGGAACTCCGGACGGACTTGGACCGATTCAAGGGGGCGATGTGATTGAGGGAATGCTCGGAAATCTGACCAGAATTCGATTTGATGTCGTCAACTTTAATGATGACTAGTTAATTTTACATATATAATTATCTTTTAGAGCAATTTGTCAACTTTTTAAAGGAATAAATGCAATTTGAAAAGTTTAAGCTTCAATTTAATCACCAAAGTAATACTTGTAGCTACGTTTACAGCGGAATTTTGAGCCTAGCCACCCACCAAATTTTGCAAACCCAATTCTAAATAAATTTAGCCCTTTAGGTTGCGTAAACTAACGTTTCCGCAACCCAAATTACCTTTGCCTTTATGAAGAGCCCTTATAAAATGCTCAAAGATTTGAGTCCTATAACCAGAAGCAAATTTTACACGAACCGAACCGGCATTACGGAAAAGCACCATCATCGAGTCCTCCGTCCTAAGCGTTTTAGTAAACGACCACGGTCAAAAATCGTCCTGGGCCGAAGTAGGACACCTGCCAGACCCGAATGGATTTGTAAAGCTTGCAGAATTAGAGAAGCAAGTCTTGTATCGTTTTATCGCCACCTTGCAACTGCGGCTCATACTTGGATCTCGTTACGCAGGAATAGTGCCACCCCTCCTTCAATAGTGGGCAACGTGATGATCCAACTTCCGGAATTTTTGCAGTGGGACGAGAACGTTAATGAACGCTGCATAGTAGTCACAAAATTGGAGAATGTCATTAACTCGACGAGGCTATTGCTCCATTTCGAACAATTTGGCCAAGTTACGGAATTCATAGCTGATCCCGAAGGACAATTTGCCATTATTCAGTATAATCAAAGGTATAATAGCAAGTTTTAAGTTTTAAGAAAGTATGTAATGGCTTGAAAATAATGTGGCATTTATTTTATTCAGATTGTGTGTCAAAAATATTTTGGATAATTACAACAGCACGAAAATAGACGATGGTTATGTCCGCGTGCGGTGCAAACATAACGTTTCGTTTATAGAATGTATATAATTAACAATAATTAACACTTGCCTTTAATCACTATAACATTATTTTAGCGTATTAACACATTTGTGCATCTTTAGGGGTGATACTGCTAGACTTGGACGGAACTTACGAAAAAGCAGACCAACCCTTCTTCATTCTACACTGTTTGCGTATGTATTCTCTTGACGGACAATTGATTCACGACCAGTTACACAGATTCATAGAAGAATTGAGCCTCACTCCTGCAGGAATTCAGACACAGAGCAACATTCGAAAATACCTGTATCAAGTTTTCCTCCCAATCTTTCCAAATATGATTTTCTGCCTTTTAAAACCTCAAGTTCCCGACTTTTCCGTGGGGGATGACTCCAGTCTAGAAATCTTTATGGATCCCCTCGGCGAAACGAGGAGACAGTGCTTGAAGCAAGCTCACCTTCCCCTTCATCACGGTTCTCATTATCAAGCCGTGATTGGGAAAGTTCGGTACGTTTTGAGCAACCTGCCTCGCAGAGAGTCTGAAATGCTGCCATTTGTCGACAAAATTTCTGAAATACCGGACGAAAAGTTTGGATCTAACGCGGCCAATCCATTCGACGCCATATCTTTTACGCATCGCGAGTCAGGGATGAAGTGCAAGATAAATTTTGACGACCCCGTTGGACCATTTGTATCATCTCTGATTGAACTCATGCTCCAGATCGAGCCACTCGTCCTCCCAGTCTTAAAATTTGTCCACTACTGGGCCCGAGTCCACCGGTTTACCAACATCCAGCCAAACATTAATCTCATCCTGTCCATGATGGTGTTTGTCTACTTTATGAAAAGCAATGTTCTTCCATCGGTGAAAGTTTTGCAAAAGTTGGCCAAATATTCGTTCAACGAAGAAAAGATGAGTTTCACCTCCCATCATTCCAAGCCGCCGTGGAGTATCGAACTGTGTACACACCTCCCACCAATTTTGGACTATTTGGAAAAGAAGGGCCAGAAAAATTGCTATAAAAAGAGCTACCCCAAAGACAAAGATTCCACAAAAAGGGTCAATATTGCCAGAGAGATTTTTACCCACCTTAAGAACTTTTTCGGTGCATTTTCCTGGCTTGATTTTAGTACTTGTGTAATCTCACCCCGTATTGGGGACGTGGTCTCGAGGCGTAGCTTATTAATTAAGTCTAGTCCACTGTATCATCCGAAGAATGAAAGATTTCAAGATTCTCCTCTGATTGTGCAACATCCGTTCGACCTGGGAAGAAATCTTGCCGTCAATTGTGACACAACCTTCGTTAATAGGATGCAACTAGAATTTAGAGATACTCATAAACGAATTTATTCCGAGTTGGAGAATCCGAAACCGAAAATGAGTCAATTATTTCCAAGTTTCCATACGTTGCTGAGATGGGAGCCGCCTAGTAGTAGTTTTGATAGCAGGCAACAAAAGAGGTCCGAGTCGAAGTCATCGTCGTCGTCGTCGTCATCATCAACGTTGCATGATGATGATAATAATTCGTTATTAGCATCTTCAGAATCGGATCGAGAAGATATGAATAGACCAAGAAACCAGACTTTATGAGACGCCGAATATTGAACATCTGCATAATTTGTTCACATTTGTGTATCATGGTCTAAATACGATGAAAATTTAAAACTTGCATTTAGCAGGTGGTCCTGTAAAGTTATAAATATAACTAGAAAAAAGAAATACTATTAAAGTTTCTTTTTTAAATTCTGAATTTATGTATGTGTTTGCTCAGTTAGTTTATTAATTTTGAGTGAATTTTACATGAATTTACATTAATTGAATTGGTATCGGATAGTTCATAATAAAAAGAGAGGTAGGTTTAGGCACTGTAGAAACATGGGGATCCTACCTCGCACCGAGTAGTGATCTGGTTAAAGGTCGTTCCTTCGGGGCAGGACATTCTATACGAATGCAAAAAAATTGGCATAAATTATATAAATTATGCACATCGTTGTATGGATACTCACGTCAACTTGCGACCATCAGGGTAACAGTAGTAAAATACGTGACACAGCCTGTAAGCATCCGCAAAATACCCGGACCTGCAAATTTAAATATTAAATAATTAAATATTTGCATGTTATGTACATATGTAAACCCATTTAAATAAGTAGCGAACGAACTTGTCTGTGCAATCAAAGGTGGGCATGGCATTGCTTTGAGCGTATGCTTGACCGAGGAGAGCTAAATAGATGAATAAATCAAGCAATTGTCAACATAATTATTATTGACACAAAATTAGTGTAAATTGTAAAAATTGCTAACTACCAACGACGAAGAGGGCGATGATAACTTGGGCAGCTTTCATTTTAGGAAGGGATATTTGAGACACTCTGATAAACTGTGTGAATCTACTAGAGTGGAGGAGGCAAGATGAGACCATGCAACTGCCCAGCACACCTATTTATGCAGATTTATCCATTCCATACGCCAGTTGTCATCTTATCGTCGTAGCTCATAAATTGTGATCAAAGAGTCGGAAAATTTTCCGAAATTCTAAGAATAGTAAAAATCGTTATGAAATGGTCAGTAAAATAATTTATGGCCTTGTCGGTGGAATTTCGGTCGGTCAGATCCTCATGATTAATGCAAGGCATGTGTGCATACTTATTCCTAGTACGTTCATGGTTCAATTAATCCTCTTTCATGTCTCGCCAATCAAACAATTTAGTTGAATAATGGTCTGTGACGTAATTTTAAAATCAGCGCAGAGCAATTTGAATTGCACTGCAATTCATAACTTATGAATGAATCAGAACTTTGAGGGCATCTGAGGTTATGTTAATGTGTTGAATTTATTTTAAACCCTTGATGCTAATGAATTGTAGTGGCAATTAATTATTTCTTGCGATGCATTGCATTTCTCCGTATTTTTTTCTAACTTTACGTACAACACGCCAGGAAATGTGCTTCAGTGAATGATTTTCTTATGCAGACTGATAAACTGTACATACCTACCTACACAGCGTCTAAAGTGTCTTCTGTCACAAAAGTATTTGCTCACAACAATGCAAACACACACCTGTCTGTTGTACCTGCATGTAATTATTTAGCATAAAATAGACTCGCTATACAGATACATGCCGGTTATTTCTGATGGTGATGAGCCATTCTCAACTGCTAACTAACTAACTAAATTCGGACCGAGTATCGGACGGATGGATGACGAAGGACAAAAGCTCTCTTCAAGAGGATGGATGGCATTTTCAGATAAATAATGCTTCACCGTAACAAAACAATTCGATTTGCTGAGTCGATTTCAAAAGCTTGACAATGAACTGTGTGGGATTTCGTTTAAAGATGAACAACGGGTGCTGTAGCTGCTGTACGTACGTATAGTTGAAATATTTAAGGGGATAATCCTATAAAATGAGGCAGTTTATATTTAAAAGCTTTCAAAGATTGCGTCTCACATATATCAACGTATGTATGTAAGTAAGCAACCAATTTGTGTTTTCTTTAACGGTATCATCTTTTCAGCACAAGATTTATAATAGAGTTGAGTCAAAGTCACTTGAGATAATGGGCAATTCTTCGGCATCTGTGTATGTTTGTAAGTATGTTACTCAGCTACAGAGAGGTAGACGGACTTTGAATTATTTTTGGGAAGAAAATCTATGAGAAAATGCTATCAGAATGAATCAGTCGTGATTTTGACGTCGTACACATATCGTCACTTAAAAATAGACGATTAAACTTCGTGAGATAAATATATCGAACCAATGAATCTTCATCGTTCAAATCTTATTTAATTAACGTAATAACTCTTATGGAATCCCTCGACCCCTAAAGCGGTCACTAATGAGATCTCTGAATCTCTTCATTTCTCACCTGTCAAGACAACAATGGATTTTTATCAGGGGAAGAAGAAGTGAATGAATAAGTTGAGACGACGAGTCATAAGCCATCCAACTTATTAATCTTGGGTGAGGAGGAGGATGAGCAATTCGATGTAATAAGACAAACAGACAGACCCCATGCCTGTGAGTGAGGTGAGACATTGTAATAAGTGCGATAAATAAATCCGGGTGTGTTTTTTGTCACAGATCGATTTCAATCACAAATATATTGCATAAAATTGAACCTGGTTTATAATTCAGTGTAAAAAAATATTGTAATAATCTTAATTTGGAGTAAATATAAAAATTTAAATGCAATGGTCATCCCGTCAAGTTTAAAAAGATTGCTAACTTTTAAAATTAAAGTGCCCGTGCTGCTCGTCTTGTGCTGTAGTTTTCTTCAATTTTGTTCCTGCGACATTTTCACTGCTCAAGTAGAATTGGAGTCAATTTTCGACTTGAGGAAGTCTGTGAGTGGAGCAGTTGTAGAATATTTACGTCAAGAAGAGTTGAGATTGGCGTTGGTTCGAGAAAAGTTTGAGATTTCGAGCGGTCTAAGTCGCATCGGCGTTGTGGATAATGGTGAAGAATACAGGAAAAAGTTGTTACCTGGAGAAGATGTCTCAATTAGTGGTGAAAGTGAAAATTACGACATTCTAAATCCTATCAATGCCTTTTTGGCAATTAAAGCTCTCTCAGTCGATTTGGCAGATCTTGTCAAACATGCGATGGATAATACCAATATGAAATGTGTGTGATTATTTTATTTGCTCAATTTTATAATGAGATATAGAATATATAGAATTTCATATAGAATTTCAATATTAAATTCTCTTGTAACTATTACACAGCTTTTAACAAACTTATGGAGAGCTTGTCAGCAACTAGAAAATTTCCAGATAAAGATGACTTGAAGGGGGCAGCCATCGCACTAACGAGATTACAGGATACATATCTGCTAAAGACTGAGGATCTGTCGGAGGGTTGTTTACAGGACGATTTTTGCACGGTCACACTCTCAGGTTGACTAAAAATCTATTGATCATATCATCTTTATAATTCAGATAAGTCATAAAATCATCATAACACCATTCTAGTCCAAGATTGCATAGAAATAGGACGCCAAAACTACCAAGAACGCAGCTACGATCATGCAATCCCTTGGTTTGAAGAAGCCTTAAGAAAACTTGACGAGCAAGAATCTCACCTCTACCTCAACTCGAACAATAACGAAACAAATCTAGAAATCCCCATAAAACGTGGTCCTCCCAAGCCAACAAAAACCCCATTCTTTACCGAATTAAGCAATCAGACCAGAGAATCTCAGAGGGAAGAAATTATCGAGTACATATCATGGTCAAACGATATCAAGAATACGCTCAGCGTGGGAAAACAATTTCTCGCCGAGTTAACAGGAATCGAGCTGGACGCCTTTATCGATGAGGTAATGATTTATCGCATTTTATTTAACGAATCGATATGGATCTCAAATTTATCGATAATTATTAGGTCGTCAAAGCTGCGGAAAGTCAACCGACCGATGGTGAAGCAGAGGTGAAATTGCATACGTCCTAATAATCCCTTAACTGAACCTAATTTTTTAACTAATTGAACTTTACAGGACAGCTATTCAACCGTGTTAAAGAAATACGAAGCTCTTTGTCGGGGAGAAAGTCGAGATTTTATCTCTCAAAATCCATCACTCAAATGCACCCTCTCGACACGAGCCAACAATCCATACTTTATGATCGGGCCTGTAAAAGAGGAACAATTGCACGTGGATCCTCCCCTTTGGGTATTTCATGACGTAATTTATAATTCAGAGGTCAGCATCAGAATTTATTATCACATTATAAAATACTCCGATAAATATAGTAGTTTTGTATTTATTTATAGATAGAAGTCATCAAAGCAATTTCAAAGCCGCTGGTAAAATAAAATTTATATTAAAACTTGGAATTCAGCAATAAAATATAAAAGTTTGATGTCATCTTTAATTTATTAGTTTAAAACGGCAACTGTTGTAAATTCGGCGACCGGAGGGACCGAGCAGTCCACGACGCGGATTAGCAAATCCGCGTGGGTAATTAATGACGATGATGACGTCGTCCGCCGGGTCAATAAGAGGATTATGTACTTGACGAATCTGGACCTCTACACCGCCGAGGATTTGCAGGTCGCCAACTAATAGTTCGTGAAAAATATTATCGGATTAAATAACATTAACCTCTACGTGCAGGTCGCGAATTACGGGATCGGTGGAATGTACCTGCCGCACTTTGATTTTTCGCACGTAATACAATACATATCATATTAATTTAATCAACTGGTTTTATGATGCATTATGAATAATTATGATTGGTGAGATAGACGAACGAGACGATAAAGTTCCTACCCAAAGAAGAAGGCAATAGAATTGCAACGCTCATGTTTTACATGAGTGACGTCAGAGTCGGGGGTGGGACTGCTTTTCCTCATTTGAATTTAACCATTTGGCCGGAGAAGGGAGCGGCAGCATTTTGGTACAATTTAAAGCCGGATGGTCGTGGAGATTACAGGACGCAGCATGGGGCATGCCCGGTTTTAATTGGGTCGAAGTGGGGTAGGTTCATATTTTAGAGTATAATAATTCATCTAATTATTATATGTGGGATATATAAATTTCAGTAAGTAACAAATGGATTCATGAACGAGGACAAGAATTTATAAGACCGTGTGAATTGCAGCCAAATGATGCAAAAAGCAAGAATTATAATTATTAGGAGCAATATATAATTTTAAAAAGAAGGGTCAAAGTTCCTGTGCAATCACATGCAGTCGAATCAGATCACACTGCCATCATCTCAGAGCAATATTTAAAAATATTTACACTCATGATATTAAATTTTTTCATATAAATCCTCCTATTTATTTTGTAAGTATTTATGGTGGACCTCTGGGTAAAAATATTAATTAAATATTTCTGGTTCATAAAAAACGTAGATATAATTTTACAATCCTATCTACGTGAACCCAAACAAATTGTGATTTACTTTAGCTAAATGTGATTTATACCTGATGAAATGAATCTATACTACAAAGTAAGTATGCGATGTATGTAAATATGTATGCACAACTAAAATGAAAGGTGTATTTCTATTCAGTATTTATTCAAGTACTTGTTATATAAATACCTTATAATTAAATAATATGCATACGACAGTCATAATATAAGTACTTTATAATAATATAATAAATTAATGCATTTGGCATGCCCTTATCATAATGAATAGCGAGAGAAAAAATAAAGGAGCCATTATTTCCGATTCTGAAAAATGATTCGGTTCCACTAATTTCCAGCAGAGTAAAAATTCAAACAAAAAGACGAGAAAGATTTGTAAAATTGACCAAAGTATCCTCAGTGTCGCAGGCTTTAACTTTTTTTCGACATACATTCGTATAAACACAGTTGTCACAAAGTATGCGTTAAGAGCATCTCCGACAAAGAGTGGAGAGAAAACCAACCACCAACTCATGTTCGAAACCGTATCACATTTTATGCAGAGAAGAATGCTAAAGACGGAGAGCGAGGTCACGAAAACCCACATCTCATACGCTGTTACCTATAAGTACAAAATAATAATTTCTCAGTGAATAAATTCTCGGAAAACGATGTAATAATAATTTTGCAATATTTAGTTCTTACACCCAACCATTGTCCAATTTCTTGTAACGTGAAGAACATTTTGTATTAAATTTTTTATGGGATTTTAACTGTGCGAAATACTCGAATATCGACACAGGATACTTTCCGACTTTGTTGAGACGGGGGTGTCGTGTCGTCCAGTGGAATTAGGTCGTCTGTAATTAATAATTTCTCAGTGAACAAATTCTCGGAAAAAAATGTAATAATAATTTAGCAATATTTAGTTAACACGCGACCCTTACGTGTGTATGTACGTTACAAAATCGCATATATTACACACTGCGATACTTTTTACCGTTTATTTAGTGTAGTTTCGTAACAATAATAAAATACCAAGTGCACGTTATCTAAGATACTAGTTGTTGCACCTTATCCTTAATTTAAACAGAAAAATAAATGGACATGCAAACAAAGACCTGCACTGAACTACATAATATTATAATTAAAATTAAACATATATTACTTTTGGTTGACATTTTCGCAGTGCTCTTGTTTCGTCACGTTAGGAAAAAAAATAATTCGTCTTAACCCACATGTCCACTACTGCGGCGAATTAAGTAATGTGATTCAGTTCAGTTCAAAGATTACTAAATTGAATTACTGTAGTTAGTTATATCCAAAATCTCAACAAAAACTGAATAGGTTGCAGACATGCAATTCATTTTTCAAGTAAAAACTTCCTTCAATATACATCAGATTGTGTATAACAAGTGCATTTTGTTATTTGTGACAAGTGTCGAATCCTGGTCTTTGATAAATCTTGGAGATTACAAGAAATCAAGGAAACTCTTGATAATTCCGGAAATATTTTGCCTACTGGATCTTGAATTGAAATAACAATTCGTTACGCAATAAATAATGATAATAAATGGTATCACTGCATCCTTTGCTGTCCAAGAATGTGCATGATGGATGATTTGCAGATGAATGATTTATATCAATGATGAATTATGTAATAATAAAAAAGCTTTCTAAATCATGAACCCTACTTTTATTTGCTGTGACACACACACACAGTGCAGTGCCAAAAATTTTACTATTACCAAATCATAAAGGAAGGAAGCTCAGATATTCAAACAGTTACTTAAATAAGAATCCTTCTTTTTTTAATTCTTGTTCATCATCATCGTTCGTTCGTGATTAACCAAACATGGGAAGTCTTATTATTAGTTATTGCCTTTCTTTATCACTTTATTTTATTACCTTTACCAAAAATGTTCACATACTGATGATGATGATGAACTCACAAAATTGTATTTTACCACCGAACCGGAAGCAACTCATTCATATTTCTTTGAAATCTCACGTTCTTAATAGACAACAACAAAACCAAAATTTAATTGAAATCACGTAATTCAATAAGTTACTGCAAAAATTCTAGAAATCATGTTCATTACGTTACGTGTGACACGGTCCAATAATTTCACACACGTGACACGAATTGAACGAGTTTATTATTGTTAATATATTCTTAATTAAGCAGGTTAATAATAAATAAATTTTAAAAAACAAACTTAGGTGAAGGACGCGCTTAAAATATTAAAACAAGAAGCATTACAAAATGTCATAAATCGTTTAATATTTACTAACTTTTACTTCACCGGGGGCCCAACTAACACAGGAAAAAAGGTATACTTTCAAGGATTTGGAACAATTATACGAAATGCGTAATATGTATTTGTATATTAAACTTGCAAGATTTGAATGATTATCTTTCAATAAATCGCGACACCTCTTATAGAGGAAATTTGCTCATGTTCTGGCGTATTTTTAATAACTTCTGTAATGCTGCCCTTCATATTTAATCAAGTCGTTGGTTTAGCTACATTTATTATTGATTATCATTGCTTTGAAAATTTAACAGTTGGGCCCCCGGTGAAGTAAAAGTTAATAAATATTAAGCGATTTATGACATTTTTTAATGCTTCTTGTTTTAATATTTTAAGCGCGTCCTTCACCTAAGTTTGTTTTTTAAAATTTATTTATTTAATTATTTTTAGTGATTTGTGAACTTATATGCATAAAAACATATGCAATTATAAAATCTTAAACGTTGTTAATTCTCCTGTTTGTGGACGCTTGGCATACCAATTTAATTCCGCAGTGGGTGTGGATGCGTGGCATGCCAATTTAATCCCCCAGTTTCAAAATTTTAAGGATTGTTCTGTTCTGTCAAGGATGCCTTGACACTTAGCGATCTAATACAAACGTAATTCGATTGTCTAGCAACATTGGATATGTTGAGTATTGAATAGCGATGCTGAATAAACTATCACCGCACGTTAGCAACCAGTAACTTAACACGTAAATAGGTTGCCTAATGCAAATATTTCAAAAAGCTCTAATTCCGTCAGTTTTGATCCGATTAAGTCGAACAAAGGCTTACAATTTGCGTATTATCCTGGAGAATAATAAAAATGGCAAGCCCCCGGTCGGAAACACTTCCTTGATGCCAAGAAATGGATTTGAAATTTTAGGCATCGGACTTTCTACCTGAAGGAATTAGAATTTTTGAAAAAATAAAAAAAACGTATCTGTAAAACAGAATTCTCTGGTTTTTTTGTTTCAGCATGTTTTCCATGCAACGAACGGTTTGGGCGAAATCTCAGTGCGACCTTTTCAAAGTTGCAGCTGATTGCATACCTAGGCTTCGCCGTAACCATGGTGATCTTTTAACATGATCACCTTATGGTTACTTTTCCTTCACCTAAGAAAAACAACACTACCAAAAATTGAGATGATTTAGTAATCCACTCACCAATTAGTTGAATGGTCGAGGTATTCACAGAATAGTCGATGGTGCCTTGATAAAATGTTTTCAGCTCCAGAGCGACGTTAACAGCGCGTGGAATTGAGGAGCCTATTCCGTGCAGAAATATTTCCGAAAAGTCGCCACTTTCAAATAATTTTTGGCATTTGGAAATCTGAGCCTGTGAAAATGGTTTTATAATAATTTACTAATAATTATATTGTAATTTCCTTGTTTTACACCTTAATAATTTATTTGTTTACCTTAAAATTTGAGCGATCGCTAATGTAAATATCGTTGGGCCGTTGTGGGACACTTTTAGGGGGTGGTCTTTTCTTCACGGTGTACTTTTTCTTATCGACCACGACACCACCACTGCCACACCCCTTGCCCCCTTTCGGGGATGGCTTATTTTTCCCCTGTTTTTCTAAATTTACCAATTTTTCTTGTTCTTGAGGCTGCTGTGCGAGCGACATGGTAAATTCAAGTGTGGTTGTTCTCATCCTCAGCTGCTCATTCCATGTTCCACTTTTTTATCTCAAGGGGTATCTTTGGACTATTTTATGCTATTTTATGAGATTTTTGAGAAATTATGAACAAAATGAGAATTTATTAAATTGTATTTTGTGATGCTGCCAAGTTTCACTATATTTTAGCTCTTTGTTTTCACCACATTAACAATGTTAACCAATGCATAATCAAATATTTTCGAATTACACTTGTTCAGCAACAACGTCTGCAAGGAGGGCGTCGATAATGTGCGTGATGTCCACAGCGTCGTCGGAGATTGGGAGTGGTGGGAGTTGGATTGCTTTTCCACCTTTTAGGAGGCGAGTGGAGTTGAAGAGGTCAACTTGCTGGGTCAGAGTTGGCTTGGCAGAAATTCCGTGAATTACTGCAATGAGCACTATTAACAAAAATTATTTAATTGTCCGTTTCATGAGGAAATATTTAATTAATTGTACCTAAAAGTGCGGCACAAAAGTTTCTGAAAACATTCCGCATTTTTATTCAAGTTGTTGGAACATTAAATGGGAAATAGTTATACTAACTAATCAAACAGGCGTAATTGCATAAAACGTCATTCATAAAATGTTATCAATTTTATTGCCATAAATCCCACAAGGAAGATTATAATAACTATGATCAAATTATCAACAGACAATAAAAAATGACATCATTCTTTGAATTGCGGTATATTTTATTTATTTATTTATTTATTTATATGGGTTCACCTCAATGGATCATTTGATAACTGAGTGAGTGAAGAATTAAAAACAAGTACCATTATCTCCTCAGTTTAGTTGAATAATCATCAAATGAAATAATACAAGAGTGCTAGTAAAGTAAAAATGATTCCGTTTGGCAGGTCATTTCTTAAGATTAAGTAAAGTTGCATTTCCGTCCAACGACATGCTCTGCGGACCACCTAATTTCTTGTGACGGTTATAAATACCTTAATCAGTCACGAGTTGCTACCTTTTTAAGTTCACTACTCATAATAATAATTCATAATTCAGTCAGACGCAGTAAAACGGAACAACTTACTTCAAGTATTTAATAATTCAGCTAAATCAATCGTAGCATTATTTGTTGTAATCAATTTTCTTGATGGATTATGGTCAGGAAAAAAATTGTGTAGACAAAAAAAGTATTACATATGAATGAATTTAAGACCTAAATCGGGCAGGCATGTATTTATATTATGCAGATTCTGCATACCTATTCTGCATTGCAGAATAGGTATGTATGATTGATACATTTTCTAAATATGGAAGAATGTAAGAGTTATTGGAAAAGCGTTATAAATATGGCTCTAATCTAATAAAAGTGGAAAAAAATGCAAAAAAGTCAATTTTACTGTTGATTTTGATGATAGTAAAAGTGTGAATTTATAATAATGTTTTTACGGGGAAATTCCCCCATCTTCACCCAAGAGTGGAAAAGGTAGAAAAAAAGACTTTATGAATTCATAATATTAAGATAATCTGGCAAGTAAATCACATCTTGTAAGTTCACCTTATGGTCTACCTGCAGCTTGGATTACGTTTAGCTAGCTAAAAGTTGCTATACATTAAGCTTGTCAATCAGACCTAGACCAACAACGTGGCGATTTCCTGTCCATGTGAAAACGAAAATAGTACCAAAAAGTTTGCAAAAATCCGCAGTCAACTGACAACTTGCGTAGTCGTATCTGATGTAAGAAATCCATTATCACTTTTTAGCTGATAAATTTTGAAATCAGGATGAAAAATTGTGTGCAAACATATTGCATGCATACAATGTATGTTCACATGGTCAGATAATTAAACATTTTGTCACCATTTTTAACTAATGTATGCCCTCTTTAACTTCTCTGTCGTCGATGAAACAAAGTCTTGTTGGTTAAAGACGAAGTAAGTACGAATTACAAAATATTTCAAAATACTTAAATTACATCAATGTTACGAACTGAATGACCCAATCGTTAAAAAATGTCAAGTTATTAATTAATTATGTATAATTAATTATGGTCACAGTCATTGCCGCATCAATTACGATAAGGAGCTGTTATTTATAAACATTTTGTTATTGTTGATTCATGTACGAGAAGATTTACTTATTTTTTTAAATGCAATACCGGTTTAGTTTCAACCAGAGCTTCACTTACTGCATATTCATTACGCAATAGTAGGACGCATACCATAAACCCCAAATTACTCAAGGGAATCAATTATAGCATTTCCATTTAACAGGTAATATCAATTATGAGTTGCCTAATTGTTACAGAGATGAGTGGATTTAGCCATGTTTTTCTTGGATTTGGACTTTGATTAAGGTGGAATCTTAATAATTAATACGTGTAGTATTGCACATTCCTTAAGAATTTGATGGAATTGGCGGATTATCTCCACTTTGTTATACCAACAATTTGACTTCTTGATTCATGCACATAAATAAAATTGTGGCTAAATTGAGCAACCCATGTAGGAACTACTTAGCTTGGACAAGTTAATTGTTCAGATACAACGTTGTAAATTGTGTATAATCTGAAATAGAGTGGAGAGGAAGTGGTGGAGGAAGCAGCCAGAGAAGTCAAATAAATGCAATTCAGTAGAAATAAAGTGTACCACACGTTGCATAAAAAAAGACTTGGTTTACGATTTACCTACGATTCCTCTTATCTGCGTATGTAAGAAAGAACAACAGGAAAATGACAAAATGTGCAATGTGCTTGAATTTTTTGACTTTTTGGTCAACAAATAAAATGCAGGGAGAATTGCATTTATGAAATAAATAATAATAATAATGATGATTACAAAGGTGTGCAGCAATCCAAAGTAAGTTAAAAGTTTTAAAGCTGAGAGAAGTAGCATGCCTGCCTGCCTGCCAAACCAAGGAATAATTATTATATAATACATTCCACATCCACATCACATACGACCCCTCAATGCTATCATTGTAAGGCAGAAATATGTATTTACCATGTGTAAGGCTCAGCTTCCTCTGAATTCGATTTCTTTATCACAGGTAAACGCCAAACCATGCTTCCACCTTTTTTTGCAGGTGTGTGCGATTTTGTAAATACAACAAAATATGAAATTAGTAATAAGCAAAATATATTTATGGTACAAGTAGTGATAATAATTGCAATAAGCACCTCTATCTATGTATGTATTTATGTACGGACGTATATCCCCCTCAAGCATGCATCTTGGTCCTACTTACTTCTTTGTATTGGGAAAGAAAGAAAGAAGTAGTGACCGGGATTAGGTAGCGTTGGTTGATGCAATCCTACATATTTACCAGCGATATGAAACTGCATCGAGGATAGGAAACGTATAAAAGGGAAATGTCCAACCGTTTTGACAAGTCAGTTCAGTTCTCGAGTCCTTTGACCAAGGAGTGGTCCAATCATTTCTATCTGCGACAGTAGAAGCTTGTGATTTGTAGGAAAAAAGTATTTCGATTTAGTGTCACCATTATTTGGATCCGAATAATAATAACTAAACGAAAATGAAGGCTTTTGTGGTCACATTGATGGTAAGTAGAAAAGTCTGTGTTTTGTAGATCTGGAATTTTTGGGTAGTACAGAATTTTGCATGAAATTGGCGGATGTCAAAATCGGGTGTCAAAAGAAAATTGGCATAAATTATATCTTTTGCAATTACCGTATAAATTCTTCCTAAACGGAAGACTTCCTAGACTCCAGAAGTCTGATGACCATGTTAAGTACTTGGTTCAGCTTTTATTATTATTTTTGCATACGAGTCTCAGTAATATTTATATAATAATAATACTTAGTTTTCGTTTTGTTCACACAATTATGCTCTACTTAAAAAAACAATTTAGCAAAAAATTCATTCATTCTTACAAGAAACGTGATGACCTGTCGCTATCAAAGATCACAGCTCTCATAATTAAAACCGTCAAAGCATGACCATCACTGCAAATCATGACTGCGAGTTAGTACTTCTATAACGAGTGTGTATGACCACTTTCCTTCTAATTCACTCCAATTATCAATATTATCCATGGTGCAATATGTATGATTCATATATGATAGTATAATCATTTTAAAAGCCACTTTTTTTGGTACATATGTATCTCTAATTTAATGGAAATGGGAGTTAGCGAGGCATAAAGCGGTAGAAAAAATTAGGAACTAAGCTCATTACTGATATAATTCTCCACAATCTCTCTAATGTCAAGATTTTGAATGCATGCTTTCCCTAAATTATTAATAAATTGTATTTATTTCCAATTCAATCTTGTGAGGTAATAATTCTAATTTTTTCCACAGACCGTGGCGTTAGTGGCCATCGTCCGTGGTGAAAAAGTAGCCGACGCTTCTGAAGTCCTCGTGGCTGCGGAAAGCAGCAATGTCGCCGTTCCCACCGCCGCCGTTGCGGATTCTGCCACTGCTGCCTCCGAAACTTCCGACTCTGCCAAAGCCAACGCTTCCTCCGCCTTTGAAGACCAAGCCACCGCTGCCGGACATCACTTTGGGTACGGACACGGTCACGGATTCGGAGGACTGGGAGGTGGTCATGAAGGAGGCGTTTATGGAGGTGGGATTGAACACGGTCAGGAAGGCTGGGGACATGGCGGAGGTCATGAGGGCGGTGGTGGTTACGGTCATGGTGGTGGACATGGCGGAGGTCATGGAGGATGGGGCTGGGTCAAGGAACAAAACTACCCACCCGTCCATGTTCATGGTAAAGGACACCAAACTTTCTCCAACGGACCAAAGTTCGAGAAGGACTATCATTACCACAAACACGGATGGAAACAACATCAAAAACACGAGACCGTGTTGCACAATCATCACAAACACGTCACCCTTAACCACCACCACACCGAATTGCAAAAGGTGCTTCATCGTCACCACTACCATCAACATCTTACCCACCAACACCACCTTCACCGACAACACATCCATAACCACAATCTTCACAAAGTGAGTCGATAAGCATAACATAATTGTTATTGAAGTCTCTTAACTTAATTATTTTTTTTATGAATTGCAGCATCACATTCACCACCAGAAGCTGGTGAAGGAGCATGTCCACCAGCCGATTTATCACAAAGGAGAGAAGCACACCCACTCCGTGTCTGAATCCCACAAGAACAAGTTCCACGTTCAGGAATTCCAAAAGTAAAGAAAATTTTATATATTTATATTTTCTTTAGAAAAGTAAAGTAAATTCCAAAAGGAGGAAATTGAAATGAAATGATGCTGATAATGATGATATACAATGATCTCTTTTTTAATCCCCTCTCCAGACACACCCACCCACAGAAGCAGGAGTACCAGAAGTGGCTTCACCCCATCCACGCCGGTTGGGGACACGGAGGTGGCCACTAAGGTGTTCGCCGACGTGCTAGTTCTGATTAAGAGTAAAAAGATTGCCTTTCCCCACAAACACAACAACACGAATAAATCAAGATATCAAGATGGAGCTTTATTATTCCCTTCTAATTTCGTCTCTGAAACGACAATCCTACAACTACAAATATTTGCTTTATTGATGATGATCTACCCTGTAAGACAAGTGCAAATCGACAAGAGTTGCATCAAATGCTAGTCAGTCTGAAACGGTATTATTTTCGCACAGAAAAATTTACTATTTACTACAAGCATAAATACTTCTTAATCATGCTTTTATAAATTTTGGATTAGTTTTCTCATCTTTTTCTTGACAAGTTTCTCAATTGTGCTCAATTCTTGTTATGAACTATATCAACTATCCCACGTTGCTAGCAGTATTGACTTCTTAATTGCTTTATATTGAATTTACATGCTTTTTTAATAAAAGAATCATTTCTTAATAAAAGAAAAATCTTTTCGTTAACGGAAAAACATATGCATACAAGTTTGGAATCTCACAAGAATAAGTTCCATATTCAGGAATTCCAAAAGTAATACATCATAAATTTAAATGAAAATAAACAGGTTCTAAACATTTCCTTCTTCGAAATTTCTAGACACAACCATCCGCAGAATATACCAAATGGCTTCAGGCAATACATGCTTCACGAGGAACATACGGAGATTGATAGATCAATCAGTAACGTACCTCGGAAAAGAAAGAAAGTGCAACCTGATTATTCACCTGTTTGTTTAATTAAAATTCTGTCATGTCAAAATATAGAACATTTAGTATTACTTTATGTTATTAAACAAGTACATCTGAGTAAAATACTACTGTCCTTTGGATTGATTGTTTGATGTTAAACAATGTGACATTTCATATACGCATTTCCGCTCAGGAAAAGCATAACTGTGACTCTTATTGTTTCTGTATCATCAGCGTTGAAAGAATGAATAAATTAGTCAAAAAATTATTACGTTCTTTATACATGTTATGTGGATATGTAAAACATGAGGGCTTCATACAAAGGTTAAATGTTTTATTTTATGGAATTCACCACACGTGTTAAAACAAAGATAAATAAATACTGACTTATGAGCCACAGATTATCATCTTCTCGTTCTAAGCTATTCATGTTAAATGCTCGTGAAGTGCTATATCAGATCGCCATTTATATACATGTTGTCTTTTTTCTATGCACATCCGTCAACTGATTGTATATATACAAGGTTACGCTAATTCTCAAGAAAGTACAATACGTATAAAGGGATCTTTAAAATACAACGGTTCGGTCCACTAACTGAATACATAAATGGTATGCATGTATTTATTCATGAGACATATAACAAACTGTATGATGTACACAGAAAAGGGATCTAAACCTTAGATCCCTTTTCTGTGTATGATGTAGACTGGTTTTATTGTTAACATTAAATTATTCCATGTGTTATTCATATGAGAATCTTCAAGGTTATGCGACGTTCCCCCTTGTTTTGTTTTCATGAGCGGGAACTGAAAGCACATGTTATGTGCAAGTAGACATTGTCGAAGTAATATCTCTACATTTCCCCTCTCCTTTAATATTTCTTTTCCTAATTCGATTTTAAATTTTAAATTTTCTCCTTATCTTGTACAACTTCTTATTACTTCGACAATGACTACTTGTAGCGTGTGTTTTATTGACACTTGGGCATTACTCGTCACGTTTACCCCCAGTACTCCGGATTGTGACGGACATAAAATTTGTCAAGTATGTTTTAGAGATATTTATCGGCTGTGGATGAAAGGAACCCCCAATATTGACAAGTGTCCTATCTGTCGTCGTACATGGAATTCTGCAGCAATGAACAAAATGATTCTTGATGTAACGTATACTTTCGGGATGAAGGAATGAGCTCAAATATTTTATGAACAAGATGAAATTGATGAATTTTAGGTGCTTTCTCATTCATTCGCTATAATTAATTCTTTAGGTTGTTTCATTTCTTTTAGGATTAGTGCCACGGGGTAGCCCCCACTTTCTCATGCTGGCTGTATTACAGGAAGCTCTAAAAAACTGCCGTAGATGCGGCCTGTTTGTTAAACGGCGATGGCACTACGTTTTCTGCGACATTGTACCGGAGAAACATTTCTTCATATGTGGAAAAATTGTTTGCATCAGACAAGGAGCAGGCAAAGTAATGGCGACCAAGAAGAAAAATTATCAGACATCCAGCAGGATATCTGAGAATTAAAAATTTTCAAAGAGTAATTGTTACCAGGGAAGGATAAATTCAAAAATGAGTGTGACAAACTTTAATTTCCGCAATTGAATAATTCTGAAATGAACGCCGTGAAAACTCGACCACAACGCCGTGTTAGGATACCGAAGGCGAAAACTGCGGTCACGCTTTCCGTCGTCGGTGCCTTGAAAATTGGGCTAACCGAACCTTCCCCCCAGTATTTCACGACCTCACCAACTTCGTCCTGTCCTCCTTACCGTCGCCCTTTTCACCTTCTCCCAAAACATGGAATAGGTACGCAACTTCCAGACGTTCTGACCATGCAAAGTGTCTACAAACTCAATAGAATGTTGCGAAAGATCACATCATCAGCATCCGCCTGGTATTTCAACCCGTTCTTCAAGCGAGCTACTTACATTCCACATGTAATCTACATTAATGTTATGAACGAAATAACAAGTAGTAACTGTCTTGTTTATTGTAGTTGAAATTCTGGAGGAACATCGTCCTCCATTTGGGTTCCGCTGCGGGAAGGGGTTCGTAACTCACGCCGGCTTCCGGCGCCATAACCTCAAGGAACATGACAACTAATAATATTTATTCATTATTACACATAGTTCTTGAACTTTTCAATCAAATCATTTTCGTTGGTTTTTATTTCTACACTTGCGAATGTACCTTATTTTAATTTTACTTCAATACTAACATTCCTTTATAATCCATTCATTTCATCCATCAGATTATGTACAATTCGTCGTTGGATTAAGTGTTAGGTATTTAATATATTACTTTTTATTTTGTTTTATATTAAGGGGACACTCAGTATGAGCTGCCAACGGCCGGTCTGGGGTTATGAGGCAATGGCTATTTGTCTTGCCCACGGGTTAGACTGGACGGATGAGTGGATATACTGGATATACCGAACAACAGGCATGAATATTCTTTACAACTTCGTCTATGGTGAGTTACTGATTGATTATGGGGCATTGCGATACGAATTCGGGCTGGCGCAGGAAGGTTCAACCATACGTGTTTGCACTCGTTCCGGCTGATTCATTGAACACGTAGTTCATGACGAATTTATCAAATCTTCCAAGAACCTGCATTCCGTTCGTTTTCATAATACTTATTTTTGCTTTTGCTTTCATTTATTCAAAAATCAAGACATCGAGTTGTCTACTTAAGGATTGAAGGTTTTATACGGTTCAGAACATAAAATTTCTACTGGTGAAGTGTATTTTTTTCTGTTTGGCCCGACGTGGAGGACAGGTAATATGTTTGAATAATTTATAAATCTATGCTTAAAATTGTAAACATGGGTTGTCGTTTTATTTTTTGCTTCTGCTCATGCTGTATTTTTGGTAGGTCCCACGTAAACCATGTCTGGATACGGAGATCCCCCCCTAACCTACCACTCTGGCGGAATTCCCGCAGATATTATCCTGTCAAGGGTTATTCCAGGAGGGATGAAGTTGACCTTGCCTCTTTCTTTTGTGGACAACTATTGACTGATGCAGCGCTCAACGCTGGAGCGCTGCAACTTATAACCAACATAAATGCGGACAACTCGACTCATTTTTATCTGCCTGTTGGATCCACTGCTATTTTCGGAATCGATCAAAACGCCGACTCTCTTCCATCAAATTGACATCCAAAGAGGTCAGGTATTCAACATCCAGCATCACAACAATCACTGGTTGCTACATCACGTGAACTTTGAACAACGAAGCATCCAACATTTTGATAGCTTGCCTGGAACAATTCCTCATGTTAAGATCAAAGAACACGAAGACCAACTAATGATGATGTTCAGAATTAGATACGGAATCCCCATTAATTCCTGGAACTGTCGTGGATCGGTTGACGTTCCCCGACAAATGGATAGTTTTTCGTGTGGAGACTTTTGCCTAGCCTACATTCAAGAATTACTTAGAGGGGATTCAGCACAAACGAACCTAATTGATCCGTTAGAAGTCCCTACACGACGCCCTCGTATGGCTATGGATCTACTGAAAAATGACGTAAATGGACGTGCAATGCTGTCAGCAGAGCCAGAATTAGCGGAAGAAATTAGAACTGGAAGAATTTTACTTCTTCTACACAGGCGGGAAATTGTACGTACTACTAAGGAATTTCTTAGACAAGTTGAACAAGAATTGGAAGAAAACCCAGCAACAGACGTCCTGGTTTCCAGAAAGACGAGTTTGGAGAAACAGATTAAGGAAGCATTGAATACAGTCCTGCCACCCGGAGAATATTACTTAGACAGTGGATATATAGTGTAAGTTTGGGGGATGCAATAATAAGTTTTCAATTTAGTCTTATCATATCTTAACTCTTAGCACACAACCAAGAACGAACGAGTCTGGACTGACGCAACCAACAAAGCGTGCGAAATTGGACGATGTTTCCGGCGATAGTACGTGTAACACTCCTTCTGCGACGGATGCAATAGGTAGACCGCGGAACGCTGCACGTGGGTACATCCACGAAACCCCTGATGGAGTTCGATACAAAGCACGAGGTGCAAAGCCTGGAATGACAAATTGGGACAGAATGTGCTGCACAAAAGATTGCCCAAGATTTGCAAATGGGAATAAATGCAATTCATGTGCTCATGGAAGGTAATATGAAACCGTTCACCTAAAGTTGAACACATTAAATGATGTTAAAACTTTACGAAGAATTTTTACACAAAAAACAGACAGCCGAACAAAGTACACCCACGTGGGAAACAAAGAGGATTTGTATACGAAGACGACGATGGAGTTAGATGGAAATTCAATGGGACCGTCTTCCAGGCGATGTGTTCCACGCAGAATTGTCCACGACTCGCACATGCTTATGCAAATGGGAAATGCAATTCATGTGCACATAGCAAGTAATTTTAAACAAAGCAAGCATTCTTATGTGTGAGTATGTTGTACTAATAGCTAGACTAAATCTATGACACCGGTGATTCCAAAAACAGAAAGCCGTTTCTACAACATCCTAATAAGGGGGTCCAAAGGTTCAAAGGATACGAGTATGAAGACAACAACGGAATCAGATGGAGAATCAGTGGGTCAAACAAATTTCACAAATTGTGTTCCAACAAACCTTGTCCAAGATTCGCACAAGGTGATTTGTGCAAGTCGTGTCACTCTGGATGGTAATGTCTAATAAACAGAATAGGTTGCAATTTTGGTAGGAGACAAATTTAACCTTAACCTAACAAAATTAGGAATCATCGGAGGTCAAGCTACAAACAAAGGTCGCACCCCAGAAATCAACAACATGGATTTGAGTACACCGACGAGGATGGTATTCGATGGAGATGCAGACATAGCGGAAGTAGGACTAATTACGCACAGTTATGTTGTGTAGATCACTGCAATAACGTTGTCGTCGATTGCAGTATGTGCATGAATCACCTTAGAGAAAGGTAAACAAATTGAGATACATATTTATTACTTGGAATTGTCGTTATAATGTAAGTAATACTTTCAACAGAGGAGTTGGGTTATACCCAGGAAACGAAGCAATGATTTACGCACTTCCTTGGTCAACCCCTAACAATGATCCTGCAGGAATTATATGCCTGTTTACGCATCTGGAAGACACAGGAAAGGCTGCCAAAAAGCATGTGGATGCAGAGGGGTGTACAGATAGGTATGAGTTACTTATTATTATGAATTATGCACATATTACCAGAGTTGCAGTTGCGCAGATATCTGAAACGAGCCAAGTGGACACCGGATACAGAAAATGCTCTTCCTCTGTGTTTGGCTCCTAATGACAAGAAGTACCAATACAAATTCTACACCAGAAGTCAATTAGGAGGGGACATTTCCACCATAGTTCGTCCAAGAAGGAACATGTTAACAAAAGAAGACAAGAATATCGTAAACGAGGCAATTCGATCAAATTTGCAGAAACTTCCCCAAACCACATTATACAAGATGTCGAAGATGGAGTTTTGGAAAAACGATGATGTGGTAAGACATTTTGAATCTAAATTAAAAAAAAAATTAAACTAGACGATATAGCTGAAATTTGTATGCTTCTATATAGTTCCAGGCAACCCTTAAAACTACACCAAGAAGGAGCAAAATTGTCCTTGAAGCTATTCTGAAGGATGTTGATGATACCATCGCGGATGGCGCATGGAGAGATGCAGAAGAAGAAGAGGATGAGATCAGTGAAGATGATACGGATGCCAAGATATATGTTATGCGGTGGATAAACCTCAACGGAGTTGCTGCAGGTGTTGTGTGTTTGTTGACTACTCTTGAAGATCGTGAGGAAGCCGCAAAGCAACACGTGTCAATTGAACAATGCACCGACAGGTAATAAAATTGTCCAGAAAACATTGCGGGCACAGTCGGGTGACCCGATTTTAGATTTAAATTAGGGAATTTTTTTAAAATCTAACATTAGTAATAAACATTCTTACTTATTCTTAGATTTCTGAAGTTCGCCAAATGGACACCTGACACTAAAAACACCGTAGAATTGTGTAAGGCTCCTGGTCCAAAAAAGTATCAATATAAGTTTTTCGCAAGATTTATGATGGGTGGCTGCATTTCTACATTTACTCGTCCATCCGAGAACATTTTAACCCCGAAAGATAAAAACGTAATTGTTAGTGCCATACTGGACAATCTAGAGCATCTCCCAAATCCTACACTATACAAAATGTCTCAAATGGATTTTTGGAAGCAACAGCAACAGGTATACCTTTGTGAAATCAATAAAGTTAATATGAAAAACCATGGTATGCATATGTTTTTGATAGTTTCAAGATTTGTGGAAAGAGAGAAGAGCCGGACTGGTAAAGAGTCAGATTGTTGCGATGTTGGAGGACCTGAGAAATACAATCCGGTCTGGAGCGTGGGAAGAAGCGGAGGAGGAATGTGGCAACACATCCGATGAAGATTAGAGGAGCTACATTGAAGATGGACACAAATTAATAAACACATCCTAAAATCAACTTAATTATAATTTAACTGCGTCGAATTTTAGTTTTATTTATTTATCTTTATCAAATTAACACGTGAATGTATATTTGTATTTTATTGCATCACACATGTTTAGAACCTTGACATTTCTGTTTTCGTTTGAACAAAAATTACAATTTACAATAAAATTTCCAAACGTGTTAGACCCCTATCTAAATGGCTTACATGGCTTAACTTTAATTACACTAAACTCAAAATTCATTTATTAATAATTTAGTTTTCAACCAATCTACCACAAGGGAGAGAAACACACCCACTCCGTGTCTGAATCTCACAAGAACAAGTTTCACGTTCAGGAATTCCAAAAGTAAGGAAAAGAAAATTGAAATGAAATGATGCATATGTAAAATAATCTCTTTTTTAAATCCTCTCTCCAGACACACCCACCCACAGAAACAAGAGTACCAAAAGTGGCTTCATCCCATCCACGCCGGTTGGGGACACGGAGGTGGACACTAAGGTGGACGCCGACGTAATACTAATTCTGATTAGGAGTAAAAAGATTGCCTTTCCCCACAACCACAAGAACACGAATAAATCAAGATATCAAGATGGAGCTTTATTATTCCCTTTAAATTTCGTCTCTGAAACAACAATCCTACAACTACAAATATTTGCTTTATTGATGATGATCTACTACCCTGTAGGACAAGTGCAAATCGACAAGAGTTGCATCAAATGCTAGTCAGTCTGAAACGGTATTATTTTCGCACAGAAAAAAAATTACTATTATCTACAAGCATGAATACTTCTTAAATCATGTTGTTATATAAATTTTGGATTGATTTTTTCTCATCTTTTTCTTGACAAGTTTCTCAATTATGCTCAATTCTTGTTATGAACTATATCAACTATCCCACGTTGCTAGCAGTATTGACTTCTTAATCGCTTTATATTGAATTTATCTACATGCTTTTTTAATAAAAGATCATTCCGGATTTTACTGTCGATTGTGCTGGAATTCTTAAGCATAAATGCATTAATATATTTCGTAAGTTGTCCCTGGTAGCATTGCGTTATGATAAGGTAACAAAATTTGCATAATTTTGTGTCTTTATTTGGTTTCAGTATGCAGTTTTGTACATGCAAACACACACTTTCCTAATAAATAGTCCTGAATAATGACTAAGAATTTCCTCAGTTTAAGACTACTAATGTTTTTCTAGTTACATTGATATCAGAATGGGCGACATCATTTCAACTAGATTTAGATGATAATAATTATCAACTAATGACCAACTAATGATGATGTTCAGGAGTAGATACGATATCGCAGTTGATTCCTGGAACCGTGGTGGATCGGTTGACGTTCCCCGACAACTGGATGGTTTCTCATGTGGAGACTTTTGTCTAGCCTCAGGGTGCGTAAACATTTTTTTTTGTCCGTGGGTGGTGCAAGGATGATTTTTTTCCCAAAAAAATCGAAAAATCAAAAGTTGGGGAATTGCATGCAATTTTCCCATGAATTTGGTTGTCAACCAAATATTAGAAATTATAGTATTCTGCCCCAACGACCTCATCCGACGCATGTGACCCCCACTGGTCAACCACTTGACCGATTTTATGGATCTTCTAACTTTATTCCTCATCTACAGAGATGAAGACCAGGATAAGACGCATTTATTTCATTTCTAATATTTGGTTGATAACCAAATTCATGGGAAAATTGTATGCAATTCCCCAACTTTTGATTTTTCGATTTTTTTGGAAAAAAAATCATCCTTGCACCACCCCCTTAGGAGAAACCACGGACAACAAAAATGTTTATGCACCTTGGTCTAGCCTACATGCAAGAGTTACTTAGGGGGGATTCGGCACAGCTGAACCTAATTGATCCGTTAGAAGTTCCTACACGACGCCCTTGTATAGCTATGGATCTACTGAAAAGTGAGGTTAATGGACGTGCAATGTTGTCAGCAAAGCCAGAAGAACAAGCAAAAGATAGAACTGCAAAAATTTTACTTCTTCTACACAGGCGGCATTGGATACGCACTACCAAAGCATCTCTTAGACAAGTTGAACAAGAATTGGAAGAAGGTGAAGCAACAGAATTTCTTGTTTCCAGAAAAACGGTTTTGGAGATTAACCAAAGATTTAATTAATTAAGATTTGTTTTAATCGGTTCCAGAAAGACGAGTTTGGAGAAACAGATTAAGGATGCAATCAACACAATCCTGCCACCCGGAGAATATTATTTAGACAGTGGATACAGAGTGTAAGTGAGGTGCAAAAATAATGTTTCAATTTATTTTAATCGTATCTTAACTCTTAGAACACAGTCAAGCACGAACGAGTCTGGATTAACGCAAGCAACAAAGCGCGCTAAATTGACGGAGGATTCTACTCACAACACTCATCCTGTCACCGATGGAATGGCTAGACCGCGGAACGCTACACGTTGATACATCCACGAAACTCCTGATGGAGTTAGGTATAAATCACGAGGAACAAGAAGTGGAATGACAAGCTGGGACAGAGTGTGTTCCACAAAAGATTGTCCAAGACTTGCAAGTAGGGACCAATGCAATTCATGTGCCCATGGAAGGTAACATTAAACAGTTCACAACCTAAAATTTAACACACTAATATGATGTAAACACTTTATAACGACTTTTTATACAAAAAACAGGAAACCGAACAAGGCACACCCACGTGGGAAGCAAGCAGGATTTGTATATGAAGACAAAGACGGAATTAGATGGAAATTCAATGGGACCGTCTTCCAGGTGATGTGCTCGACGCAGAATTGTCCACGACTTGCACATGCTAATTCAAATGGGAAATGCAATTCATGTGCACATAACAAGTAATTAAAAAAATCATTCCTAGAATATATTACAATAATAGCTGGAGTAAATTTATGACACTGGTGATTCCAACAACAGAAAGCCGTTTCAACAACACCCTAAATGGAGTGAAAGGTTCAAAGGATACGAATATGAAGACAATAACGGAGTCCGATGGAAAATCAGTGGTTCAAACAAATTTCACAAATTGTGTCTCAACAAACCTTCCCCAAGGTTCGCAACAGGAGATAATTCCATTATATAATATTTATAGTAGCAGAGCTCACTTATCATTTCACAAAGGTCGCATTACGTTTAACATCTGAAGAATCTCAAAACAAATAGTAAGTCTTGATACGACAACGACTCAGAATACATACGTAAGCATTTGTCTAAATGAGTAAGTTTTAAGTTAATTAAAAAACTACGATTATCCTTACTCTATTTGGTAACAACACTTGTGAATAATTGCAATTTTCAGCCCAGAGTTTAAAGCGTCTTAATAAATACTACTGAATTCATGCAAAAATAGGATTCACATGAAAATGTAGTTTATTTTAGGCTATTTTAACCACGTGCACTTGAAAACGTTGCAAAATTATTTATAACTATTAAATACGTATAGCTTTTCTAGGATGATTGATTAAATGTTTGTTTCTTAAAACCTGGCACTAGTATGGATGAAATAACATTACACAAAATGTCATTCACTCATTTTTTTGTACACAAAATTATGGAAAATACGGACATAAAATGTGAAAAAATATCTCACCCAGTAGTGCAGTCCCAAATTCCATCATTTTGCGCACCTATGTCGCAAAAATAGTAAACCGTATATTTACACCCTGCTTAACAAATATATAATAATTCCACTGACATTTTGTACATATTGGGCAAGTTAATTTTAACTAAACGTTTATAATAGAAGCGAAAAATTTGTGCATGGTTTAAGGCGGAGAAAGTTTTGCCATATAAAAACTGTGCTACTCATTTTGATTCATCTAATTTTTATAGAAGTGAAATATTTGGTTATATACGAAAAATTTGGAATACTTTATGACCACTACTGCCAAACCCTATTAATTATAATTACACACAAAGATGATACAAAGGATAAAGAATGTAAACATAGAAAATTTGAGGCAACAGGAAAATAGGGCAAAATGTGTAAGTATCTACATACATACACTTCACGTAGAAAATAAATTTGCATGCACCCTTACAACGTTGACACTAAATGTAGATGCAAGTGCCATCGGAAATACTAAACACTATTGTATCTTTGTTACCTAATGAAACGAGTGACCAAAGTTAATTGCACCCGATCCGAACCTCGTTTGAGGTCTTTAAATAATTAAAACCACTGAATTCAACATTAAGTTGGAACGATGATTAACTAACAAAAAATATTTGAGCGCACCGACTTTCGAAAACTTGACAGAAATAAATTATACTCGTCTCGGTACCATTCCTCGCAAACGTGGTGAGGCGTCGTCCCACTTTTAACAAGGGGTGAAGAATTGGACATAAGATAAGACAATGCAAAAAATATAATACGTAAAAATCGTGCTACGGATTCTTCCCTAACAAATCAAATGATCAGAAACTTATAACTCCGACTTTTCAACATATATACAAATCTTAGATTTTTTCAATTCAAAACCGAAAGTCGTCCTTTTTAATGTTTGTAGCAAACTGTATGCTAAACTTCAATGGGGGCTACTAAAAATAATAATTTCCACATAAATGTATTTATTTTTAGACCATAAAACATATTAGTCCATATAAATTATTTCAGGTCACTAGCTTGTGTTTAAAGAGAGGTATCGGGCGCACAGACAGACATCTTGACAAATCTATAAGCATTAAGCCCGTCTGAAAAGGCCTTAAAAATTAGGTTTCCTATTTTAATAATATTAACCACCCATGACATATTTTCAACAGCTTTTATTTTTTGAAACCTACAGCGCAGACTTCATTTAGCCCGAGTCAGGGATTCTGTCCCTGACTCGGCGAGTCTGAGCTCACTTCTATTTTTGTCGAAACCGACATATTAATATTACCAACCTCCGTGGCGTGGATAGTTAAATGTTTATTAGATATTTTCTATTATTTATTTGGGATTTCAACGTCATATTCTTTCATGAGTAGCTATTAAGTATCGCTATTAAGCTATTAAGTAGGATTTCATATTTTTAAAGCAATTTCTAAACATCGGTGTGGGTCACCCCATAGGGTATCTAAAGATGAAAATTTTTCCAACTTGAAACCATTTTTATCTATTAGAAGTTATTAGCTACCTCTGTACCAAATTTCAGCTTTCTACGACAATTTCGAAGTTTTATCCCAACTACTCACATGACCCCCACCGGTCCACCACTTGACCGATTTAGCCCATCTTCGATCCCGTTTCCTAACTTTGTCCAATATATACACGGTAAAAATTTTAAGTCAATCGGTTCAGCCATTTTTTACTAATGTGTTTACGGACGGACGGACATACATGACGGTTCCATAAGCCCAGATTCGGGCTAATAAAAATTTATTTTGTAACTCGACCATTTGTCGTAACCTTATAGACTGATAAAGTGTCAAATAATCTTGGTAACAAAAGTTGCATAATTTTGTGTCTTGCTTTGGTTTCAGTCTGCAGTTTTGTACTTGCATAACACACTTTCCTAATAATTAGTCCCGAATAATGATCCCGAATATTCGCTCTTTAAGACTACTAATGTTTTGTCTAATTACATTGAATTCATTAGAATGGACGGCATCATTTCCACTAGATTTAGATAATAATTTGACCCTCAAATCGGCCACTTTGTCCCAAAAAGCTACCCGAGTCCGGAGAAGTCTACTAGAGTTTGATGCAAAAGCTGGACATGCAAATAAACAATTGGCAGATATTTTCCACGCGATAAATGACATATCCAGGTTGAAAATCTATAAATACGTTTGTACCAATAATTGAGACTAATAATGTGTCACCGTCAACTTATCAAGTTTAAGGGCTGGGCTAGTTTGTAATCTGTGCATTGTTGTGGACCAAGAATTTGTCGATGCCTACAAACTCAAGGAGTCAACACAAGTCATAATTTTCTTTCGGAAAATCATCGACAGGATATCGTGGGTATTTAGAAACATTGATTGGAACGGAGATGGGAGACCTGGTGGGTGTCACATAATGTTTGCATACTTATCCTGTAATTTGGCAAAAAAAATATCGTATTAATGCAATTTTTGATGAAATTTTGGACTAGATAACATTGGATTTGAAATCATCAGTGTAAGAACAATATTGTTCTCGTAATTTTTCGATTATTAAACAAACTATTTTGTCTATGCAGTTAGTGAAGGGTTGGACGCCTTATACAGCCGAGTACTCTGGCTCCTATTCGAAACCAAAACCTGCCATGGAACTTCTCGGACTGTTTGCTCAACACAACTTTCACCACTGCGTAAGTAGTACGCCAGTCTAAAATTGGAATTTTTTGAAGCTTTTATTTAAAATTTTGTAGATGATAAATTGGAACACGATGTTAAATTAATGTTTACTCCAAATTGAAATAGCATAATTTTTTCATTCCAGTGCCTCGGCGTAGGTTTCACTAACCGGCCTTTTGCACATAATCAGGTAACCTGTTTAGATTACGTTGAGTTCATAATTGGACTTTTACACGTTTTGCATATGTACATAACTCCGACTTTTACTGAACCAGGTCGGAGTATCATTTATCGCGTCGGAAGATTTGCTTGGAGGAATATGCGACTTTCGAAATCCAACTCTTCCACTTCATAGTGCCAATGTAAATAATATAATAATATTTAATATTCGATGTAAATTAGTTAAATAGCCACATTACAGCTATGATGATTCCGTAGGTTGCTCTTATTTCTGCGATGGGGTTAAAAGGAGTGCAATTATCCGAGAGGGACTTAGGAAACGTTTTGATACACGAGTTGGGACATGTAATGATACATTTAAATATGTACAAGTATTATAATTACAAATTAGATATATTTTGACAAGTTCTTATCAAAGCATATATACACAAATATGGCAAACTATTTGAAACTATACATAACATCTTATCAAATTTGATTAGTGTTTCGGAGTTCTTAAACATGACATGGACTTGGAACCGAAATGTTCAGGATTTGACACAAATAAACCAATTCCTGCAGATTATATTTCAGATCATAATGAACCACCGCAAGGTTGAAATAAATAGTCATAAAATATGTACATAATTCCTCAAAAATGGGAAATATTTGTAAATGTGGTTGAAAATGCAGGCCGATTCATCATGTGGGGACAGGACATTCAAGGCACCAAAACGTCAAAGCCGAACAACCTGAATTTCAGCCCTTGTTCGAAAGCAGTCGTGCAAAAAGTGCTCTACTCCGGAACGGTGAGAGGAAAATGTCTCACGCCGGGCGAGAATGAGATCCCATATTGTGGAAACGGTATACATTTTGTTCAATTAAATTGTGCATACGATTCTTACAATTAGATTTTTGAACTATTTGGTTACACAGGAATTGTAGAACTTCCCGAAGAATGTGATTGCGGTAATGAACTAAAATGTTTGCAAGATTCGTGTTGTGGGCCGAGAGGTAGTTCAGATCCGTGCCAACTTTATAAAGGGATCGATCCTTTAAAGTGTTCCGTGCTCAATCAGCGACTGCTTAGTACTCCTGGACCAAGATCTAACAAGACCAAATCTGGTGGTAACATGACACCATTTATTTCAGGTTTAAATACATTTTTGATTATCATTGTACAATTAGCAGTATTTTTGCAATAAAGTAAGGACTCTGTTATTACATAATTCGGTTTTATATAAAAGTTAATTTTTGCCATAATTTTGCATCTTGTTTTATTCTGTCATCTACAAAAATGTGTCTCTTCTTGGCCAAGTTTTGACTTATTTGGGATGTGCCAATTTGCCAATATGTATACGTGCCTATGTAGTAAATTTTATGTAATGCAGAAATTTCGTCATTAAACATACCTGTCACCTGTTGCTGCAGATTAGTCATTGTCATTATGATGTATGCAGTATTTTTGGAATGACCAAATTTAATCTCCAGTCCAGCTTTCTAATCACTGGAATGCAATTGATTGAAAGTATTTTGGTAAACAAGGTTTAGTAACAATTGATACAGCGATTAATTTGGTGCATGCATTCAGCACCTGAACATAATATGACTGCTTGAAGGTGTACGTGTGCTGATGATGAAGAGTATGATTGATCATGGATCAACTGGTTAAATTGATTGCTTTTTAATCTTGGAAGAATAGTAACAGTGTCAATCAAACGGAGTTATCTGAACCCATAGCTTGGATGTTGCAAAAGGTATAAATTGCGAATCATTTGCTTATAACTTTTCATTTTATTGAAAGTTTTTAAATATTAAAGTCGCTTAAGCGTATTAAAAAAAGAAATATTATGAAGTCCCAATTTGCAATTCTTCTTGTACTAGCGTGTCTCAGCAATGCACAAAAATTCGCCCCATATTATGACACATTTTTACGAGATCGTTCAGATCTTGAAGAAATCGCCAGACTCACGGGGCAGCACAGTTACCACTTGGCCTTCGCTCTGGGAGGAATTGAAGGATGTAAACCAAAGTGGGGAGCAGAGTTTGACATTGACGACCCCGTGGTCATGAATCCAATCAGAGCTGTGCAAGCCATGGGTGGAGAAATGATTGTGGCGACGGGTAACTTAAATAAAATAATAGTTTGCATACCATTAAAGTATACTGTAGAATGTGCTTTAAGAAACATTATTATTTTTTAGGAGGTGCCCTTGGACCATATCTTGAACATTTGTGCGGCACTGCAGCGGAGTTAGCTGAAGCTTACAAAATTGTCCTCGACACGGTTGGCACGAACCATTTGGACGTTGATGTCGAAGCTCCGGTAAATTTGGACATTATGAATCAAGCTTTGCGAATGGTCCAGCAGGAGAGACCCAACACCACGGTCAGCTTTACACTTATGATCCAAGGGGAGGATTACGGGTTGACACCTGCGTTGGGTGTGGACGTCTTGAATCATGCGGTTCGTACGGGCGTCAGGGTGGATACGGTTAATGCAATGTAATTTTTTTCAACAATGTTTAGAATTTTATTATTATGTAAATTCGATTATGCAATGATTTGTAATTATTAATTTAGGACGATGGAGTTTGGCTGTATCACAGCCGATTTTGGAGTGTGTATTATCAATACAGCAAACGCAGTTTTGGGACAAATGAAATCAATTTGGCCTGAAAAAAGTGATACTGAATTGAAATCCATGCTTGGCGTAAGTGCAATTAAAAATTAGATAAATAATGGTGACATAATTGTTAAGTAATTTTTTAATTCAAGTCTGTATTATTATTCAGATTACGCCCATGATTGGAAGAAATTTTAACGGAAATACGTTTCAATTGGCAAATGCCCGTACAGTTGTGGACTGGGCAAAGGCGAATAGTATTGGTCTCCTGGCCTTTTGGTCAATCGAGAGGGATAGTCCCGGCTGTATTAATACTGTTTCGCCATATTGCAGTGGGGTCGCTCAGGAGAGATTCGACTTTACAAGGATATTCTTCAGAGTCAATGGAGCAGTCAATTAATTGTGATGAATGACACATTATTGGGACTTGAGATTATGTCAGTGCATGCATACATCAGTGATTAATAAATAGATAATCAATTGTAAATGCAAAATATCTGTTTCAATCGATTGTTCTCTCTGCACCAATTTATCGATATCTGGAAATCAGTATCTTTTTTGCTGACGTAATTCAAAGGTACATTATCAGGCTCAAATAGTCCGAATGCTATCATTTGTGAACTTTTTTAGTGTAATGATTTTCAATCCATGAAAAATTTCTCTTTGACAAATACCACTACTTTTGGGTAAAAAATGATTAAATCAAGTTTCATCCTAACCCTGGGTCTTTTAGCTTGTTTGACTGGCACTGGTGGTAAATTATCATAACCAAAATTTATATTATACTTGAAAAAAATTACCTCATTAAAATTAGTTTGTCTGCTCAGGCTTCAAATTTGCTCCATTTTATGACACATTTCTCCAAAATCGGACCTCCCTCTTGGCCTTCTTTGAAGCCACGGGACAAAAGGATTTCCACATCGCGTTCGCTTTAGGGGGACGCGAACCATGTGTTCCAACTTGGGGTGGCGAATTCGCTATCGACGATCCAGAAATTCTGAACCCCATTAAAGCTGTAATGGACATGGGAGGAGAAATTATTGTCGCTACGGGTAAGGGAATGCTAAAATTTAGGGCTAAAATTATAATTACACAGCATAAATTACATCTCAGGAGGTGCCCTTGGTCCCTATCTTGAGCATTCTTGCACCACCTCTGAAACACTTGCCCAGGCTTATCTCACCGTCCTCAACACCGTTGGAACTACCCATCTCGACATTGATATCGAAACATCCGTAAATGTCGACATGATGAACAAAGCTTTAGCCATTGTGCAAAGGAGCCGTCCAGAAATCACGGTCAGTTTCACTTTAATGGTGACAGGGGAGGATTACGGGGTCACTCCCCAACTCGGGGTCGAAGTTCTCATCAACGCCAAGGCAAACGGTGTCCGTGTCGACATCGTCAACGCTATGGCGATGGAATATCCCAAAATTAGTGAAAATTTTGGTGACTCTGTCATCAATGTTGGAATTGCAGTTCTACTTCAAATGAGGGAAATTTGGCCGGAGAAATCCTTCACCGAATTGAAAAGCATGCTCGGTCTGACCCCAATGGTTGGCAGAAACTTTAATGGAAATATTTTTGAGGTGGAGCACGCCAAGAAAATTGCAGATTGGGCGAATTTGAACCAAATTGGTCTAATCGCTTTCTGGTCGATGGAGAGAGATAACGGGCGCTGTCCTGGAATGTCTTTTCCTTCTCCGTATTGCAGTGGAACGTCCCAGCTAGAGCTGGAATTTACGAAAGAAATCATGAAATTTGCTTCCAAAAAATAATGGTTACGATTTATAATTGGCATTCAGTATTAAATATTTTTTGGAAATTTTGTAATCCTGAGTTTCTGATTTTGAAGCATAATTTTAACAACATTTTGACTCGTGGAAATACTGCAATTATAATTATTGCTTGAAATAAATATTGATAAGTTTAAATATTTGTCGTTGTGTCTATCATAAATGCACATATCGATGCAGAATGAGGTTATACATCATCATTTACATATTTACACTATGATCCATTAAAAAAGGCGGAAGCTGATATCATTGTTCATGTATTTTATAAGCAACAATTTGCATGTGCTTGTACAGTTGATACGCATTGTGTCTGACTCATATCCAAACTCATGACCAAACAGTCCACAAGTAAATTACATCAGGCAAATAAATGTGCATAAATTTTGCACACTATTTCGTATTTACTACAGAGAAAGGTGAAAGTCTTTGCAATTTCATTAAAAAAAGTATCTGCCCGAAACGGAGTGGGGAATGTAAAAGTCGGGAAATTCAAAGGAAATTTTCGCAAACAAATAACAAACACAAATTTGAGTGTAAATATTTTGTATTTTAATTTCTAGTCAGGTCAGGTCTCGAACTACTATTTCGTCCAATAGAGATGTCAACCGTACTAACAGTCAACTAAATAAATTTGACAATTGTATGTCGTAACGTTGTACGAGTGATGTGTAAAGTTTGAAGTTAAAAAAATAAATTAAAGTATAAAATCACCTGAATATTTGATCTCTTTGATTCAGTGTTCACATTGTTCATGGTTTTTTGAGAAATAAAAGACTTATTATTTTATTGCGATTGTGATTGCAAACCTCCGACTGACGACAGACAATAAAAGGAAAGGACATTGTTGCACTCTATCTGAACAGGTAAGATTAGCGACAATTTCGATATTTATAAACGTTTGATCCCCGTTTAAGTTTATCTGGAAATGCATGCAATATAATAATACGAATTAATGCAAACACGACGAATTGATAATCATTTAAATTATAAAATTGTATACTATGACCTTTATAACTGAAAGTCAAGCTTGCACTCGGTCATTTTTACTGATCATTGTTCTATCACGTCATTTGTAAAACATTCGTAAAACAAATTCGTTAAGAAATTGACTTGTATATAAGTAGGCTGACATAAACCTATGTGAACCTATGTCAGAAAACCAAGTAGTTGAAAACTATTTCCTTGGCCAGAGTCTGGCCGCCAGACTGATTAAATTTAGTAATCTTTCGGTCAACCATACCCATAGAATAGGAATAACCTTGTTTACATACACTACCTTGATGATATTAGTAAGTTGTTCGGCAGCACAGAGTCAGTAAACTCTTGTAATAATTTTATATCATAATATGGAAGTCCGTAAGTACGTTGTATTTGGTAAAGTCATTGTTGAATTGTTGCCCGGTTAAGAATTAGTGTGATGCATGCATATGTTCAACGAAGGTATATTTTCTTTGTTGATTGCTGATTTGAAGATGTGTATAATGCCACACACTGCACTTCACAAGTAGAAATGCAAACCTTTTTACCTGTTTTACCATGATGCAGATGAGGTGGTATTTAACAAGTAGTCTTCAGTTTGAAATTAAGTATTAGGCTTGCATAGTAGTATAGGACCAAGTTTCATCTTCATACATAGATCTCTCCCCAAAGTTTCCCGTTACTTTTATTTCGTTAACATTTTATTTCAACCGTTGCATTTACAGATGATGACCACAGTTTCAAATAATAGGTCATGTTGCATACATGCAGTTAAAAAGGGTGTAAAAGTAAGCAATTACGCGGATTTGTAAAGCTGGCATTTACGCCAGGAGTTATTTGTCAATGGTTTGTATTTTGAATTCTGAATTCTGAATGTAAGTAGTAACCGGCGAGTAATTTTGTCAAAAGTAAAAATTCTACCTACATGCATATGTTACTATACAATACCGGATTATAAAACAATTCAAGCGTCTAAATCAGAATAGGTATTAACGAGATTTAAAATAATCGATTTCCATATTGATACGCAAATGGTTTTGCGCTCTGGTAAGAGTTTTACTCATGCATGAATCTTTATATTACTGTTTTACTACTGCTATCTAAATTATTGCACAATATGCTTTTTATAACATGCAAATTTCCTATTTACAGATTCATCCAGGACGCTCGTTTTAGCAACCTAAGCAAGTATTTATTGGAAACAAGTAACAAGTCCCATCAAACCTATTGATTCTCTACATCCGTCAGTAATTAACCTGGTCTTGCCACGAGTCAGTCCTAATATAATTACTGTTTTGGCGCAGCGCTTCATAAAACGGTGCAATTATTGTCACGTCAATAAATTGTACAACTAATTCCTCAACTAGTCTGCAAAATGAGCCGTGTCCAAAGCCTGTTCAGACAAGTTGCAACACAAACTACAATTTCAATTCCCATAACGCCAACTACTCATCCACCTCCACCATCTCCCAGTCCACGTGTCTCGGCGTTGAAATTATTGGATTTTCCAAGCGCCGTAACCTCTACCAGCAGTAGAAGAACCTCGTTACCTTTAAACTCAGCACCATTTCAAGTATTTTCCTGCTCTGCCATCACAAACAACACCCTGCTGAAGAAAGACTTTCAAGTTCGCACAACCGATATCAGACGTAATATCCATCACTGGATGAAAAAGTGTTCGTGTGGTTTTACACCAAGCCGATGTCAATGTCAAAGTCGTGAGGTGACCACCTCAGCGACAAATGTTCATGGAGTAGTCAGCGTCAATTCGTCTTCAGAGCTTCCTCTCCTGTCCAGCCGGGGAACGTCGTGTGAAACTCTCACAGCACACACGAATGTAATACATGCCAGGTGAGGTGATGAATATGTTGTAATGTAAATACTTGGATCCTGTATATATAACTTTCCTCGATCGATTGCGTTACATTTCGAAATCATTGCTTCATAATTTTCACATGCCCTTCCTGTCCGTAATTAATTATGTATGAGTGTTTGATAGAAAGATTGTCGGAAAACCCACAGTCTGACGTAAGAAAAAGTATGGAACTCGTACATATTGTTGCTAATGTATGTACTCATAATTTACATGATTGGATTCAAGGCAATTTCAATTGTTTCAATACTTTATGATGTTATGCTTGAATTGATGTGGTCATGGTTTGGCCGAAGAATCTTCCTTGCCCAACCACAAATTATGTGTGTGGCATATTTAGGTTAATGCCCAATTTAGATTTCAAGGGGATTTGTGGGTCTAAAATACTGATATTTTAAGAATTAAATGAATTTGAATGTCATAGTGGAGATAAATTAGTGTCCTATTTATTCAGGGGGTATGTAGACAATAACAAAACGACACTGATCACCACGTATATAAAGGAAAATGCTGGGGAAACTTTTTGCGTCAGTTTGTGCTCTTATTCTCTGAAATATTTTTTTGTCATCCGTGGGGATTTTCTCTCGTTTATTTATAACCATAACCATGATGGGAACAAAGGCTCTAATTGCAGCTCCGTACAACAGGTAGCAATTTTTTTAGTGAAATTTGTTATTTAATTGGTATGCCTGAAGAATGACGCCAATGCCAAAGACCCAATGCTTCCATTGGCGTCATTCTTGACTACATTGTTTTATTTTACCCCGGTTTATAAATTTCTCACAATTTGATAACCATGTGTTTACATAGCTCTCATCACAATTGTTAATGAGATGTAGTACAAAAGATTGATACTTAGATTCGACATATGTACATATTTATATACTTAGGTGGAAATGTTGAAATTGGAAAATTCCACAAAGCCTACGTGGTACTTATTGTAGAGACACTTTATCAGATCTCAAATTGAGATTCTCAATGCCAATATGTAGGTTTTATTACTACTTGGTCATATCATAAAACTGTTGATTCCTTGAATAATAGCAAGATACCTTAAGTGACCGGGTTCAAGTTATATAGGTACATATTGTAATAATATGCTGTTTACTGTTGATTATGCATAAGTTGAAAAGGTTTTAACTGGTTGACAAAGTATTTTATGACGCGTTGTTGTAATTATGTGAACACGTCCTCATCATGCCGCATATAACGTAAATAGCTTTATCAACTTTATCTCGGTCTCATAAAAACTAGATTATCATGTTTGCCACAGTAGAGAGTTGTGTATATTCTTGTGAGACTGAGGAAGACGGGAATTCATTGTGAAATAGTTTGTAGATTCCGATTTCCTATGCTGATTATCCCGTTGGTCATATATGTACTAATGTACATGTGCAATTCCAGTGAAATCTTGCATTACGTGCTACTATTTACCGATCGAGAATATGGTTAAAAAGAAGGAAAGTTTCCATCCTTATTCTCATTCCATGTTCAGAAGTGGTATGTAATCATTCATTGTTGAAAAAATATTAAAGTTTATTGTTAGCAAAGGCTCGTGTTTTATATCGTATAAAAGTTTATATTGATTTTATACTGGTGAAATATTTCCTCCTAGGAAAACATAAAATTCAAAATGTAAGTTGTTGAATAATCAATTTTAGGCTAATTTTAATATTCATAAACCTGCATTTTTCGTTAAAACAGGGCTACATTGCAGTACAGTTTAGATTTTGTGATCTACTAGTCTTGCGCAATATGTAGAATATACGTATATGAAAAAGTTTATTGTTATTTTGATCTCTGACTCGACCTTCCAATTTCCTGTTTCCTTTCATAAGATTTTCATAAGTATTCAGACGAACGCATACATGATTTGGTTTAGTAGTGAGGTGCATTTTAGAAGAGAAGAAACTGATCGTCAACTATTATTGATTTACAATTGAAAATGAGTCAGGATCAAGCAACGTACATTTTTATCTAGCTTCTAGTGTTTCTTTAACAAATATCAATATCGGTTAATTTGTATTTCTAGGAGTGTCGTAACATCTCCAAAAGTTGCCGAAATCGGGAGGGGAAGGATGGACGACGGCAAGTTGTTATCTAAAGAGGAGAGGGAGGAGTTCATGTCAATGTTTCCTCAGTTGATTAGAGACCTCACCGAAATTCCCGAGTATCGAGACATGGACGATACTAATCGCTGGTTGGCTCGCGTCATGCATTACAATGTACCACATGGGAAGAGAAACAGGTAAAAGTGTTAAAATATTTTTTTTATGATTTTGAGTTGCTTACGTCAAATTCTTGGGTTTGTTCTTCTCAGGGGTCTTGCCACTGCCCTCGCATATCGGTATTTAGCCAAGGAATTAACGGATGAAAATGTCAAGTTGTCGTACGTTTTGGGATGGTGTGTAGAAATTGTAAGTTAACTTTGTTTTTTTTATTCAAGTAACTGTGTCGTTAATTGTCACACAAATGTATAGCTTCAAGCCTACTTCTTGGTGGCTGATGATATCATGGATGAATCACAAACTCGCCGGGGTAGGCCGTGCTGGTACAAAGTTGACGATCTAGGCGACAATGCATTTAACGATGCCATCTTGTTGGAGTCCAACCTGTACATGCTGTTGAAGAAATATTTCCGAAACAAGGACTATTACGCAGATTTAGTCGATGTCATGCATGATGTGAACCACAAAACTATTTATGGACAAAGTTTGGATACAAGGACTGGAATGGAAAAGAAACTAGAAACGTGAGAAGAGTATTATTCATTGTCGGGAAATTTAATTGGATACCCATCAACTAATTTTTAACTAAATTGCATTTATAGATACACCATGGACCGATATGCTGCCATTGTAAAATACAAGACATGCTTCTATTCGTTCTATCTCCCAGTCAGGTTGGGCATGGCCATGGTTGGAATGAACGATCCCGACGTTCTTCAACAAGTCCGCACAGTGACTTTGGAAATGGGACATTTCTTCCAAGTTCAGGATGACTACTTGGACTGTTTCGGGGATCCTGCAGTCACTGGGAAAATTGGGACCGATATTCAAGATTCTAAATGTTCTTGGCTGTTTGTCGTTGCGAGTCAGAAGTGTACCCCCGAACAGAAAAAATACTTGTGGGAAAATTACGGACAAAATGATCCTGAAAAAATTGCACGAGTCAAGAAATTGTATATCGAACTCGAGATGCCGCAAACCTTCAGCTTGTACGAAGAACAAACCTATAACCTGATATGTACTCACATTCGCCAAATGTCTGAAAAACTCCCAAAGCAACTATTTTATGACATGGTGAACAAGATTTATAAACGTAGTGTATAACTATCGTCGTAAAGTTTAGTCAGTGAGGGTGCTGGGCGTACTACTCGCATTACTGAGCTTGATTTCAATTGATTATGTAATGTAACTTATTAGCTCTCTCTGCTTAAAAAAATCTGTGCAATATTAAAATGGCACTTGGTTGATTTGAAATCTAAATTTATTAATAAACATGCTCTTCATAATTGACTTGCTGAGTACAAAAATGTTTTTCTATTTTTCTACTAAACTATTCTCAAGTATTTCATACGTTGAGATGCATACTTATAACGAAGAATTTATGTCTAAAAAGCGGATTCGAAAGATATGTCGGCAGTTCCTAGTTGTTCCAAAACCCATAATTTCATTTTAATGTCGGCTTCTACTGCTTCCAACTCTGTCCGAATATCATCAAATTTTGGACCCAACTCTTCGTATTGATTGATCCTATTGTTAAAAAATTGCATTGAACTCGAGTTACATTATTATTATTTGTAACACGTCTATTAGATAAATGTTTTAAAAAGTTCATCAGCACGTACAAAGTTTCCTTTTCCTGACAAGATTTTTCCAGTAGTTCAGTGGCTTTCATTAAAGAATCGTAGCTCTCTTGTAATTCCTTAGTCGAATCTGGTGGATTAGATTGAATTATTTCCTCCAGGCGATTGCATCTGTAGTTAATAGGTGAATATTAATTACTTTCCTGTACTAAAAAGTTAAATTTAAATATTACTGGAGCTTTAATTCTGCCTCTTCTTTACTTAGGCGTAAGAATTCAATGTAGCTGGCTTCATTCTTTTCATCGTTGATGAGTTGGTCCAACTTTTCCACAGTAGACTCGCACTAATGAAAAATATAAAGCAATTAACATATTTTTTAATACAACTCCCAAGCCACTAAAATCCTCTCTACTACCTCTTGAACTTCTGTTTCCAATGCTTTCCATTTACGGGAATTTTCTTTTCGAAAAGTTTTATTTTTCTCATCCAATTCTTGAAATTTCACCTCTTCATTTTCTAAAAGCTGGTTTACTTTCATCAACCTCTCCAGAATATCTTCCTCGCTAGCGGTTTCCGGTAATGAACTTTGACAATCTAAAAGTGGAGTATAAATGTGAATGAGCTCTTTCGCGAATTTTTTCAACTGGATCCCTACAATGCCTCGCAACACGATCTTGGTATCCGACGGAATGTTTAAATTTGAATCTTGGCAGGATTTCTTGTTTATGTTCTTCTTCTGGGATGGTAAATCTTGTACCTCTCTTGAATTTATACTCCATGATTTTTCTTGTTGACGTTTGTTGTAGTCTTCATAATGACAATCCTGTCGCAGAAATCCGACTCCTTCTCCCTCCTCGAATGGGTTTGCTACAGCCAATTCTCCTTTCAAATCTAGCAATTTCTCCTTTAGCAATTGCACAGTTTGTTCTGGAATCTTGGGATTGAATAAACCAAAGACAGCTTCTTCTAATGCAGCTAAGATCAGCTTACAATTCCACAAGTCAGCCTGTAAAGGGATCAAATAGTTACAATTAGTGGACCCTTCAGAATGCCATCAATAACAATAAAACAATTACCTCAACAATAGTAGCTTGTGCAGAAACATCATCTTCTATCAAAGAATTATCATTTCTGTCAGCTAATGGCGTACTAGAACGTACTTGCGGATACATGTCGCTTTCTATTGAATAATTAAAACAAAAATATAAATAATTAAAATAATTTCATGTACATGTATTTCAGGAACAGTTAATAAAATGCGCTTACCTGCACCGGGTATAGTTAAATGCATCTTCCCTGGCATTTCAACAAACCCTCTGTCCAAACTACAGAACAATGCAGAAAATGACAAAATAACCAACAATAATTATTTACTTATTCTGGAGAAAGTATTTCTTAGCAGGTTTTTGTGGTTTGCTTTGTTGAGTTGTTGTGATGAAGAGTGAGCCGCTTTCTCTGCCTCTCAAAATGTTCAAATATTTAGCCCGGATCGACAGCAGATGAGATTTTTGAGTGAGAAAGTTGCTTGCTCTTCGCAGTTTGCTTTTACTCGTGTAAATCTTTTATTGTACTTGTTACTTTTACTTGTTTTATTAAAAGTTGTTTTTCGAACACTGCTTTTAATCAACTGATTTCACTGGGCAATAAATTTTACGGAAAGGCCACAGATTAGATCAAATTGAAAAATGGGTAAGATCAATAATTTTAATATTTTTATTTATATTCCGTGTAAAATTATTGAATTTTCTCATAACATGCAACTTGGAGATGCGGTTGAATCGATGCATGAAAATATAACGTATTCAAGGTGTCCTTTACTTATTTGCGTATAAAATTAAATAAGTTATAAAACCGTGCATGAATATGGGATTTAAAATGGTTTTCTAACATCTCCTTGCATGTATTTAGATTAGATATTACATCATGCCGTCCATTCCATTTTATGAAAATTTAACATGTTTCTCTCTGCATATTTAAGAAAAGCTAATATGCTCTAATAATTGGATTACACGGAGTTTAGTGGAAAAATCGAAGAAAAAGTTTTGTTTTATTTTGTCAATATTTCGAATGCTATCTGCCATTCATTATCAAGACATTTACACGAAGATCAATATGCTCTACTTTAATAATAATTGTTAATTGATAAGACATCTCGTTAAACAGTACGTGATCCGGTTCATATTTTACAGTTAATAACACAGGACAAGTGCCTGACAAAATGAAAGATCACATTGAATGTCATTTACTCTGGTATTTCCCATCAGGAATCGCAATAAGGTAGTCAATTCTAGTATAGCGTGACAGATTATCTTCCTGGTACTACGTTAGACGTCATTAATATATTTGAACCAGATAGGCGATACATGTATGAATATGCATGAATATTATTTGTGTTATTGTTCCTCTCTGAAGTCTGAACTTGCATCCTACGCATTGCGCATTACTATCAGAGCCCAATGGATGGGAAAACACAAGGACCAATCTATTATAACAAAAATCCGGATGCTTTCAATCTTATTCCATTGTAGGTGGTTATATATATGTAATAAATATAGTGTAAATACCGGAATTTGACATTCAACTCGAAACTAAATAGCTCAATTTGTGGCTAGTTGACAAAGCTGTAACCTTGCAAGGGGATAATCCTGCATATGAATTTTCGTTTTTTATGTAAAATTTATTAATATTCATGATGTGATATACCGATCTGGATAATAATGATGCGGGAGTGTATTGACATGATGTCTTAAATTACCGATTTATTACACTGGGTTGGCTAGAAGCAGTTTAGATTAGGTGACGAATTATCATTCTGGCACTCTTACAAAATAGGTAGCAGGATATCAGGATGTTGAAAATGGTCATGTGTTAAATTAAAATTGAGATATCTTTACGTTTAATCACGAATTACGCAAGGAATCAACATAGTTTGTCAATAAGTGATTTGTATGACCTTCTGACCCTATACCGTCTATGAAATTGTGTGTTGTAATAAAATTGTGCTAAGATCAATGCAATTGTGTTATAAGACCACGACAAAATTGTGTGATATGATGAACAAATGAACAATACCGCCTCCATAAAGGATATCATTTAAATCCGCCCTTTATCGTGAGAGGAAAGCTTTACATTTATTTTATCGTTGTTTAGTTGACGTCAACTATAAATTGTCAACAAACAATTATTGTCGCTTAATTAAATGAGTAATCAACAGTCATTCACAATTTGAAAGTCCAAAATTGCATTAGGTAAACCCTACCGAGCAACGTATTTTACATATGATTCAATTTCAATATTTCACTACTGACTGGATTACTAAGGTGTGTTGCATAAATGTGGAAAATCCATAGGGAAAACCCGAGGATATTTATGTGATCTTTGTCAACCAGGATTAATTTTTATTGGATTTTTTATAGAATAAATTAACATTTGTACATAGTTGAGATTTTCATAGAATTTGCATGATCGTGATGGATGACGATTGATGACGATGAACTTGAGACTTTAGACATATGCAATCGTCATTCGTCCAGTTTGGTTGGATTTCGCCCTGCATAACAAAGTTTACCTATTTCTCTGTAATTCGATTCGTTACATCTTCCTTCGTCATACCGATAAAAACATGCACATGCTCGCAATCAAGATGATTTGTTGTTCACCCGAAACATAAGTTTTTATGCAGACTGAGATGAGACAACCCATCTTCACTCTGAACTAGACTTTACTTTAGAAATATTTATAACGAATCTCACATTCAAGTCTTTTTGGTGATGTTGCATTTATATTTTTCATTTAATTGCATGACTGCCATTAAACGAGTGGAAATGCATTAAACTTACGCGTCACCTCCGTATGCATAGCAAGCATTGCTTCTCATACATATTGTTGTAGTAAACCATTAAAGTCTGGTCTTACTTTCCTGCTGACAATGGCAAAAGCATTATTAACACGACACACGAAATTATCCAAACTTCCTCTGCTATTGTGCAGACATAAGTATATGTACATGTACATGTGTGTATATTTGTGTACGTAGGTCTGCCTAATGTATAAAATGCATCACGAGTTGCTTATTTCATTACTTAAAAGCCATGATAGAGATACATAACCTGGCCGTATAAAATGGAAGGTTAGTTAGTTCGTGTAAACCAGTCAGGCCAACCAAGTTGTGTGATCCCATTCCATCCATTCCATTGTTGTTTTGGGACAGGGGAGAGGACGAGCAGTTTTAATAAGACTCTTCTGCATTCAGCTTATTATTATCATCCTCTTCTGACTTATTCGAAATTCATTCTCTGTCTGCGTATCATCACAAAGCATCATCATCATCCTCCGTGATTTTTACTTTGTACCTGAAATACATCCCTTTAATACGACTGGTTGAGTTTATAAGTAAACTGGTCTTTCTTCTTGTGTGTGTGTAATACTCGAACTCAGTGGTTGTGGTCCGTTTCACTAAAAGTTGGATCTCATTTAATCAAGTGTTTTTGCGAGGAAAGTATTTTCTACGAAAAGAGAGTAGAAGAGATCGAGCCGAGCTCATTTTTTGGTTAGTTTTATGCCGTGTCGGTACTAAAGAAGGAGAAGTTGTGCTACTGGAACTGACAAAAAAAAGCAGGGATATCAGATCATAAGAAGCAGAAAAAGTTGGCAGTTTTGATAAATTGTTTGGTAAAAGGGAAACTACACATCATGACGATGGCGTCGTCTCAAGGTAATGAGAAGTTTTGTGTAAATGTGCATTTTATTTTTGCTTAAATTCGCTATTAGATAGTTTGGTAGTGAAATTTAGTTAGTTAGTTAGCGTTTCATGTATTATGCTACGTATTATTTCGCAGGTACTTTATTTTTCAAAAAGCAGGAAGTCTGACAGATCGCATGTACATGTACCTCTCGGTATCTGCATTATTTTATTGAGGAATCCAACTGGTTATTTTAGAGTTAAATGACATCGGACAGGTCATCGGATTGGGAGATATTTACATAGTTGCCTAAACCGGGCTTGGAAAATGTATACGTGACTTTCAAGTCGGAGCAAAGTCAAAGTTTCTCAGCATTTTAGATAAAAGAATGTGTGTGTTCCGTTCCCGGATTTGATAGTGGACGTGGACTCAAGCAGATTATGCAATTGACAGGAAAGATAAGCAGAATAAGCAGATGTTGTTGGCTGATCTAATTTTGACCTTCACGCTTCCCCCAATTCCGTAGTTTGGTCATCCACAAACTAATTGAAGGGAAGGTGTGATGTTGCACAACTGACTAATTTATTATCAGAGGAGAGATATTAATATCTATTAGGTCATCCTAATATCATGATAGGTATGAGAGGTACTTTGCATAACAAGTAAAATTAGTGTGACTGCATGACTTGCATGGACATGTACGCAGTCCAAATTCCAGGACTTTTTGCTTTCAATAAACAATATTCAACAGGAAGCTGTTTGTTAAATAATAAGTCATTAAAATTATCAAGAAATGGTCACATTTTACAGTAAGCATTTCGTGACTGATTTATGTATCACACACAATTGGACACTTATGTATGTGAATATGAGAACAATAAAATTATAAATATTTCATTCACAAGAAGTAGTTTAAGTATGTAAGTTATTGAACATTTCCAGACCGCTATTGAGATTGAGTCATCCTTTAAATGTTCACCAGCTATAAAATTAAATTTGTAATTTAATGCTCCTATGTTATTTCAAAACAAAAGGGCGACTTTCAGCAGTTAGCACAACATGCCCATTAATAATTATGTACGGTTTTGAATATTTATTTGGTTATGTTCACTTGTAATAAAGAAGGCCTATTTTTATTACTTGTTATTTGCGACAGACTGCATAATACAGATTCAGATTATACAGTCAGCAGAAAGACCTGGAAAATATTTTGCATACCTCACACTCAAAATTATGTAGCTGTGTGTTTATTTTATGTCTATTTGCTCAAATGTTTATGCATTACTCACCTCACAACGCAATGATTGAGCTTTCCTGTCCTACCTTATTTAGAAAAAGGGCGATTTATTAGGACACGGAATTTCTATTTTCGTCTCAAAATAATAGTTATTTTCCGAAAAGTCTATAACGACTGGACTCACATACACTAACACCAACTTAATCGTAGAAAGATAGAGGTATGCATGCAAAAAAAATGTTGCAAAATTGGATGGAATTTATAGAGAATGATAAGCATACACACATGTTCATACATAGCGTTCAAATATTCTATACATAAATACCGATGGCCTGCTTCCTGAAAGTTATTTATTATATTCCATGTTATCCAGGTCACCTCATGTTTTTTGTCCACGTGCATTTTTCTTGAAATTGACAGATTTAGGTTAATTTGTAATCCATCAGGCACACACAGGTGCTCAATAAAATTTGTATCTCGAATAATCATTTAACAATCGCCCCAAAAAAACATCCGCAAAATTGGATAATCCTGCATTATCATTCAGTAAAATCCATCCTAGTTATACATATTTATATGTGGATGTTATACGTGGTCTATATATACCTATGTCATGTCCAGTGTTAATTATCGTTCTAGCAAAATGTAGCCACATTGACCCACCTACATTGAACATTATGCAATTTTGTTGTACACACACACGTGTAATTTTGACACATTGATGCAACATATTTTTTCAACGTTCAAATGAACAAGAATATTTTTCGTCGAGATGACCACTCTTCTCTGCTAAAATTCCCTTTCTTTATTATTATAGGTTTCAGAACAGCGCTTTTAGTCCTCTGTGTAATTGGCAGTTTCACGACAATGGCAAACGAAAGTGAAACTGCGCTCAAGGCTGTTGCAAAATCCAACACGGAATTTACCTCTTCGCTTTACAACGTGAGTGTCTACCCTTTACGAGATATTTTATTATTGACAATAATAATATTTCACAGAAGAATTTTAAGTGTTTACTGCCACTTTTGCTGGCAGTTAACATAAAATGTAAATGAAATGACCATCTTTATCATCTCTGTACAGGCGTTAACCCAAGTCGTGGACGGGAATTTGATCTTCTCTCCCTACAGCTTGTCCGCTGTAATGGCGATGGTTAAAGGTATACTGATAATTGGTTTATGTAGCCTACGTGCATAAGCTGGAGTAGTTTTCAACCGAGGGAAAATTATATATGTATGCATACATAATTTTATGATTTTTTTGTTACGCCTGAAGCTGGAGCCAAGGGGCGTACGGCTAATGATATCCAAACGGCCATGAAATATCCTACCGACGATAACACTTTGTTCAAGGGGTACAAGGCTTTACTGGAGTCGTTGAAGGTAGAAAAATTACTAGAATGAAACCTTGGCTGAATTTTGTACATAAAAAATGATGGTGCTAAAATAATTAACAGAGTGATGGACAAAACTTTACATTGGAAACGGTCAACAGAGTATATGCCAAGACTGGATTTAAGCTACAGAGCAGATTTACCAGTATTGTGGAGGAAAATTTTGGGGCGAAGATTGAGCAATTGGATTTCACAAAGTCTTCACAAGCCGCTTCTACCATTAATGACTTTGTAGCTCGGACGACTCATGATAAGATTAAGGACCTTATTTCCCCCGGAGATTTGGACAGCCTAACGAGACTCGTTTTGGTTAATGCCATCTACTTTAAGGGACTTTGGAAAAATCAGTTCAACAAGCAACTTACCAAGGAGGCTGATTTCCACTTGAACAAGAATGACACGGTGAAAGTACAAATGATGAAGATTGAGGCTGACTTTCCATACGGAGAAATTGAAGAGTTGAACGCTAAAGCTATTGCTCTTCCTTATCAGGTACATACATAAAGCGTTGCATTATTGATATAACAAATTTTTAGTCAGTTTGGCTAATACTTGTTTTTGGGTTTCTTTTCAGGGTGATCGATTAAGTATGATCATTTTGTTGCCGAATGAAATTGAAGGTTTGAAAGATATGGAGGAAAAACTAAAGAATTTCTCCCTTGCCTCGATCCCATCTCGTTTGAGGGAACGCAAGATTAATTTGTCCATGCCAAAGTTCACTCTTGAGTCCACTATCGATCTGAAAGGTCCTTTGACCGCGGTATGTACATCGTCATCATCTTAACCTCCGTCATCGTATCATATCTTTTATTACAAACAAATTTTGGGAATTCCTACCAAACAACTTGTTTACAACAATCTCGTTTACTTTATCAATTTCCAGATTGGAGCAGGTTCAATTTTTGATGAGACCAAGGCTGACTTCTCCGGTATTCCTGAAGACAAGTCTGAACAACTCTATGTTTCCAAAGCTGTACAAAAGGCATTCATTGAAGTTAATGAGGAAGGTAGCGAGGCTGCTGCAGCAACCGGTAAGCACCACATATTCTGGACTAATTTGCTTTTAATTGTCTGTCTCTTTGTCATTGTACCCTAAATGTGCTTTCTTGTCTTTTTCTGTTATCTGTGTCTTTTGTCTTATCTTTGTAGTTAAGTAGTTGAGTAGTAATTAGTAAATTACTCATCATTTGATGATGATGCATGCATACATGTGATTTGTGTAAACGCGTTGTGCTGTATCGTCTCTCTCTCCTCGTCATAATAATTGGCTTGGATGTGTAATGAATGCTTAAAGCTACTCGTAGTATAATAATGCTGGCAAATGCACAACTTGATAGTACAAGACTATCTTTACCAAAAATTATGAGCTCATTCAATGACAAAATAATTATAACCGTCTCGGTTGGTAATTTTACAAGTAGAAAATAAGGCTCTCATTGCTTTTTTGAATAATGAATACTTTTCAAAAATATAAAAACTCTCTCGTGCTTAATTGATGCTTTTTTTTTTACTGTCGTTCGTATCCCTTCTTTGAAAATTACAATATTGTAAGAACTTCAGAGCTAGCGAGGCTTTTGTAAATAAATTTCAGGGACCCTGATTCGTAAACGACGATCTCTTCTCGAAGATGAACTTCCACTTCGCTTCGACATAGACCATCCTTTTGTATATCTCATATTTTGGAGTGAGGCGACCAAGACGACGACAACTCTGACTAAACATGAGACAACTGTCTTATTTGAAGGAAATCTCATACAACCAACTACTCCTCCAAAACGACAAACTACTCTTTCTGACAGATCAGAGTTGTAAATGTAGAATTTGCTTAAGTTTAACTGATTAGAATAGACAGGTATCAACATAACAAGTTAGTTAATATTTCACGAATTATATAAGCAAAGTCTCTACCAGATTATGCAACTACTTATCAATCTCTTGCCATCATCCTGTCAACAACGATTAATTGCTCTCTGTTGCATAATTTATTTGTCTCGTAATTCCTAAAAGTCTGCAAATGGTGATACATACATAGCACCATCCGTGATATACAGTCCACTTGCTTGCGTAAATAGATACACATAATGCAGTGCAATCCATGTGATATGATACTTATATTTAGAAATTGTAGTAGGTATTTAGATGTAAATCAGCTTTAATCCGGTCGCAATCTCGGTCATGTCATGTCGTGGTTAATTAGAAATTGTGCACCATAATATTTACATGTCAGTGTCAGGGTTTAACCAAATTGTTAAATGATAGGTCTCATAGCGGTGGCATATTCCCTTCCCTTTGTCACCGAGGTCAGGATTCTTCACCCTTTCATTTCCTTCATTTACATCCCAGATTCCGCCGAGACGGACCCTCCTTCGGAACAGTTCTCCATTCTTTTCATGACTAAATTGATGAAACCTGTTTATGAAAAACGTACATAGTTGAAAAGTACCTCAATCGATGGAAAGTTCAAAATCAGAAAACATGTTCTGATAATGATTACCACTTAACTTGATTCCTGTACCTTTTTTCATATATTTACCATTTTCTAATGTTACCAGTCGATAATGACTTATTTTCTTGCCACGTAGTCATTTTACAGTAATTCAAAGTCGAGACAAGGATTAAATAATTATTTATTTATTGTGCACGTATTCAGTTTTGTTGTTTGATTGAGGCTAATAGGACATAATTAGTAAAATCAAAAATTTCTCTTGAACCAATTTTTTTTTCACGACAGGAAATTGGATTTCATTAATTTCAAAGTCAAATGACATTCGTACATTTTCTAATCCATCATAATTCTTTTCTTAATATACACAAGTCAACTTGACAAAACTTCTTCCTTCCCTGTGCACCAATTAAAAATACGATTCTTGTTCATGATCACATTTTGTTGGGATGTGTGTAGGTTTCATCTTCCAAAATCGAATTAGTGGTGCAGAAAAGTCCGTAAGTGTCGTGGTCAATCGACCATTCACCATGTTTGTTACGGAACACGAACAAGAAATTCATGACACTAGCGAACCAGTGATTTTGTTTAAGGCAAAGGTTTCTTCCATTCCATCGAAATAATTAAACAACGAGTTGGAAATATTTCAAATGTCTTGTGATGCATGAATTTATCTTGTCGAAATGTTATTGATTTTTAGCAATTAATTAAATTAACCCTGTGATTGGTTTAAAATAAAGGCAATTAAAGGATTATGATCAATTATAACTACAAAATTATATAATTGGTTTGTAATTATTTAGAAAGGGTGGGCGTTTTTTTATTGTCTACCTCCATCCAACTAGATTTCGACATATCATCATTTTGACAAGATTACCTCTAATTTGAGCCACATTGGACACTTAAATTTGTTTCACGTTTAACATTATTATATCGAAATACACTGCTTTTCATGGCGTAATTGTATCTGTATAAGTAATTTTAAAGGAATGTTTGTAACGCCGTGTTGTATGTCATACAATGTATCGTACCATCCTCTAATTAACCAGAGTTGAACTAACTAAATTTGCATGACATCAATATTTGTCTGTACGTTAACTGCATCCCACCCCAAGCTTGAAGCTCATCAAATTACTATTAATTAATTAATGCTGGAACATTTCCCCGGTATGTTGGGATCTAATACAGCATGTTTTTGTGACATATTTGTAATATTATACTGGGTTCAATTCATGAACAGGTATTCAGATAAGTCTAAAAAGTGCATTCATCGGACCACGGGCAAATCTGAACCATCCATTCATTGCCATGATAGTTGAGCAAAGTCCAATCGATCTTGCCATAAGGTCGGTCTTATTCCATTCCACCTACGCCAACCCTGTCGACACCAGCACCACTGTGAAGATGAGCGGTGCTTGGGCGCAAAATAATTCGGCGTCAATGAGGCTTCCCTCCTCCAACGGAGCATTGATTATTCCTACCATTTTACTTATGCAATTATTGAGCTACGTCATTGGTAGTTTTGCAATCTAATAAGGTGAAAATTATATTGCAAAAATGTAGAGAATCTCATATGAAATATGCAAGTCGAGTATTATTCTTCTTATTATTTGACTGCTGGCACAAGTAGACGGCTAGCTACATATTTATGTATATCCTTCTGATTATAGACCAAATATTTTGTAGGCGATTTTATGCCTCCTCCTTATTTGGTATTTATATACGCCATTCTATGCTGAATATCTATTTGATAAGTCATGTATTGAAACAAATATACCTAAATAGTATTATTAAAAGTCCCTGCCCGAGAACAAAATAATAAATTGTACACATATTTTGGGGATTGGAATGCTAACATGATTCTGCATGTAAATAATAATTTCTTATGTAAATGTTGATTTTTTTGTTATTCCACTAAACTATATTTCCTGCATTGTTTTGCCAACACTAAATTTTGGTGTATATATTTTCCTGCACATTTTATTATTATTACTCACTCACACTCACTTAATTATGTATTTAGGTGAATATGCATGCAATACTTCACACTATGCAAAAACACCTAAAAAATCTTTTGTTTTTAATTGTTTTGTTAACTGTCATTCATTTATGTTATACATTGGACTTACTTTGGCAGCATTCCAAATTACGGCACGATCTGGACTAGACTGGAATGAACTCGTCGAGCTACACAGTCCATTTTTAGCCATGATTGTCCATCACCAACCCATTGACGACCATCACTTTCATCGCAATCATGACCAACACGATGACGACAGTCCTACGACAATTTTGTTTCATACGACCGTCACCAATCCCGTGGTGACATCGACCATGGTAAAGGCAAGTTTGTGGGCTAGTTCTTCCTCCTCCGTGGTCCCGTCATTCATCGTTTGGCTGGTAGTGTCACTTTTTGCGGTGAAGCAGTTAGTCCTTTGGTAGACGGAGAGAAAGAAATATAATGCTTGTACTACTTTTACTGATGTATTTGCTGCAAATTAGAATCTTAATAAGTTACCATCTAAAAATTACTTATTGTTACTACTTGTAAAGTATTATCTTTATCATTTATATTAGTATTATTATTATTGTTTTACGTGAGACAATCACATCCATGACCAATGCAACTATATTTGCTGATCTTGTTTTTGTTTGGTGGATTTTTTTCAACGTTTTGTAGTAACTCGTTCAGGAAGAAAGTTAACTTTGCGTGTCCACAACTTTCTCCGGCTCTCAATTGACCACCCCTTCACAGCTTTAATCTCTTTTTACGAAGTAATGTTGAATAGTAGTCAACATGCAAATGAACATTCTGGCGTACAATTATTCACTGCAAGGGTAGACTTTAGACAAAATAGTGCCAAAACGATTAATTAATTAATTATTAAAGTTGGAAATTTTACTGCAATGAAGCGAACAAAATTGAGTGAAATTGAGTATTGTTATGAAGAAACTAAAAAAATCCTTTTAGACGATATGAATGAGAGTTTGATTATTGAGTCTGATTTTGATCTGATTTATGTATTTACAAGTAATTTAGTTTCTTTAGTCTGTCAAATTTTTTTATGGGCTTTATCGAATAAAGTGTATGATTTTCTTGAAGCTTTAAACACATGAGTTATTTACAATAGTTAATTTTCGGAGGTTACTTGTGCGTGATGATTAATTAAGTTTGATTATATTGAGGGTATTCATTATTTCTTCGTATCCTTAGTATTCTTCGTATCGTAAAATAACTTACGAAGCTTACGAGATTTTGTAAGCGTCGTAAGATTTTGTCATCGAAAATCACGTTACTACGCTTACGATTTTTACTAAGCTTGACCCCTTGTTTTTTCTTCGTAAACTATTTTACGATACGATGGATACAAAGAAATAATGAATACCCTCATTATAATCATAAAACTATAATTATAAGAATCTACAAAATACACATTTTGTAGCGACATTTTTCAAAATTTCTTGAGATGCTTTTTTATTTCCATTTTTTGCAGATAATTTAATTTAAATTCAGACAGGTATGTATTCCAATGATGTGTATATTTTTTCTAGGTCAAGTTTTGGATGATTGTATTTTGGAACCTGGTTACAATTTTGTTATTGATAATTCCTTTCTAATGTTCATTACCCTTGGGAAATCTGCCAGTGTAGAAACAAATACAATCTTTTTATTTAATGGGATTGTCAAATATCCGATTTAGCATGTGTATGTATGTATTTAATAAAATAGGTTAAATACGGGTTCGACTTTCTGCTTGCTATTTAAGCCAAGCTACTAATTGGTTCATGTTTATTTTCAAATTTTCCTACCAGCGAGTATGTATAAATGGATATTTTATCACGATTTTCAACATTACTGCTGATGTACAAATTTCGAAATTTCTCAAAATTATTACATTCCTTGTAATCTGACAGCTGTTTCATTCAACCGAAGAAACAAACCGAAGGAACCAAGATACCATAATATCGTGGTTGACCGCCCGTTTAGCGTCAACATTTATTCGACACAATTTGATACCGTTTTATTTTACGGTGCAATCTTCAACGCGAAGGAGGGACAACCGGATAATGCAAATGATGAGAAACATGTTGAGTAAACAACTGCGGAATCCACAACCATCACATAAATTACTTGTAGAGGTCACTTATTTGCTATTTGGTTGGATAAATATGTGTTAATTGTCAATTCAGCTATTAAAATTAAGGTAAATCTCCATCTACACATACTTAATATGCAAATTTAAAATTAGCAAGAATGTATGAAAAAGCTTGTCTTCGTAGCTTTCTCTATCCGAATTTCTATGTCTTGTCCAGTTTACCAGCATCTATAAATATGTGCAATAAATGTATTTTTGTGTGTACATATAACATCAATCCTATTTCAGGCACAGAGTTTATATACCGATTCGCCACTTTGGAACAACGAATACTAATAATTGACCACGCCTTTTTAGCCGTCGTTGTGCATATCGATGAAGAAAACATGACGCCACTGGTTGCACTAAAATCTATTTCGGTTTAGGAAAATTTGCTACGTTTTTCAGTGAAATTGTATAATTTCAGGTTAAATTTTTGCTCGTATTTTTTTCTCCTAGTTCAAATTTCTTTAGAGAAAGTGCTCACAAAAAGGTATTCATTTTACCATATTTTCAAACGTCTAGTCATCAGAAAATTGTTTGCTCAGAAAAATAATCTCAACATTTACACAACTGGCAGGGTTGCACTGCTGCTACATTACTCAATGTTTACTAACACTGTGACTAACAGTTTGTTGCAATAAATAAATAAAATTGAAGAGAATCGCATTAAAGAAAATGGTGAAGATGTGAAATTATTTTATTCTATTTATGTACATAGCTTTCTTGTCCAGCGCGAACCACTGGTCACCGCGTCCTGTCCGCTTTCATATTGACCATACATTCTTGCTTATGGTGTACTATGAAGACCAGAAAACTGAATATTTCCTCTTTGTTGGGAACATCAACAGCAAGTGATGGTTGAAAAAACAGTTTTACATACTATTTCAATGTGGATTTTATACCTAAGAGATTGCTTATGTAATGTTAATAAAGCTACGTTTACATAATAGGTGTGTTTAAATGTTTTAAATTATTTTGATGTATGGAAATCTCAGTAAGTCATGATAAGGTAAGATATCCATTTATACGGGGCGTGCTTTCAGTCAAACTTGTTAAAAAACTATTAAATTTTTGGGTATTTTGTGGTAGCTTTCTTTCGTAACTTTTTATAATGGTTTTTACGCCAATGAATACAAATGTTAGCTGAAATTTGTATAATAACCGTAATTTTTCATCTCATTTAGTTGCCGTGATGCGTGGAAGGGCTCTAGTCAGACATCCCCAGGTCACCTTAAGCCACCCATTTTTCTTCACAATTATGAAGCACAAAGTTGAAGAGAGTGACGACGGAAAGATGAAAGCAATTCCACCGATGACGACCTTATTCGGTGGAAGGTGCACCGACCCACCGTCATCATCGAAGCCAAAGCGTGGAGAAAGTAAAGCTGAAGAGGAGGAGGACGAAAATTAAGAAGAATCTTGTACTCAAAATATACTTAGCAAATATACTTAGCTTGAAACAATATGCTTTAATCATAGCTTTAATAAATAACTCGTTGACATTGTAAAATTGCATGCATACACACGTCTCATCTCGCATCACAAAACCATTAATGTTGAGTGCATCTCAAGATTACGTTAGTCATGATAGTTAATTAAGCAAAAAACAAAAGAAACTTTTGTCTACTGAAATGTGCAATGATTGCAAAACAGGTTTGTGTGTCCAGGTAGATGTGACTGGATAGCCATTATAATTTTATCAGCTGAATAGTAATTATTTACCATCAATTTATACAATTTATAGTAAAAATGCAAAATAAATTAGTTTTGCAAATAAATCGAATTATTTTTTGTGCAATTCTTATTAAATCATGTTCTTCCGAAATATCTACGTCCAATAATCAGTTTAGTCTTCAATTGTATTCCGTAAGAATTATGGTTAATGCATTACTTCCTGGGTAAGTAAATAAAATCCATAAAATCCAAAATATTATTTCCAATTCTATAGGCTTTAACTGCAAAACACGATGGAGATTTCTCCATTTCTCCATTCCCTGTGACCAAATTATTCGCTGCCTTATACGCTGAAGCTGGTGGGAACGACTTGATAAAAGCAATCAGAAATTCTCCTCAATTTCCGGAAGATATTTCCACCGTGGTTCGTGACTACAAGAGAGTTATAGAAGATTTTTCAGTATACAGAACTGACTCTTAATTCAATAATTAATCCTTTCACAAATTAAGTAATTAATTTAATAATTTACATGCAATTTACATAGGCTATTGAATCATTGGAAAATATTCAATCCGCATTTTTGGTCAACGATTCCATCGTTCAGAATTTTAAAAACATACTGAAAAATGATTTAGATGTAACCATATTGAGCACAAATTTGTCAGATTTGGATGCAACACAAAACACAATTGTTAATTGGACAGACCACAGGACAAATGAAAGCGCACAGTTCCTCAAAGGTGTACATTTATTGACTTTAATTAAAAACCTGGAAAATTTACTAAAGTAAAACTTATAAATGTCTATTTCAGAACATTTTAATGAAAATGCAACAACTTTCTTACTATCAAAATCATTTTTCGAGGCCACATGGGTTCACAAATTCCATTCCTCTTTTACAAAACCGAGTCCATTCTATTACGACGAAACGCACGCCAATCAGGTCGACATGATGTTTCAAAGGGCTCGCGTTCCATACGCGGAAATACCCGAATTGGACTGTACTGCAGTTTCATTGCCGTATAATTCCGAAACATATCCCCAAAATAGTAGTGCCGATGATGAGGACTTTCACCGATTGGAAATGATAATTTTACTTCCAAACAGTAGGACAGGGTTGACAGGATTAGAAACTAGTCTAAAAACTTACCCATTTTCAAGAATCCCTCAACAATTCTTGAACACGAAAGATATGTTTTTGTACATACCAAAGTTTAATGTGAGTTCTATGGTGGATTTATCGGAAGTAGTTTCAAAGGTAATTGAAATATTGACCTCAAGACACCCTGAGACTAAAATGATACCAATATTCGTGAATTTTTTGTAGCTGGGCACAGATTCACAGACAAGTTCGGAAGGAATTAACTTGTCAAACGTCACTTTTAATGGGGACAAAAATTCGACGGTCAATATTTCCAAAATTTTGCATTTTGTAAAATTTTCAGTTGATGAAAACGGGAGTAATGCGTCTAATGAGACATCAGCCACAGTGCCAAGTAAGTAAATACTAATAAATTTTACCTGTATTTTAGAATCCTGAACACTGGCTAAGATTTCTCATCTTTTTATTCAGATTATTCACTAAAGTACAACTCGCCGGAATCTTTCAGAGCCAACCGACCCTTTATAGGGTTTCTTTATGATCAAGAGAAGCATATTATTCTTAACATTTTCCGTAAAAAGAGTTAATTCAAGCCAGTAAAAAAAAGTTGCGTTTCGATTCAAAGCATTTGTAAAATTCTGAAGAAATAATCCACCTCCATTTCAGCATCTAGACATAAATCGGTACAATGAACCGCGTTCTTGACTGTGGACGTCCCAAACTTCGCACGGATTGAGGTGGGGCGTAGTTTCTTGGCAATTATCTGACAGGAAAGTATCATTTGTACGATAATCTAAAGTTTAATGGAGCTGTTTCAAATTTAATTTACTGGATTCATTGGTCCCACAAATTCGCGAAAGCTGGCCGGAGTATCTTCACCGCAACCGGAAATTTCTAGCACGTAACAAGGTCCAAGAGACAATTCTTCTGTCATATCCTACAAAAAATTTAGTCGAGCCACATAGTTTTAGTACCTCAATGATATGCAAGTGGATGATGACGCTATTTTAATCATTAATTAATTAATTACACTGTATTCGGGAATGACTCCTTTGTAAATCTCGTAAAATTCTTCTGCATGAGTTCGATCCAAGTAAAATAGTTCGAATGCGGTGATCTTGTAATTGGCTCGTGTAATGCAATCGATTATAGAGCCAGCCACTCCTACACGACGGTCAGATTAAGCAGTTTTTGCATATTTTCTACATTCTAAGGACTAATTGTTCCATTTTACACTAAAATAATTTACCCTCTTTGACAGCGTGAGGTTTAATCACACAACAAGTTGAACAAGTCATTAATGCCGTTCCTGGAGCAAGAAGCGGAAGTGCGGTACGGCATGTAGTAAAAAATAGGGCCGCATCCTAACAAAGTAATACATGCAATTTTAATAAATTACATATTTTTCAGCGAGATTTCTTACTTTCTCGACACAAGCAGGACTTTCAGAAATTTGAACGGCATTAGTTACAAAATCATTTCCATAAATTGCCCTCAAAGACCCTGGTTGTTGCAACTTGGCGACACCAGGATCTTGATCGCCAGCCAAGCAACGAACTTTCTGAATTGCGTCACGTCCAACGAGCAGAAATGCGACAAGTGGACCGGATGTCATTTGAGTCACTAATCGCCTAAATGCATTTAATTGTAATTCAATTGTAAAGATATTTCATAATCAAGTTCTAATTTGTGCATACAAGTAAAATTCTTCAGATTTGTAATGCTCGTAAAACTTTGCAACCATATCGGGAGTCATTCTGGCCATTCGTGCTCTCAAAACTCTCAGACCAGAATTCTCCAATTGTCGCAAGATCATTCCAAGGCATTGGACAGCATGAGGTTTGATTAATAAGAATGCTCTATGAAAATAAAAGAAAGCTTTGACTTGGTGAAAGTTTGGCTTGATTTCATAACTTTAACCACCTTTCAGATCGGGGTTCCAAAAATTGTCGGGTGCAACTATCCGAATACTCCACAAGTGTCATTTGTCGCCCATAAATATTGATGACGTTTCCCAAGTAGAGTTGAGATAGGGTTACCGTTTCCAATTTCAGCCTTCGCAGGAATCGCTGGTTATTTATTACATCTTTCTAAAAATAATTATAATTCTTAATTATTCTAATTCTTCTCGGATTAAAATTATTTGAAAGGATTCATACAACTTCACATGACCCATCGATTCCGTAATAGATTAGGAGATACTTCTTAACCAAATCTGCCTGATTTTCGTACCACTCGACGATAAACATGAGTTTATCAGGGACAGTCTGCATATGCAAATATGGAATAAATATATGCACGGAAAATAAGGTGATATTAGTCAAATTAACCTCATCAAGTCCTCGGCGTGAATCACAATCTCCATCTCCACTAACCCCACAGTACCCCTTCCCACAACAATCGTTGTCAATCTTCATAGTTTTTAGAGATTCGTATACTGCTCTGACCGAGTCCCCACTGTTGACGGTGCAGGCAGGGCTCGTTGAGCATTTCGTGCAAGAGGGAGATTTGCAATTGCAGTACTGTGACATCTTTGAAATCTGTGCCTGCCCAAGTGTTTTTGGCTTTTAAAAAAATGATGCATAGAATGACATCAATTTCTCATGCGCGTTCAAAACAGCTTCACTTTTTGAATGTGTCTAAGCAACGCTTGGGTCCTTTAAGTTGCGACTAATTCACCCCAAGGGGTATGCGAGTCGTTAGTGCGTAAATTGACTGCACTGATCAATATTTTCCGTATTACATGGGAAATGGGATGGGAATGATGGGAATCAAATTATTCTAATTTGAAAGTAACAAGTTTTAAATAAAGCAATCATTTTACACCGTATAAAACGTGCTCATTTATTACAACAATTTTTACAATCTTGAACTAAATATTTTCGTTTTCATACATAAATAAATTACGCTATACAGTAATGCTATACATTTTATCCACTCCTACACCACCACCACGTTCCCCCGTATACTCCCCAATGAGATGAAGGACCAGGACGATGAACGCCATTCTAATAATTGTAATTATTAGAACGATAATATATAAGTAATAATGATAACTTCTTACCTAAAGACGTTCAGTGGAATGAAGATTAAGAGGGTTAAGGTGTACTGCATTTGGTAAAGGTCGCTCGCAGCCACAACTACAGTCAAAACCATGATGGCAATTCTCCACCAAAACCACTTTTTGCAGAAGAGCACGCTCCTCTGCAAGCATAAAAAATTATACATAGTGAATTATCAACATTTCACATATGCTATGTATATCTCATAAGGAAATTGGTGAACAAAAGTGTTAGGGAATTACGTCTAACCCTCAAAAGTTCGTGACGGTCAAGGCCCTCTCATAAAAACTTTGTAGTTTAGTTAGTAATTGTCTTACAAGTAATTACTTGATTGTTATTATATAAAAATAATAAAATAATACTTTGTAATTATTTTAGAGTGCCAGTGCAGAACTTTATAATTTTTGTTGATTATTGGTGAATTTGTTAATCTGTCCTTAGATAACAGTCACGCAGGTAGAAACGCCCATGAATCAGGGATTTATTTTGCACAAACCTGTGCCACGTCGTTTGTCGGCTTATATTTATAAATCAAGATGCATAATATGTACGTTAGAATTATTCCGGAGTGTCACCCCATTTGCATATTTTGACACATTAGCGTCATTTTACTCAACATGTGTCGCCGGAAATGGGCATATTGAGATTTTTGCAAATGAAGTGACCTTTCAGAATAGATTGATTTATTCATAAACTTTTTTTGTCCCTTTCGCCTTCTAAATTTCCTTACCTCTTTTGCACCACGGATTAAAAGGCAGCAAAGCCACACTTCAATTATCAGGTAGGTTACGGCGATGACGACCAAAGACATGTACACGGCATTGTAAACTGAGGACGCTGGAAGTGTAAAGAAGCCATTGTTTCTTTAAATTTCATTGGAAAAACTGTGCCCGTGTGATTATATCGTAAATTAAGAACATACAGGAGTAATGGCGAGAATACAGATAGTCCCAAATCGCCATCAGCTCGTTCTTCTCAGATAGTGAAACTACAATTTGGAAAAGAATCAGTTATTTGTGAATCACACATTATGCATCAAGCATCATTCATTATTGATCAAGTGTAAATCCTTTGCAAAATATTAGTCACTCATAAAATCATAGGGAATGCAACTGTGTACATATACTGTTTTCATAAAAACTTCGTACGCGTATATAGAAAATCTTGAATTTGTAATTAATAAGATTATTAAGTAATTAATTTCCCGTAAATGAGCTTACATGAAAGTGTGCCGTTATCATTAAACTGTAATTTCATAGGTCTCAACTCCGTGACAGAATGCTCCACTGCTACGCTGACAATGATTGTTCCAAAGTAGAAGAACTGCAAAAATGATTTTGAAATTAATTGTTGAAATTAAATATTTCGGATCATTCTTCAAGTCTAATTAAATATTGATATTCGCAATATTTCTGAAAACTTGTATTTAGAACTCACTATATCGAAAATTGACAGGTAATAACACATCACTTGCAACCTCGACATCTTTTCTTGATTTGGAGATCCCATTTTACTAATAAGTGTTTCAACTTCTTTGAGATCTAATTGTTACGCCTGCTGCACAGAATTTGTAAAATACCGGAACAATTTCGAATCCTTCGTTTTTCTCAAAATTACTCTCGTTTTTTTTAATTTTCACTCAATATATTTTATTCTGTAACTCAATTATCTCAATCTCCTCTGATAAGTTTTAGAATATCACAGTTCACTCAACGAAAGAGAAACCTGACTAGCAAATCTTTAAGCTAGGATTATGTAAAGTATTTTTCACGCAGACGTTGCTATCCTATATGGTGCCGAACTGCCGGTCAACAACAGAATAAGGAATACGTTTCCTTCCTCCTATTGTCTAGCAGATAACGAGAATAAAGAAAATTTTAGCAAGAAACAACCTAGTTGACCTAGGAATGGTTGTTCATCAATCAAACACAGAACTTAATCATTACATGGAACGAAATTTATACACATCATCAAAAAAACGTAATATGTGTGTACGATACCAATACTAGCAATGCATGATAAATGTGCATATGCATGTGAATTATGTATGTAAGTACGCATACATTTTATTTAACTAAAGAAACCAAAGTCCAAATTATAACAGTGTGGCTGAATGAAAGGTCATTTTTTCTTTGTGAGTGAGACATCCCACACGACACGATGATAAGAAGGTAACAATGTAAAAGTGTGACCTTATTACGCTACATAAATGATTTTACACTATCCCACGGAAGAGTATGTAAACTTGACGCATTCATGTAATAAAGTGCGAAAAACATCAATTTAACCGTGTTCGTTATAATAATAAACGAAATTGGAATACTGCTATTGGTTCGACAGGATGTTCGATTTTCGAATTATATGCGCAAAACCCAGACCCAGTTTAGATTTTTCAATTTATACAAAAACATGGTAAAATTGGTTCAATCCTATTAAATTAGAAACATGCAGGCGCAATTATTTGCCACAAGGAAGAAAACGAAGCGTGGAGTCGATGAACTCGAGGTAGCCACCGGAATTTTTTTCTGCAAAATGTCAAACTCTGAAAATTTGCTTTTCACTCTGAACCAGCCTTGTATTTTTTCTGTCAAGGTTGTTTTACGATATAATTTAATAAGTTGACACAAAGAATAATGTTGTCCTTCTCTCGTCGCATTATTGTTCTCTTCTTATCTTGTGTCCTTTTTGAAGGGACCATTGCCCATAGCGGGCACGACGAGCATTCCATCGGTGAAATTGAGCTCGTCGACGGGAAGAGGAAGGCCCTGCCCCCACTGCGAGAGTTGGAGCGGAAAGCCACCACTGCTGTCGAGTTGACGTGTCTGCGGGCCTTCAGGGAGAACATGGGGTCACCGGAAGAGGTCATCATCCAAACGGGCGACTCGGGTCAGGGGATCAACTGGTGTGAGGCATTGGACGAAACGCCATTCGTTGCCGACCCGAACAAGTACTTTGTCCTCATAAGAATGAAGCTTTATTATGTCAAGGATTTCAGACTTAGCCCAACTAAAGATAGAAACCTGTACTTTATAATCATTGCGTCAAGAACGTGTAAGTTTGTTTACGTTGGCTGATCAATTTCAGCTTTATGGACGATAAATTCTCCAAAATTATGGAGGAAGCTTTCAAATTCTAGTTTGAAATATAATTGTCATCGTTTTTTTGCAGTGGACGATGAATTCAATGAGATGGAAATTGTAAATATTCTTCCGAGAATCCCTTGTGTCGCGACGCACACTGAAGTAAGTTTAGTAGTTTTTAATAAAAGTAAAGAAAGCGTTTTAATTGAAGACAGAGGGTTACACTAGAGGTAGATTATAAATAAACTCACTAAGCAATTCGCAGGAAATTTCAAATATTCAAGTGTTCGAGAAAGAGAACTACTTTACAACCACAACGTCCACTGGAGAAAGAATTCCTGGATGTTTTGACCGATCTTGGGGAAAATATCACTTTCATACATATGTTGACAGGATTACGTTTACGGGACGTGAATCAAATCACTTGTTTCTTTATGGATCACGTCTTATTCAGAGGTGAATAAAATGTGTAATTTGTGGGAAAAATATAAAGTCAAATTTCAATACTTTGCAGTAACGACGCTGGTCGAACTTACATTCTGCTGCGAACCTTGACGGCCCCGATTGACCCAAGGCAGAAGCCGGACCCCTATGACACTCTCACCCTTCATCAAATTACTGTAATGGCATTTGATAGTGAAGGGCATTATGCTTTCTTGACGAACGCTAATGAGGTAAGAATTATGCTTTTGAATATGGAATATTGACATGGTCATTATTTGATGTTGAAAATATAGTTGTGGTTTGGATCCACCGGTGACACGAGACAGATTATACTTCGAGGGATAAAATCGGATGGAGGGCATTCCATGATGCAAACGATGGTCACATCCTTTAATGCATCTTTTCCCTATGCATCTCCTACTATTGATCGTACGTTATTTAATGTATGATGCGCAATCCGTGATTAACTAGATGACCTTGTAATTTGTGTTTCATGGGGGGTACAGACCTGTATATTGAGGCACAACCTGTGGGTTTATTCTTTGATGACCAGGACGTATTATATGAGGTTTTTACATATGAATCTGAAATTAATTGCGAGTTGGGTATTTTAATTTATTCTATTTAAATTTAATTTGTCGTAGATTGTTGTTCTATGGAATTGGGTTGAAGGAGAGGAGATGATAACCACTCGACGCATACCCGTTGACATGATGATGCGGTATAATAAGTTTTATCTTGATCTTCTACTCTTATCTGCGGGTCACGTTAAGGTATTTTTGTTATTTTAATGCTTGCATTGTATGGGTTAACATTTTGTATTTTATAAACGTTCAAAGGCCAATAAATCTACCTACCATTTTGTTTACGATGTCAAGAGATTTTCGGCGTATTGTCCCATGAGCTCGGTCAAGTTTTACGAAAACTTTATTGTTGAAGGTTCTGTAAATGCGGTGTGTTTACTATCTGAACTAACTGTATCCTAACTTTGCCAGTTTACTTATAATTTACTTGCACCTTGTACCTGATATAATTTTGTCTAGCAAACCGACGCCAAACCACAAATAGAATCAGACTCGGACAGCGCAAACAACGACCATCCGGCCAAATGGACAATCAACATTGCAACAACTCATCTTGTATGGAAAGGGGTTGACAAATTGGTGTCCTCTGGATATGAAACATCAAGTTTGAATCCTGAGCGGTTTGATCGGTGAGTTTATTCAAGTAATTCAGTGTCACTGTATTGTAAAGTAAAACAGTCACAATTACAATTGTTTGTTAACAGGTGGATCCTTAAGAAGCAGGAATTTGCTACAGTTGCACAATTACGATTCATTACTGCTGGTAAGGCGATTTATTACTATACCGATAAATAGGAATTACTTACCTATATCATTTTATGGCAGACACATAAGCTGTATAAAATAATTCTACTTTGGTTTCAGAAAAACTGAGTTCTAAAAGCAATGGTAATCGCCTTTTAAAAGAGTATTATATTGATTATGGGTCGACATTGAGACTCGAACTATACTATTCAACCAATACTGACGCCGTTGTTGGTAAGTATGCATACTTATTACCTATGCATACATAAGTACCTATGCATACTATGTTAACCATGCATTTTTGAATTAGGCGTAAGGGATTTTACGAAGCAAAGAATGAGACTTATTCAATTGAATGTCGAAAATCCGAACGGAACATTGCTTCAAGTTGACACCGAGAAAATTAGATTGATCGAATTAGGAGCAGTAAAATTCGTCGTTGATATTAGTGTCATCAGGAATCGTAAGTCTCTCGTAATTTTTTTGAGTTTAGTCAGATTACTTATGGGAAATTCAAATTAATTGTTTAATTTGAATTTACTTCAGCATTGCTTGCTCAGAACAGACCAGGAGAAAATTTGATAGGATATCATCTCATTTTCCATTTGATTGGGGGTTTCCCAACTTGTGGGAAGGTGATCTTTTAGGTGTTACTGTTATGTATTCAATTCAGATTATTAAAATATTTATATTTATATTTTAGCGTCTGTCGGATCCATTCGCATCGGTAGTTACATGATAAATTCGCAAAATTAGAAATAATCAATAACTTTCGATAAACTTGTATAAACTCGCCACCTAGAGTGCTCAAAGCACCGTTCTTCGTGTCGGATGCCGGCCTTCAACGAGCATTCTGTTCAACTGGAATGAAACACTGTACTCGATTCAATTCAAGTAAGTCTGACAAGTTTACTTATTTAGTATTATCTGATTATCATGACGTTTCGTAATTATTTCTCAGAGACCAGGATGCGCATTACGGTCGTGGAGATGAGTGCTATGATAACGAGTTTGTGTGTTTCTTTGCTCGTGCCCCATTAGTTTTTCACTTTGACATCTACGATATTGTAAAACACTTGCTAATTAATTACTTAAATACACCTACACAGATCTGTACAAAAATCATCTATAATTTAGGCTAAACAAACATATGTTCCATACACTGGGAATTACGTTATGCGGATAATTGCTGGGGGATATGAGAAGGATAAAATGGACAATTATACGCTTGAACAGCAAGAAGGGTACAATATTCCTGGGACTTCTGATGTCAGTTTGATTTGGAATGTAAGTATATAAACTTGAAACTTTACCCTTTTTTTAGATAAATTTGAATATCTTTAATAAATTCGCCATGATTATACAGGAATGGGACCTTGTGGCGAGCCAAAAAATTGACCGCCCTCCACCTCATTTTGACGCCGATTCTACTTCCGAAGAAGATAACATCAAAAAAACTCATCGAGAAAGAGTCTTGCAAGCTGGAGTTTCAGCAATTCAGTAAGTTAAATCTAAATATGTATTACTTTATTAATGCAATAATTTGCATATATGAATAAATTGAATAATGATGTGTTATTGATATTGCTATAGGTGGGCTTGCCATACTTTATCTCCGTGCGCCAGAGTTGTTCCAAATGCCGCATTTCAAACTGTATTTTGGTTTAGAATATCTATTTCCAATCGGTATAATACTATCCATAATTAATTGCCAATTTATAAGCATTTCTCTAAAAGATATGTCCACACAGGGGAGTCGAAAAGAACACGCTGTGCCTTTATGAGAAGGAATTTGATATTATGCTGTATGGATTTCCTCCTTCACCAGAAACTCAGCTTTTTACTACAATTGTGAGCTTTTATTTTTCATAATACAGAGGGTGTTTACAGATTTTGTGGAAAGACAATTTTATGGGTAAACTGCGAACCCTTTATCCGTTTTGGCGCTAAATTTCGAACACGCAATCCCCAAGATCACGGTCACACATGTACCAAGTTTCAAATTTCTATCTTCAAAAATGAGCGCAAAAAGTGACCTCAAAATGGAGGAATCGGTGAAAGGGGTTTCCAAACAACAGACATTTTTTATCTCTTCCATTGAAAAAGCTTTGTTCTAAGCATCCAAACCCAAAATATTCCATCGGACTGGTGTCAGGTTACTTAATGTGTACCCCGGAAAAGGATATCGAGGTCATTCCGGGGTTTGCCTTTAAATCTTGGGCGTCCGGTTGGGTAAATACGGCCGTATATGAAAATGTCGGGTCGTGATGGATGCAAACCTTGTCAGGCTCCCCAAATTGCTTCTTTGCAATTTTGACCTCCAAGAACTTATGTAAAACATTGTCCATAAAGTGCTTCGAGTTTATTTTTGCATTAGACCCAACAGGTATTAATTTTCGCACTCTACGGTCCGTCATTACACCTACCGCTAGGAATCAGTCCGACAACTTTTCCTTCTTTTCAGACCCATGCTTTGAAATCTGCTTTCGGTCGGTTTTGCAGCAAATTATTTTTGTCCTGTTGAAGTTTTGAAGGCAGCAGAGTGTCCCGTCCAATGTGACGACAAATTCGAAATTTTTATTCCCAACATGACCTTCAAACAGCCTCCGGCTGTTAGTTTTTTTGTTTACCATATGGGTAAATTTAAGTGCGCGGACTTTCGCCTTCCTCTGCAAGGCTTTTTTAAAATTGTGCAATAAAATACGATTAACGTGTCCAGGAGACACCTGGGATTGCATTGTGACCTGTCTTTTGGTTGCAGGATTCTGATTGCCATCGTGGCGATCAATGTTCTTCAGGGTGGCAGAATTCATCGTTTTGAGGGGTATGCATTTCGTCGCATACATTGGTCGGATGAAACTAGTTACTGGCGTTTTCTTACAAAATTGATACAATTATATGTGGGGGACACGATAAGATGGGTTCCAAATTTTTGGATTATCGTTTGGGCACATTTCGCGGCCAAATTAGCTTCGGAAACCGCTTTCACGGTTCGTCCACTTTGGGGTAACTTTTGGGGGCTATCTTTGAGGATAGAAATTTGAAACTTTGGGCAGGTGTGGTCGTGACCTTCGAGATTGTGTGTGCCAAATTTGGTGCAAATTCGATAACGCGTTCAAAAGTAATACACGTAATTGACTTTCCACAAAATCTGTAAACATCCTGTAAAAGTGATTAAGTACCATATTGTTTAAAATATTGCTGTTTAGATTTTCTGTTTATGTATGCTTGGAATTTTGTACCTTCTCTTTATTTGTCTACGGGGGCATAAGCGAGTTTGGCGAGCAACGAAGCTTAAAATGTCTGGGTGGTATCTTATCATACGAGACACATTCCCTAAAGGTACAAACATACATGCATACAAAGGGTTCCAAATAATTTTATTGTGATCATTTCGTTTTGCAGTGCTCAAAACCCACGAGGAACAAGGTCAAGAAGAGAATCTTACTCAGTTACAAAAGGACAATATAATTCTATCGCTGCAAGGTCATCTTAAAATTCCTCCGTTAATTGCTCGAGACAGCGCCACCGCAGTTCAGTTTGCTCCGGATGCTAGAGATTCCGTCCTATCAGGAGCATCACGAACATCATCATTGACCTCAATGATGAGCATTACGTCTCTCGACCAACAAAGCCAGGCGGATGGTATAGACAAAGCTGCTGCTCCGCCGGCCCCCACAAATTGGACGGTAAAAGAATGCACGATATTTATATGAACGACCACGTACGTAGTTTAAATGTATGACTTGCGTGGATATTTAGGACCTAGTCTACGAGCAAATTATTTCCAAGAGACTGGCCGCGATTGTGGATAAGAATCGGAAAATGAGAGCAAATATTTTACGAAGGGCGAGTATGCACGACACTAGCATCGAGCATGAAAAACGTTATGAGCAAGAACACAAGAAGACAGTTGATGAAGAAAGTATGTTTACTTTAAAGAAAGAATAGATTATTATTATGTTTTGTTTTTATTATTATGCTAAATGTACAAATTTATGTAATTGTGAATTATGATTAATTTTGTCATATGATTAGAATTACTTTTGGCCAGTTGTTTCTTCCGTAACGGGACATGATATTATAGCTTGATCTATTTCATCCCCTGTGTATGACCTTCCATAATTCATTATTCCATCGATACAGGAATTTTCCGGGACGTCAATCCAATTTCCCCTGGAATGTTTTCCTACCAGTTTTCCAGACTGTAGTAGTCGAAACCTGAACAAGCAAAAATTTTAGCATTTTTAGAACTTTGGGGAAACATTAATACGCATTATAATTAGATATTACTGTGCTTCTGGTATATTAAGTCCTGGGAGGCCCCTTAAGGGTAGCACGTGCACGCCAAGTCCACCTGGACATGATGGAATTTGTGTCAAAATTTCATACTGATCAGAACCACCTTGTTGATTCCTTCCTGTTTCGGAGTCGTCATTTACTTTATAAAACCAAGGGGTCCATTTGTTCTCTCCAGAGTCTCGACATTTCATCTGCCTAATGTCAATCACTTGGTCTGAAGGGCAACATTTTCTAATTGTGATTTTTCGTCTCCCTTCAATATTACTAGGAGTTAGCGATATCACTGCAATTACTAACAAAACACTTGTGTAGATGTTCATTTTTATATAAATTCTTCAGATTAGAAAGTTACAGATAATTTCTCGTACCTGAACTGATTATGTGAGAAAAAAACTAGGACACGAAGTATGCAATTCAACAAGGAAAAATAACAAGCCAAACCACAACTTCCGTTTCATTTACGTAATGCCCAAAATAATGAGTAATTAATTAGGATACACAAATTTAATTTATTGACCACACACCACATTATTGAATAAATATATAATTGAACAAATATTGCATAACAAGCAGGTAGATATATTTAGGAAGAGGACGGAAAAACAATTAATTATAACTTTTCACTCCCCGTCATTACAATGGCTTCTGATGATGATCCCATTTTCTGAACTTTGGAAAGTGTGAAGAAAACCACGAGAACGAGGTGTAGAAATCTAAACCCACCAAAAGGCACTGCAAAGATATCCGTGCAAGTGACTTGTCGACCAGAAATGTCATACATTGCAATGGTCATTGCTACAGCCAAAACTATAATCCGGAATGTCACCCATTTGTAGAGAAAACGGGCTCGCCGCTAATGTGCAAAAGAAATAAGTTGATTAAAAATTCTGTATATTTTAATAACCACGAATTTTAGTGAATTTACCACATTGATTCCCCTCAGTAATAGACAATACTGCCAAATTTCGGTTACAAAATAAGTCACAATAACCAACCAAAAGAGAATGTAGACGATGTGGTATACTTCCATTCCTATTTTTACATACATGCGTTCATTGATATGAGTTTAGTTTGCGACGAGTTATCAAAATTAATCACAACATAATATTCTTACCATAATTTCGAGCTTCGTTTATGATTTTTAAACGATAATCCCAAATCGTGTCTTGATAATTGACGGGCATGCAAATCGAACTATTAAGTTGTTTCTCCTCATCATTTTTACACTCCTGGGTTACTGTTTGCTCCGAAATATTGGCGTGGACATTGTCTTCCAGTTTTGGGAAAAGTCCAAAAAAGTCAAAGTTGTGCTCATGAAATGAAATAGGTTTAGCTTTACAGATGTACGTTTCTGTTATCGCACTTCCAAAAAATACTGCAAAGAATAAGAGCTGCAAAAAATTTGTGTAATTATTCATATGCGAGTTTTTGGAATAATAAGAAATTTTTATAATCAAAGTACTCACGATATCCAAATGGGCTAGAATCCTGAAACACCGTTGAGCCATGGTAAACATTTTTGGCAAAATAATTTATTTTTGGTTCAAAATTTTAAAACCAAATCACAGCATACACCGGAATATTCTATAATTTATTGATATGAAATGCTTCACACATCACTGTTTGCTATGAGTTGATTCACTACAAATGCCCAATTGCCAAAATTGTCTGAAAATTCTGCCTGGATGAAATACCCATCATTTGCATTTTACAAGTCGCACAAAAAATCTTATCGTAATAATGAGGTAACCACCATTATAATGTAACAAATACTATCTACTCTTCCGTATTGAGAAGCGGTCCAGCCAGACACAAGTATGCAAGACTATGCACGCATGCATAGTATTTGGTCAGTTTCTTTATGTCATGGAGGTAACCTAACCAAGGTCAAGTCAGCATTACAATTTGTTTTTGTACTCACTTGAATACGTACATATTATGGAGACGTATGAAACAATAGATTGTATAAAATTTGCTATTTTATTTATCTCCTCTGATTCCCATCCATGTGAATTTGTTCTGGATCTTGTTTTGCTAACTTGACTGTACAATTTCCAGGCCATAATAGTCAATTTGCGTGATTGCAAGCAGGATTGCTCAATCAATTTTCTTTTTATTTTCTCACTTTTTCCAGGATATTTGCAATATTTTCGCATTTCAAGCTTTGTGGAAATTATACCACAATATACATAATGAAGTGGCGGAAGAGATGTGCTGAAATTTTGCATTAATTTTTGCATGCTACAATATGTTTGATACACATTTTGTGAGATTTTGCTCATCTCCAAACTTAACTCCTCATTTGCCCTATGGTGCATGCATGGATCTAAAGGAAGGGTGCATGAGTATCAAATTTCAAGTCGATGGGATAAGCTTAACAAGAGTTATAGAGACAGACGGACATGGACATGATGGTTCCATAAGCCTTGACTCGGGCTTTGATTTGTTCGAAAGTTATCGTGTTGACGGACGGACAAATCGATCGCAATAAGTAGCTTAATATTTTCCTTCCAGTACTTAATAATGAGTTTGGTAATTACCTTTATTCATGCGATGCATACATTGCTAATACATATATAGCCGCTAAACTGTCTAAATTGTTGGAGTCATCGCAAATCTAAAGATTGTTAAATTCGCATCTTCATATTCTTTCAGTTGAGAGAGAGTGAGGGTTTTTGATTCCAATATTTTCTTACATAATTTTTTTGCGATTCGGTGAAGCAAAAAGAAAATCCGTTGAATAACAAGTTTCAACACTCTCCAATTAGATAAAAAAGTACGAAGCTGACCAATAATTGCGATTGAAATGAGCAAAAACAATTTCAGAATTATGTAGTCTAGTGTTTATTACACTCAAGCAGTGTGTACGTGAATAATCAAAATGTTTATAAAATTATGTGTAACAAAATAACAGAAACAAGCAAAAGTCATATCCATATTACACCGTATAGTTATCATCACTGTAATGAAACAAGTCGATCCAATATCAGTCGGGTTTCCTCCACATTATTATCACCACCACAATATCAATTGATAATAAAGAATATATATTCGTAAAAAAAATATTTCATAAATTAATAACTACTTTCTCGTCAGCATTACTTGAAGACGTACTCAATCCCGGAAATTTTTGGTCCTCCTGGGCATGGAGCAATTAGTTTTTCTCCGCCGGCCTGAAATTTACAAATTTTATGAATTAATCGAAATCGGTAATATGACTAATTATATTTTAATACCTTTGTTATCGGGGCATGGGAATGGTGTCTGTAAATAAATAACATATGTAATTAGGTCATTTACTTAATTTAATAGCTCAATCTCCTATGGAATTACAAATTGTCCACTTACCGAATTAAGCTCGTGAGAGTACTGTAGGGAGTCATATTGGTTCCAATGAAGGCATATTTTCCACCAGGTGAGAACGGGTGGAGAAAATGTTGCTTCCCTGTGGGGCCATTATTATTGTTTTGATCAGATCCACTGCCAGGGCCGTTATTAAGCGTGGCAGCAACGGCAGGATTGATGGCAGAAAGTAGAAAATGTTTCGTCTTATTGTTGAACTGCAGTGATAAGAATGAATGAATGGGTCAAGTAATGAGTGAAATCAGAGATTACCTAAGGATCCAATGGGATTATGATGATGATTTAATCTTAATCGCATATGTGTACCTGATAAGAAAGCGTGTAACCCCAAATACGCGTGGAAATCCGTACAAGAAATGTTCCGGTTGGCTGACCGAGGAGCAGTTCTTCTGCTTGTTGACGTGTAATTAATCCTGAAAGAAATCATTATGAAGTTATTAAGATTATTCTAATTCATTAGGAAGATGAAGTTCTTTATTTAAAGTATTTTATGAAACTTACAATGGAGGTCTCGCAACGTATGCTGACAGATTTGGACCAAACTAGCGTCAATCGATCGCAAATTTAATTAGTATAAAATTTGCAAATGGCACAATCTGCCAATACGCAGGTTTGGCGGAGATATTTGTATCTAAAGAGGAGAAAACGCACAAAATTGTAACATTATCAACTTTGGGGCGCGTTTTCTCCTCTTTAGATGCAAATATCTCCGTCAAACTGCGCATTGGCAGATAGTGCCATTTGCAAATTTTATACTAATTAAACTCGTGATCGATTGACACTAATTTGGCCAAAATCTGAGTGCATACGTTGGGAGACCTCCATTAATGGAGGTCTATAAAATGGAGGTCTAAAATAGTTTACAAAGCTAACAATTGTTAGCTTTGTAAACTATTTTATAAACTATTTTTGGTGTTATAAATTGTAAATTGGTTCAAATAATGAAGAAATTACCGAAGAACCACGACACGATGACAGGTGCCGTGACTGGTTGAGGTACAATGTGTGGCGATGTGTGGTGCGTCGTGGGAGCATAACTCAGCAGAATGCCAGATCGGTACCTATTAATATGATTGGTAATTAGTTGAATATGTTAATTCATTAATTATGTAGCTGTTGTTAGAAATCTTACAATTCTCCTTCTTTAAACCAATTTACAATTTCCCCCCTAGAATTTGGTTTTGGATAAGATTTCAGCAAAGTGGACGGATTTGAAGCGCTTGTCGTAATCGAGAGACACCCGGCTTGGCTATTTGGCTTTTCATAAATGGATTCTTCCTCATACTCCACGACCATTTTTTCCATCATCATCACATTCGGACATTTACTACTCGTATTGTTGTTGTTTGTCGTTGAATTATTTCCATTTCCCCAGCCGCACCCGTTCCATAGCTTGTTTGATCCGTTGGTAGCGGTCCCATTATTTTTATTGCATCCATTATTTCCATTATTGTTTTGGTTACGATCACCACCACTGCCGTTTAGATTTTGATTGTTCTTCTTCACGGGTTTCATGGGAGTTGCGGGTCCAGCCATTTTAATGGGGGCAGAATTCGGATAGTTTCCTCCTGGGTACATGGGAAGGATCAGTTTTCCCAGCCCTTTCACAGCGATGCTCACCTTTTCCCCAGATTCTGCTTGTTGCTGTTGTTTCCTGGAAAAGTTTTCCCATTTCGCGATGGTTAAAGCCACAGCGGAAATTGGTTCCTCTTCGATGCAAAGGGATTCAAGTTGTGCTTCAGCATCGTCGTCAGAATCTCGGCGTTGTTTATGGGGATAGTCATCTTCTGGGTGTGGAGGAGAGGGTGGCGACTCCACTCCGACGACTTGAAGGGTCAGGATGTTGCCATTGTTATTGTTGTTATCCAGAAATGCGGCGGATTTATTGTATGTCTGCTCGGAGGTTGGAGGGGACAAAGTTCCTTTCAACTCTACGTCAACCAAGGTTGGAACATGTTTTGATGGAGAGTTTGCATATTCTGGAATTTTGCAGTCATCCAACACAATTTCCTTCTCTTCTTCTGGAACAGGTGGTAGTTTTTCGTTAGATGAATTATTTTGATCCTTGATTTTTGTAATAACTTGTGCCTCTCTTGCTTTGTCTGTATTCATAACTTGGTTGTTATTCTCATCCAAAATACCCTCCTCATTCACCACTTGGAGCAATTTTGCCCCCAAAGAACAAGTTGGTTCGTTTTCTTTGGGCTTCACCTCGATCATGGAGGAGCATGAGGATGTCGACATTGTTTCAGAATCCGATCCAGCGTCGTCACCATCATCAAAAACGGAGAGTGAAGGACCTGCTGAAATCCTGGTCTTGGTGTTGCTAGTCTTATTACCACCTTCTGCATCATCTTCGGCTTTTGGTGCTTTCTGGTCATTATTTTCTTCTCCATCTTCTTCATCCTTCTCAACCCCCAACTCTTTCAAAATCTTATCCGTATCAACCAAATCTGGTTTGTTCTGTTGAGCATGCGATACAAAGGCGGCGAGCTGGCTTTCAATTTCAGGGAAATTCATCCCATCCGGTAGTTCGTGGTCTTCTCCCAAGTGAATCACTTGCTGCTGTTCCTCCTCCTCCCCATCGACACTGTCAGAATGAAAATTAAAGTCTGGATCAGTGTCGGACTCATCAAATTCAAATAACCAAGCATCACATGAGCTGTGGTTGGAAGAATTGTGATCATCGTCACCGTAAATTGTGGGGGTCTCATCAGCTTCTACTATTACTACGGGTGAGGAGGTTGGGATTATTGGATTTGGAGAGATGGCATTGGGAATAAAATTGAGATATCCGAGACTGACAAGTTTTAAAATGATGAAAATGAAATGGACTAACTTTGTCAAGAAGACGGAAATGAGAATGTTCCCCTGCGGATCGGTTAGGAATCTGACTCTTCGTTGAAGTCCGTCTGCATCGGTCACGGTGTGGTCAACCCCAGAATTTACAACTGGTCCCGTATTTCCTCCACGTGCAACTCCTCCTCCCATCATGGTGAGACTGTCTAGTTCGAAATCTTGTGGAGGTGAAGCTTCCCTTGATCTTTGGGTGGTCTCATTATTTTCCAAAATATTGTCGTCATCGCCGTTCTGCTTGTTGGGCGTTGCCTCTTTTTCAAACTCCAACCAATTCTGGATCTGCTGAGCCCGAATTTTTGGAAGGTCTGGATTCAACGTGAGGCTGAATTCTTTCCCCAATTCTTCTGTATTGATTAGCTCCTCCAAAGCCAATCCTTGACTTATCATGGGTTCTTGATGTTGATCTTCTTCGTCTTCCTCGCCAGTGGAAAAGTCAACAAAAGTTGCTCGGACGATGGACTCTGACATTTCGGAAGGTTCTGGCGTTACTTTATTTTCCAATTCTTTCAACACGGTGGACACATCTTCCTGATTCTGTTGCTCACTGCTGGTCGTCGTCACGTTAGAATCATACCCGGCGGTTGGACTCATTGCTGCGTCGTCGTCGCCGTCGTCAGTTTCCAGCTTGAGAGGGACACTTTCCTTTTCAGACTTTTTCTCAAGCTCCTCAGTATCCTCCGAGTCAGAAATGTGTAATTTCGCAGAACAATTCTCACCGGATTCATTGGGCTTTGTAAACTCAAAATCCAATATTTTCAATAAATTTTCAGAAATATCTTGACTAACGGAGGAGTTCAACAATTCCAGTGGTGGTGCTTCAGCTATTTTTGTTGCTGGTTGTTCCTCCTCTGGGGACAACATTTTTGCAACTGACTCTTTTCTACAGGTGCTGGCAAACTTTGAAGATTCGTCTCGATTTAGTGCAGAATGTTTCAAAATGTTCAAATCACAGTAAAGATTTGACCGAGAGGTTAAAACTTTCGATTTTTCAGTACATGCTGTTACACTCTTCTGCGAGGAGGGGAAATCGATTTGTTTCGCGAATAAGTTGTTTTTGATTAAAACTCTCGTAATGTGATGCACTTTTTTGATACGGGTTATTACAATGATACGTGGGTGTGTATATAATATGTGTACCCGTGTATAAAGTCAAGGTTGAGCTTGAAATGAAAATTGTGCAGATGGATCAATTTTACTTTCGATTTATTCACCCAAATATCAAAGTCTTAAAGCTCCAAAGTCTCTCTCATTCTCTTGACGATACAATTTTAAACTTTGGGTCAATTCATCCCTCCCACCCATTCAAATCTGACAATTCATCTCTCACCAAAATTAAGTGGTTCAAAATTGCAAGACATAAAACTACACAGCATGAACATTTTACTAACCCAGCATACCACTAACTACGGCTTAACTGCTCTTAGGCATAGCATCCATCCTCTGATTACCGTAAAGATCTATCTTCATCACTCGAACAATCTGAGGTGTGAAAACTCGTACGATTTGGGTGCAATTTTCTTTAAATCCTTTCTTTCTTAAGAAGAGGACGAAGGTGAGCCTCCTCCTCATCATTCATTATACGAACGATACTCTTGGTTTTCGTTAATTATGACACCAACAAGACTGAGAAGCTACGTACATACACAGATTTTATCATAATAAGAAAATACTATAAATAAAACATAAAATTTTGCGAGAAATCATTATAACATTAAGTAAAATAATATACATTATAATCTTTGTATGAGTAATTAGACCATAAATTCTTGTTGGCACGTGTGGTTTAACTTTGGTTTACCATTTGCTTATTACAGTACATTAACCATATGCTAACTAACTAGATTTTTTTCTTTAAAAAAATGCATCGTCTTCACTTTTGTTTTTTAAAACTTTCAATTTTTAAATCATCCAACTTTTATAGTGTAATGATCAAGCAATTAATTTTAATTAATTTGAAATTAATAGCTATGTATAAAACTGAAGGTTGTACTGTTGAGAAATTTATAATTATTATCTTTACAGTGATCTGGAATAATATATTGAAATTATTTTGATATGCTATTTATGTATTAGCTGTGAATATTGGAGGTTGGTCGTGGATATTTGCATATTGATACATAGCTAAGTCAATTTTGATGACAGCAAAGGTCGCATTTGGAAAAAATAATGCATTGATTTTTACATTTGTTAATCGGCAACGACAAGTTTTGTTGCAATCTTTATCAACATGTTCTTGAAGAGGTCATGAGTCACGTACAAACAAATTACAATGTTATACCTTCGCAGATCAGTATGTGTAATGTAATGTAACGGTGTGAGCATGACTCTTGGTAGGAGATACGATACATAGCATTCTCGTTTTGCAGTTCGTACATACAACATAAGCATTTATTATCTGTAGTCTCTAGTCGTCAAGAGGAATGGATCATCACGATATAATAATAACGTCTCTTACATATGCTAAGTTGAAATATTGCGTAAAGGGCTGAAATAATTCTACACTTGACTTTTAGTTTGATTTGGTGATTGCTCAACAATAAATCTGTATGACGATGGGGCACTGCATGCATTTCAGATACATAGGCAGGTGATACGGTAAAAATATACGAACGAAGTTGGATGACCAGTAGAAATTGATTTGATTTTGATTGTCAAGGGAAGAATGGATCAATTTATTGAGGAATGTGTATTTGTATTGGCTTTTGAAAATATCGATTTTGTTTAGAAATGTGCATATAATAACTTTAATAAAAATAGGTAAAAATATCAGAAAAAATTAGTCGAGGGTTTAAAAACTCATTTTCACGCACCATCTTGAAAATTCAAGGTTTTTGGCATTCATACTTCTCTGTACATAATTACGTAAAAAAAATCGGCAAAAAGTTTCGTTTTTTATGGATTTGGCCATGCATTTACCAAAGTTAAATATGTAGGTACATGCTCGTTAATAAGGAATTTCGAAATTTTGATGTAGTCGTGCTCTCCTTACTCAAGCTTTTTTGTTTCCCTGCTCCTGTTGCATATGTAGGAATGAAATTAGTCACAAAATCAGTAAAATTGGATTGCACAAATGCGAAAGGCAGCGTAAAGAAACTGGATCGAGGGAAATATGATCACTTACATATTAAACCTCTCGCAGTCAATGTTACAGTTTGCAATATGCACGAGAAAAAAGCCGATGAATACGTTACCCATTTGTAACTCACCTGTCGAATTAGGCGTGAAGTTGATACGAAGAAGTTGTGGATTTCTTTCGCCCAAAAATTAGAATGCAGGCCGCATCCATCTTGCCCCCAAACAATGTGTTCATTTATATGCAATTAAACGATCAATCTTATTACAGAAGCAAAATGGAAGTAAAATTTTGAGCAATTCAATTTACAATTAAATATTGTTGATTCATTGTTCAAAATTTAGTGACTCAGTTTCATGCATAGCATGCATTTGTACATACATACATATGTTTTGGCACCGTAATTTTCATGGTCGTTTTAATTGCAGACATATTATTTAATACATACTTGATATGCTCATAATCAATTAGATAATAAGAATAATTAGCTAAAGCTAACTAATCAAACTCAACTTTGGCACAATTTTCCTGTGTTTACATACCTGCGCTTAATGAATATTAGGGGTTCATCACATTGTACGTACTTGAGCTTTCATTCATTAAAACTTGGTTGGTACTCGTCTCATACGATAGTTTTTTTGGCACCTAATTCGTGCTATTTACTTTGGTGATTAGCAAGTTGTGTGGACTGTGAATAAATATAAATTTTTCTTTGATACACAGAGACGCTACCAACAATGATGTGGAAGGAATGCACCTTTCGTCCCTTTACAGATATGCACACGCTCGTATAAACGGGATTGTCTTGGCACAACAATATGCTGCATATGCCATGTCTTTTTACTGGTTGTGTCATAATGGCCAAATTCATAACGCACCCAACAGCCAAGACTTTTAGGTTGAAGTCAGTTGGTCGTGGTCACAATTGAAAAGGCAAGTAAGCCACATGTGTACCAGTCTGACGCGCATTTTAGGTGGTTTACATACGTGCAAAATTTACTCTCAATTTCCAACCATTTCAAGTGACAATCTGTTTGGGTCCTTGGCATTTTTAGGAAAACTCGTCTAGTGCAAAGTCTGTAGAAGATTTGATCAATTTAAAGATGGGATCTTGACATTTATTAAAATGTGCATGGCGGTGATTCAAGTGACTTGAGATAACAGCTAATCTTTCGATAATACGACCGTGACAAAAATGGTGTGCAATCCGTTTTGCTGCACTTCCATTCGGACGGGTGCCAAGAGGATTGCCATTATCGATATTGTAAGTCTTCCACGTGTGGGAAAGTTTTCATATTTTGTGAGAAAATTGAGACAAGGGAAAAGTTTTGGTGATTCGTTTTCATACGAAATTATGTGACGAAGAGTGGACGTACGTGTGTAGTGCAGATATTTGTTTTTCGTCACTCCACAAACGACTCCACTTATTGACCTTGTTATCCAATCTTATTAATTAAATTCGAGTATTTACTCTGGTTTTGATTTCCAGGTACTATTTTTCATCACTTTGGCCGTGTCGGTAGGATTAGAGTGGAGTTTATTCAATTCTATTCCTATGAGACTCGTTTTGTTTGATGATGGTGTCACCTCCGCAGAAACTTATGAAGGTTTGGATTATATTTCGTGCCAAATAATTTCACAATTACACGACCCTTTTATCCACACCCTCTCGGGGATGGAGACACATAAAGTGTTTTTCCACCCAAAATTAAATGAATCTGATTAAATTACGCAAATTGGATTTTACTTCGTCATCACCACAGGGAAATACGTAGATTAATATTACATACGTATGTACGTGCAGTGTTTGATTTCTTGCACCTTTTGCACATTTCTTGCACTGCATTACAAGAAATAAGCGCCAGCTAGCCGCGCTCATTGCTTGCATTCCTTTCACTAGTACAAGAAATTATGTTTGCAAAAGAAACAATTTCTTGCAGTAATTTCTTGCATGTGTTTTTTTTTCACGGCAAATACTGCGTACATGTCTACATGACGTAATTCAAATAAGCTCTCAATTTTACACTGGTTTTCATCTCCTAATTTACCCTATCCGACTACCTAATTGATTAAATCCATGGAGTAGTGAAGTGAGATTAGTCGGACCATGCAACACTTGAAAATGAAACCCTTTTTTAGCAACCACATTTTGGCAATTAAAGTTTCTCTTTCTTAAATTACAAATAAAATAGATATTTTGGCACAATTTGGAAAAAGTCTCGTTTCCTCTGTTATTTAAGTATGTATGTAATTACCACTTTAAAATCGTTATCATTTCCTTTTAATTATTTTGAGGTAGGTGGCGAATCAATAAAAAAAATATGAGAGTACTTTTGCAAAAAATAGTCATCATCCTCTCGTCCATATCAATGACTATGGTTTTATACAGTTAATCAAGCAATTTCAGCCATTTGAAAAAAAACTCCTTCACGTGTACTTACAGAGACCTCAATTATGGACGACAAGGAGAAACACATGGTCGGAAAAGCCGTTTGGATTCATGTCTCACATGCAATCAAGAGTTTGAGCGAGTACAGTAAGTACATATCATACACACTTTTTTAAAACACAATTACTCGACAAAAAAAGCATGATGTTCAAACAACAATTATTCGTCTAAGGCATGATAAACGAAAGGAAAAGGAGACACGGCAAAAAGATTAAGTGTAACACAAGCACCCAAGTAAACAATAAGCTTATATTTATAGTTTTTGTTGAAGCGTGACCATCTCCACTAAAATCTTTTACTTCTCATGGAATTTTGACTTTTTGAGCTCATATGAGTCAGAAATGTTCCGGTGTTTCGTAATTTCGAAGGCCAGTTTTTTTGCGTGGTTTATAAATAGGACTAAAAATACGTTACGAGCTTCCTTATGTTTCACAATAAGATGTCAATTTTACTATCGTTAATTAGGTACATATTTTGGTAAAGGATGACTGTTTTTTTTGCAGACCACACGATGGGGTACTCGCTATACATGGGGCTGCTGATCTTTATGATGGGGTACTTTATTCTTGAGGTTTGGCTGTGCTGTATTTTGATCCGAGCTGCGTCTGAGGTAATTAATTGTACTTGATAATGCGATAAAATATGAGAATTTTGCAATTAAATTATTTCATAATTTTTTTTAGAGACGTCCCGAATTTTGTAGGAAGTGGATTATCTTGAGAACAATACTCCTCATCATTACACTAGCCTTTACTGGAATTAATCTAGCGCAGATGCAATACACAGTGACCGATATTGTAGCAGTGCCTCTAAATCTTCTTAGAATATATTCAATTTTTGTGGTAATTCAGCTCAGGAAAAAACTTCGGCAGATGGACCCTAAGCTAATGTTTTAGTATTAGTTATGGTGGTGCCTAAAAATAAGAGGGGGTCGTATAATCTAATAAATTGTAAATAAATACGTAAATTATATAGATGCGATAATATTTTCAAGTCAAGTTTAAAGTTGTGACCAATAAGGCGTAGATGTCGGACTTTAGTTAATTTTACCAAATAAATTACTGAGGGTACAACGGTTGACATTTTGCAGATTATTCGCTTACAGAACTACGACTTCAACTTACGTAAGTGACAAGATAGAGAAAGTACAATGACAGAAATTAAATTCCTGTATTACTCACTCCCTCAGATTGGAAAATTAGGGTCTCCTTGTCATTATCAGTGGTAGGTAGGTGATTGGTGAAAGCACTTGCTTTCACCACCCTGCTCCAGTTTCTTGTCAATTCCGACCACTCTCGCTAAATCATTGCTTTACATCGTCATCATCATGTTGAAACTCGACCCGAAAATACTTGTCGTAACTACTTGAACAATTCCTTTTGAGTGCGGTGGATTGACTACGCCGATGATATGCCCTTGGCTTCAACTCCGTCTCTTCCTTTGTGTCACACTCCATCATTAAATTTCACTTCTTTCCTGTCAAAACAAATCCGATCCGAAATTTGAGAGGGTACAAAAGCGGGTTCGGATGGCGTGACAAATGAGAAACTGTTGTTCTCTGTCAACCCAGAGCGAGCAGATCGTTGTGCATAATGGGTAACCCAAACCACTGGGTTTAACGTGGCTGAACTATTTGCAATAATTACCGGGACCAATAAAACCGTATTATTATTCATCCATCCTCCTCTCAAGCCTTACTCCAAATAATGTGGCTCATCATCCTAAGTAAATATGTAGTCAGAAGAGATTTGTCGAGTTGTACAAAATCGTAAAATTCAACGAGACTTGGCACAAATAATGTGTGATACCCGTAACACGAAGGAAGGTTCGCTGGGTCTGACACATCGCTTATTATACTTTTGACTTGGATCGTCTTCTTAAAGATGAGCAAAGAGACAGGAGAAGTGTCAAACTAAACTTGAAAAAAAATTAAACCAATGCCACGTACTAGACTAGATTAATTCACAGAGACGTAAAATAACACGACATATTTACCTAATTTTTTGAGCATGTTATCTTTATTTTACGACACTTGGTGACTCTTGCATCGTCATGTTCGACGCAGCCATGCATAGAGCATCCGATTTAATAAACCTTGAATAAGAAGTGCAGTAGTGTCACTAGGAGGATTTGATACATAAAAATATACTTATATATACCGAACCTGCTTTTTATTTGGCTTTATACGTCCGTACCTACGAAGGTGATGTTGAATTTATTTTCGTAGGAAACGGATCAACTCCTCAGATGATCCGTTTACAAGGATTGAGAATTCTTTAGTGAAGTTTATTGCGTTTGCAGTACATCCAAAATCGTCAATTAGAAGTTTATGATGTTTGTCTGGGCTGGGATGTGGTTGTGGCAGGAAGAATTTATGATTTCTTCCTGTTTCATACTTATACTGCTCGAGGAGGAGCAATAAGTCTGCATCTTAACCCAAGGAAGCAAACACATCGTTCAATCTATTCCGCATCATGAGCAACAGTGCACTTTCTCCAGGCCTGATTGCCCAAATCAAGTGGAGACGGATTGATGCACTCTCGTCAAACAGATCCAGATAAAATAAATTCATAAATAGAAACCGATTTCGATCAAATTATATATAGCAATAAAAAAAATTGAAAAATATGAACACTTTGCTTCATATCCTAAATAAGACCAATTTCTTGTTTTCACTGGCTATAAACTTTGCCTTGTTCCTAAATAGGAGTCCATCGGAGCTGGGCTATTATCAAAATTGCATCCACATATGTAGGTATACATACAAATAATCTCGTGTATATTTAGTAGGTAGGCAATTAATCCAGATTAACAACATCCATTTTATTACCTTTTCTGCTCCGCTAGGGAAAGTGAGATTTCAGCAGTTCCATCTCATCTCCAAGTTTATTGTCCTCTCCACATATTGCCCGCATTGGGAAATGATGCAAGTCCTGGAATATTTTATACTCGTGGAAAACTGCATAGAAAACAGATTTGATTTTAAGGCAGGTTGTTTTTATTGAGTGGAAAATTCTGTCAATGTTTTATTATTATGATGAGATGCACGTGCACGTCAAAAATGCAAACCAACATAAAATCAGGCACCTTTGTCACACTCTGATTTATATTATTGCATAATAAGTAAGGTTGGGTTGAAGCCTGATGAGAAAAATAAACTTGGAGAAGAAAATCAGCCCTGAATTTGAATAAGATACAATGGACTTCTGGATTATCTATTCTGACGGTTGTAATGTCATCATGAAAAGAAGAAGGAGAATTCAGACCTCAAATATTGAGACTGCAAATTGGATCACAGCTCTGGTGCTGGTCGATCTCTGGGGATTCTTTTGATTTGGATTTTAATGCCGCCCCATCCACGTACGTCATACGTCCCTCCCGACACCCTAAGTAATCATCCGAAACTAATACAAAGGAGGAGCGAATTTAAAATCGTGTCATTGTTAAGTGAAACTAAACCGGGTGGAAAACGTCATGCATACACTTTTAATCAACAAAACAATATTTACAAAGTTTCAAAGCTACTAATTCTTTGAAATGTCACGTAGGTTAAAAGCCAAGGAGAAAGTTGTCCTTGTAGAAAAAAAAGTTGAGCCATAAATCATCTATTATTTGTCATGACATAATTTCTGAACACGTCTCTTCCAACTTTTCTCTGGGTGAAAGTTGGTGAATGAATGCAACGCCGAGATAATGAGGAAGCTCTGGAAGGAAACTGGATATTCTTCGTGGTGACGGAGTGGGATTCTGTGTTTGGATGGACAATGGTATACATTTTTTTAGGAGACGACATCAGAACCACCAAAACCACGACAAAGAAATAAATCGTATGAATGCACCCAGCAGTCTCGAGAAGGCTCATCAGATCCGAGGCAAGGTCAGAGATCGAAGTCTATGTCTGAGAATAATACGTCGCCATCGATTTCATTATAATATGTAATACATAGAAATGGGCTTTTGCTTTGTGTGAATGACTGAATTAATGAAGCCTTTGTTCAAAGGAGGAAGAGAGAAAAAAGTGGTGGTGGTCGAGCCGATTTTATTTTAGAAAAATGGCACAACGTCACCACACCACCACTTCGAGCTGACTTTAATATTAATAATGGATAAGTTTCCGGATAAGTTTCCGGATACGGAAGAAAAGATGAAGATAGGAATTTACAAACTTAATGGACTGCCATTATTTGACGGGTATTGGGACAAGTAAATATGGAGTATGATAAATAATTTTATTTTTTGTTATCTACAGCGACTGTACAATTGACGAGGCCCATTATTCTATTATCACGTCATCTCCTCCTCATAACATCATAATTCCGACGGGGATCGATGATATCGGGACAGAAAAAGTTCATTCCCATCTACTTAAATCGACAAACCCGACTGGTACGTACGAGGTTTATCACGAACCTAGATCTCAACCATTTTTGGACGACTTTCTCCATTATTGGGTACATTTATATGTATATAGATATTTATTTTGAGTAAATAAATAAAAATATAGCAATAGAACTAACGACTAACTAATGTCATTTGTTGTAATTTGTATGCTTAATAATTTACTTGGGTGGACAATATGTAAGATAAGATCTAAGATATGTAAGATAGGAAAAAAGCAATCACTTTCTTCGAGTATCATATTTCCCATCTTTCACTTTACACGTTTACCAGCTACTTTATTTGCTATTGAGTGTGTAAATTTGCACTTGATTACTAAAGGTAAAGAAAAATTTGAGCTCTTTCTTATCTCCCAAATTTCCTCATCATCTTGGTTTTTTCTTTTTCAAAGAAAACTTAACTGGCTCATGATTCTGTACAAATTTCCGAGTCTGCCTTGATTAAACTTTGAAAGAAAAAACGGGTGCCCCTTTCTTTAAAAAAATGTTTGTTTGCTGTTGGAGTCTTTTGCAATTGGGATCATTTCTCCCTCATCGGTGTCGGATTATCCAAATTGAAGCCGTGCTCCGTTGCGGTGGAGAAAGAGAGCTGGATCCCACCAACAATAAATAGCAATGTCCATGACCTTACTTCAAGTCAGTTTGTGGAGTGAGCTCGTCTGTGTCGGACGGGCAGAAAGAAAGCTCTTCTGCTTCTTCCGGTTGTTGGTTTTTTGGTTCGCCTGTTGCATCCAATCCACTCAGTAAAAAAAACGAGACAGTCAGTCAAATCTAATATTTATTAGGGCCGTTATTCCACTCCTAACTTCTTGTGTCTCACTCAACCGAAATAAAAATTTGCTTTTTTTGAACGGATCCACATTTGCAGAAAGTCAAACTCGAGAGGTCGTAAAAATTGTTATGATTTCTGCACCGTAGTGGTGACACGGGTCGTAAAAGGCGTAATTAGGGAACCTGTTTGACGTTTCGTAAATTTTATGTCCGTCATTTTACAGGGTGGGTGGAGGCTGTGAAATTAACTGTGTCAAGAAGAAGGAGAAGATGGTTGCTTGTTATTATTATTATTGTTGTTATCGTTAGTGGAAGTAAGTAGAAAGGGGAAACACGAGGCTCCATAATTATATTTTTTTGTTAACGATGACAAGAACGTATTAAGAAGAAGAAGAAGACGAATAAGTTGACCAAACGGCACGTGGAAGGATGCACAAGATGTAAATGACAGACTTTTTAGGTGTTCGGTATGTATGTACTTCTTAAATTAGGACTTGTTGTGGGTGTTCTCTAATCGTTCCCTGTGTGTGCACATAAATAGGTACGGAAATGTGTATGTCTATCCTAATTTTCCTCATGTATTGACGAGCCGCGTTGTTTGTACGTAATAATGATCCACTTTTATTTGTGTTGCGTGCAATGGTGGACATGAGAATATCCAGCCAAGTTAGTTTTTGTCTAGCACCATTCATTCCGACATATCTGACATTGATACTTTTATGTTGTCGGAACGTTTGTCTATTTTTAACGAGCCAAATTTAGCCCGTCTGAAATTATTGGGAAATGGAAATGGCCATCTTTAATGATATCGGGGAGATAGGGATCTCTAAATAAAGTGTTTTTAGAAATCTCACATATCAACTTTTTCACTAAATCATTACTCCAAGTGAAAGTCAGCACTCGGGACGAGAAGAAGAAGATGCGGTGCGCTGTAAGTTTTTTGTGCGTGGTCTGTCTCACTTTTGGAGTCGGAGTTGCAGCTCTTTTCATCATCAAATGGTCATCACAATCGTTACGTAAGCATAAAATTTAATGCAATTTCTGCGATTTGGTTATCTTTCCCTATAAATCAAAATCAAACATAACCCAAAAATGCATCCCTAAAATTATTTCAATTCTGAAAATTTCCAGAAAATGGTGGAGGAAGTGCGAATTTCTCGTGCCCATCAAAAAAGTGGAAATGCGACGAAGCCGATATCTGCATACCTGCCGAAGCACGATGCAACATCGTGAAAGACTGTCCCCTCGGGTCGGATGAGGATATGATGAATTGCAGTAAGTTTATGCCACCTTATTTCCGGTGAAATCTGTACGTAGATAATTCAAAGATAATATTTTGATTGTGATTTAAATCTCGAAAAATAGATTACATGGAACAAACGATAAAACTGCTAATGAGAAATTGGAAGTGCGGACAAGAAAAGAATAATAATGGATTTGCGAGTAACAGTAAGTAGGGTTGTGGGTGGAGAGGAAATTGACCTTAATTCTGACTTGACGATGGAGTAGAAAAGTTTGATCTTTTATTGTTTCCAACAAATTACAGCCACCAAAACTCCGGAGGGATGCAATATGAATGAGGCTGCTATTTTCTGCAGCAGTCTCGACAAGATTCCATGGGAAGGTTTCAACCTGCATGCGAAAGTGCTGTGAGTCATTTAAACTTCTGTGGAACAACAATTGTACTTACTTTTTGACCCAGTTGGGACAAAAGTTTGGGATGGTTTTGTAACACACAATTTTCCAATTAGACCACATGTCCTGCTTAAAATATGGGCTCATTTATGTTTATTTTGAATTCAGAACTCTGGCAGATTCGCTGAATGTGACCGAGCTGACAAATGAGCTTATTCCTCCAAAGAAAACTACAATCAACAAATTGTAGGTTAATAAAGAGCATGTGGTGTCAGATGTATAAAATCTAATTTCACTACTGGTTTACTGGAATTGGACACAGATTTGTGGAGAACAGCACAATTCTTACCCTTGGGCAGGCGAGCATTTGCCATTGGGATCACGCTTGTTGGATGAGCTTTGTAAATAACTCGATACAGAACTTGGCCATGGGAGCATTCTGTGTTTTGCCGGAACTACAATGGCTGTAAATATTTACATTATTTTCAATTTTGTATGAAGAAGAAGAAGAAGAAGTTGTTTTAATTCAGAAATTCTTCTCAGAACACTGTCCAATAACAGGATCACGTTGGACAAGTTCAGATTTCCGGACATGCCAAAATTGCAGGATTTGTAAGAACTTTACAGATACTTCTATGATAAAGTGGATGCGTAAAAATAATTTCACTTTTGATATTTACAGAATGCTTGATAATAATAAGATTGAAGTTATTACGGACGGCGTTTTCAGACGACTTAGAAAACTTGTCTCTTTGTATGTATCATAACTATTATTATCATAAATATTATTTTCTAAAATTTACCGTGATAAATTATGTTTCTTCAGAAATTTAATGGGAAACAAGATCCGTACAATTGAATCGAGAGCTTTTCGGTTCAATGTGAATTTGCAAGATCTGTACGTCACAATATGTAATTCGTAATTTTCAAGAAGAATAATTAAATTTACAGATATCTTGAATTATTTTAGGGATTTGTCCAACAATCTTTTGAAAGAGTTGCCTCCGCTTGTTTTTGAAGGACAGACCAATCTCCAAAAGTTGTAAGGGACGAAACATGGAAAAAATCGTTAAAAGATATTCGATTTGAGCTTAAAATTGTCTATAGATATTTGGCAGACAATCCATTTATCAACATTCCGGATCAAGTATTCTCACAGTTAAGGTCGCTGGTCTCATTGTAAGAGGGAGATATGCACCATTTTCATGAAAAAGTTTACCGTTTTATCATTTTTATTGTAATTGGGTAGAAACTTAAATGACGTGGAATTCTCTGCTCTCCAATTCGATGTATTGGACAGTCTACCAAAATTAGATTACGTGTAAGTTTGTTGCAAAAATGCTTGTAACCAATTTGATAAATGCATTTATAATACATGTAAAATTTAGGCAATTCAAGAAATTTGGATATTGCCGATACGTTCCAAAAGTGACGAGATGCTATCCATTCTCAGATGGTATTTTTACGCGTGTTCGATTTTGCATATATCAAAATAATAAAAATGATGCTGTTTTTCCATATTTAGGAATGTCATCAACCATGAATCTGCTGGCGGGGACTAGCATACGCGTCATTGTGTGGATTGTGGCATTGTTCACAATTGTTGGAAATTCTGTCGTCCTTATAACACGGTGTTTATCGGCAGGAAGGGGTCGAATTTTAGATGTTTTCATCAACAATTTAGCTGGTACTAAATAAATGCTAATTGAGTAGAAAAAGGCTAAACTATTACACTAATCGGATCTATTTTAGGGGCAGACTTACTCATGGGCATCTATCTCGTCATACTGGCAGTTAAAGATATTCAGTACCGAAATTCGTATAATGACCACGCATACGAGTGGAGTACGTCCTTTGTTTGTACAGGGATGGGAATCATTGCAATGATTTCGTGCGAAGTGAGATTTTCATTATATTTTACAATTTTTTGTGTATAATGTCGATTGTCGTGACTGTTCATTTTATGCCCAAAATATAATTTTGATGGTACGTACATACATATGCCTAGGTATCCCTCCTAATCTTGACATTCATGTCGGTGGAGCGTTACCTCGTGATAAGCGACCCATTCTCATACCACAAGAAATTGAGCCTGAATCTTTCCAGGATTTCGATGATAATAATTTGGTTTTTTGTCGCACTGCTCGCAATTGCTCCAGGTATAGGTTTAGACAAACAAATATATACATATTTATAATATATTTGAAATGTGTGGCCCAATTTAGCAATTCAGTGGAGAGGAAGGGTCACATTTTATGGAAGTTCTGGACTATGCTTCCCAGTTCATTTAGATGAACCTTTCGCAATTGGATGGGAATACACAGCTTTTGTCATCATCGGCCTCAACTCAGCCTGGTTAGATGTTCATACTTGGCAAAATACTGATTAAAATTAGCTAATTTTCATTACATTTCAGTCTCATAGTTGTCGCAATTTCGTATTCTAAGCTGTTCTGCGTCATCCAAACCACACGACTCTCGACGCCAAGAGACACCAAAGATATCGAAATGGCTGTACGCTTCTTTCTCATGGTTTTTACGGACTGTATGTGCTGGTTGCCCATCATTCTGCTTAAAATTTATGCACTGGGAGGTCATCAAATCCCAAGTGAGATCATGTTAGCAAGATAAGCAAGATTACTGTCAATTTTCTATACAATTTGGTTTGAATTTACTTTATAGAGGAATTTATCACATGGGTCGTCATATTCGTGCTGCCGATCAATTCCACGATAAACCCGTACTTGTACGGGTTGTACGGCACTTTACCAGAAAATAGGATGAAATTCTTTCGAAGAATCATTCCCTCGTTGACCAATCCGGCATTTAGCCAGGCTATAAACAGTAATAAATAGTTTATTAATTGTGCACGTATTGAATCCCGTAATAAAATGATTTAAAACATGTACTTGCTTAGGGATCAGTTTTCCATTGCGAAGACACGGTGCCACAGTCACGGTTACGGAGGAGAGCCGTGGGACGCCGTGGGACAATGCAACCACAAATACGTCAGCAAGCGATAAGATGATCAAGAAAAAAATTGGTGGTAGACTTTCTCATCAGGAAAGCATTGCTTCCAGTAAAATGGAGGACACTTTGTAAATTTGGACAAGTTCTTATCTGAACGACGATACAAAGAAACGTAAAAAACAAAATTTCTTGGGAGACATCCCTCAAATCAGAGTAGTCGAATTAAATATGTAAATATTATGTGTCATGTCAATGTTGTATAGTTTGTCGTAATAATAAAATGAATACAAAGGGGCTTTACCAATTCCAAAAAAAAAGATTGTAAATACATATAGTTTTAGAAGTTTTTTTGTGTCGCATAAGTAGATTAGATGATTAAAGAATTTACTCAAATCGGAGGTATCTAAAATCTTATTCGTAAATATTTACTGATAAGCATGAATGTAAATTTATAGAAAGTAAAGTCTGTAAAGTTGTACACGCAATTACAATGTGGTAGCATGATTACATAGATTGAATTGAATGCAATTAGTCACCAGCTATGACATAAGCATGTGAGCCTATACATACACACTTGAAATGACGCATTTTATTTTTACGTATTTTACACCGCATTAAGTGAATTGTCTTGTTTTATCGCAAAGCAAAAATGCATACCATCACAAATAATAATAATTGATCTGCCCGATGGGTATGCAATTTGAGTTGGTTACTCGGAACCCTACCCTAATGAAATGCAAGTTGATAACATTCAATGAAAATTTCCCGTATCAGTGAATCAGAATTATGTATGCATGTAGTGCATCAATCAAAACAGCTCAAGTCTAGCAACGTTCTAGATAAAACTTTTAAATTAATTTATTTACTGGAAAAATTATTGCGTAATATCTGTAAACTGCAACCATTATTTGCTTATATGTAACAAAAAGATTTTTTTAACTCTTCTCTCCTCATAAGCGCTCTGATTCTCCGTCCTGATTAATTATCTCCACTTCATCAGCAATCTTAACTCCTCCGGATTTTGGCTTCGGTGCAGCATCTGGATTTTCGGATGATCTGCCAAACCCTTCTTCATAATCGGGAGCAATTTCTTTAGGTTTTGCTAAGGAAGATTTCATCGGTGGGTCAGAGACCAGAGGTGCTGTCATGTATGGAGTAACTGGTTGTGGAGAAAATGCTGCTGCGGATGTGGAAGGTGCTGAAAAAATGGATATGGTAGCTGTACAAATCTGCATCGATTTCAAATTTTGACCAAGTTTTACCTGGATGCGTTAAAACCTGCTCTAACGTGTCTGCCGTAGCGTTGGGTGACACGGGGTCGGCACTAAATGCTGGATTCACCCATCCTTCGTCCTCCGCTAAGATATTGTCTCCTCCGCCTCGCATACTTCCGGGTTGAGCGAATGAATGTCTTGGTTTCGGTGGGGCAGGGTCACCACCGAAGGACGCGGGGAAAGATGACGTTGCTACGTTTTTAAGTTTCCAAAATAGAAATCCAGCTCCCCCAAGGGAAATGGCGAACAAGACGGAAACAACAATGATTCCGGCTACAAGTCCGGTGTTGGAGTCTGAAAGAAAGGGGATAAGTTTATGATATTTTGAGGACTAGACACGAATTTTGGAGGGTACCTGCTTCACAATCAGGACAATTGGGACAATCTAAATTGGTTGTGGTGCGCTCTGGGCATTGAGTCGTTGTGGGGCACTCAAGTGGACAAGGAGTCGTTGGAGGTGCCGTTGGCGGACACGTGGTGACCGGGCAAGTTGTAGGTGATGGACAGGTTGGGCAAGGTTCAGAAGTTGAAGGGCAAGTCGTACCTGGCTCCTCAGTGACTGGACAAGTCGTAGGCGGCGGACAGGTTGGACACGTTCCTGAAGTAGGACATGTTATTGGTGGTGGACAAGTTTCAGAAGTTGTGGGACAGGTTGTAGGACAAGTTATCGGGGGTGGACAAGTTTCAGAAGTTGTGGGACAGGTTGTAGGACAAGTTACCGGGGGTGGACAAGTTTCGGAAGTTGAAGTGAAACCTGGGTCCTCCGTGACTGGACAAGTCGTAGGCGGTGGACAGGTTGTAGGACAAGTTATTGGGGGCGGACACGTTTCAGAAGTTGAAGGGCAAGTGGTACCTGGTTCCTCGGTAACAGGACAAGTCGTTGGCGGCGGACAGGTTGGACAAGTTTCAGAGGTTGTAGGGCAAGTGGTACCTGGTTCCTCCGTGACTGGACAAGTCGTAGGCGGGGGGCAGGTTGGACAAGTTTCAACAGTTGTGGGACAGGTTATTGGGGGTGGACAAGTTTCAGAAGTTGTAGGACAAGTGGTACCTGGATCTTCCGTAACAGGACAAGTCGTAGGCGGTGGACAAGTTGGGCATGTTTCAGAAGTTGTAGGACAAGTGGTACCTGGATCCTCAGTGACTGGACAAGTCGTTGGCGGCGGACAAGTTGGACAAGTTTCCTCTGTAGGACAAGTAGTTGGTTCACATGGCGTTGTTCCTTGACAAACATAATATTAAATTGAAATGAAATTTATATTGTAAATCGCCTAAAAAATTACCTTCCGCTGGAGTTGTGGAACATTCGCAAATTGGACAACTCGTTGTCACTTCCGTGGGACATGCCGTGGTCGTCTCAGTAGGCTGAGTAGTAGGATCTATTTTTAATTATAGGAACAGAATCATCCACATTGTTCATGAAGTTATTAGTTAAATCGCATAATGCTTAGCTGCTTGCCTTCCTTTTCAGGAAAATATAACGCCACCGTTACTGCCGCAGTTCGTTCAAACTGATCTTCTCCCAATTGCGCCACAACCTTGACGGAAGGTAGTAAATAAAAAGTATTGTAAATTACTGACTTTGCATAAGAGTTTTGCACAGACAAGAGGATTAATTACGCAGATTAGTTAAATGCATGTAATTCTTTTCCTTAAATACCAACCTGGACGAAGGCGACACGATTCTTAATCTCCATTTCTTCTGTGATACCAGTCAGCGTCAGGTAAATGGCATTATCTCCACGGTCTTCAATTACTATATTTCCACTCAGTTCAGGAGGGTAAACCGATCCAATACTAAATGTCGACACCTCTCCCAGAGGGTTCAGCTCGGTCGCAGCGTCAATAGTAATTGGTTGAGGAACTCCCTCCTCATTCCAGCCGACATTTCGTGGAAATTCATTCGATGTAAATTTTGGTTTAGGCATGGCAGGAAATTCTATTATCAAGGGAACCGTCGACCGTAATTCTGTACCACGTTTTGTCGCAGTTATATCAACAGTGACAAAATTCCCATCATCTGGAGAACCATTGCTCGTAAAAATAATCGATCTTGGGTTATCTGGATCTTCAAATCGTATATAATCCACTGGACTGAAGGTGTAATCGAATTCGGCCGTATCATCGCCAGGAATGCTGACCTCGATCGGTTGGTCTAGCACGTACGGATCGTCTGCTATTGGCCAGATCGGCATCTTGTGATGATATTTGGTGTCCGTGAATACAGGTTTTGTATCAGGAGACCAACTTACTCGTAACGTGATGGTAATTGGTGAGGAGGCGGGGTGCGTCCCATCTGATACTGTGACTTGTACGGTGGTGTCCCCTACTTTGAGGGTATATTCATCCTTTACGAAGACTTTGACATCGGTCAGATATTCTGCAGGGATAGGATCGCCCTCTTGGTATAAATGAGTAGGGTCGAAACGGAGTATATCCGGATTTGAGGTAAATGTGAGAGATTGAGCATTCGCGAAATCATGATCTTTATCCGAAATTTTTATCGGTTCTTCCCAATCCAGTGGAATCCTTTTGTCCCAGTTTGTATTAATGGAATAAGTCAATTTAGACGGGTCCATAGGGACAAACTCTGGTGCTCGGGTGTTTATATCGTCCCATTGAGCAATAACTTGTGACGTTCTATCTGCGCCGTCGCAGTTATAGCGGAAAGTCACAAGTGTTGATTTGTTTCGAGGAAGCAGGTCAACGTAGTCGTGAAATCGGGGTCCAGGGTAAAAAAACAGTTCGTAGGTGGCCCCGTCCGGCCTTTCGATTTCAGGTCGGAATGCATCCATGTGGTCGTAGCCATCTTCCCCAATGTCGAAACTCATTTCGTCTAAAATTGTTCCTGATAGTAGTTCAGAACTCCTATAAGAGGAAAATTATTCTTTTTGCACGAAAGGCTCTGATTTAAAAAAAATATATTATTTTTGATTACCAGAGTTTAGTGTCGATGTCCCAATTGTCATTAATTAACAAGCCTATCGTTGGCACTGGGCATGCTCCTGCAAAAACGAAAATACGATCTTTTAAGCGAATCTTTCTTTGTGTTGTCATTTTTGTATTTAAAATATCATAAGTATCATCATCATCATCATCAAGCAATGTCTCATCTTGAGTAAATTAGACTTACCTGAAGATAACCTGATTGTAGCAGCAGCCCAGATGAAGAGAAGGAGATTCCATGCATACCGCATGGCTAGTTCTTTAAATGAAATATGTAGTTGGAAATTTGAGAAATTAAATGACTAAAATGCAACAATAAGTCACCAATTCTCTTATGTCTCAGCATTCCAAACTAGTCGAATTTACCAACTGATTTATTGAATGAAGTCATCGATATCTTATCATTTCATCAATATCATTGTGTCATATCACGAAACAGGGCAGGTACATACATATACTGGGTGATGTCCACATTTCTCGATAAGTTGGGCTGGAAAGTGTCACCCACAAGGTAAAAATGCGTCAATCGTCACGACTAAAATAATTTAACTCTACTAATACGAGGTTGATATAATGCTGATAAGGTGTGTTATCAATTAATGATAATGATTAAAGGGTGAACAATCCAGTGACAATTTCAGACTCGGTGGCTTATAAATGATGTAGTGTCATAATCAGGAATAAATATCATGAAATGATAAAAACAACAATTCGAGACCTACTAAATTTTATGAATTTCTTTTTTCTTAGTGAGGCAAATACATAGCAACAAAAAAATTATTCTTAGTGAGGCAAATACATAGCAACAAAAAAATTACTAAGCATGCAGTTGACCCTCCTCAAAAAAGTGACCACCGACGATATCTCAGTCATTTCTCAACCGATTTGGATGAAATTTTGCACCGATCATTCTTAGATAATTTCAAAACGACGTGCGAGTCGCCTTTTGGAATTTTTGTTTTTTAAGAGAGTTATTGGCAAAAATACGCGAAAATTTGCCCCTTACTGAACATTTCTTTTCATAGCTCATTAATGGGTCATCCAAACATGTTCCCTTATTGAAAACATTGAAGACAAAGTCATTCCGGTTATTTTAAGTCCAAAATTATCCAAATCCGTTAGGAACTCAGAAAGTTATTCAAATTTGAAATCTAAAAAATTGCAAGTTTTTAGTGACCTTTATACCTGGCAACAAAAATTACGTGTGCATTGACCCCACCCCAAAAACTAACAGAAATAATTCAATATCTCAGTCATTTCTCAACCGATTTTGATGACATTTTGCACCGATTATTCTTATGAAATTTACAAATGACATTCAAACTGATCCGGATGATCAAAATCTGTTAAGAACTCTGGATATTATTAAATTTAGAAAACCTTCGAATTTTTGCAGCGACGCAAAGAATTAATGTTGTTGACAATAAATCTTCTAATAAACTCTAGATTTAAGGAATGTGTGGTGCTTATTATTAAATATATAAAGAACTCAATTACAAGTATTAAATAAACAAGGCCCCAAAAAAGGGAAATCTTAGTGAGGCTTGGTGCGACTACAACTAATAAATAAAATTAGATTGCAGAATTTTTGCATCACCGCTCTCTGTACCGTTCTTACTGGATCCAATATAAATTTTGTTTCGCATACACATGCATTTTTACATTTATTGAATTAATTTGGCTTTTAAGAAGACGTTTTTACCAGTGAATGAGAAGTTTGGTAAATTACCTAGGAATAAATTTAATGGGTAACAATTGTGAACTACGAATCTTTAAGTTGCAAATATGCTACAAAAGTTGCAAATATTTAATGTTAATATTTTCTGGATAATCCTATAATCTGGATATCCTATTAATTCTTATTCTCATGAAATTACAAGCATGTTTGAGGGGAGTCATTTATTGCAATGATTACTTAATGTTTCCAATAAAGAATGGTACTGAGAGCGGTGATGCAAAAATTCTGCAATCTAATTTTATTTATTAGTTGTAGTCGCACCAAGCCTCACTAAGATTTCCCTTTTTTGGGGCCTTGTTTATTTATAATAATTATCACATTATCGTCAAAATTGGATGAAATTTAATTTGTTTATGCAGCTATAGAATCATATCAAATCGGAGACAATTGTCCATTAATTCCAAAAGTAATAGCGTAGCACAATGCTTCCAAAATATGTATATAACTTGTAAGTCACCCTTGCACATGCCCTTGAATTGAACAATGGTAGTGCTTTAAAATTTATAAAGTTTGTTGCAAATGCAAATTATTTGTCAACCTCTCTCCTCACAAAGTAAACATGGCTCAAATATTTCTTCCGTTGAGTTGCTTAATTGCGGTGGTTCTCTTAATCGGACCCGCTCACCTCCACCCCCAGCCGAAGGACAAGAAAACTAAAGAAGCTGAAGCTGCTGACCAAGATGACTCAGATTCTGCATCATCTTCGTGGGAGAATGATGGAAATGGTCAGTAATCTTGTCACATTTTTCGAATCAGAATTTTGAAAAAAACATGCAAATATAAATCTTTCACATTCACAGCTAACGACCGAGGGATTGGATTCAACGGTAAAACCGGGAACAGCAAAGGCTCCGGAAAATACTTATTCTACGTCACCCCTGAACCACACTACACCCAAAGTCCCGAAATGTTCAAGAGACTCCAGGCCAAAGGTTACAACGACATTGACGACGTGGACAAAGACTACTATGCCCACTACGACTTTGAATTCGCTAAAAGTGGATCAAACCATGCCAACTTTCAGCAAAAGTACTTAAAAAATCAAGCCAGCCACATTGGTAAGCCACTCGTCGCCTCAAACGCTACAGCCCCACCGCCGGAAGATGGATTGGCTGGAGCGTACGGGACAAAAGCGGATACGAAACCGACGAGTGACACGGATGGCCTTGTTCGCGGCCTTGGCATTGGACTCTGAAGATTTGTTTTCGGAAATAAGGAAATTAATTATTCAGAACATTATTTTATCCCCAATTTTTCTAAACGTCTGTAACATTTTATTAAATTTTAAATAAGTTTGTACAAGAGGGAAAAGTACTTAACATTATTGTTTCAAATGTCAGTCCAAAAATGGTAAAATGTAGTTATCGATAACTTTGAGGGTCTTGTGCCATTCCAAATGGTGCACTCCGGGTACAGTGAGCTTGATTATTTTGTTGGCTTCGTCCAGTGTTTTAAGTCCGAAAAGGTCATTCATGTACACGTCTCGTTCTTCCATGGGCATGACTTCATCTTCAGTTTTGTAACATCCAAATTGACTATGGAAAGGAGTACGCATCATAAATAACTACTTAAAATCGAGTCAATACCGGAATATGAATGAGACTATTTGTTATTAACCTTGACTCCCAGGGTGAAATAAGACCATCATCTGGTCCTCCAATTAAAACCAGTTTCCTCGTCCGCAGAAAGTTGTTTTTGTATTGTTTCGATTTTTTGGAGGTAATTTCGTTATCAATTAGAGGAAGGAAGGTGGAGTGGTTGTAATATTCCTGCAAATGGTTCGGATCTCTCCAGTAATTTCCGATGGAAATGTGTTGTCCAGATTCCCGATAAAAGATTTTCCATGCATGCTCTTTCACATAGGTGGGAAAGTACAATTTGAGGAATTGGTCTATAAAAAAATTAGAGATTTTAATGCTAACTTAATTAATTAAACAAATAATTAAGTTGTGCTAACCTCCGTATTGACCTCCTTGGGGTGCACTCAAAGATATGAAAGTGTCCACATTGTGATCCGGCATGGATTCTAGCACAGCCCGAGCAATCAGTCCACCTTGCGAATATCCTGAAAAATGAGACACATAAATACATAATTTCAACTAAAGAAAGTCAATTTAAGTCAATATTCGAAACCCACCGATTAAATGTATCCCACCCGGATTGTCCTTAATGATGCCACGGATCGTCTCCTGGAAAGTTGCCACTTGAAACGGCATCGGCATCATGCTCCTCCATCGATGCAGTTTGTTAATCACGGTAACATTCGTCCCTTTATGTTTCTATTGTAGTAAAACTCACAATTTTAATTTGCATATTCTCACTTTTACACTTTATTCCTACCTGGATTATCCTATCCCGCAAGGGGAAAAGGCTGTTTTTGTGATCAAACATGCCATGAAAAATGACCACCGGTTTGTACGCTGTTGCCCGACCGATGATACTTATCAAGACTAAAAGTAACCCTCCTGCCAGGACCAATTTGTAGAAAGTAAAAATCCTCATATTTGTATTATCCATTGCAACAAAGTGCAAAAAAAACTCTTATTATATTAAAAAAATTATTTTAAGCTTGTTCATCACATAATTATTGACGGTGGTGGAATGAACTCAATATTTATACATTCAGACTTCTTCTTTCTTACTATTGAATTAGAATACAACGTATCCCCAGCAGCCTTCATGGATTAAATTAAATTGAGAAAATGACGATGAGTGAGTGAGTAGTGTAATATTAAATGAACACATATTTAGCCCTCTCTCTCTCACAATCATTTGTCATGCAAGTGATCCATCCAGGTTCCACCATATTATATTTAACACAAGATCCACAAGATGTATATGAACTTTGCTCTTTTCTTCAACTTGTATAAGTTTGTAAGCCATTAAAAATTAAGCAATGGAACCACCACGTCCTCCACTCCACGAGTTATCAAATAAATATGTAATCCAAAATAATGGCAAGTTTTATTTGTTTATTTGTCACTCGTGTTCTCTGCATGGCATGTCATTTGACACTCGTCAAGTCGTTCGTAACGACAAAACTAACCAACTAACCAAATATGCCATAGCTCCGTTCGTCCGTAGATAAGGAATTTCATTTCACTGAAAGTGCTGGGCAGTGAGCGAACAAGCCAAGCTTTATATTCTAACTTTATTAGTTTCTTCCTAGCTCTCATCGTTGTGTTCTGAGAAGAAATCAGGAAAATTGGAGCAATTTAAATAAAGTTTGATGACTGGGCAGGTTTTAATCTAGAGGATATCATGTAACCTCATGGGAAGGATTCATGAAATAGTTGTCACCCAAATTTTGCATGCTTGCATACATCATGTTTTTTGCAATATGTGGGATTATCTCATTTTTCTGAAAATGTACGTACTCAAGGTTTGCTAACTAACATGTGTCGTACGGACGTACGCAGATAAATGGAGCAAAGTAGCAGAAAAGATGTTCAATTCCAGTCTTGTACATGTACAGAAGCATGTCATTGCCAATGTCGACGTGTAACAGGACAATATTCACGGTGCCACTGGTATGCTTATGAACAGCCCATTATTCGCAAAAGTATATTTAGAACGGCTGCATAACTAGGAAAATAGGAATTGTAGAGATGCTACAAAAAAGAAAGAGAGATGTGCTCGGAATCTGATGTTTATTCTTTTCAGCACTGTTTAGATACCGACAACAATAACACATAAAAGATCCATAAATTAAAACAGTGTCAAAAAATCGTGTCTCAAAAATGAGGTCAAAATCGTTACCCATAATTCAAATTCTTTTCCTGGCTTGTCACTGCTCAGTAAGATTCACTTCTGCGAAAGTTGCAGGTTTCGGGAAGCCTTCGGGAGGAGTGAAAACTCCTTTGGAAGAGAGTGACAAAGGTGAAAATACGAAAATATTAATATTTTTTGTGCAAATTTTGTCTAATTTTTTTACTCGTTTTATTGTAGGAATGCCTCTAACTCACCCGTAAGTACGGTTAATATCATTTCTAAATGTTCATATTTAGATACTTGCAAATTGTAAATATTACTATCTTTTTCTGTCACTTTTATCCCAGAGCTGTCATGATTCCACTAATCGGCGTTCTGATCATGGTAATGGTCTTCATTGTGGCATGTTGTCTCAAGTTGTTCTCAACAGGGGAAACTCCGTCAAAACCTGGTCTCACTTCCATATGCACATTTATACTTTTGCGAATATTTTGGCAATGTGTATTCATATATTTGTATATGCATAATTAGCACAACCCAGACTTCAGCTAGGACGCAAAAATCGAAGCCGAAGCCGAACCCCCCAACCGGAATTTGTGGGGATGAGTAATGCCAAGGATTTGCCCTACGACTGTTACATGCCTGCTGCTGAGCAAAATACTACCAATAAGATGGACATTTTGATAAATAAAGAAGCATTGGTATAGTTTGCATACTATTTATTTATGCAGTGCAAGACTTGTTGTGCAAAGTACTTATATCACTCACTATCAGTATTATTGTTGTCAAAAACGTGGTCCATATTTTGTTGACAAGTTGCCTGTGGTTCAAATTCCTGCATATTTGTGTTGTCCAAAAGTTGTTTTGAAACCTATATTATGAGATCATTAATTTTACTACGTTAAGCTCGTAATAAAGTTATTTATGTATAAACGGTATCAATGAAATTGGTTGGGTATTGATCTTGAGAGAATAATCGATAAACGACCATTGGCTCCGGATACATAAAAGTAATTAATAGTTTCATAATAAACTTTACGGGAGCATTCAAATTAACAGTTATTACGAAAATTTTGCAACTAAATAATACGATTGGCATGATTGAAATGCAAGTGCACTTTTAATCATTTCGCATTCCAGCAAAACATCCTTGCATGATACGGACACAAGATATTTAAGAAATTTTAACCACAACAGATAAGCCTCACTTATCACTCATGAATGCATACCAACTTGCCATTCTTCTTGTCAAAGTGCAACAACAATTATAAAAATCTCATCGTTATAATGAGATGATTAGCATGCCATAAGAAGCAAACAGATCTCAGACAAGGCAACCCAATTGCCCTTTTTTGAGGATGATCAACAAGTCAACCCATCCGTCGATTCATCTTGCTCACAGACAAAATATTTCTTCACGATATTAGAATAATGTGGGAGTTTGTTTGCTTTTATTTATCGTTTAGGGCACAATTCAATATCTCAAGGTGATAATTTGAGCAATTATCATCCCAAAATTGAGACAACCAAGCCCAAAGGGGACGTTATTAGATGTTTCAAACTGCAAACGTAATCCAAACCTTGACAAATCAATAAAGTTTTAGTAATTATTTATATAAAAATGTGAGACATTGAATCAATTAGTTGACCACCGCATTTTCTATCAGCGAAAAATCATTGAAATATTTGATTTGATTAATTCCACTCTACAAAAAGTTGCATGATATCAAAGATCATGTATTTGATTTATCTAGTTTACTGCAAACTTGACGTTTTCCTTGCATTTGTTGTTCACCTGTCTAAAAAGCATCCAAGGTCACGTTTTCCTACAGATTTTTAAAGCCTTCTTAAGTATTTTTTGTACAGATTAAGAAGGAGAAGAATGTGACACTTGTTACATCCATGGAGGCATTTATTCCTAAATTGGATATATAGCGATCAATAACAATTATTATATGGTGCTTATTTTACTTACCAGAACCAATATGAGCGAAAAGTGTATATTACAAGACCACTCTATTTTTTGCAATAAATTCTTGACCCATAACTGATAAAGAAGAATCAAGGCAAACCAAAATCAAAGGACCGCACCGCCTAATGGATATTTACGTACGACGAGTGTGTAATGTCACAAGTAGCAGCAAGCAAGGTGTGGAATCACGAATAATCACGACGATACATACCAAATTGACTGTCACATTTAATTATGGTTATCATCAAAAATCTATCATCATCATCTCAGATATTAGACCGACCACGAGCTCAACAATTATTATTGCTGACTTATTAATTACAATGTATGCATGTAAGGGATTGCAATGCATCTTGCTAATTACCATTTTTTTGCAACTTGTTACGTTAGGGCTTAATATTTTTTTTGTGAGGGAAGATGCTCATATTTATGCTAATATTATGTAATTCATAATTTCGTCAGAATTAATTTAATATATGAACCCTTCAATTATTTATTAAATTCTGCTATGTAGCGATTGCAAACTTTTATGTTTCTTAGTCTCACTTTTTCTATTTTTTTCACAAATGGAAATAAATTACCAGGGTAGAACCAGGAGGATAAAAATAGCGATGTAATCTCAAAATAAATAAGGTAAAGTACCACACACAAAGCATGAAAAGTCATAAATTACTCTGGATAAATAATGAGTTGGAATATTCTTATGAAGGTCGAAAGATGTAACGCCAGACAAAAGTGATAAAAATAAAACCACTTTTGACGAACCTTTTAGGTAGAAAAATGTTGAAGCAAATGTTCCGTGTTTTTTTTCGTGTCGTCTTCATCACGTAAATAGATAAACGGGTGAAGTAATCAAATTAGATTTCCCGAGTAAGGACAAAAGTGGACCAACAAGTTTGTCTTATTGACCAAAATTCTGGCCAAGTATGAACCAAATTTTACCTCATTTTAATCCTATATTCCAATTTTTTTTTACCTAGTCGGAACGAATGTATGGATTTATAGCAAGTTTATTGGACCGGCACAAAGTCAACTATAAAGATTGGGATGGTCGCTGATTAGTTATTGGATGAATTTGTTTGCAACTTTTTCTGAAGAAAAGCGTTTGCAGTGTTTGTATTTTTATTTTTACCTGGTTTTGGATTACCTAATTAGGGAACGAGTTAAGCTTTAATTGTTATGCAGGAAGGGGAGCAACATTCTGACGAGAGTGGTTTGGTAAATACAGAATGATACCATTTTTGCACCTTTGGCTATATCATGTATTAAGTTTGTTCGTTATGATGTCCCAAGAACCTAATGCGGGACGGCAGACCACCATTAAATCAATTTTATTTGTATAAATATCGGACAGTAAATGTCCAGTTTTTGTTTCACGTACGTAGGAACTGTTGGAGTATAAAAGGGGACTAGAAACTGACAAAGCTTATCCAGTCGCTTCAATTCGATTCATATGAAAATATCGTTTGAAACATGAAAATTTTCGTAAGTTTATTTTTCGGTTAATTTTGATATGAATTCCTTAAAAGTTTAATATTTTTTCTCAGGTCATAATAGCTCTCTGTGTTGGTGTGGCCATTGCTGGCAGCATCCATGGAGGTGGAGGTAGAGGTAGTAAATATTATTTGTATTTAATATTGACCTGGAATTATTTACTTTTTAATATGCAGGTGGTTATTCAGGAGGCTATTCTTCTGGGGGTGGGGGAGGTTATTCCTCTGGGGGTGGAGGCTATTCCCGAGGGGGAGGAGGAGGAGGGGGAGGAGGAAGTGCCGCCCGTCGACCCCACCGAACTTACGTTTACAATGTGGGAGGAGGATCATCTGATGCTGGTTTGAGGTCTGTTTATCGATATTTTTTGCAATTTCAATAGTGAGATTTTTAGGTTAAACAACTTTTCATGCATATTTTCAGATTTTTACCGTATAGCGCCGGTGAAGGGCTTCGCACAGGACCTGTTGGCGGAGGTGGTGATGGTGGTTCGACAATTATGTAAGATTCCGATAAGCTTGGTGTTAATGAGACGATACACATGAGGCTAATTTAATTTCGAATAGCATCCGTTCCGGAGGAGGTGGTGGTGGTGGTGGAGGCGGTGGGGGCGGTTATTCAGGTACCAATTAATTGTATTTGAAGACTGTTTTATATTAAAAATTGTTTTACAGGAGGTGGCTACAGCGGTGGTGGACATTCAGAGGGTGGTTCCGGCATTGGTTTTGGCTATTCTGGTGGTTCGTCGGGTGGAGGCAGTGGCTGGTAAATATTTCAATCAGCACGTGTCGGATACTAAAATTTGTATTGGTTTTTGCTAAGTTCGATAATAAGTATGTTCAATTTAATTGACAATGTAAAATTGAAATTCAGAAATTATGATGTAAATTGAATAAATATTCTATTCGACAATTAATACATATTGTGTATGCATCAATGTTATTGTATATTATGCAAGCATCAATGATCATGGATAAATTATCGCTGCAAAATGAAACATGGTCATTAATAATATACTAAATTTCGTAAACTCGCACTATTTATTTCACATCATAAACCTGCGATTTATTGCACGAACTGGTACACAAGTTCAGACTTGCAGCATGCAAAATTATTGTAGGATCTATCTATGCATATAATGTATGGTGATTGGCACGTGAGCTGCTTATTCATACGTTTATTTATTATTGGACCTATCAGTCGTAAGGATATAATTAGCCAAAGCTTTTAGCAAATCGTAGATTTTATTTCTTACAGATTAGCATAAATTATTCACAATAGAAAATTATTGGGCATACATACGTACATTTTGTGATCTTATGTCATGTTGTGCAACTTAAAGTCTCATCAATATGTACATATTTAAATGTATTACAATACAATAATTATTAAATACAGATTTCTATTAAGCTAGGACGGGTCTAAAAATAATTTTTTTCAATTTTAATTCGCATAATAATTCATAAACTTACTGTCACTGCAACCATTTATTTTATTACAGTGATGTCAGTTATATAGTTCAGGTTTTATCAAGCCAACTTTTATTAGAGTTCATGTCCAACATGGATAAAATCATGCTATAAAAATATTTTATAACTTTGAATCATAATCGATTATAATCAAACGCATGCATGCTCTAATTTTATAATCTTTGTAATATTCGTAGTCATATCTGGTTTAGATTAATAAATTGCCTCTGAATTTTTAAATAAATCCTGCACATTTCTTGTGATGGCAAGGTTGGTTTTACAACTTTCAATCTTTATTATCATCTAAACGTGACCACCGCAGCTCAGCAGTTTCCTATGCAAGCAGGTACTAAATATCCAATATTTATAACAAGTCTGGCTGGAATGCTACTTAATTAGTTGTCATAAAACAAATAACGCTTTGCGTGGTAAACTTTTTTCGACTAGGAAAAGGAGTGCGAATTTTTATATTTTTGATGCCAAATCTTGCCTTGATGCACATTAAAGTTGCCACTAATTTACATGGATAAAGAGCAAAATAGTTAGTATGCAGTTGCAATACAATGCTAAAAATGGTTACCTAAAAGTTGTCATCATCACAATACACATGCCGACAACATGTATATACGAATGTAATACAACTATTTACGATGGCCATACATTTAAGTAAGGCAGACAGACGCAGATGCTCCACATTAAACACGAAATAAAAATTCTTAATGAGATGACCAACCATCAAAATAGGTTTCATACCTACACCTAAACGCAAATTAAGACGAATATTGTGGAAAATCGTGCCACGTGAATTGTCCAGAAATGGTCCTTGACAAGTATAAAAGGGAATGGGAACCCTCCAAAGAGTATCCAGTTCAAGATATCACTTCTTAAGACAACCAAACCAAACATGAAAACTTTGGTAAGAGAAGAATATTTTGTAGTAAAGATACATTTTTTGGAAATTTCGGAGTTATAAAACTTTGAATTTCTACCCAACAGATTATCCTCTCCCTCTGCGCTGCAGCATTTGCTGGCAGCATCCACGGTGGTGGTAAGAAGAAATTGTTTCCTGGAAATATATTTCTGGAAATATATTAATTGTTTCACTATTTATTTATTAATTTTAATAGGTGGTGGTGGTGGCTACTCAGGTGGCGGCGGCGGCGGCGGTGGTGGTGGTGGTTATTCCCGAGGGGGTGGCGGAGGTGGCGGCGGAGGAGGACAAGCCGCCCGACGACCTCATCAAACTTATGTTTTTAATACCGATGATGGTGGTTCCGATGCTGGTTTGAGGTTAGCGTGTTTAAATTTTAAAAAAAACAGTTTACGAAGAGAAAATATGTGTATGAATGAATGTTTCCAGATACTTGTCCTTCGCCCAAGGTGCCGGTTTGCAAACTTCCGCTATTGGAGGAGGTGGAGACGGTGGTTCAACCATCATGTATGCAACATCTCGCTAACAAATTAATCAATTTCTGAAAAAAGATGATTATTGACGATTTATTTATTTAGCATCCGAGGAGGAGGAGGTGGTGGTGGTAACGGCGGCGGTGGCAGCGGTGGGGGTGGCTCTTCCCGAGGAGGAGGAGGTGGTGGTGGTGGCTTAGGATTCGGATACTCTGGATCCAATGGAGGCGGAGGTGGTGGCAGTGGATGGTAATCAAATAGCCGGCAAAAATAACTCCAAACTCTTCAAAAATTTCTTCTTTGAAACTTTCTTTCATTCGCATAAAATTTTTGTAAATTCGACAATCGCATGTCACAAGTTCAAATTGTATAAAATAAATCGTACCACTATTTGATACTCTTTTAAACAAAGATGAATAACGATAAATAGCCCATAACTCTTTACAGGGTGATCTATCCTAAAAGGCAATGAATTGATTCATCCTGGGTCTATCCTTATTGGACGGATAGAAAAACTGACCAAAATCATGCGACCACAAGTTTTTTTGTATTATTGAATTTTATTCTCAAACTGTATTCCCTTGCCGTGAATAAAACGTTTGGTTGACAAAAATTAGTCAAAAAATGCCCAAGTAATTGCCATCCAAAGGCGACCATCTCATAAAACATTTTTCCTAAAGGACGATTGTCACAAACGAAAATTGTGGAGAAGTTGAAATTTTCCGGATATATCCGGATGAAAATATCAATTTGCGATGCCCCCCAAAAAGTTATCGCGTACCATTCTTCGAAAAATCGACCCCCTGACAAGCTAAAAAAACCTCCAAGCAACTTCGCGGGGCCTTTTAAGACGGCATTATTACATAAAAGCCAGACTCTAATGAACGATTGGCATATAATTTTTAGCCCGAACTAGGGCTTATGTAATCGACCTGTCCGTCTGTCTGTCTTACCATAACTCTCGAAGGAGTAGGCTGATTTTTACCAAATTTGATACAGACATGCATCTGGGCAACGACCGAGTTCGAAGATGGGTATTAGTGTTTCTCACGGGTCGGGTTCTTGCAAATCCGAAACCCGAACCCGATACTACTGATCCGAAACTTGAGGGCAACCCGAACCCGAAGAACCCGAAACCCGTTTGCAAGGATCCGAACCCGAACTGGCGGATCAAATCCCGAACCCGAAAAACCGAATATATTTTAACTTTAAGGGGTGACTGGCTTTTTAGCCTAAAGGTTTCAAACAAACAATACTTCTGTAAATATGACCGAGGAATTATAATTAAGCACATTTCTGCATTAGTACATAACGCATTTTAAAATGTGAATCTTAATTCCTCGACCATAATAATGCAATCTCAAAAAATCGACCATGGATAATGGCTTTCCGTGACATTCAGAAATTTTTAAATCAGTTGAAAACTGAAAATGATTTTCAGTTTCAAGTTTCCAATATTAAAGTAAGCTCAAGCTAACTATTTAGCAAATTTTTGATAAAAAAATATATTTTATTTCAATATTCAAACCATAACACTAATTGAAGACACTTGTGAAAAGAAGTTACGACAATTAAAAATTTGAATTATTTAATGAATTACTGCAGCATAACCGTCGTAGCAAGTGTGGTTAACACTTTATTTTCTTTTTTAATGTTTTCGTATTCGTTGTGGCAAAAAGTTCTTGTTGGTTCGGGTTTCGGGTTCTTAGTCGGAACCCGAACCCGACCCGAACCCGAAATTTTGGGCTCACATTTCTCGGACCCGAACCCGAACCCGAAAGTTTCGGGTTCTGAAATTTCGTATCCGAAGCAGGACCCAAACCCGAAGTAAGAACCCGAACCCGTGAGAAACACTCGATCAAAAAACATTTAGACCAATGAGTGGTACCCTGGACACGATTATCACCTCGAAAGTATCCCTTGTTAGCTAACTTTTAATTTCAAGTTCTTTGATGAGAAGCCACTAATTGTAAGTATTACCGTGCCGGATTTCATGTTTTTAACGCAATTTCTAAAAATAGATATGGATCACCTCTCTCCCAAATTTCACTTCGATATGACGATTTTGAAAAATCAGTATGGGTCACCCCATAGGGTCCATCAAGATTAAAATTGTTCCAACCTAAATTCAGTTTTTTCTGTTACAATCCACTAGCAACCTTTGTTCCAAATTTCAACTACGTACTACAAATTTTAGAAATCCGTCGGGTCTCCCAGGTTTAAAATTTCTGAAACTCCATTCCAATTTAAACGCTTTGAGGTCAGTCGCAATCTTCATACTAAAATTACTGAAAATTATTACTATAGATATTTTTCAAGCTACAAATATTTTACTTACACTTAAATAATTTAACCTGCTCTAAAGGTTCTTGGTAGTTAAGGGCAACGCATTTGGATAGTAATGACCCCCACCGGCCAACTACTTGGCCGATCATGCCCACCTCCGAACTCATCCTTACTTTTGACCCGAAGATGAAGTGTGCAAAATTTCAAGTCGATAGCTTTTGTTTAAAGAGAGTTATCGTGCGCACAGACGGACGCACAGACGGACGGACAGACATCTTGGTAAATCTATAAGGCCATCTTAAAAGGCCTAAAAATGCCTCCAAATTGCCATATTTCTTCTCTAAAATTTTCCTCCATTAGCATCAATTCTTTGCAAAATTCAAAAAATCGCATGTCACAAGTTCAACAAATTGTAAAATAAATCGTACCACTATTTGATACACTTTTAAACAAAGATGAATCACGATAAATAGCCCATAACTCTTTATTGCCGTCAAAGTTACCACATCCCTTTACACAACAATGGACTCACATATTTTCTCAAAAATATTACAAGAAACAACAATGGCGACACACACACACGGCCCTGCCACGTATGTATTAAAAATTGTAGTCAATGGTCATTGTCAACTAAAAACATTTGCCTACTTCCAAAAAAGCCGTTCACGCAACAACTCCACTCCATTGTTACGTTATGCCATAAAATTTCCATTTTCGTGATAGCAAATCTCACATTTATTTACTTATTTACTATTCAATCGAAATATTTTGAAGTGCAGGGCAAACGGAATAGAAAAAAAATATTTACCATTTCCACTAAACCAATATTATTACAACCGTCGTCTTAAAGAAAATAAATCTACACTTAATTTGCCTGCATTAACTCGATCTTAAAGTTTAATGAGTGTCCATGCACTAGATTGTGCCACTTAATTTCTTCGCATCGTCCCTTATTCATCACTTCTTCACCTTCCATTCAGTAAAATTACATCAACAAATCACCACATATATATCTTTGATATCGTAAAGAGCATCATCATTATTGCCATCATCATCATAATTATCCTCGCTACGGTCAATCCATGTCATGTCTTCTGCTGTTAACACTCGACTCGTTTATTTTTATTTCACTCTTGTTCATCTGTCCCATCTGCCTGTCAAGTCACGCCAGCCACAAATAGGTAACGTTACTTTACTTACTTTAAGTCTTCCCATTCAGCTTATTCTCCTTTTCCTTTCGATGTCAAGGACGGAGTAAGCATCATGATGACGATATTATTAAAGAAGAACAAGAATTATTGAGTTATTGCGATCGGAGCAGATATGGATAAAGTTGACCAGACTAGTTACATATATTACCTATTTTTTATGTGTGTGTATTGCCTTTTTCATGCAAATCCATAATATGCAGCAATAAGGGCAAGATTCCATTCGTGGTTACGTTATGAGACTTATTATTATTCAAGAAAATGATGAGATTCCATGAAGGTGTGTATACGCACATTATGCATTAAATAATGCAACTTTGCAAATTATACCAAAGACTGGTTCTACCTATTTAAATACAGTGACGCTAATAATGCAATCATCGTATCATCTTTACGAACGACTACTTGAAGTAATCATGGGTAGCCTCCTTCATCAAAAGTATCCAAAAGTGTGTACATATGTACATACGTAGGATTTGGATGTATTGGATTTTTGTAAAGAACGCTGAATAGCACCTTTAATTCAAGGAACTCGTCAACACCATCCTCCGTTCATCCTTATGATTAGGTTATTATCTGTAAATGTTAAATTATTATAGAATTCGTAGATGCAGCTAACGTTTCCAAATTACATGCTACACAAGTTTGCATCATTATATTGAACACAGTAACACCATGCAGAACTGACTGAGCAAGAAGAATGGGCCAATGTTTTGGTGTTGTCATCACCGTGGTCGTCGGCCCATGTTATCAACACGTATTTTTGTATGGATTGGTATTCAATGAATCAGAAACGGGAGGACAAGGATATCCCAACGTTTACTTGGTGGTTAATAAGGAATTGTGTTTGAAAAGAGTGGGTGGACTTGAGTTGGTTGTTTTATTGGCAAAGGTTTAAAAGGGGTTTGAGTGCAGGGGTCGTGGAGTCAGTTTTTGTTGGGAAGTGTTGGACTACTCAGGTGAAGCGGAAATTAGTGGCGATTTTTATTTATTGGAAGGGATTTAGTAATAATTAATAGATAATCGGAATGAAATTTCTAGTGGTAAGTGTAAAAAATTTGAAATTTCTGGTTCTTCAAAATTTTGAATTTTAATTCCTAAAAATTATGTGTGATTAAACGAACGACATTTAAATACGAGCGTTTTGTCATTCTCAGGTTCTTGTCGCCGTCGTGGCGTACGCTCACTTAGGAAATTGTGGCGTCGGAGTTTTGACACCTGCGATAGGTATTAACTTGGTGAAATTTTTCTATTTTTTCGGAAACTTATGTGTAATATTTTTCAGAGGCTGAGGCTTTGAGATTGTGGCATTCTTATTGCAATGGTGCCAGCGAAGGAGGTACTGACGGGTCCACGTTTATTTATTGTAAACGATCCAATGAAAATTATGAGGAGTCCCTGCAACACAACGTTGAGCTTCCAAGAGGTCAAGAACAAGGGCAGCAAGTAGTGTTTGTCCAGCCACCAAGCTACCATTATAAACACGACGTTATCGTCTCTGGAGGCGGTAAGTTGCCAAATATTTTACTCGGGTGCCAAAAAATTAGATAATAACACTTATCTTTTTATGCCTTTTCAGGTGGTTCTGCTCCCAAGACTGTCATCTACGTTAAACCAGCCGTAAGTTTTTGCATTCATATCAGTTTAAGTTGATTACATGTCAGAATGTTACATATTTGTGTAACAATTTCCAGAAAAACACCAACGAAGTCAACATCGTTGACCAGACTCGGCCAAACGCTGCCCCACAGAAGCCCACTCTCTTCTTTTTGAAGGGAGGTCACGGTGGGGAAAGTCAAACCCAAGTCGCTGCTCAGCCACAGCAGCCACAACCTACACAATCCGGTTACAATTATCCTCCTCCCACTCAAAATGGCTACAATTACCCAACCCCCAGACCCACCCCACAAAGTGGGTACAACTACAACGCCCCACAAAGAGGACTTCGGTATTAAAGGAGCAATAGATTAAATTATTTAGCTCTTTATATTTTCTTATGTACCTTCTTATATTTATTTTTACGCAATGTTTCAGTATTGTAAATTGTATTCTTCTCAGGCGTGAATTGCCAAATTGTAAGGCTTACTTTCTAGATTCCAGGAATAATAAAATTTTATGACAACTGTTGAATGAGAGGTTGGATGCTATTTGTAGCGTTTATCCATGTAGGTAAATATCTCGGAACTCGAATTTTTACATTGTCACTGATATTTACATATTCTGTAACTCTATGGGCAATAATGCCTGAAAGGATTTGTGATCCAATTAATCAATCAATCAATCAATCAATGTAGGTATCTTTTTGAAAGAGGTAGAAAATGATATGACGAAAAATTAGCTATAATCAAGTTGTAGTTGTAATTAAATATGTATATTTGGAATTTTCAGCACTGTAATTTAGCACAATTGTAATTAGCACAACTGAGGAATGCCTATGCTTTCTTTCTAAAAATTTCCAATCATTTCCGGTGAAGGTAAGAATTTGCAGTTACCACACATCGCTTTATTTTGAGTTAATTAACGCATTTTTGATTTTTCGTACCACAAATGATTGAACAATAGTGTACTGTTTGTACTCTGAGGTTATTTAGTTTTATTGTCCGGCTTCCATGCCCAGTATGTTGTACATTTCTTCTTCTCCGTTGGTGGTGAATCTCCATCGAATCTACCGTTCCATCTGGTATTGGTTGCCTCGTCTCTAGTTTTGACGGTAGGATGATCTAAAGGGGCCACAGGTGTGTCCTTCTTAGCATAGGACCGAGATAACGGCGTTCGCCGCTGTGGGGTTGGTGGTCCACCGAAAATCCCAGGGAAAGTTCGAGTCTTGTTGCCTTTATAGTTCAGATCCGTTGTCCTGATCGTCTGGACTTGAATTTCACGTTCAACTCCATCTTCTACGACCATTTCTTCGGGATTTCCATCTCCTTCACCATCAGAATGAATTTCCATGCCCATGTCGTTAATGCGGTGGGGATTGTCTAACGCTTGTATCGTTTAGAGTTGGGAGAAGTTAAAGTGCACGAATCTTTTAATTTTTATCGGTACTACATGTTTTTATGTCGGATGCATGCAATTTATTGAATTTGCATTCAGTAGCCTCATTGCTCACGATTGCTTGACATTAAGTATCTAGGTAACGCTTGGCTCTTTTAACGGTTGCGACAAATGGTGGAGTTACAAAAAAAATATTCATTTTTAATTTCGTTGGTACTTCTCCCATGGTCCAAAGTACCAACGACTTTGACCCTTAATAACTTTTCAATGGGCAGACATAGAGACTTAATTCTGAAAGATGAAATCATCGTAATTTTTATATTGATTTTTTAAGCTCAAAATCTCGAGGGTATTATGTTTTATAGTAAACTTGAAATTTCCAATGTGCAGCCTTTATTTAGCCCGAGTCAGGCGTTCGGTCAAAACTATTTACTGGTGGAATGGCATATTTTTGAAAAAATCTGTGTGGATTAGGCCCTACGGTCTCACCCGTTGTCAAAATTTCAACTTCCTACGACAAATTTGGGACTTTTCTATGGCATTCAATATTTTTTTAGTCAACCTCTAACCACTTAAAATACCCCCACCGACCTAACCGATCACGTCTATCTTCGAACTTATCCTTATTTTTGACCCGAAGACGAACTTCGCAAAATTTTAAGTCGCTAGCTTGTGTTTAAGAGAGGTATCATGCGCACAGGCAGACATCTTGACAAATCTACAACCCCATCTGAAAAGGCCTAAAAATTAGGTTTCCCATTGTAATAATGTTAACCACCCATGACATTTTCAACAGCTTTTATTTTTTGGAACCTGCGCTGACTCCATTTAGCCTGAGTCAAGGATCTGTCCCGAACTAGGTTAGTCTGAGCTCGCGTCTAATTTTTTTCGAAACCGACATTACCAACCTCCGTGGAGTGGATAGTTAAATGTTTATTATATATTTTCTATTATTTGGCATTTTAACTTCATATTCTTTCATGAGAAGCTATTAAGTATCACCGTGCCGGATTTCATATTTTTAAAGCAATTTCTAGAAATCGGTATATCACCCCATAGGGTCTCTCAAGATGAAAATTTTTCCAACTTGAAATCATTTTTATCTATTAGAAGTCATTAGCTACCTCTGTACCAAATTTCAGCTTTCTACGACAATTTCGAAATATTATCCCAACTACTCACATGACCCCCACCGGTCCACCACTTTACCGATTTCGCCCATCTTTGAACCCGCTTCCTAACTTTGTCCGATATGTGCACGGTAAGAATTTCAAGTCAATCGGTTCAGCCATTTTTACTAACGTGTTTACGGACGGACGGACGGACATGACGGTTCCATAAGCCCTGCCTCGGGCTAATAAAAATGAAAATTTATTTTATAACTCGGCCATTTGTCGTAACCCAAGATTCCTAGACTTTTTAGTATGTTTCCGTGGAGTGAATGTATTCGAATTATGTAATGAGGTTGTCCAAGGATAGGCCGTGTTTTAAAAATTATTAAAAATTTGCGAGTTGGGGACAGGCACACATTTTTTGGCGTTGTCACCCGTTGTTGGGTGAGTGAGAAATTATTTTTCTGTTGAGTTTTTCATTTCTAACTCGATTGCACATGTGATCTTGACCACTTGTGCCCTCCATAATTTAGTATATTTCCAAATTTTTAGAAGAAAATCGTTTCAGAAAGTTGTATGTAGTCCAGTGCATGCAGATTTCAGATTTCAAAAATTTTTACATCAGGAGTATCTTTTCGGAAAAATCAAAATTTTAAAAAAGTCGAGCTTGATATTCGGCTAAGAAAACTATCTGGGAGTATAGTGGTGCAAGAATTCCCATAATCCGAGTAAAATTGGATTTTTGGTGAGGGTTTGAACGAGTCAAAACAGGCTTTTTTCGTGGTCAATGGCAGAAATTCATAGCTTTGAAATGGCATTAATGGCATTAATTAATTAATGGCAGAAATGGTCATCAATATCACATACATATGGGTTCGAGTTAGAAATGAAAAACTCCACAGAAAAATAATTTCTCACTCACCCAACAACGGGTGACAACGCCAAAAAATGTGTACCTGTCCCCAACTCGCAAATTTTTAATAATTTTTAAAACACGGCCCGTCCTTGGACAACCTTATTACATTATCCTAATACATTTCTTCCACGGAAACAAGCTAAAAAGTTTAGGAATCTTGGTCGTAACCTTATAGACTGATCAGGGTCCTTTGACTGTTTCCTTGGAGGATTTCTAGACATGGATTTCTGACATAGATTTCTAGACAATCCTCCAAGGAAACAGTCAAAGGACCCTGAGACTGATAAAGTGTCAAATAATCTTGCTTATTGCTAGATGCTTAAAGTCGAGAAATCCTGGTTTCCATGCGTCATAACGCGTCAGTGATTTTACAGTGATTATATGTACGTTTGGTTAATAATGTCCATGTTGACTTGAAAAAAGTGACTGCAAATAAACATACATATTTTAAATAAAATTTAAAATAAGTCAATTTCATCAAAAAAAACCTGTCTCATGAAGAGCGATATGACGCACCCTGTGATGTTTCCTCCCTAGAACAACTCCCCTTAGATTATAGCCCTCTCTCCATTCTGATCCATGGTTAATCATACTAATTAGTAATTATTCGTATACTTAATATTTCGTACTAGATATTTAAGTATTTTACTTTTATTTCTTTACCGGCAACTGCTTACGTGAAAATCCATCTTTGGTCCTGTCGATTAATTCGAATCATTACATCACTACCACGCAGACGCACACACAATGTAGATGGTTACCTGATCCGTCCAAACAGGTGCAATTTGTAGTTGCACAATCCTGTAAATCTGAATATTAATTGATAATTAGCATACGCGTATGCATAATCTGAGCATTATGAAAAGTATTATTCTTCCTTACAGAAGTTTTAGTTGGGGGAAGTTCTCCCATCACAAAGTTTGTCTGGGTACAAAATACAAACCCAATCGTCATAATGATAACTCATTTTCTAGGCAATTGCAACCTTTGCACAAAGTCAATCCCTTCGTCTAACATAACATGATTAATTATTCGTGACATATTTTATTCCATAAAAGAATGAACATTCGTGTCAAATCGACTTAGCAATAAATGTACCAAAATCCTTCCATTGAACGAAACAGCAAAAACAAGATCAAAAACTTGGTGTCACGTCAAAGAAATGTTGTAAATGAGTGGATGGATGAGGTCCACATTTTTCCAATAATTTCAGTAGGGAGTAAATATCTTAATGCATAGATAAGTACACTATCTTTTTATGCGTTATTAGGGGTGGGATATTATTTGGTTTGTAAATTAATAAATTGCTCATCATCTTGTCCACGTAATTGTATTTATGTACATGTGTTCGTGTTTATCCAACCATGTCGATTGTCGATCTCATCATGTCTGCAGGCTGTCGACCTTTATCACGATTGTGCAGTCGCACATATTTTACAACTCCACCAATTCTGCTGAATATCATTTTACCTAAAAGCATGACAAACCAGCTTAATTGCTAACGATGAGCATATTGATTCATGTCGACGTTTAGTGCGATATCAACTTATCTTACAGGATTTGTGCCATGTTTCCTTATGTGTAGTACAAATTGCAGAATTAACCTAGCTCACGAGTCTGAAGGCCGTCTCGCCATGAAGGGATGAAGACCCAAATTCACTTTAATCAGATTGAATTATGGACACTTTCTTAAATAAAAAGGGTCATCAAACGTTTTGCTTATTTTAGTTGAAAAGTTGTTCCTTGGGAATCAACTAGACTCGATCTGGTTTGTGCAGTGATATCTGTGTGACAGTAAAAAGTGGTTGTGTTACGGAAAATACAAAAATAAACTGCTCAGTGCAACGATGAGGGCTATTTTGGTAAATTAATTTATTAGATAATTCGATAATTACTAGAAAATTAGTGCAAAGTAAAACTGTTGATCAATAATTATTGTTAAAGATCAGTTAGTGATTAATTCCCCAAAATTCCAGATCTTGCTATCCGTGGTGGCTACGTCGTATGCAGGAGTGGGCGTGGTTACTCCGCAAATCGAAGCTGAGGCTTATCGTCTTTGGAACAAATTTTGTGAAGATGGCAGCGACGGTGGGATGGGTGAAGGTCTCGCCGTTTTCTGCAAGCGACCCCGTGGCATCAAAAAGCAATCGCTTCAACACAACATTGAACTTCCAAAAGGTTCAGGGGATGAACAGCAAATTGTTTTCGTCCAGGTAATATAAAATATAAATACGTAATATAATGACTTTTCGGATATTTTTGATAAGCAATTTATTTATTCATTACATTTCAGCCACCTTCGTACCATTACAAGGTAATCTAACTATTGTGGTATGCAAATTTAGAAAATTTCAAGCAATAATTTTCTGTTAATTTCATTTTAGCATGACGTAGTCGTCTCGGGCGGAGGGGTTGCCGCAAGAAGAACTGTCATCTATGTAAAAGCAGCCAAAAATACGCACGAGTAAGTTCACTAATTACTCTAATTATTACAAATTAAAGTCTACAATTAAAATTCTAATTTTCTAAAAAAACAGGGTCAATGTGCAAGATCGCACAACCGCTGGAGAAGTACCATCTAAGCCCACGCTCTTTTTCCTTAAGGGAAATCATGGCTCAGAATCCACCACGGACACGGACGCAGTTCCCGTGAGCCCACCAGATAACACGTACCTCCCACCAACCACTCCCCCAGACAACACCTACCTTCCACCCACCACCCAAAAACCGGGGTACAATTATGACGCTCCCGAAACGCAATTGAGCTATTAAACCATAATTTTAACGAGGAGCTTATATTTATATATTTATTTTTAGAGTATTTATTGTGAAATTACGTATGTATGAAAAGCTTAAGTCATGAGATACGCTTTTGAGCATTGTGATTCTGAAGGAGACGCATTTTGAAATTGATGTGGAACTATTTTTGTATTTAGTTTTATGTAATTATAATCTGCTTGTCTTGAAAAATCCTACTTTCAATTTCGCACCAAAGTTTGCAGACAGATTTCATAATAAAACTAGGTTTGGAGTACCTTACATACATGCATTTGCATAATAACTGCGTGCTTGGTCACAATGAATTCGAATGCATAAATCGAATTTCAAAATTCAATCAATCCACCATCAGCATCTGCCATTCATCGAATTTTAGCCTCTTCGTTGGAGTTTGCACTCTTATGAGTTTGAATACTAATTAAATTGAGCCTCGTTAACTTTTCCCAAGAACTTTGCACTTGATTTGTTCCCAAATCCATTCTGCAGAAGAGATTGAAATTGAAGTGAAGGGCTTGTTTCTCCCTCTTCATCTTCACGTGCATTGTTATTATGCATTTTTTTCCATCAATTGTTCAACTACAATATGAGTCGGAATGATTAAATAATGATAAAACGCATTATTTATTATTATCGTCAAATAATTTATCGCCAGCAGATCTCAGATGAGCATGAATAAATAAATAAACTAGCAAAAACAAGACTCGCACTCATTCTCCAAGTCTTAAATTTCAACTAGTTTCAATAAATTACAACTGTATTTGCCATCTTTTCATCCACATAATAAAATAATGCTTACCCCAAATGCATGCGAAATCAATGTTAAGAATTGGACAACGTAACTTGTTTACTTTATTTAAAAAAGGTAATGAGCTATCCATTTTAATGTAATCCTACACCGGCCGAACCATAATTACTTACAAGAAATACAAGGTGGCATTCGTGCGTATGTACATTTGAATTAATTAACATTTAAGAAGAATTATTAATATGTTGGTTTTGCTTAAGGTGAGCCACCTACAATTGCGCTAATTATACACTCATCAAATAATTTTTACATAAATGCACCATTTTCAAATTAAATGCATATATGTAATTAAATAGCTACCAAAAAAACGTGTGTACATACATGTGTTGTCCCTCAAATACATATAAAAATGCTCGAATTATGAGTACACAATTAACGAACGTGAACTAATAATATGCAAATAAATTATGTAACAGAGGTTGGAAATTCCATTGGAGATTCCAGTTAGGTAGTTTGCTCTTTATCAGTCCTATTTCGAAATTAAAACTGCTTTGCACCCTAAAATTTGGTGATTATAAAGTTATGAATAAAGTTATGAAATTCATTTTACAGCTTTTGTCCCATGCGTGATGCGATGCGATGTTGTCGTCCCCGTCATTCAGCCAGATTCAAGATCTCTTGTCTCCCAGGTTGATTGATAATGATGATGAAGTTGAAAACATGAAATAATTTTGCACGTCAAGTATTGTAAGTACTTTTTGCAAGATGGGTGCACTTGGGTGGTTGGTGAATGAAGTGCACAGCCCTTTCGCTTGGTCTGAGGTGACACACGATCGTCTCAATCAAATCTTCTCGAATCAACAATGGGATGACAAATTCAAATCCGTTCGTGTTTTTTGTTTGACGACGACTACGTATTTCTGTATTTTGCACTTGACTATCTATGTTTTCTGCAATGTTTGATTTGCTAAAAAGTGGGTTGTTTTTATGCAGCTGCAAGCACTACTACTGTAACTAGCCATGGCATAAATCTGTCCTTATTAAACTGGTCAAACAATATCATCGTTCATTTTTAACAATGGCTTCATCTTCTTCTTTTACATCTTTTTAGAGGGGACAATTCTATTATTATTGTATTTACATGTTGTTGCTGTATAATAATTATATTTAGTTTGTACGAGCAGTTACTTATCACTTATTGAACAAGATGAGACGATGAGGATAAAAAGGGAATCTCATCCCCAATATTGTGTCAAGTTACAAGGTTACAAGCAAGTTGGAAAGACGTCGGGATTTTTTGTGGTGATATAATTAGTTGAATTTAGTCGTGAATTATTTATAAATCGGTGAAAATGAAGGTGATTTTGGTAAGTTTGGGGGAATTTCTAAAAAAAGTTAAGTTGGGTATTCAATAGTATATTTAATGTTTAGGTACTTTTGTCCATGATTGGTGCGTGTTATGGTGGCGTTGGGGTAAATTACTGAAAACTTTGAAATATTTCTGAAATGTGTTTCTTATTATTGGGATTTCATCATTTCAGGTGCTCACTCCCGAAATTGAGGCAGAGGTGGCTAGAATTATTTTTCAGTGTCTATTTTTTTCGGAAATCTGATACAATTTGTAAGTCTGTAAATAAATGTTTTTTAGGCCCTCCGACTTTGGCAAGCTTACTGTGATGGAGCCAGTGAAGGGGTGGGTACTAAACATAAGCATCATTGCATAAATCTGAACGTTGTTCTGAATCAAAGGATTATCATGTTTTTAGGGTACTGATGGCGCAACTTCTATATTTTGCAAAAAATCTGGGGAGAAAATAGAAGAAACTTTGACCCACGAACATGCCTTGGCTGGGGGAGAAGGAGCCAAAGAACAAGTCGTGTTCGTCCAACCACCCAGTTATCATTACAAGCACGATGTCGTCGTTAGTGGCGGAGGTGGTGCTGCGGGTAGGTTGATATGGATTTTCAATTTTCGTACTTTTAGAACAGCAAAAAACGGGAACTTTCATAACTGACGCATTATAATCGGTAATTACTGTTTGGATAATACGCGTTATTTTGTTACATAGGCAAAACCGTAATTTACGTGAAGGCAGCCAAAAATACGCACGAGTAAGTTAACCTTTAATTAATGACATTTAACTAATTAAGACAATAATTTCTAATTTCTCTCCTTAAAAAACAGGGTTAACGTGCAAGATCAAACCGTTGCTGGAGCTGGACCTTCTAAGCCGACCCTCTTTTTCCTTAAGGGAAATCATGGTGGCGATGATGCTGCGGCGGCTGCTGCGGCTTATCGACGACGATAATGACGACAAGGAACATTTAAGAAGGCGTCTCTCAAGTCAATGAAATTTATATGTAAAAGTATAACCAAAAATACCAGCTACATATTTATTGTATAATCTGCAGTATTTTATATGAAAAGTACACGAGTCTCAAAACAGTAATGAAATAAAGCGTTAAATAACAAACAAAATCCAAACAACTCATGAAATGTCGTGTCATTCATCTTTCCATGATTCTAAGAATAAAAAATATCATGCAATTAATCTTCCATCTTCAACAAAATGACGCAAAATGATCTTGGACTTGGAACTCTTCAACAACTTGGTCTTTTGAGCTTTTCTATGAAAATTGAACGTACTCAATGTGTCATTAAATGAACATTGAATGTACGTACGTAACATCTTAAATAGTAATAATCAATTTACCATCAACTTCCCCTATTTGACCTTTCCTACGTCGAAATATGACATTGAAAGTGAAGAAGCCACTTACAAAAACATGAAAAACATGTAAAAGTGACAACACAATTATCCCATCATACATACGGCAAATGTCAATAATTTAATACTACAAAGTTTAAGCTTATTGAGTCGTGTTCTTCTCAAAAATTATATCGCTAATCTCATTTTCAAGAATTTCCACAAAGTATTTATTAATTGCATTTTCAATTCATTACATTATTGCCTCATCCCTAAATTTACGACGGTATACATAATTTTCCTCTATGGTTTTATTCATAATCGTCGTCATATCATCATCCCCTCCGTCCGTCTCAAGTGGTAGTAATTCTTTTTTAAGATGCATACACACCTATTAGTAATGATTTGCATAATTTACAGGAATTAGAAATTTCTTGGACACGACATCAACGTTTGGCCGAGTGTCATTGGGTTTCATTGACGGAATTGAATTGGCACGACGACACCAAGAAGACGACGACGACACAACGACGACCAAGAAGATAGGATGACGAATCTTTCCTCATTTTGGAATTAGTTTTGAATACCCCTTGTCCAATGGTGCATTATTGATGCAATGAGTTTTTTATTCGACATGACTCTGACTTTACATACGTCGTGGTGCAATGCAATCTCGTATAATTATAATTACGGCCTCGTCCTGCTAAAATTACAATTTACTCATAATTTTCCCATTGTGCATTAACATGCATTTTTGTATGAATAAGAGGTCTCCCTCTATACGCCAGCCAAATATAGCAAGGCAACATAATGACGAGCATAAGCGCATTAGTGAAGAAAGATGAAGTTTGGAGCATCATTGATTTCATTCGACTTGACTTTGAAGCTTAAGGTAAAAAATGAAATGTGTGTGATTGATAATTAGTTTGTAAGTACACAATCACAGGTGAGAAGAAGAAGAAGAAGAAGAGTGAATCCCTCGTCGAGAGTGAATGAGTGAGTTGACTTCAAAGACAAGTATTTAGCTTGGTCAAGTCGACAAGCAAATGAAAATAAATATATCTAAGCGCATCATCATCTTCTAATAATAATAATAATGGGCATGTGTAAATTGTTATATAATTTGTTGACGATAATGAGCAGCAAATGTCCCTTGGTTGGACTGATATTGGGTACCAAATGAAGAGCCCGACGACTGATTATTTGATCCTAGGAGGCTGTCTTGTGTGTGAGCACGGCTTGCAGTCATATAAAAGAAGGTGTCGACATGAGGGAATAGCTTAGAACGGTTCAGCTCACTCGGTCATTACGCTTCTGTAAGGAAAAAAAGTGTGTTGGTGAAAATTGTTTCAAGTTTCGGTGAATTTGATCGTCATGCAGAAACTTTTGGTATTTTCGGATTAAACACGAATTTTGTAAAGAGAAAAAAGTGCTTGTGTTGAAGTTGGTTTCATGTAACTTGTACTATTTCAGATCGTGTTGGCTTGTGTGATTGTTGCCTTCTTGGGGTCAGCATGGGCGCGACCAGGTGTTGGTCAGCTTACTCCAGAGGTTGAAGCCGAAGTGAGAATTTAGAAAAAAAATTGAAATGAAAATTGGTTTGGAAATTTTACGGTGAATAATTTTTCAGGCACTTCGACTTTGGCAAGCGCATTGTGAAGGAGACAAGGAAGGAGTATAAAAATAATACTTACTTAACCTTATCCTAACCTTATCTCAAAAAATGTAAATATTTACATCTTATCAGGGTAAGGATGGAGAGAATTCGATATACTGCAAGAAATCTGGAGAGAAAATTGAGGAAACTTTGACCCACGAGCATGCTTTGACTCCTGCTGGTGAAGCAGGTCAGCAAGTCGTTTTTGTCCAGGTTTGTCCCTGAATAACCTATTTTACATATTTCGCATTAATTCCATATTCTTTTTCTAGCCACCGAGCTATCACTACAAACATGACGTCGTTGTCACCGGTGGAGGATCAGAAGGTGCCAAGACCATCATTTACGTTAAACCTGCCGTAAGTTTTAGACAAATTTGAACTTGAAAAAATTTGAAATTTTAGACAAATTTGAACTTGAAAAAATTTGAAATTTTAGACAAATTTTTAATGATTTTCCACCTTTTACATAAATATTTTTTGCAACAATTTTCAGAAAAACACCAACGAAGTCAACATCGTTGACCAGACGGCCCCCAACGCTGCCCCTCAAAAGCCGACTCTCTACTTTTTGAAGGGAAATCACGGCGGTGAGGAAGCATCTGCCCGAAGCGATGCACCCGCAGCACCAGAAGCTGTCCAAGAAGCCGCCCCAGAAGCGGAAGCTGCACCGGAAGCTGATGCCGGAGCGGCGAGAAAGCGACGACAAAATGGTCCCTTCCCAGCCACCGAGGTTGCAGCCCCAGAACAGAAAAAGCGAACCGTTTACATTCTCAGGAGGGCGTTTGCATAAATTAAACGGGAGAATATTTTTATAATTATTTTTCTAAAGATTCTATTTTATTTATTACCAGTATTTATCCTATTTGTGAACTTTTTAATTTATTTTATTATTAAAAACACTAACGCGTTTCTCCTCCCTAAAATTTTATAAGTGGATGGTGATATCGTCCTTGTAAGACTTTACGTATGCAAGTTTGACTTGGTCTGGAAATCCGTCTTGAATTTCTTCAATGACCGATCCCACTCCGTATGAACGGTTTTCTTCGGCAGCAAATGATACGAGAAGTTTATTTTCTGGCGTCACACTTCCAGCTCCCCAGTACAGGCCGTACTTTGTAATTTTGAAAATCTCATCTTGTAATTTGTCAAGGGTCATGGAGTCCGGTTTAGTCTCGATTTCTACGATGACGCTGGAGACACGAACGGATTTGGGATTAGTTGCAGTATTACCACTGTTACTACGGACTTTCTTTAGGGCAAACTTTGCCAAAAGTTTGTGGTTTTGTTCGTCAGTTTTTGTCAAATCGAGCCATTCTTCCTGACCAAATCCAATTCTATTACACAAAATAAGTGAAATGATTACTTATTACTTAGAAATACGTAATTAATAATTATGTGTGTATGTAAATTTAAATTAACGTGTTATGTACCGTGGTTTGCTCGAGAAAGTGGAAGGGACTACAAACTGCCTGAAATTTGGACACGAACTAATTCTTAGTTAAAGTTCATGATTTATTACATGCTGACTTAGGATTAGCAAACCTATTTTCTGGAGTCGCATCAAAATAACGGTTAACTTCAGTAACTTCCCTTTCACTCAAAACTCCCGTGGGAACAACTTTCTCTGCAAAATCTTCTTTAGTCATTGTAGGAAATCTGATCAAGTTTAATGCTTCCTTCAGCACGAGTCGAATGTGCTTAGGTGTGTCCTGAATTTTGTAACGGGTGCATTCCTTGCGTGCCCATCTAATGAACACCCAGTTTTCATAGTACATTAAGAACCTATGTATTTTTAAATGAAACCCACAACCCACATACTTCAAAATTCCAAGGAACAAGTCGATCTCGTTAATATCCAATTCGTTCTTGTCCAAAACTTCACACAGGTTAATTTGACTTAGGGATGAAAAGTCGTCTTCTTCCAGCACTTCAGTCGCATTGCTATATATGCAAATAAGATATTTACATACATTTCTACTCAATTTTATCGAGTCAAAATTTCATAATATTTATTTCATACTTTATAATAAACTGAAGAGCTTTCCCTTCCAACTCGATTTCATTGTGGTCTTTAGCAGCTTGAAATATTGATGTAGCGCACTTGGGAGAAAGCGTCGACAGCAGATACGCCGTACACCTCGACACGAGACCGTGGACCTTATACTTTTTCGCCAAGTGCAATATTTTTTGCGCCTCGTGGGGAGAACCAGTTTCCAATTCGTCGGTATACAGAAACTGTGATAAAATATAAAACTTATTAAATTATGGACTATTTAATTCAGTAAATTCCACTCAGCACCTGTATAAACTTTTTCACTTCAGACGCTTCAAATCCTTGAATAGTAATCTCCCTACGTCCCCCCGAACCAATGGGAATTTTCTCCAAAAGTTTTTCAAAAACTGACGACCGAACCTTCAAAACTAGCGAATGGGACGGAATGACCTGTTTGTCCACGGCAGAAATGTCCACTCCATCAATTACCAAGTTCACGTCGGAAAATGTCCCATTGTGGAACACGTAATGGAATTGTTCCCTCCCTGTGGCGAAAGGTAGTCGCCAGTCAGAACTCATTTTAGGACAATTTCGGTTATGAGAATTAATAACTATTTTTATCAACGTGGTGAGCTTCAGAAGGCCAAAAAGTTACTGATTTGGAATGGAACTCATTTATTAGGTTATTAATACAAGTATTTGTTTACTTAACTGACTTTTGTCACTCTTGGTTCATAGTCCAAGTTCATCGTGATTACGGTTTTATCTCGCCTTTGTCTCGGCTGCAACTGTTTTTGTATTTCATATCGAGTCCTGCACCGCATTTAACTGATTGAACTTTACTTTCGTTCGACTAAAAATATTTCTTGACACTCATTAATTTAATCTAGTAATGCTTCAGAAAACTAAGCAGTTTTTGTATGACCGACGTTATCAAATAATCGCATTAGTCAACCTTTACAAAAGTAAACATGCACAATTTTTAATTCCTATTAATTGAAGCGATTCTCTGATATCATCATACTTCCGGCATTTTTGTGCAGAGTGGTCATATAATTGCGATTAAAAGCTCTTTTTGAGGGTGCAGTCTGCAATTATAATCACGAATAAGAATATGTAACGACGAGCCGATCGGTCGGATGGATGGACGATCAGATCAACACCATTACGATCACACTCTTTCTAATTTTCTTGTTTTGCAATCGTGGCAGCGGAGGATGTTACCTCCTGTAAAATTATGCTAATGAAATTGCTTACGGTCATACATGCACATATGAATATAGAGTGAAATGGTTAAATGCAAAGGCAGTCTGTCTGTCTACCCCTGCAAGATGATTATTGTTCCTGATCTGACAAATATCCTCTTTCCACAAGTGATTTTTAATCTTCAGGGTGCAAAATTACTTGCATTTTCCTCTGTGCATCATCCCTGTTAAGTAAGAGCAATAAAATAGAATAGTGACTTAATCATGCAATGCCCCTTGACATGATGACACACGAGAATTAGTGATTAGAAACTGAATCGAATCGCAATAACGATATTTACCTGGTGTGTGTGTGTGGTAAGATTATGCTATAAAATAAGTGCAAAAATTAGAGTAAATATCCTTTCTTTATATAAAGCATCCGTTTTTATGACAAAAATTATAGTCGTTGCCGGAAAGTGGTGGAATCAACATCGTCTTCTTTTTCGTCGTGAGGAAAATATACGAGTCGAGATGAAATCGTTTTTGATATCGGTGAGCCTTTTGTTATTACGAAATATTTTTAAACTGAAATACTTTCCAAGTTTTAAATTGATTTATTTTCTGATCAGGTTTTCACATCGGTTCTCATCTCCTGTTCGTACGCAGGAGTTGGAGTGCTTAGTCCGCAAGAAGAGCAAAATGTGCTGAATCTTTTCCATCGAATGTGTTCCCACAATAGGAATGATGCCGCAGATTTGGGAGATTTTACCGTTTTTTGCAAAAGTGCTCGAGACGATCAAGAGGAGACGCTCGTCCATCAAGTTCATGTTCCACAAGGGCCACCACAACCTGCCAACGTGGTTAGTCTGGATAAATATAATGTCGAAAATACTTTGGTTAATAATTTATAATTCGAAATGTGTGTTTCAGGTCTTCGTTTCACCACCAGCAGTACGATATCAACATCAAATAGTTCTCAAAGGATCTCCTGGACAAGCTCAAGCAAACAAGATTTACGTCCTCCCACAAAAGGCGACGCATTCGTTGCATGCAACTTTTAACCCTGGTCATAATCCTACTTCTAAGCCAATGGTGTTCTTTTTAAATTCGAATTTCGGGCAGCATAACAGTCACCCCGTTCAACCGCAACACCCCCAGGTATGCATAACATGTGTTATAATTAATGGTTAACTATAACATTTATATGGACTGGACAGGGGTATGGACCACCCGTCCCATCCATCGAACAGGGTCATCATCACCAAGAAGTTCCGTATGGACCACCACTTTCCATCGCACCAGCCCCACATCCGCAATACGGTGTTATCGATGTGAGCCCTAGTCCGCAACATCCACATAATCAGGAGGAACAACAAGGTTACAGTTATCCACACCCTCAAGGCCCTCAAGAAGGAGGATCCCATGTTTCTGGAGGGTACGCTTAATGAAAAAGTGAGATTTACATAGGTTTTGGTTACTTTTTAATGGCTTTCAGTATTACGCAATTCTCGTTGAATGAATGTTCTTGATTTATTTTTATGCATGTTCATCATTGTTACATTATTAATGAATTTTTTTAATATTGCTGTTTTAATAAATGCTTAACAAATTTTAATCGCTAAGATTGTTCCTAGAAATTGCGCATCGACACAGTTCGTGTATTTGCATATGTATTAAAATATGGAAAAACGTACAACATAAATATGAGATTCTCATCTGAATTGAAGATCTAGGGTGAAAAAATATCACTATTGACATGATTTCAGCTAATTTTGTGAACATTAAGTAATTAAATAATCGCAAATTCCTAATTATGCACACCTTCATTTCACACTCCATCCTTGATTTGCATGCAGGACAAAATCTCTATGTAATATGTACGTTAGGATGTGACATTTTACAATTGAAGTGCTCTTCGTGGTCGGAAGTTGACAACTTTGTAAGTGTTTAATCACTCGAAATTTAGTACATATGTTAGAATTTCGAGGAGTTGACGAATTTCTGTTATAATATAATCGACAGCACATGTGCATATGTATTTACATACATTGTAAACTTTATTAAATAAATTTTCCACCTTGATTATTTAAGTATAACGAATATATGTATGTACATACGAAGTAATGGATTCATGTTATCCTCACGACACAGATAGCGGAACTAGTTCTTCCGACAAGGAATTAATCGTAGTGACAAAATGCACACCAAAGGACATAATTACTACATTACCACAATTTACTTATCCAAGTCAATAGTATGCACGACATAATTTGTTACAATTCTAACTCCCCATATGCATGCATTTAATGCTAGTGTCACAAAAATCCTTCTAGACAAATGCGTTCTGCGGACTCGTAATCTCCCAAATAAAGCTCGTTGCGTGAAAATTTTGTTCGACATGAACGATAAATATTGGAAAATCATCATAAATCACGCATATCGTTAATAAGTTGATTTTTAAATGCGAAAACAATAAATACCACTCACATATCATTTAAATGCTTATTATACAATAATCTATGAGCGTAAGAAGAAAGGAGAATGTTCGCGCATATTAATTGGGTTGCTGCTCATTAGTTATGCAAAGCACAAACATCGACCATTTAGACATAACCCATTTTATTGTAATGAAATCAGGGCATAATTGAAATTCAAAATGATTCTAATTATTGGGCAGGAATTTATTGAACTGTGAATTTAAAATACAAATTGGCACATGTCAAAACATTCTAATTTTGCCCGACAAACGATCAAACTCTTTATTTAATTGGTGTTTACAAACAATTGCGGTGGTACTTTTGCTGTAATGTGTAATTGTCGGAAAAATATGTGTAATTCAAAAAATAGAAAAATATCATTAGGGAAAGTTTGATTGAGAATGGGTTGCCAATTTTTTTCAAACGTGGAACAATTAATTTTACAGATAATTGCAATTGACTCTGTACAAATGCAATTTCTGGAGTATGTAGCTAATTAAAATCTCATGTTCTGTTCTGCAAAACTATTATTAAAGCATCAAATCATAATCATTTTATGAACTCAATCAATGACACTTCACCACAAATTTAATTATACATGTATTTGTTAAAAGGTAGACGTCTTTCAATCAAAGGTGTCTAGATCAATTAATTCAATCCAGTTTGAGGGTCAATTATTGCATTTTCTAAGAAAAGCGCAATGAAAATGTTCCAGGATATGGCAACAATACATCATATTTCGTAAATATCATACAATCAATCATGCAAATATTTCACACATCAAAGTACCAGCAGTATCTCTTAACTTAATCAAGATCATTGTCACCTACTTACTTCTTGTTCAAATGTTCTTAGCAAGTCGTAGGCCCCCAGAAAGGACACACCTTTTGATAAGCTATAGCTCAATCACGGCTCGACCCAGTAAATTGACCACTGATATTGGTCAATTGATCCAAGATGATAAAAAAAACTAACCCATTCTCCCCTTGTTTTAATGCCAGACTATAATTGGATTGCTATATTTGATCGGCTTTAAAAATAATTAAAGCGATAAATATTTGCTACGTATTCATTAAATGTACCAGATCACCCTCGCCATTACACATTTTTCTAGCAAAGAGGGCAAGACAATATAACCATTTTATAAGAAATACATACCTCATCCGCACTTGTTACATATGCATTTATTTGAACTTTGTTATACTAAACGCAAATTGTCAAAGGAAGCAAAACAGGCAAAATTAATGAAAGGAGGACTTGATGCAGGAGCAAGTGTATCACTTACTTGCACCTCTTTGATGATGATGTCCCTTGGCGAACCTAGATAAAGTCAAATAGTCAAATAAAAAGTTGGGTCAGTCTGTCATTTAAACAAAAGTGAGACATTTCCGTTGTCAGTCTTCAGTGGAAGAGTAGATCAATTTTGGGCATCGTTGAATCAGTTGTGAATACACATTCTTGGACATAATGAAGTTGGCTGTGGTAAGTTTCTTTGAAAATCAATTTTTTCAATTTTTTGTAATTTTAAGGAATAATAAATCACATTTGAAAATTATTGATAGCTCATCGCGTTCGGATTTTTCGCCGTGGCTCACGCCGGAGTTGGAATCTTATCCCCACAAGAAGAAGCTGATGTACTGCAGCTTTTCGCAAAATTGTGTGGATCTCGATCCGAAGGTGGTGACTGGGGAGGGGCCCGAGTTTGGTGCAAGGCAAGAAATTGATGAGAAATATCCTGCATAGAAAAGTTGCAAGTAATCAAACTCATTTTTACAGTTTGGACCTGGTGAAAATGTCGAAATTGTGAACCACAATGTCGAAGTGCCAGCCCCTGCCATTCCGGATTCAGTTGTTTTCGTGCAACCTCCTCCAGGTATGGGAACTTTTGATTTCGGAGCATAAATTTCTGGGAAAAATGGTGCAAATTATTGTTACACTTTCCTATTTATAGTTACCTACAAACACAACGTTGCCGTCCAAGGAGGCGTCGGCATTGCTCCACGAACCAAGATTTACGTCCTTCCACAACGGTCTCAACACTCCATCACGAGTCAGTACAACCCCGGAGATGTGGTCACTTCCAAGCCAAACGTCTATTTTCTTAAATCCACTGGAGAAGAAGGGTTCCGATATGGAACTCCGGCTCCCCCCGGTATCGCAGGATACGCATAAGTTTTAACAAAATTGAGATTATTGTGCCGTCGAATAACTTAGTTTGGTAACTGGTTAAAGTATTAAAGTTTGAAATGAGTACAATTAAAGTGTTGCATAACTTATGATTTTTTTGAACGAGAATAAATGTGAGTTGGAAATTAATTTTGGGGTTCAGTTGTTCATGATTATTTGTTCGTTTCGCATTTTATAGTATTTTTAAGTAAGTGGAAGTCTGTTTACAAAGTTTTTAATTTTCTTAATCCGAATTTATCGACAATAAAGTTCATTTTTACAACGAATATTTAAATATTTAAATATGGTTGGATATTTAAATCTGCAGTTTAAAGTAATCGATACAAATTTTGCATATGGAATGAATGAACTGCGAAAATATTTTCAGAGGATCTGTACATTTATTCATGCATTTATAAATTATTGGAAAAATACATTTAATATACATTCACAATTATATTTCTCAATTTTACTACAACATATATACTTTAAAATTAAGGATGGTATTATTTTTCTTTCTTTTGTTGATAATGAAACCGTAATGTATAATTAGAAATGTCAAAAGTATAAAAATCATGGCCTTGAGCCTGTCAAAATGTCTGCAAAAATATTAGCTGGGATAAATATTTTCATGAGTATATATGTGCGTAGTAGTGATTATCACCACATTTCAAACATTTAGTGCAATTAGCAAACAAATAATGTGGAAATTCTCTCAGACACATTATGCGAACAATGCAATTATAAATTCTACTTACAATTGTTAGTAAATATTTTTCCAAATTTGGTCGCATTCCCATTTTTGCGCTGTGTATGCATGTATGCAAGTGACTATTAGCAATTATGTTTCTGTGCCATATGATATGCATGTAAGTATACAAAGTGCATAAAAATGCACTTCTTGGTACTGATAATCTGGAATTGTCTCAATAATGACGAAATTACAATGTTTGTTATTTTTGACGATTTTACTACTCTGTTTTATTGACATTTTTACACCTTCGCAAACAGTAATAAAATAATAACAGTAATAATAGAACAGTAATAATAGAAGCACTTCAAGCAAAAGGGTGGGACACTGCATACACACCTTTTCGCGACATTCGACAAATTGGCAATTCAACAAGGGTGCTAAAATGACAATATATGTAACAACTGGTTTGAATGCGATTGACACGTACCATTTTCAACTTTTTATACCTTTTTAAGGGTCACTTGCCACCTTGTCTCGGAACTGTGCATTCACAGTAATGGTGAAAGGGTGCCAACTCCCATTTTATTTACGGTAGTGACACACAGCTTCTGAATACGGAATAATAAAATTACTGAAAAAAATGTAGAGCAAAATGAGACAAATAAACCTCATTCATTTATTTATGACTTGTACAAACTAAAAAGGAGAATCTGGATGCAAGTTTATTCACGTATTCAAATTATTGTGCATATGCCAATGATTAATAATTTCGCATGAAAATTCACCCAATTTCCTTTATTTGTCGGAATGAGAATAAATATTTGACGATGACAACGGTATGTATTATGATATGCGGACAGTATTATTCTTAGAATTTGTGGCAGCTAGTAATTCAAAGAAATATAATTGAGTCCAACTTTTCATTTCATTCCGTATAACAATTTTTTTTCTTTACTTTCATCGCGATTTTACAAACTTTATAAAAATACTCACAATACAAAATCTTGTAAAAGTAGTCATTAATACAATGATTAGTACAATATTTCTAGCAACAATGTGCATCATCACCCACGAGCATGTTTCTTTCGCTGTCTTATAAAACGTGCATCCTATTTATCGTTCGTTTCATTTGAATCCCATAAATTTTCAAGTTGTAAAAAAAGTGCAAGTCGTTCGGCTAGTTCGCGTTCCTATTATACAACAAATGGCTATTCATTTTTTTCACATATGCCGACCGACCATCTCCACCTCCAAAAGTAAGTGTTTATCTCATCGCGCAGATTTATTGGGGTTCTTCGATTGACCAGAATGTCTGTCTCCCAAACAGGAATATTTACTACGTAGCTTTATCAAAAATTAAAAGTATTTCCTAAAAAGAAAGACATGCAACAACAACATTCACTGCCGACTGGTCGACCTCATTAAATAATATGTCCGCTACTTCTCTTACTCAAATAGCACATGCACACGTTTCTACATTAATCAACTGATAATGGACGGACACACTCTTTTCGTTATTGATAAGTAGATTATCGGTTGAACCGATCCTTATTTAATTACAATTTATTTGATAGATATAGATCAACAGGAAAACAAGTCTTGAAATGATAAGTACAAAAAAATAGAGCCAAACCCAGTAAGGAACAAGTCTATGAAGCCGAGAAAACTGATAAAAATTGCACTAATTGATTTATCTTTGATATAATATGAACAAGGGTATTTCAGATAAATTTAATTGATCGATTGATTCTACTCGATCAGTTCAATTTACATAAGTAATTAGCTCATTTTATCGTAAAATTGATTAAATACGTAGAAAAAAACACGTAATACTTAATTTGTCTTATCCGCATCAACTTTGGTGTATGAATAGCTAACAAAATTGGCAGGAAAGAATTCAAAGGTGGGTTTATCTATGGACCTTTTTGAGCTCGATGTTACCCTATTATTTGGCGTGGCTTCGTCTCCTTGTTCTAATTGTGGTGCTGGTGGCCTTAAACTATTGAGCTGTTGATCAGAATTTCTAAAATATCTAAAAATTACGTTACTATAATTATTGTTATTGCTTATGGCACCAGACTCATTATTGTTATTATTACTATTTGAAGCGCTTTTCGCACTAGATATTAAAGCACGGACGAATTTTTCGTTAAACAAGTCCGTGCTGAGCCGTCTTGGCTGAAAGTTTTGCTCTGTCGTGGTGGTACTTGTTATTGGTGTGGGTGTGGTCGTAGTAGTCGTCGTGGTGGTGGTCGTTGTGGCTTCAGTAATCGTGCTCGGCGTGGGTGTCGATGTTTGACGACTTTCATAAGCAGAAATCAAGGATTTGATACGTTTCTCAGCCTCAGCGTCGGTAAGGTCCTCGTCATCACCGTCGTCATCCAACGTTTTCACTCCAACGCTTGGTTCCTGTTTCTTACTCCCGTCGAAAGCTTGGATTTGATAATTTTGAATAGATTCTGAAGGAAATTGCAATTTTCCTCCGGAAGCATAAGCACCATTAGAGTCGACGGATTTGTACAAACTTGCTGCACTCAGAGGTTGAACCAGGGTTTCTGGCTCACTTGCACTTTCACCACCACGACCAACACCTTCATCATACGTTGTCTCAGTCTGGAGTTGAAATTGTGGTTGAATTTGAGACGGAGATACGGATTGAAGTCCAGCACCACCACCCAACGCAAACAGATTTTGATACGCGTTCCGTGTTCCTTGATCGGCAGGAACGATTTCATATTCTGGACCTAAACTAGAAGGGTCAAAGGGAACCAGACCTCCGCCACTTTGCAGGAGAGAATATTGCTGTTTCGGTGGTGGAAATCCGTATTCACTACTCGGAGCTGGTTGTGGGGTTGGTTGGACAACCACAGTTTCATAACCGGTACTTGGTCGATAGGTCGTGACCGGAAGTCCGTAAACTGGTCTGGGCGTGGTCACGACGACCGGCTGTTGCTGTACAGGAGGTCCATACCCTTCGACTGGTTTTTGTTGTACAGGAACTCCATAACCTGATCCGACTGGTTGTTGCGGATGATATTCAGGAATTGGTTGATGCGGTAATTTGTCATTCTTCAAGAAAAAGACTTGCGGCTTCCCGTTTGCCGGAGCCGTTTGTCCTCGTTTGTCCCATACTTTAAGGGAATGGGAGGCTTTTTGAGGCAACACATAAATCACTGTACGTTTACCTTGTTCTCCATTCGAAATGAGATTAATTTGATGTTTAAGTCTTAACGTGGGAGCTTCTACGAAGACGATGTTTTTCCTCGGTTTTTGGGTAGGAATGCGGATAATTTGCTTCTTGGGGGGTGCATGATGTTCGTTGCCTTCTTTGCACACAATGTTAACGTTTGGTCGATTGCTAGGACCACCACCGTATCCGCCTCCTATTGACGACGGAGGAGGCCCATACGACCCATATCCTCCGGTCCCATATCCGGTCCGACAATGTTTTCTGTACAGGGCGAGAACTTCTTCGACCTGATCTTCCGGTAGGTCAGAACCAGAATCAGTAAAACTGCTGCTGCTGCTGCCATAACTTCCGCCAAGGACGGAGGTTGACACCAAAGGCAACAACCACTGGAAAATGAATATCACGACAAGCATGAAAATAAATTAAATTTCTACCAAATACTTAAATCTGAATGCGGAATTTATTTATCTACTTACCAATACAAGTCTCAACTTAATCATTTTCACTGAATTTATGCAATTATTTAATCCCACGTCACTTTCTTCTCATTAGCACACAATCTTCTTTTTTTTTGCAAATTATGCAAGTCAAACCACAGATGAGTAATATATGTAGTATTCACGTAGGGATCAAAACTTTTTATCTTTTTCTTAATGAAATCACACCCTACTAGCAACAACACTCATCAAGAGAGTGAATCACGAATGAAATTATGAATGCAACTTTGCCTACTTCATAAAGAATTCGCCTCTAATTAGCGGTAGTGACTGATACTAACAACAAATAAGCACCCCCACCAACCAATCACTTTTTAACGATACTCGCTATCATAACGTACACCGAACTGGTCACGACATCCGGAATTGGACAATTAAGTTTTGTTTAAAATTTTACTCAAAATTATAAATCTGCTAAATAACAACGGCCCTCCTCCCTTTCAGACTCACAAATCTCTGGTGATGACACGGTTACCTTTGGAAGAATGATTTGAAATATGTAAAAGATTTTCTTTTTGATTTGACAGCTCAAGTGCACATTTACAACCTGTGCTCTCCTCTCATCGTCGTCGCCAGATTATTGAAGTGGAGTGAAGGACTCTTTTTAACAAAGATTGTAAAGGATTCCCATTGCATTTTTGAATTTAATGATTCAATCTGTTAAAGTCAGGTTACTTTTTTGGGTGGCGTACTTATTACTTGCTGCTGCATTATTACGTTTACAATTTGTGTAACGTGAACAAGTGGCATATTCTTCGGCGACAAGAGTTGTTGGCTTGTGTGTGTGCGTCCCATGTGTTCATTCTCACATGTACATATGTACTTACTTACCTGCGACTATGCAATCCAAGCATGCATCTTGTCGCCCCTCTCGTAAAAGGAAACAAAGAGTTACCTATTTACACAATTTAGACTACGATTATATCCCATCGCATACACACACTTGACGTGCGATCTTCAGGTGGTGGTGTGCAAATTCGTGTAAGATTATGCTTTCTTTAAATTTTTTGGCATCTTGTGCAGTGCATACTTGAACATATGAACGAGCTTTATTGAGATCCGTGTGAGTTCATTGTTGCTGCTTGATTCATCTTATCGTTTATTTTATTTTTCTGTTTTGTGTATGTATACTTGTGTGTAAAGATGCGATTTAATAATAAAAATAATATTGCATTTGTACATACATCACGAAGAATGAAACAATCCTTTTTTGAATTGAATCTTCATTTATCTTGCTCGGTGTGTGGGACGGATATTAATTTCTGATAATATTGTTGTACACGCACGAATGAGTAGGACTAATATTTTAATTACACATTTCACACTTGGGAATTTATGCAAGCAAAACAATTAGTCTGAGAGGGAATTATTTTTAAATTAAGGTTATTACTGTTATCTTCTTTGGTTGAATTTACATGCTTATTTTGATGTCGTCTTCTGTGACATTTTGCAAAAATTTTGCAATCCAAGAAAGTTCAGGTAAAGTAGTAAATTAAGAGGTGACAGGGACTACAAAAGAACAAAAACCAATGAATTGTATTCTGACATTCAAATTATTGGACGAGCGGACATAGCAATCATAACCTTTTCAATTTTCAACTTTTGAGAAAGATCAACAACAATGTGCATACAAAAAATGTCCATTATTATCATTATTCCTAAAGTTGCAAGGTTTAAATTTTTTTGAATACTGATATAAATAAAAACATATTTTTTTCTTTACTACACCATTTTTTGTGCTCTTTAAACTTCAAAATATTTCACAATTTTAAGGACAAGGCACGATTATGATTATTTTTATTGAAGAAAGACGCGATACATACGAAGAAGAAATGTTAGCTGATTGCACAAGTGTAAACACTTTAAAGGATGAACGAATTGTGTGGGAAGTGCATAAATATTTTGCGATTGGTTAACACTGTCTTGTACTTTTTTTGTGATTTATATTTATTTATATGCTGCAAAATGTCTGGGCTGGATGAGCAAAAATGCATCTTTTTTTTGCCAGCCATTGTATTTACAAACCACATAAATTTCACGCCTTTTTGCCCTTTACAAGAATCCCAGTAAAGTTCAGCCCATGATTGAATCCTTAATTTTATGGAGTACATAGTGCCATGAAATTGTAGCGAACAAGAACGAATCACAGAAATATGGAGACGTCTTGACAAATTTGTCGGCAATAATAACAACACGCCGTGAATAATAAGTAATGACGGCATTACTTATGTTATCTTCACCCTAAAAACATCATCTGCTGCACCTTATGATTATCTGTGGGACCTTTAAAAACAAAATAATCATAATCCTTAATTTAATAATACACGATGGGAGAATTACACTGCACTTGATTCTGCACTTACATTAGGCACCTCGTAACAAGCCATGATCATCAAGCATACGACGACAAATTACACGTTTTAAACATAATAATTTTGTGCGTTCATCTTCAAAATGATACTTTGCTTGCGGTGGCAACATTGTTACTCTAAAAGTAAGTTTCGACATTACTAAATATGTACTTAGTCATTATGCGGTCTGGTTAACGCAGCTTCATTGTTTCCTCCTTAATTTGAGTTTTTTATCCCCAAAAATGTAATGTACACACATATGAATGAACATCACTGTGCAGATTAGTGCTATATAGAAATGATGACACAATTTTATTAAATTATGAATTGTTGGACATACGCAAATAACAATATTCACATGAAAAAGCACAAATTGAAACGAAGATTGACTGACATGTGACACTTTCAATTGTTGGTAAATTATTCATCTTGACTCTGAATGAAATATGAAGGCATTGTTGTTTACTTATTTATGCATGAAAGAGTTGTCAATTATTGGCAACTGTCATCATAAATGTATGCATTTGTATGTGTGCGTGTGCATGGTTGCGTTGAGGCGTCAAGTATTCAATTTTATTTTAAACTTGCACATTTCGCCAAAAACTGGCAACAAAAGCAGCTTTTTAGTGCCAAAATCGAGACCTTCATAAATTCTATTCATAAATAAATAGCGTTACATAATTAAACGTTACTTTTACTGGTATTCAGTTTTCCTAAAATAGGCAAAGTTGCGTACAAACTGTTGACATGTTTGGATAATTTTTGGACATGTTGACGCGAGTGATTGGCATAATGTTGCTAGCTTTAGGCAAATATTAATCTTGATCTTGTGTGTTGTTTGGCTTAAATGTCGTATCGTAATTTTTTAGAGAGTTGGTATTTTTTGTGCTAATTCTAGATGTGCTTCTGATTTTGGATAATATTCTCCATTAGAATGACAAAGTTTAGAAATGATTACTTGGAAATTTCCAAACTAGAGAGCTGCAAAAATCATTCATGACCTTTGACACCATTCAGTAACGCTTCCCACATTCCATCCACCCTGTTGAATCGTAATTGTGCATTCTTCTCGGCAACGACATCTTAATTAATTAATATCGTGTGACTGAATAAAAAGGCACACACACAGACAGATGACAAACTATACATACTGAATGATAAGAAGGCTAAGGGTGACCCAAAGGTGAAATATTGCATCATTTTAAATGACAAATTAGTCCCACATATTAACAAAATCAATTTTTAAATTGCAAATTACTTCATCCCCGTCACACTGAATTGTTCGTCAAGATTTTATTTATTTAGTTATCAGTTAATGGATAGGTAGGTCAAGATTCAATAAAACTCAGGCTCTCACTCTCTGTCTCCCCCTAAAAGTCAAGGGTTTAATTAATAATTACTTTCGCAATGATTTATTATTATTATTCTGTATCAGTCGCTGATCCAATTTATAATTTTATTTTACAATCCATCCACAACTAATTTTCCAATTCCATTGTTAATTGTGCTCATAATGAGTCATCACCGATATGGGTGCTAGGCCAGCCAGCCACAAATATTTCGTCTCAACCTTTGCTCATGATGCAACTTCCACCAGGAGAGAAGAATGGAGAACCATTATCGAAATATAGGTCAGATGATGAACATAAATAAAGTGAGTTAAAGTTTAATGGAATGAGAATTTAAATTTGAAAGAGATTTTTTCGATGTTGACGAGGTTGTGTAAGCAAAAGTAATGTGAAGTTTACTGCGACGACATGAGAAAAGAAATTGATAATTGAATTAGATGATTTTAAATTTATTTAAGAGGGTGGGTTAGATTTTGAGATAATGCGATGTGTCGCAATTATAAATGTAGATTAGAATACGAATTAGTGTGAGAGTGGCAGTTTTCACGCTAAGACTTTTTTATGTCTTCTTTTATGAGTCTGGATAGAAGATGTGCACTTAAGTTTAAGGTACGTACTGAATTTCAACCCATTGTGTGCATCGTTATCGTTAACGTAATCTAGTTTTAATCAAAAAATGAAATCGTACAGGGAGCGAATTTGTTTTAGAAATTTGCACTCGCCAAATGCATTTCTTGGAAGTTTGACAATGAAGAAAATGCAAATATATGATGCACAAGAGATGCACACGACGTGTAATAATTTTGCAATTTTTTTTAAGGGATTGAACCTTCAAATGCTTAAAAAAGTAACAACATACATAAATATTTTTTCGAATTAGCTTTAAAAAATACCATACGCGACAATTTCAAAATGCTGAATTTTACATAAAATACACTGCAAACCTTTTAAGTAACAAGTTATCAATTGCATAATTTCGAAATTTTAGTACATGCAAACTCTTGTAATCTGAGCTAAATGGACACATACAACCCATTCCGGCTAATTTATCGCTGTAACGTACAAAAATAAAACGACCAAATTACAAAATATTTAAAAGTCTCTGTTGCACGATTGGTAAATAAATGCCTACGAGTGATTGTAGTATTAATATTTTTACAATTCCGCAGTATTTATTGGCTTATTACGTCAATCACTAAAAAAGTGTGAATCCTTAGCCCTTCAAAATCTCACACTGTTCATATCTCACGATGAGCTATCAAATCAAGGAAGTTTAGACAGGAAAAGGACAAGACGAGAGGAAGGTTTCTGCGACAAATTAACTTAAATAATCGTGCCACATCTACATAAATGAATTAGCAAAACTTAAATTTGTCATTTTTTAGTCTCTCTTCTTTTAAGGCAGTTTCCATCAATGCAAATTACAATTCTTATTGTTAGGTATGTAGCTTCATATTACGAAAAACACAGGACAATTATCATGCAAATTTATGGAAGGTGTTCAACATCATAAAAGCTACCAAAAACCCAGATCCTCATACTTAATTAAGGGATATGCACACGTAGGTTATTTAAGATGCGTATGCATGCATACTACTAAATACGTGCCTCATTTAATTAATCTTAAATGCCCAAAAACAACACACTTTTTTTCTAATGATGGATGGATCACATATCTGTTTATTTTGTGTAATCAGAGATTACTAAGTAATTGAGTGGGTTTGTTCCTTCCTGAAATTTAGTGAGGATGACGACGACGAGCCACTGGTCGACGGTGTGGACGACGACTATTATAACGACATCCTTTCTTGTCGTACAGCCAAGAAATTCGTCCGTCTGCAAGAAGGAACAAGTTGTAATGTAACTCACCCTTGTCTTCTTAGTTCGTTCATTCATTCATCATTAATTCCCCCAAAAACAACCAACTTGCTACAAACAAAACATAAGAATGAATCACAGTCCCATAACAAAAGTACATATGTAATGTAGCTACAGATGTAACTGCATGAATGCATTGACCAACTTGCTTCTCAGAATTGGAGAAGAAGAAAAAACTTCTGTCGAACGTCTGAGGACGAGGAAACACGTTTAATTTATTCGCCCATGTGTGGGGATAGAGATAGCACAAATAAATTGCTTTGACACCAATTAATTTGAATTTATAAAGTACATCAAACAATTTATGTGGTTCACTAACTAAATATGCAGTGGAAGAAATTGGTCCATTTGTTGATGACGGATAAAAAAGTGAGAGTGGCTTATCTTAATGGGTTGGGTTGTTATGTATACATTTGGTGTTTAGTTAATGATAAGCCACATTATTAACACATCTTCAATGTAGTTTTTAAGGGGTATCCCATTGTTTACAATTTGCATTGTTTGCGATGGTGAAATGATATGATAATTCAGAATTGAATTGACACCACCAAAAACCGATCAAGTCATGTTCCCAGGGTGGTATGGTTCATTTAATTTACGAAAGTGGCCAAAAAGTCTAGAGCCAAATTTTGCATGTGCCACCTACACCTTGCAAATTGGTAAATTATCGAAACGCAAATGACGCACATTTCCTTTTTGCGTACATATGTCAGAGGTACAAAAAAGGGATCTGTAGCGAATAAATTGCATAAAGAGGCAGTAGCAGAGTCACGATGTACATATTTATGCTCGCACTATTTTGTCGGCAAATGTGGGAATATTATTAGTAAGTTTGTATTTATTATGTAACTGATTTATGCGTATGTCACTCCTTGAAATTCAGCTTTCTTCTCAACTTCTCGATGAAGAATAAGGAGGATCATTGTTGCATTTTGACAGCCAGCACGCAGCACACAAAAGCTGGGCAGGGCCGATTTGCGAAGTTTGGCGAGAGTGCGAATTATGTACGTACAACTCAATAAATTGCAAACTAGACATGTTACATTTTTCACCCCAGTTTCCTTTATTTGTGCAATCAATCAAGTAGGATCCGGTGAGATTTAGATGTTGAATGAATGAATAATGCTTTACAATATTTAATTAATGTCATTTGACTAATTGAAAATAAATTTATTTCCTCGCTTGCGGCACCACTTACTTGTTTGCATAGCGTTAATAACCAAAAATCAGAGTAAGTAACATAATCCCACAGTTTTGACAGCAAGTAAGTAAAAAAAATATATATGAATTATTCAGAAAGTGTTGCGAGCTGTTTATTTTATAAAAAAATCACGTTGCAACAGATTATGTATGTAGATTCAATTTAAACATTTTAATTATTGACTACAACTTATTATAATGCACTTAAATTGATAAGCGGATAATTCTTTGATGTGTGTATCGTGTTATTTAATTTTGTTAGGATTTATGTATAAGTAAATAGATTTTTGGCAACTGGACAATTCCGCTCCAATTAAATAACATTATTTTGTTTTATTATTGTCATTGACATATTGATTGAGTGATACATTTTTATTCCATCACGGTTTTGTCTCTGTACGTGCAACATGCTTTCTATAAAAATTATTGGCCATGTACATAAGTGACCACGCCACATGTTGAATAAGTGGCGATTTATTGAGCCATTTAAAATTTATAACGAGCAGCCGATTAGATTGGTCTATTAAATTGGAACAAACTTTGTTTATACGGCAATTCCAAGAAATTGAGATTGATTTCGTAAAGTATGTCAAGAATTTTTTACGACAACGTCAAGTTTCCCTGTTACATAATTTACGCTTTACGTTTTATGATAAAAATGTGTGTTAAATATTCTCATGCTCTGGACCGGTTGGTCCGACGTATAAATAGTTTCGAAAAACCGCAGGAATAATTTGGTAATCACTTCTTAAATTTGGCTCCATTTCAGACCCTGACGCCTGGTTGTCTAGCTCTTGCTGAAAATGTGACCGGGTGAACATTGGGTTTTGTTGCTCTTGTATTACATAATTCTGGTCCGTGTGCTCGGTTTCCTGATCTGGTTCTGGTTTTGGGAAATATTGAATAGTTCTATATTCCAGTGGGTGATGGTCTGGGTCAGAAGGACGAAATTCGTTCGTGGAAGGAAGTGGGGGTAAACTCAAGGACTGTGAATTTAGAGGAAAAGCTTGTCTTTGTTGAGGAAAATGTTGAATTCTTTCGTACTCTAGGCGAACAGTGGGTCTCTTTGAAACTATAATTTCAGGAGAAGATGGAATAAATGGTCGGTCCGTGGTTAGTTGTAGTTGGTTAAGATTTGTTGAATTTGAGACGATAGAAAATGGTTTATTATCATAATTTGGCGACCTAAGGGATGGAGATGGTGGGGGTGGGGGTGATGGTTGTGGTGGTGTCGGAATTGGCCCTGTCCGATATTGAACAAAGTTAAAGGAAAGTTGTCCTTTAGACTTGAGGTTTTCATAATCAGATTTACTAAAGTAGTCGAATCGTCTGTATTGTTTTTTCGGTGGGGGTGTGGTTGTGGTTATGGTCGTAGTGAGACGTGGAGTAGTAGAGGTGGTGGTGCTTTCTTCAGGGTGACCTACCCTTGAAATGATGGAACGGACGGAATGTTGAATTGTAATTTCTGGTTTTCTTTTAGCAAAGTTTTGACGACTTGCTTCCGTTATTTCTGAATTTCTCTTTATTTGGGCAACTGGAAGATACGAGGACTCAACAGTCTGTTCATTCTGGGATTCTGAATTTCCGAATTTTGCATCGTCCCCGGTTTCCTGTAAACTTTCACTCTTATCATCATTTTCCACAACGTATTCATTCCTCGCTTCGAATTTCTCCCTCCCTTCATTTCCCCCTTGATTACTCTCCTCACCATCAAAATGTGTAGTACCACCTAAATAATATACTTGTGGCTTTTCTTGCGAATTCGACAGATTTCTTTGATCGCTGATATTATAGACGTGGCTGACCATCGGGGGAAACACGTATATCACGGTCCTTGGCCTTTTCTCGTTTGATTGAGCAACCTTGATGTTATGATTGTACACGTATTCGGGAGGTTCGATAAAAATGACTTGTTTTATAACGTTGGCATCCTCATCGTTTTTAATTTTTCCTGATCTTTCATTATCCGGTTTCTCATTATTCGTCATTGGGATTATTTCCAAATTATTATTATTCAAATAATCACTGCCGTAAGAACCTTGTTCCAAATTAGTCGTAGAATCTGGTGCTGTTGCGTAAGGGAATTTTTCACTCGGCACAAAACCACCCATCTCACTTTCATCATCCCGATTACAATCGCACGGAGGTTCAGGAAACGCAGAAAGCTCAGTTCCATCTTTGGGCAAAGTAAAAGGAAACGCTACTTCTTCTACTTGGGTTGATTGTGCTCCATTTAAAGATTTGGTATCCACAACCCCTCCCATCACCGTCATCATCAGTTGGAGGAACAAATAACCCTGAGAACAAAGGATAATCTTTACTGCTTATATGTTCATGGCAAACAAGTAAATAAATGCAGTACATAGTTTGACTCTTGTGTCGTGTCAATCATCACATAATTTGAGTTAATTTGTAGAGATTAGAAAAGGATAATGGGAAACAATTTATTTTGTTGCATTGTAATTGAACTACATTTATGGATGCGAAAAGATTACTTAATTCGGTCAGAAAATGCAAAATTGGGTTAAATAAGTTTCTTGAAATTTTTTTATCTGATTATTTTTCTAATCATTTATTAACTGAAAATCTAAAATAATCGAGCGGCTCTCTAATTAGACGTGTCATTAACTAATAGTGCACGAAAGAAGGAACGGGACTAACCATTGCCATCAAACCAATTGTCCTCGTCTTGAACAACTTCATTGTAATTCTTATCAACGACACTATCTCTCCAATCTGGCAAATCTTGATCCTCGCGTCAGAAGAAAACAATTATTCTCTGGACACTCCCACTTGCTGCTGTAACCAACGTTCAATATTGCAAATCCTTCACCACCATCTGCCCACCAACAACATGTTACTTGTCAACGTACAAAATTGGCAATAAAACAAACTCATCATCGTATGATAATATGTTGCCGTTGTTTAAGAAGATGGGCGATAATTGCTAAAAAAAATGAATCGTGTCGCAGATTGTTGTAAAGCAGTTCACGATTTATAGAAACTGATCAAGATTAATTTCCCATGTTTTACATAATAATCCCATCGACGTCGATAAAATATGCAAGTGCTTTAACCAACTTCACTTGATCATCTTCACCTTATTTGCGGCACGAAATTCACTTATCTTCTTTGACGGTGATTCTTTTTAATGATACACATAGAACACGGGTCAAATAGGTCATTTCAATATTAATGCAAATTTCTTAAATAAAAGTAACGTTCGTATTCAAGATATTTGAACTGCACGAATTACACTAATTATTCTACTCTTCACAATTAACAACTCTTCCCATTATGAAACAACATGGTTATCATACAAGTTATCAACTTGAACTGAACCAAGATTACGATTCAAAGAATCGCATAGCGTGGCGAATCTCAAAATATTATAATGAAATATGTAAAAGAGACAGAGAGAGTTTTTGCTAAAGCCTAGACTTTATTGGGCATAGTTAAAAAAATTATTAGCCAAGGAAGGATTGCTGCGAGTTGTGGATAGATAAGTGGGAAGATTATTAGTAGACGGACTTTCATTAGGCAAATGAGCAAATGGCGGAGTTAGTTGTAGGGACGGATTTAAAATCTGTTTTTTTATCCAACTCTACAACATTGCATAGTGACGAGTGACGACGAGGATAAGAAGGAGCGACGAAAATAAAGGATGACGACAAGACAAGGGAGTGGGCAAGGAGTCAGATTAAAAAATAATTTGCGATGGTGTAACAACATCTTCTTCTCCTCTCGACGACGCATTTTCATTCATAAACGTAAACATAATAAAGGTTTAAAATAATCGAAATTCAATATCTATTCAGGCATCGCACGGCAAAATGAAATTCCTAGCACTTCACTTACTAGGGGTACATTCTAGCTGCATAGATAGATCTTCAAATCCGCGAGGTATGCAGAATTTCATGCAAAATCTATTATTAGCATGTACCCTACAAATTATTTAATATTCAATCCAGGTGCTTCCCACAGGGTGTGAAATTGCAAATATTTCTGAAATTAAACCCAAGAATTTTACCGAGGCAGATGAGAAATCAAAGCAAAATTAATACGTTACACTGTTTCTTTATTGCTGTAAATATACATATGTACGAATTTATGTATGAAGCTGTCGATTATTGCCTCATTCCCAAATTTTGTAAGGAGCAGGCAGGAGCACAGATTTACAATTAATTTATTCGAACGTTGGAACAATCAGCGTCAACAAGATGTTGATGTAAATGACGACTCAAGAAAGCAAAAACATTGATTCCTTTTCTTCTTCTTTGAGTGAATAAATGAAAGAGTCGCTGTGGGTGAATAGAAAATGAAAATATTCGGATTTATAATTCACATCGTACAAAAGCCAAGAAATAAAATGCGATAAAATATAAAAGCGAATAAATACGAAGGAGGAAGAAGCAGCCAAGAAGAGCTTTCTTCAATAAATACGAGTGCACAAGGGTGCTTAAGATAGTCAAGTCATCTTAACGTCTCTCATCTCATCATCGGTCGGAGTCGGATCCTATCTTGTCAATTCAATCAAAAGTTTTATCCTCATCTTCTCGCACTACATTTGTGTACAGCCGTTCGTAAATGCAATCGTATGCATCTTACAAATCAATAAAGATGATAAAAAACTGAATGAAAATAAAAGCTAAGAATACTTGAGACTACTTGTTAAATTCAGGTCAATCTCTTAATAAAATATCAATTGCAGTTGCATAGAATTGGAGAATTACATGGTGGAATTATTGGTGGGTTGAGGAATCAATTATTTGCTAATACCTAAATTGAAAATTATTGATTTTTTCCTTCGTAAGCTAATAGATGACTACACTTATTAAGCAATATTTTAAGCTCCTCGTCCTACGTAATATTTGGTAATTGATGGCGTCTCAAGTTTTATTAGTCTTAAAGAGAGGATGACTCGGTAAGAAAGAAGAAGAAGGAGCTTTGACTTGGTGACAATTTTGTATGCAAGGAAAATGAATGACGCATGTGACAAGAATCGACAGGTTGTTGATATTAACGAACAATAAATATTTTAATGCTAATTTTCAAGATGTCATTTTATTTGTAAATTGTTTAAAGAAAGTGGGAAAATGGCTGAATTCTAATTAAACACACGTGTCCGGATGTTTCGATGAGTGGACAAATAATTACTTAATTATTTGCACTAACCGACTTGTTTTTAGCATTTATTATTTGTCAGAGGCTAGAACTGTCGATAATTGAGAAACAATTCGTCTCCATCAACCCGTCAATTTAAGTAATGATTCATTTGCTTACATATTCTGATTATGTAATCTGATTGGTATTGAGGGAGCTCTTGTCGTCCAAAAGTCCTCAATCTGTCAGCGTCAAAAACACCCTCGTTTCGTTGTACGTATGATGTATGCATACAAATTTTTTTTGTAGCTGACATGATTCACACATTAACAACCTGTAAGTGCTTGGAATAATTACACCGCGTAAGTAAAATCAAATCGAAAACGACCAGTTAATGAAAATACGTAGGTGATTGTGACTTGGGCGCATTGTTTGCCACGTTATAGACACCGTTCAGTCAGTCTTCTTGACAAGGATGAAGAAGAAGACGCCGACAAAAAATGGGTGAACTATGCAAAAAAGTGCAAGTAACGAAGGAAGGAACAATGTACACCCTGCCGCTTATTGTTTCCTCATAAATGTGCTTTTGATTACGTGCCTATTAGTTAAAGAAGCGTAAACGAGTCGAAGAATCGGCGTTGATTTGTTGTGTCCCTCGCCGTCCACGTACAGCCAAACTGAAGCTGAAACAGGCAGGTAACAAGATTAATAATAAACAAATGTGCCGCAACAACAACAGGATGAAATTCTTGTGCAATTTTTTGATTACAAACTTAAGTCATCTGCTGCTGGCTGAGAAGTGTGATTACAAATGAGCTGCCGTTTGTTGAGACCGTAAAATTGGTGAAGCATGGAAACATCACGACGTGACGGGGTAGCATGTACTCGTACACAAACAAGCAAGAAAGTGAGGATGACCACTGCAATGATGATTTGTCAAGCCCAGCACAGAATTAATATTGAAATTTAAGCAATAATCCACACTCTTGAAAATTAGGCTGTAACACCAGCTCGGATTTTTGTAGTGGCATTTTTTAGTAGAATGAAAATGAGTAGATAAATGCGATGTAAAGCGTCTCAAGCTGTGACTAATGACAAAATTTAAGCAAGTGTGGTCAATTTGTGGGTGCATCAATTCACAAATGAAACGAAACTACTGGTAAAAAAAAGTAGATAAACATTTTATGATCTCTCATTATCTAGTTGTAAAATATTTAAGTTTACTCAAATCTAGGTAAATAAATACTTGGACCCAACATCTCCGCACTATATAAATACGAAAATTTGTCCTATAGATAAGATCTAAAAATCATTGTGTATTATGATGCTCAATTCACTGATCACCTAAATTTACGACTGTGTGTAAGTATTTTGACTAAATTTTAAAGTTGTGCATCATACATAAAAGACAATTTGTGACAATATGGCGTATTGTACAAGAAAATTTTTAATTACCTATATATCAAATGATTTTGTAATATTTACAGTATTTATTTGGCTCTTATCTACAAAAACGTTAAGCATGTACATCTTTACGATATAAGATGCACTTACTGGTTTTTTCACAATCACGAAAAACAAAAGAAGACGAAAGTGCGTAGTTTCATTTACATAAAATTACCCTAAAATGTGACCACCAATAAAAAAAATGATTTATACGAGCTTCTGTACTTTGATATTTATTTCGTTTAATTTTCGAAAAAATGTACATAGTTAGTAATTACAAAGTACCTTGTTACTTATTGATGCACCTCGTCACTCGTTATGAATCGATTTTAGGTGACCGGATGTCTAGTGATTACACTTGGTTGGAGTATTAAGTAGAGATGTACGTGAGATAAGGTTGCTCAACTTATCATTAAAATTCTAGTCACCCAATGTCACTTAATCTCAGAAAAAAATGCAATAAGAAATAAGTTTTTGAAATTAAAAACTTGCGTCATACTTGCATACATACTTTTCCATCGAGTCAGTTGTTAACCCTTTTATTTACGTGGTAGAGATACGCGGAGAAGGTAAATATTTCTCCCAGGCGTAATTACAGGCTTTGTCATAATTTTCGTATTAGTGTGGACTACGGACAAGGAGGAAGACCTTGTCCCTTGAAAAAAGGCCCTTCTTCACCATCCACCTAATTGCCTTTTAATTTGAGATTAACGATTTATGTATTTGTGATTATGAGAAAATTGGTTTTTAGAGCCATAAATTTTGTCATTGTTGAGACAGTCAATTTATGTTTAATTGTACAAATTTGTCTGTGACAGCGTTTGCTTGGTTGAAAGTTGGTTGTGTCACAAAGGAAAATATTTAAGTAGGTAATGCGTCGACCACAAATCGGCTTGTACAGCGTCCATCTTTTTACCATCTATTTTATATTTCATCCTTTTATACTCACTCCATTCAGAACGGATAACGATTTATTTAGTAATTTTGCAATTATTCGCAGGGGGCAGTGGCTACGAGACAAATCATACTTAGAGAGCTATATTTCGCTCATCATCTGTCAGAGCTTCCGAAAATATCCTTGAGGAAAGTGGGTCATAAAAGATGAATCTTTTATGCAAAGGTCAAGCTCGTCTAATATGTATGAAGTGCGAAGCATACATATAATTTAGTAATTTTACGCATATTATATTTCTCATCTCTTGATTTGCGGAAATAAGGAAATCCGTGATAACGTTGGTGAATTGAGGATATATTTTTTGCGACCAATGGTATGCAAAACTCCTTGACAACCTCGATTTTCAATAGCATTTAAAAACAGGTCATGATGACAAATTTTTTTGGCAAAAATTTGCACATTTAGCATAAAAGTAGAATTTGAATTTGATAAGTGTTTCGAATCAAGTAAGCTTTTGAAAATGAGTGGCGACAATCCCGGTACCGGAGATCCTGGAGGTGGAAAACCTGAACCTACTCCACCCCCAACCCCACCTCCACCACCACCTCCACCACCACCACCTTCCGGAAATGTTGACAATGGGCTACTCAAACCGGAGAACAATATCGTAGTCGTTCGGATAACCATGATCTACATGCAATTAAATGAACTCATCAATAATATGTCACGCTCTCATTCTTACATCATGAAAGGAGTTTTAATGGGCACCTTTCTGGCATCCGTGTTCGGACTAAACAAACCCGGTGCGACTGTGGTCATTGGAGCAAAAAACTTGGTGAACAAAGCGTCCAGAAAGCTGAGCGGGTCAAATGTCACTGGCTATTTCGCAAATTTAGTTGAAGTATGATACATGTATGCATTTTAGTATGGAAATTGTATGATTGTTGAAATGTGTGATTTTTACACCATTTTAGGCGATTGTTGAAGCTGTGGAGCAATACGGCTTGTATTACGTGGTCCAGTGGGCTGTGGATGCTGCTCTCTGTTTGGAGGATGACAATTGCGAGGAAAGCGATCCATATCTCGGAACCATACAAGAATTGAAAATAGCCGTTGGTTCAAAATTGGAAATTAATTGTCTGTCAAATTTTGTTTTAAAAACTTTTGTTTTCCATTCGGTAGAAATGTGGACACGAGCCTTACTCTCAAGGGCTGATTCAGAGCAATCCATCGTATTGTCATCTACTTTTTAATTGCATCCCATTCTTCGTTCTACTATTTGGAGTAGCCTTACTCTACGCATTTGTCAAATATTTTGGAGTATGTAGATTAAGATTTCTCCAGTTTTCATTTGTAAAAACCTTCGTATGAATTTCAGGGCGATGATGAACCACCACCACCTCCCCCTCCAACTCGTCCACAAACTCGCAATAATGTTGAGCTACCTCGACCAGTTGTCACACCTTCAAATCCACCTCGACCAGTTGTCGCACCCCCAAATCCACCTCGACCAATCGTTACACCCACAAATCCACCTCGACCAATCGCCGGACCTCCAAAGACACCCCCACCCGGACGCCCACCAAGTCTTCAGCACATCAATATCGAGTGCCCGACTTGCAAGAAGGGAGGCTTTGCTGAATACCCCAATCCAACTCCTACCATTTGCAAATATTGTGCCCCACCCAAACCTGGACCTTCTACAGATCTTTTTATACATTCACCTCCAAAAAGTGCAAATCAATTATATTTTTCCTCTCCATTTCGTCAATTTTCCCAGTGCAACCCCCCACAAGGGACTTCTTCATTTTCTCAATGCTACCATCTCTTCGCCAACGTGAGGCTTCCTCCCATTAACTCATCGCTTCTAACGGCGTCAAACACTAATGCATTGGCATGTTCCATCAATACAAATATGGTGCCTAAAAGCGTGGAGCATGGTGCTGGAGACGGTCCGAATATCAGTGAAGACTGTTCCATGACAGATGAAGAGTTACATCATAATATCATAGCCACAGTCCAGAAACAAATTTCTGAAATCATGGCTCAATTAACATCATCGATGTGTTTAGAATGTCATACCAACCTTGCTTCAACTTCCCTTTGCCCTTGTCCAAATTGTAACCGGATTCATGGGCCAAATTGAAAAAAATGAGGAGATTTGCCATGTGACTATGATGTACGTATATGCATTAAGTAAGTATTCAACTAGCAATTTCCCCTAATCATTAACTACATAAAAGATGCATATTTAAGTCACCAATTAGTAAATAAATGTTACTAAATGCTCAATTACACAATGAGATTACAGACCACGAAGACACCACTATCACGCCAGCGATGAAGAAGAAGATGACGCGTTGAATTGAATGAACTGACCAACCGTCGTGCTTTTTCCTTTGTCTGTGAAGGAAGAAGATGTGCAAGAAAACGGCTATTGTTTCATTCAGTAAATTACCTATATCCATTTCGATGCTGTTTTGTAACAGTAACTTTATTATTTAAAAATATTTTACTATTAAGTAATGTTATCAATTGTCTCGTGTACCAAATAAATTTCGTCTAATTAAAATATCCGTGTTTATCTCTTGTCCTGATAATTTCTGCAAATTGGGACAATAGATTTTATGCTAAATCAATAACGTATCTTATCTCGGCGTAAGTGCCCAGCTCCACGTTAGCTATTTACTTAATGGACATGTTAAGTATTTACACGAGCGTCATAAATCCTGAAATCAGACAAATGTCACGATTTCATTCAGCTGCAAATGTGTTTTCAATTAAATCAACTTGGTCCATTTTGTAGTCCGGTCTTGTTGTCTTGGCCTTGCGTTCAGCATCAGGTCATCCTTTAACAGAGGTAAAAAAATTTATCAAATCATTGGTCATGCTTTGACACCTACATAACAGCATTTGAATGCCGCGATCTGACTACGTGGTTGCTGGCCTGTAGGGTCGTCGTACGTGGTATTTATTGCAATTAATTAGACCCAAAAAGACTGTTATGGCTTGTGTCATTCAATTCCAATAATTGAATACGTACTTTCGCCATGAAATTGACGATGGCTCATTGCGTTTTACATTAAATTTACAACTCTGAGAATCAGATCACCTTGCAGGTCGTGTCTGTAAAAAAGTCAAGCCTATATATTCACACACAGCCCAATTATTCAGACAAAGGTATGCATGACCAAACCAATAATAATGCAAGATAGGAATACTTTATTTGTCAAATTCTATGTCTAGAATGCGAATGAATTACTCAGTCAGTTTACCATATTGAGAATAAAGTATCATGTTTTCTTCCTTTGTCTCGTTATGGAATATGTATGCATCTGTAATATTGTGAGACTACTTTTACTACTGCACACATTATCCTTAACTAACTAACAATACCAAGTAACAAAATTGTTGACAATCTTTACCAATAAATGTCAAACCGTGGGGTGGCGAGACCTAAAAGTTGAAAGAATTATGAATTTTTAAGGATAACAAGGTAGACCTCCAATCCACAAATTTTGTGAATTATAAAAAACCTCCCACTTACTTATTATGGAACTTATTGAAATTCTACACCTAATAATAATCTAGTGTAGGTAAAATTAAATACCACCCACCCAGTATTAAAACACGGCCAATTTTAATAATCTGCCCTTTGTCTGGTGCATGAATTTTGACTAATATCCAAAGTCACGACCACTTAGCACGTGTTTCATGCTCATAAATTGCAGATTAGTTACATTATCAAACAACAACATTATCTATTACATAAAACTCTATTGCTAAATAATGTAGACTGCAATAATAAAAAGAAGTGATTCCATTACAGAGTCAGTAAAAACGTTGCGTTATATTTTGTCATCGTCGAGAAGAAGTGAAGCTCTTTTTTTGCCAGCCACTCATGCACAAAAATCCCCAAAATCTAGCATGATGTGAAATGACACGAATATTATCTGCTGATAAGCGAACGGTGCCATGCCATTGAAGGTATGTTAAGTTAAGTACCTCGTCGTGTATGTACATACTTTTGTAAGGATGAGGAGGACTCAAGATCAGTTGTTCACCTTCTCCCAATGCTTTACTTGAGCGTCTTTTCTTGCCTGTATAGGAATCACAAATTGCGATTCTCTCACCATTTCCGATGAGTCTCCCACCACTGCGAGGAGCAAGCATAACGTCATTTAATTAATTGCACTCATCTTTTCCAAGGCCATTGGGCAAAAGGGATCTTTTAGGAGAACTAATTGAATGAATAAATGTAGTGGATGAGACGGTATATGTATGTACGAAGGGATTCCTAAGTCGTGAGCTACTGCCACAGTCTCTTTGGTTTAAAAGGGTCATCTTCACCTATTTTATTTTCAGTCGAGAGAATCTTCTACTCAGGATTAGAACGATTGTTTGTTTTGTGTGTCCTAATTGTTCAGTTTGCTCAATATTTTCAATTCCACACACTCGAGATGAAAGTGCTTTTGGTAAGAGAATTGTGTGATATTTGGTTAATGGAAGAATTGCGGTGGTGGTGGCGGAGTTTCAGAATAAGATTTTATTTGACGACATAATTACCCATCAAAGTTGAACAAAGGGATAGTGTGAAATTAAATTCGGGATAATTAGCAGTGAAAGTTTTCTGCAAAATTATTTAGTGATTTTTTTCGTGGATGGAGAGTTGTTCCAGTTTTTAAAGGAGAGCTAACAAAAATCTCGATTTTTCATCTACAGGTTCTAGTCGCCGTTGTGGCCTCTGCACAGCTTGGAAATTGTGGCGTTGGAGTTTTGACCCCTGAAATCGGTAAGACACTTGTGGTGATTCTTTTCTTCAGAAATCTTAACTTTGGTGTAATCTTTTGCAGAGGCTGAAGCCTTGAGATTGTGGCAAAGGTAAATATGTCTTCATTACGCAACCCTTAATATGACTTAATTACTCTACAGATCACAATACTAACTTCATAATAATGCTCTTACGTAGATACTGCGCCGGTCGAAGTGAAGGTGGAAACGATGGTGCTTTAGCCGTCTACTGCAAAATTGCCCGTGAAGACGTGACCGAAAGCTTGCAACACACCATAGAACTTCCAAGAGGTCAAGAACAAGGTCAACAAGTTGTGTTTGTCCAGCCACCAAGCTACCATTACAAACACGATGTTGTCGTTTCCGGAGGCGGTAAGTGGCGCAATATTTTGCAAAAAATGGCAAAAATCTCCATTTAATTTCTATTTTCTTTGTTTTTTAGGTGGTTCTGCTCCCAAGACCGTTATCTACGTTAAACCAGCCGTAAGTTTTGTGAAAAAATTTTAAAAAATTTAACGATTTTGTATCATTATTTTACTAATTTTGTTTTTCAACCAAAATTTCCAGAAAAACACCAACGAAGTCAACATCGTTGACCAGACCGCACCCAACGCTGCCCCCCAGAAGCCATCTTTGTATTTCCTTAAGGGAGGTCACGGAGCTGAACGAGAAAGCCAACAGGACTCGCAACCCGTTGCTCCCCCACCAGCGTCCTATTTGCCACCAACAAATGCAGGATACCAATAAATAAGCAAGTGATAAGTTATGGTGTGGAAAATTGCAAAATTTTTATCCGGTCGAGGGGTTTGCTAGTAACTTATTTCGAAAAGAGTTTATTTATTCAGAGTACACATAAAAATAAATAAAGATTTGTCCGTCCTAAATATTCGTAATCTTTTTTATTATTATTTAAGTATGTTTAAAATTAAACACTTCATTTCTTTCTCATATGCCTGTAGATTAAGGGCTGTAATCGTTTTCCAAGCTTATTTTTACAACTTATTTATATGCTTAAAGTGATAATAAAATTTGTTTTATTTGACTCAACTCTTGATTGAATCTTGCATGTAAAAAGCAATATTATTTATTACGGAATGATGAAATGCATTGGAAAGGGAAGTCTCAACTTGCCTCGACAACGCCCCACATGAGATTTGCATAAATATTTATTCACAGTTCATAAATACTTTAAGTACCCCTACAAAATAACCCGAAATAGTTTAACATTTATACAAATTTTAATTTTAAGAGACGCTACTGCTGTTTTAATTTAACTTCTTTCCGACAAATAAAGTTGTACTGGTCAGGCTGTCATACACAAACATAACGAAGGGTCGATCCACTGTAAATGGTACCAAAAACCTCGGAGTGACGGGGACAGCTTCAACTGAAAAATTGAGATGCATGCTGATTAGATAACTGTCTCATCAATTATGTAAATTGGTCCAAAATGTGGGGGTATTAAATATTACTAAAATTCGAAGCCGACACTTCCGTTCCTCCCTCATTCACACTGAGGAAAGTCCGCTGAATGAAGGAATTTACAAAGAGACCATGCTTTTTCGACATCTTGGTAAGATTGGCGTGCGGCGATAGCAAAGTTTTAACTCCGAGCTGCGATTAATTAGCACTTAATAAAATATCACGTGAAATAAGTTTATTGCTTTCTGTACGTATTTACCAATTGCAAAGGTCCGATCATATCGATATTCGACTCCAACGTAAATTTAGGCAGGGAGAGTTGAATGTATCGTTGAGACATTTTGGAAAGTACGGCATGCATGGGAAACGCCTCCAGGTTCTTTTCCAGTTGTGAAATAGGAATACCCCTTTCAGGTAAAATAATTGTGAGACTGAATCTCCCACCCTGTCAAAAGATGAACCGATTTACAGACATGGAAAAATCCTGTAATTATAAAATGCCCAATTAAGATACACACTTTATAAGGAATTGATAACGCGGTGGAATTCAATTCAAGGATCTCGGCACATGGATAATATCCAGCACGGTTCATCATATCGAGTTCAATCTCGGTCCCATCGTCGGTAATAAATGGGTGTTTTTCAGTCAATAATGGCATAAACTCTCGCTCCCATTCAGCCTTAAAGTAAAGTGAATTTAAAACAACGACTTTGTTGGTAACTTCCAAAGAATCTGTAAAACAAAATACGCATTCAAGTAAATATTTGCAGGAAATGGGCGAATGACGAATTTCTACCTTCAGAGACAAAGTTCTTAATGGTTCCGTTCGTATAGTTTGAAATGAAGGAATTAATTTTTGCAGCGGCCAGAGTAGTATTGGTACTAAAATCTAATGGATTAATGTGCGTATTGAATTTTTCACGCAGAGTTCGTGCAAAATTTCCATCAATTTTGAAAAGGCTGGATGTAAAGATGCGATTAATTAATTTGATTGTTGTATTTTCGTCCGTCTAATTACAAAAGAATTGTTACTTTTCTGTAAATATGTATTATTGTAAATATAAATAATATTACGTGCCTTCAAGAAATCAATCAAGTCATGATATCCGTCTTGAAGAATTGTATTATTAAATTTTGCAATATTGGCAGCAATGTTGATTTCATTGAGAGTGTCCCCATCCGCAGCACCTTTCAATGCGGCGAGTGCGAGGTGGAAAATTAGTGGAGAATATGCCAAATTCTTTTCGTCAAGGTCTCGCAAAATCTGGAAATTGGTCCAAAATGAAATGACCCACAGGGTTTTGACAGGATTTTTTTTACATAATTTATTATAGCTTGGTTAAATTACTCGGTAAAGACGATTTGAAAATTTGAGCTGAGCACTGGAAATTTTCGATAGTTCTGGTGACCTCTCAATTTCGACTGCGGTATCCTCAGCCTGATGGCCGTATATTTGCGCCACACTAAAAACAATGCCAATCAGGATGGCTGTCCCTGCACAATTCATACCGTAAAAACTGATGTATTTACATAAATTATGAGAATGAAACTTACTTGTTTTAAAATTGTGCATATTAAAGGTTTTATTATGAAGTTGAATTTTTCAAAGTTTTCACGCCTATGGATAAAGTCTGACTGTGGGTTACCAGTATCACAACAAAGTGAACTTGACCGATAGAGTGAAATCATACAGGAAGCGATTAAATCACCTTCATCGACTAGAGAACAGGTCCATCGGAGATTTAATGGGTTAAGCTTGTCACCTCTTCTACGTACATTTTTGTCTTGTACGATGTATGCACATATAAAATGCCATCAGCAAATTACGGTTTTTTCATAGATTCAAGTGCACATACATACATTGTGTTTACTTATTCATTTATCTATTGACTGTGATATGCACGTTTGAAACTCTGATGTCAGTCGTATAGTATGTACAACGGGATGGCATGAACCGGTTACCTTTCGTGACGGTGAGATTGCGTTAATGTCATTAGGCACCAGGTCCTCAAATACTACTTGCCAGGGTATAATTAATTGATTATAACCGTATTAAAATCGATAATTTGTACACTAAACACTTTCATTGACTCAGAACTATTATTAACCTGAGATACTATTTCGAACAAAATATAACTCGCGAATTTTTCCCTATTACCATTTAACTTACGCATTTTCTCAATGAAATAGATACATGGGGCAGCCATGGACATATAACTTATAACTTAAAATTATGACGTATAACTTAACTTATAATTATAAATATACGTCGCCTTATGGCGTTTCTATGACTTATAACTTATAAAATAAGTTATATGTCATAATTTTAAGTTAAAAGTTATATGTCCATGGCTGCCCCATGTATCTAATATTAAAGATGTATATTTGCATAATCCAAGATATGCGTAGGTAATTGATGAGTGAAAAATTAAATGAAAATTGTATTGATAACAAAATTACGATCAGAGTTTAACTTTTATAATTTTTCATCATTTATTACGCTATTAAAATGCATCACAATTATATTGTCGATTTTCTCATAGTGAACAGAATAGTTTTGGTAACGCTGTCATAAATGTAAGCGATGAAGGGCTTCGTGACTTTGAAAGGAATACTTCTTCTAAAACTGAATGGCACAATTTTAGCTGAAAAATTAAAACATATTTTTTACAAATGTGAAAAGTTTTAAATTATGTAGTTATCAATCATAAATGTGTACCATAAGTAGCCCCGGCTGCTTCTGTCCCCTGCTCTGTAATATCGATATAGCACTTTTGTATCACGGTGTCGATATGAATCCTTTGTTCAGTTGTAATTAGGGAAAAGTCTGCTTTTCCAGGAGTTATGGCATCGGCAAGGCCAAGCTAAAATTCAGATATAAATATCAGTAATAGTGTTAAGTGATTCGTTAAATATGTATATTTAATCTTACTTTTCGAAGTATTCCCAACTTTGTAAAATCTACTTGACTCTCCATTTTGAACTTTGGGAAAACAATTTGAATGCTCTTCTTTGACATTTTCGGAGGAATGTCCGTAAAGCTGCTAGGCTGCAACTTTTCTTCAACTTCTGCTAGTTTGACGCCATCGTGAGGTAGAATGACGATAAGGTTGAATCTGTCTCCCTACAAGACACATATAAACAACTTAGTTTTGCAAGTATTTTGCTCTAAAATTGCTGATAAACAAAGATTAACGCACTTCATACGGCATGGCAATAGCACTTGCAGTTAATTCAGGCAAATCCACATGTGGGAAGACATCTTCTTGTTCCATGAACGAAGCCTCTGTCGAATTGCCATCATCGGAATAAAATAATTGGTTCCGAGTCCCTCTAATATTAAACTGATTAATCCATTTTCCTTTAAAGTAAATAGCATTTGCAACAATGGCTTTTGTATTTGAGTCAATGTCATCTGTAATAAATGAACAAAAATCAGAAAATTGTGGCAATTACTAAAATTCTCAGTTGGCAAATACCTGAGGAAATTAAATTGGTAATTTTCCCATTCGTTGTTTCGTCCACCCATCTATTGATATCGTCAGAAACCTCTTGATTTCTCAAGAAATTAGTTGGCAAGACTTTTGTCAAATATTTTGATTGAAGAATATCGGTAAATGCTGGTTTAATATTTCCTGAATTGGTGATGTAAATCCTGTTGGCAATTCGAACAATGGAACCTTTGTTCTCCTGCAAAAACGCATACTCATTTTAATAATTAATTAACCCAACCTAATGTTCATATGCATTAGGAATTATCGAAATTACATACATGGAGAGAGTAGAGAATATCGTGATATCCGTTTGAAATGGCGTTTTCACTCAGAGATTGAAATTCCATGGCCTCATTTAACTCTTTCCTTGTTGCACCGTTTGCACCTTCTCGAAGCATGCTTAAAACGCTTCCAATACTGATTGGTGAAATGACAAAGTTTCCTCCGGATTCTTCATTTGTGGCCTGAAATAAATATGCACATTAATTTTGGTCTTGTAATTTTATTGAACTCTAGAAAATCAATCAATTACGCTATATATTTTAGAAGGGAAGTTTTTTGTCGCTTCTGCCACAGCTTGTCCTTCACGACTGATAAAATCTAAATTTTGGGAAGTAGCTAGTTGACAAATACTCCCAAAAATTAGGATGGTTCCAAACCCTAATCGTTTCCACATTTTCTCGTTTATTTTATTGACTTATTTATGCAATTATGACGCTAGAATGGATAAAAATGTATCTAGATTATGAGATCTGTTGTATTCGCAATTTTTCACGAAATACACAACTGGCCCAGGCACTGCGCTTACATGAATTAAGTGACAATAGTGTCTTCTCCGGAGCTTGTACATAAATATGCGCAATATACTAAACAATAATTAACATGGAAATATCACGCAGCTATCAAAACAGATTGTGGGAACCATTTACAAGTAATCTGGCCAAACTGGTTATTCAGCTATGCCCTTGATTAATTGTAGCGTGCACCATCATTTTGCTGTATTTCCCAGTATATCAGAGTAGGTAAATCCCACGAAACAAAAGATCTTGGCGTCATGTGCTATTTCGCTGGATTATGTATCGACAAAGAGATAAAACAGGTGAAATAAAGAGTTATTATGTACTGACACTAATTGTTTCGACTGAACGTTTACAATAATATATTACAAAACACTTTACATTAAAAATGTGTATCACAAAGTTTTTTTTGTAATAAGATGTGGTAACATTATAGACTGTTGGATACTTAATAATACTTACTTTAGTATTAAAATTTAAAACAGGAGGAAGAAGAGGATTAATTGTACTAATTAATCGAATGGCACATACATAACAATAAGACTTACGGAAATGACAAAATCATACAAAAACTTGACAACATTTTATGTCAGCTACTACACGATTGCAGTTATAGTAGAAACAACTGGGACAACTACTAACAATGCGTAATCAAACAGGAAATTTCCATACACATCAGCCTCAAAAAAGTACTTGTTGATTGGATTCTCTAATACAGCATAGTACTTGATAACTGCTCCTACCAGTATTGCATTAATCAAACCAAACAGCCAAATCCGTTGTTTTGGTTGAAACATGAATAATAGCGTTACAATTGGAGCACTAACAGTTCCTAGAAGAATGACTAGCGACGGGTTGAATAATGCCAAGCTGTAGAGTGATGTTGCAAACTCTAGCAGGCAGAAACAATACAATGAATCAATCAAATTTTCATCGGATTTTCGTAAAAGAAGTTTTGCAAATAAAAATTGGAAGGCGATTATGCCGAGCACCGTCAGCATGAAAATTTCGTTTGTAATTTCAAAGTTGGGCGAAATTGGAAGTCGGCGGATAATCTGGTTTAAATTATTTAAACTCCATCGTAAGAAAACTGCCACGGAATGAATTGCCATGAGTCGAAATAATCCTTGAGTAGCTGACAAATCTTTCTTGGTCAGCCAAGTACTGGCTCCTTTGAGGAGTATGGGGAAAATTATCAAAGCCAGTGGGGGGAAGTACAGGCCTGCAAGAGCAATAAATACGTATAAATTATTAAACCTTTCGAGATGAATAAGTTTTGTGATAAAAATAATTTTCGTACTGATGGAGATAAATCGGTTTGGAGTAGTTTTCAGGTAGAAAAAGAATGACTGATGAAGTCGTTCCAACAAATTGTTCAAACTTCGAAATACGGCTTCCAAGATTCGACCCATGTCACCAAATGTGAATCCATTCCGTAGTTTACATGCTTTAGAAGTTTTTCCAGTCATTGTGATTGATTCAATACCGTACTTTAGAAAAAAACCGTGACTTCCGGTTGGGGTCCCTGTCGCTTGAATTTGCATGTAGTTGATGAGTTTCCAGACGTCTCTTTCCCAATCGGGGCGTTTATCCTAATAAAATCCAGTTTAATTATTCCATTCGTTTTACGAGATTAATTAATAATTTGTAAATGTCGTACTGCATCGGACACGATAAATTTATTCAGCAAGTTGACAAAGTCTAGATTCGGTAATTGTCCATTTATCCCATGAAACTTGGTTTCTAAACCGCAAACATTGTTTCCCTCCATTATGACGTTGATAGCAGCCTGTCAAGGTATTAAATTGTATTAAATATTGAAAAATGTATGTATTTATGTGACCGATGGGTCAGATTATATAACGATAAACGTCGTCACTACCTGAATATTTCCAGCTTTTGTCCTAACTCGTTCAAATTTCAAGTTATCTTGACTATCCACCATTTCTTGATGTCCTTTAACCCATGCCAATGTTCCAATGTGACCTTAATGAGAAGTAACTAAAAATTTGAAAACGTACTAAATATATCAATGTATTTCACAAAATAAGACTGACCCTCTGCGACCAAAAATACGATATCCTTCGCCCAATAGACTTGACCTATAATAATTATTAATTACATACAGAGGAAATCTGCTCAATCTGTAATTTTGCACATTAAACCTAACTTACTCTGAAAGTACTCGGCCAATGCGAGCATTAACGCGATCGACGCCAAGTTCTTCCTTGACGAAATATGTCTCGGAAAATATGGGGCGTTAAAGACGAGTGACTCTGTCCCTGCGGCACGTTTTGCACGAAGAACTGCAAAAACGTTTGTCCCTCGGAGTGCATCCGTCTCATTCTTTGTTACCGGGTCGATAAAGGTGTAATTCTGAAGTTCTACTTCGGATAGACCAATTTTCAGAAATAGTTGCTGAAGATATTCGGCAGAAACTCCGGTTTCAGACTTATCATCCTTCTCCAAAAGTTGGTTCAAATAGTTCTCTGCTCTGTGACCTCCTCCAAAGTTTTCCACAACTAGACCAGGAAGCAAGGCGTTCTCCGAGAAGTAAGTTTCTGTTAAACCGAGTAATTAAAACGAATACTTAGAATTAATGCAAATTATCAATGATAAGCCCATCCATCCACTTACTCATATTGTATTCCACGTTCGCCAAGAATCCCAGCCAAATAATCCCCGCAACATAGGAAACCACACCCAAACGTTGTCCATGTTTTTGTAAAAGTGTCACAATTTTACTCGTCTCGTCCGTATTAGGATTTGTTAGAAGCCCCATTTTGTCACTTTCACTCTTTTAGTAGTTTTGCACTGCTTATTGACGACAATTTGTTACAATTAGACTAATTCGGCATTTTTCACAAAGCCACAATTTTTCCAACAATTTCAAGAAACTTTAAAAACTGTTGTGAACAAAAACGACGAGCAGTTTTGTAAAGTGACATAAACTTGAGCGAGCCGAATACCGCTGAGCAAATTTCTATGCTCTACAAATACACGCATTCATGTAGCGAAGTATGCATTTTTTGCATCAGATTGAAAATTTGTGAAATTTGCATAATAATTACTCATGCAATAGTATTTTAACTTGTTTTAATTTGTTTCATATTTTACTAAAGCAAGTTAACATTTTTAAATAAAATATCAGCTTTAATTTTGTAATTTTCTTCAAAACGTCACAATAGTTTGATCTAAAGAAGAGTTTGACTAAAATGTTTTTGCGTACTTCGTATGCAAATTTCAACCTAGATTTTTGCTAAATTGCTAAATGCACCAATACAATGCAGAAAATGCGATGATTGGAATCACTACTGGAATGACCTAAATTTGTCACCGATGCACTTGCGTTGCTTAATGACGTGAAAGCACTTAATTAGAATACAATGCAACCAAGCTCAGAACGAGGATGTGAGATTTTGTGCAGTTTACATTGATAATTAACAGTTCGTTCGTTCATAATGTGGGGTCAGAGTCAGGTCGGGCGTTGTGCTTCAACTGCACTATCGTTGAGCTGCATTTTACTTTCGATTGGTAATTATTGCCTGGTGGAAAGTGCAACTGTACCGGAAAAGGATTTAGCTGAGGGAAAAGATAGTTTAGGAAATTATTACAATGGTGAAATTAAGAGGATCACTAACTTGAAGAGGAGGACTCCAAGGCAGGAAGTTGTAAGGCAACTAAATAGTTTGTTAATCTCCAAAATAACGCATCAATTTTAATTACAGGATCTCACTTTGGTGTCATTTTTGCAAAAATCTGTCAAGAAATATGGCGAGAAAAAGGTTGCCACCTCGATCCACGAATTGGCTCAGAACAGTTTGTACAATCTTGTCTGGTATCTCGCTGGAGATTTGGAACCTTGGCTAATTTACGACCTCTACAAATTGTACAACACAGCCAGTGCGGATTCTCGTGTTCTCTTCGTGTATGAAAAATTTCGAGCAGGTCAAGTGAATAGGTCAATTGTTCCGGAGGTGTTTGCCCTGGATAAGAAATACAACGAGCACACCTGGTACCGCAGAGTTAGGTCGAGGCTTCTCGAAAATGTGGATAAGTACATGGCTGGCAGCTTGTTGGTGACCAACCCCCCACCGAAAATTGAGTTTGGACCGGATGGAAAACCAATTATTGAGGGACAACCAGAAACTGAGATTGCTGCCGTGGTGGCAAAAGCGTCAACGACACGACGTCCGCCGGGAGTGGGAGATACGACAGATGAAGACCCGGATGACCCGGATAACTCTGATTTAGATTTGGAAGATCTGTTTGAAAACTTTATTGACTAGTCATGTATTTAATAAATATGTTACAATAATTTACATAGAAGTAGATTATAAATATACAATAGAACAATTATGTAAGCGTCCACTAATAAATACCAATGTCTGCACACCCTCTGAAAGTTTCTTGTGGTCCACATCCCACAGCGTTCGTCCCGTTTCCACAATTTCCCCAATTGTTCCCCGTCAAATAGTGCCATTGTAAAACGCATCGAGTACATTTAATTGTAAATGGAAGCTTGAGCTTGGTCACGTACAGACCTTTTCTTCTCGATGCGGGCTGTTTTGTTCCCGAGCCATCGGCGTGATGTAAAATATTTTTCTTGAAGCATTCCTCAGTTTCTGGATCACTTCGAGAGTTCCGGGGACAGATACGATATTCAAAATAACCATCGTGCGCTCCCGTTAATTCCACTTTTATGGGGATGACCTACAAAATTTAGAAAATGAATGTAACGATAAATTCAATAGAATTAATTGTGTATTCTCTTAATAGCAAGAGTCCATACCTGGCCGGCAGTGTAGTTCCGCACAATAATTCCCTTCCCATAAGTGCCCCCATCCTCATGACTTCTTGGAGCTTTATCTGCCCAGTTATCTCCACAGACGCCACATTTTCCTCCATTTTGATTGTGTTGGGTGACCATATTTCCACACCAGAAAGCGTCATCATCATACTCGACGGGTGGGTTAAGGTGGTCAAATTCTGGGAATCGCCAAATCGAAGCTCGCATTGGCGGCTCTAATAGTCTTCCTATAAGAAGTTATCAATAATAGATAATTTCGGTAATACTTATTGCTTTTATTTTACATATTTATGAAATTACCATGAGCTTCAACTTGCCAATTTCGTATGTTAATGGAAAGTAAAACTATGAGACATTGCGTATACGACATTTTAGAGCTGGAAATAATTTATGTTTCAAATCCTTAATGTGAATAGCGTTGATGGTTCATTTATATACTTTGCAGGCAAGGTCTGAGGTGGCAATGACATTGACATTGAATTTTGATCCAATAAAACTACACTTTTCATATTCATTCATAAATTACGGTGTTGCATCTTTGGAAGCTTTTTGTCGCGACATGAATGCTGAAGAAAGTCAATGTCATTCTCACGGATTTCCGTACATTGCGTATTATTTCAGGCTCAATTCTATGTATTCGCAATCGCAAATAAAATAGGGAATCGAACTATAATAATCTATTGCATTGCATAATTTATTGGTGATTACGACCAATTTATTGTTGTCTAATTGCTCGTTATTTTCCACAATAATTTGGAAGTCATATTATTCATACGACGACATACATAATTCTATTTATTATTCCATTACAAGTCATACCATGAAAATATCACTGGATGTGAGCGAGACAAAAATACAAAACCGTTCACTATTCATTCATTCATATTCAAAAAATTAGTCATCGTCCTCTGTCATAATAAAGCGTGAAATTCCTCGATGACTTTCCGGAAGGGGAGGAAGCTCAAAGAGCTCGCGAAAATTGGTGCCTCCACGATTTGCAAATTTGTCGAGACGCTTTTGTCGCTCTTCTTCCTTCTTGCGGGCTTTTTCATTTGTGATTCGTTCCGATTCCGCAGTGACAAAGGCTGCTTTCAGCATATGCTTGATATCTTTGCTTAATTTGCACATTTCACGTACTGATATCCCGATGTCAGTGAGTTGACCAATGGTGTCGGTGGCATTAAGCTGAGGAAAAATTATTTTATGCGTTTTTTTATGCTAAAAATTTGTCCAGATTATTTGTAATTCTGAATTACCTTGAGAGGTCGATGCATGTATTTGCAAACTTGCCGATACAAGTTATCAATTGACATTTTAATCTGCCCGATAATTTTAGTTCGCTGCGCAGCTGTGGACTTGATGCGAAGCAAGCTATCATCCAAGCGTTGCGCTTCATCGGCAATGCCATCCTTAATAAAATTTCAAAATTATGTAAGTTGGTGATCACTTAAATAATTACACAAATAAAATTTGTAATTGTTAGTATGAAAATGAATACCTTATATTCGAGTAGCTCACTAAGAAAATTTCTGTACGCCAAGATTTCATTGGATTTCATCTAAGAAATTCGAATATAAGTTTAATTAAAACGAACATTGAGATCATGCATAAATTATAAATTCAGTTAAACTCACGACGATATCACTCTCCTGCGTCTTCTGCTTCCTCGTAATGTATTCTCGTGTCGCATCATTTTTCTCGCTAAGTGACTCCCTCGCCTCGGCAAGAGTGGAGTACCGGTCCATAATTTCTCGAATATCGGCATATTCTCCATGACTAGTTTCTTTTACTTTGTGTAAGTAATTTTTAAAAGTGGTGAATTTGTGGAGTCGTTTCTCTGATGCGTCCCGAACTTCGGTCAGACATTTTAACTCTTTTCTTAACCGACGGATTGTCCGATCTTTGACAATGCTGGCCTCCTGTTGAAGAATTAGTTTACTATGGATTAAATTTTTTTCTTTCCACCCAAACTACTGATTTAATTTACCTGTTCTTGAAGAAACGTGTGAAAAGCCCGTTCTCTCTTGTCGAATGAATCCTGAATTCAAATAGAGTTTGATGATTTGCCCAAGTAATTGGTATTTATGTATGAATTGCGCTTATCACTCTCTTACGCGATAGTATCCGTTGAAATTTGGAATATTTTCGTAACAATTGTTGTACCGTTCGGTGCAAGCTTTCCATCGTGCATCCAATACTTTCTTATCCTCCATCCATTCCGTTCTAGCTTTTACGAGCTACAGATATGCAAAGCACAACCGAAATATAATATAATGAGAGAAAGTGTACACAAAATATAAATAATTTTAAAAATTAACCTGATTGTCAAGGCATGCAATTTGTCTTCGAGCATCCTCCACCTCGGTGGAAGACGCATAGGAAATTCCATCATAAACGTGTTCATAGCTATTTTAAACATAAACCAGAAATTATTAGTGAGAGGGTCCAAACTCATGATAAATAAACATTTATGACATGGTTTAACGTCGATTTGAATTATAAATGAATATTCACAAATCATTAAAATATTAGGTTTGAATAAAGTCATGTGGAACCTACGGGACGACTTTCTCATTCATCCGTGCATAATAATACTCTTCTAAAGACTTTTGAAGAATTTTCGGCGTCTTATTCAGCCCCTTGTCCTTTTTGTTGTTCTCCATCGTGTGGTAGCGTTATTCAGGTACAAACAATCAAATAATGTGACTACTTGAAGTGACAACTACCCGTACAAACAAGTATATAATTTACAAACAATATATGGAGAAAGTTATACGTGTCACAACAGCATCACACTTAACCCTGCTTTCCAGTTAGCATCTTGCTATTCGCATCTTCTGCATTTTAATCCAACTTTTCGAGCAAAGAGAAGCAATAAATTCGTCATAGTTTCATAAAAATCTGAGTAATCCCGTATCTCTGCATGAATATTCACCACTGTGCAGTCACATCAGAACCCTATTCATGGGTAATTTATGTGTCGTTTCATTTCTAAAATTTCTTTCCGTTCCCCCAACAGAACAGCCCAGGTTACAATTTAGGTAATAAAGTGAGGAAGAATTAAACATGTTTAAATCCCCCGTTTTGCTCATCAGCTCTCCAGGAGCAATTTTTCACTGTTTCATTCCAGATTAGAAGGACGGATAAGAAATATTGCTCATGCTAAGTGACAGTTGAGGCAAGTTTAAGCAGGCGGAAAAGAGTGTGACGTGGAGGTGGAGATGTCGGTTGTCGCTTACTTGATGCAAAAATGCAAATTAAATTAGTTTTCTCTCATCCCGACCCCAATCCTTCAGCTAATAATGGGCCACCGCCGAGCCCGATGAGTTAAATGATAAAAGAAAGCAGCCTCCAAGTTCATATGAACAGAATAAATCTTCTCTGAAGCTTAATCTAGAGGATGAAAGTAACAACGTAGCCCCGATTTCGGGCTGCCTTTTCCTTTCCGTTACTTATTAAGCAAGGTTGAAATTGGGTGGTGGCGAGGCGACCAACTTGTTTTTGTGCCCATCTGCATATTATTTTTTCCTCTCTTTTCTCTCACGGTGGTGTGACTTATCCAAGATTAGTGTGTCTTTTTTGTTTCGTTATTAAAAAACGTCACCGGATTATATTTTTCATTTTTGAGAAAATGGAAAGCAAGCGAGTAGCGTAGAATACGTAACTTACGTAACGTAAGTGATTAGGTATGCAAATAGGGAAATTGAGACGGTGCAGATACACAGAACACAGGATAACCAATTTATTGCAGCTTTAGGAGGGTTATCACAAACAAGACAGACAAATACGACGGGTACATAGGCCCTGGATCGGCCTAAAAATTGGTTTAATTACAAGTCTAGAGTATATATATATAGAATTGATTCAATTGACACTAGACGACTAATTGGTGGTTGCATAGCTCTTGAAAGTGTCACTATTTCCTATTTATCATCTGTATATTGAGACAGGTGACATGATTCTGAAACCAGCATGTAAATATATACGACGAGGTATTTACCCATTTACTCAGCACCGCAATCAACCTCATCATGATGACAGCATGACAGAAATTAAATTTGGTCTAGACTCTCTGCATGGTGGCACTTGTGGCTGGCATGGCATGGCATTACACTTTTTGCCTAATTGTTTCCCCCTTTCTCTCTCTCGGATGCATTAAAAGGTAGGCTCATAATTAATTACTCCGTGCTCATTAATGCGCCAACATGTCACACTTTGTCTTCCTCACTCGTACATATTTCGAAAAAAACTTCTCGTCTGTGAATAGATGGAGGCACCCACCCCGATATCGATTCAATACTGGACGAGAATATGAACTTAAGTAAAGTTCAAAGATTTGGAAACGATTTTCATTTCACATTGTACAAAAAAGTAATCAAACTTTCTCTCCTGTAAAGAAAGCCATCTCAATCTCGGCCCGGTGGTGGTTACGGTGTTTGAATGATGTCATGTCCTGTGTGTGTTTTTCGCCAAGTCTTCTTCCTTCGTGGCGTGGGTTGGGTAGATAAAAAACTAATATCGAAGAAACTGTGATGTTATTTGATGCCACGTAACAAGTGTTTGCAAATAATTTTCCAGACGGGGTAAAGTCATCAAGGGGAAAATTTCCATTAAATCCTTTCATAAGCTGAGGCAAAGTAAAGTTTGATGATAAGTTTGTTTTTCTTGCTCTCTCTCCTCGGCTGCTGCTGCTATCCGCCGACCCCGACAAAAAGCAACAGCAGTTTCTCTTAATGAAGGGTATAGCCCGTGTTGACAAGGGAGCATGAGGATGAGAGAGCCAGGAATATTACTAATATTCCTCCCGGAGCGATTAAATTTCCTCTCTTTGCTTCTAAATCTTGATGTATAAAAAGTATGCCCAAGAGAACACTTTTCTCATCGAATTTTTAATCCATTTCTTCTCCAGGACGGTGGGTGAAAGTGGAAGAAAATGTGGAATGTTATAAAGCACGGTGGGTGAAATTCTTGACTACTTTCTCTCCACCCGTGTGATGGCAATTATGGATTAACTTTTACTAATGAGTCTCATACCACGACCAGAACTTCATATTTGCCTCAACTTTGCATGAGATCAATTTAATTAGCAGCATCTCGATTAGATAATCTCGTCAGACATTATGACTCTGTAAAAAAAGAAGTAAGTTTCTCAGCTTTCTCCACACTTTTTGATGTCTTTTAGGCACATACTTTTGCCCTTTTATCAAGATTTGAGATTTCACGTGAAAGTGACACGATTCAGGAGAAAGCAATCTCACCAGATTCAATCACGTTCACGTCATATTTTCACACATCTCCGATATGTCATGGAGAAAGAAACCTTTTTATTCTGGAAGAACAAAACTACAGCGTTGGTTCGTGGTTGTTTCACTTGATCCTTATTTATGGGACGTGGAATTGGATGTCATGCTTTGACTGTCAGACTTTTCTTTTAGATAATTCATATCGTCGGTCGGTATCATGTGGTTGGTTGTGTGTAGAGGAAAACTATGCGCCCTTTGTTGTTCTTTTTGCAGGGAGCGTATACAAAGATTCTTTGCAAAAGTGGAGTGAAATGTGGAATATGACGCAGTTTGTGGAAAACTTTGTGACGTTGACGTGGTTTGTGGAAGAATGTTTTCAGTCGTGACATGGATGGCGGAGGGTGTGCGTCAGTAGTGATTGTCGACTTTCTCCTCTCCCAATTTCAATCCAATTCCGTCCCAATAATATTTAATGCTGCCACCACAATGCGCCAGATTCACCCTCCTCTCTCTTCTAACTACTCATTCATATCATTTCAGAAAAAATGAGACGGTGACAAATGGCCTTATAAATAAACAATTTCTCAAATTCTTCCGATTTTCGGGGCAAAAGTCGGATACCACGCGTGACATTTCCAGAAGGTCAATAAATACTTTGCTTTTGTATTAACAATCAAAATATTTAAAAAACAGGAGCTCAATTTAAAGTGATTTGCATACTTGAATTCTCACATGGATAGCAAGTGTTGGTTGATTTTGACATGCCAACATGCATGCATATGTATTTACATACATGCAGGCAGGGTTATATTGGTTACAAAAAGCGGGCCTCTTCATTAACTATCTTTCCCATCTTTAAGTAGTATTGAACTTGTAGCAATTATTTGAAGAAGTGGAATGACCACATTGCCTGCCTGCCTGACTGCGTTCCTTGCATTTTCATTCCGTTGGCAGTGTCATTATCATCATGCGAACCATAATGATGATATATTGCTGTAATATTTTATCCATATCGGTAGCAATCAGATCCTCACTTCGGCCAGGATTCCCTGCAACTGCAAAGCTGGGTGTTCTTCGCTTGATGAGACGAGAAACGTAACAGACAATATGGAGACGACGATTGGTAGCTCCTCTCTGCCTTTAATCAACAATCGATAATTTATGCATGGACACTTTGAGAAAAATAATTCGCGAGGACCTGTTTTCTAATGGATTCGTAGGTATGTGTACAGCCTACAGCGTGCATTTTTGCGGACTGGTTTGATTTTTGCAAAAAAATAAATAAAAAATAAATTTGAAAAAATATGGGTGCAAGTTTGTGACGCAAAAGAATCAATATACATAAATATTGATTGATTACATCGGTGTCAGAGGACATTTTAACTTGAAATGTTTATTATTGATGCAAAATTTCAGTTTATCTACATTAAGAAAATCTTCATCAGGCAAAAATATGTACAAATATTAGAGATTCTACATCTTTATTTCCAATTCGACCCGAAAAGATGTTGACATAAAGTCATAGCGCACCACACCCATTTCTTTTGTAATCCGTATAAATAGCAGCTTCCTATCCCTATTTTCCCACAATTTAGCTCTCGTGGTGCGTTAAGAGGACCGTGTTACATATATTTTTTACTGACTGATCTAAAATCAAAGTTTGTGGATTGTACGATCACCCCGAGAGAGAGAGAGTGTGTGTATCTATTTCTTTTGTAGATTGCATTTCCCCTTTTACCACGGTCCAAAAAATTCCATCATTTATCAACATGTCATTTTTCCAACGATCACTTCACTCCAACAACACAGCACCCACCACGTATTATATTTTCTCTCATTTATTAGTTGGATGGAGGACGTATACATAAAGTCGTGTACATGCTTTGTCAGTCTTTATCCAGTCAGTAAGTCATACTTGGCCCGATTTTTCTGGCCAGGACGGACCCACAGCAGTCAGTCCAAGTTTCAGCCTTTCATTTTGATTCTATCATTTGAAACTAATGACCCTTTGCAAATGGAAAAATTGGATGGGAATAACACCACAATCTCTACAGATCTATTATTACTTGCTATAAATGTATGTATGCTTTCATCATCCTTTGCGGTGGTGGTGGTGGCTTATTATTATTTGAAAGTGATCCACTCTTCCCTGCAGAAATGGAACGTGTCAGCTCCGTTCTTCGTTCCATAATCCTGGACAGTTTTGTGGAGATTTGTAGTAATTGCAGATGAGGTTGATCTGTACATATTCGCCTGTCCAACTGTTTGTCAGAGAAATATTTCCCCCGGACAAATTCCAGCAGAGATGTCAATCGTTTAATTAACCGAGATTCAATTGGATTTCAGGAAGGAATCTCTTTGTTCTCTTCGTGGGTGAACATAACCAAATACCTGAACTGAACAAGTCTGACAAGCAACAGACCAAGTCAGCTTTGTACTTTGTTTGTGGAACAAAACAACAACAAGGAGGAATTTGGAGGCTTTGACTTTCTCTTTATTTGTCTCATTCCTGTCCTGTCCTCGTTCTCTCCCCACAAAATCGACAATCTTGTTGAATCTACACATAGCTGATGACGAGTTGTTGTTGTTTCGGCCGTAATTTCTCCAAAGTTTAGCAAATTAGAGGCGAACAACAACCCTTCTTCTTCTCCCGGCGAGTTTATGCACTGCCACCAATTCCCCTTTCACTCGCAATAAACACGTTTACACAGTCTTGTTTTAGGAAAAGACAACATTTCACAAATTGCTCAAATACTGTTCCGGCCGACAGAGTAATTAAAGTGAATGTTATTCCATAGCCACCTAAATTCCTCCTTTGTGTGCCGCTGTGCTGCTCAAACAACAATGGCGGATGGTTAATGACTGTAAAAACATTATTAAAAAGTCAAACGAATGTGGAATTGACTTGGGAGGTCCCGACCCAGGACACAAACAGACGGCAGCGAGCGAACTATATAGTCAAGCAAACAGAGTCAAATTGTGTGATAAAAATCGGGAGAGTGATTGTGAGAACCGATAACGTATTTAGGAAGTCAGATTTTTTACACGACCACCACCGAAAGCACAAATCCGTATTTGAGGAACAGTATGTACGTACCACTTACGGAAGGAGGATGTCATGTGACTGACGGACTGACACAGCTTAAAAAAATTGGTTCTGTACGATTTTTATTATTTTTCGTCAACATATTTTACTCGTCCGGGTCGTCCTTTCCCTTACTTACTTATTTTCACTTTGCTTGGAAATTTCCCCCACATGAAGTATTTTCTTCTCGTCATGAGTAAGTAAAAGCAAGTGGGTGAGTCAAGTTGATGTCGGATGTGTCATGTCGTGTCAAGCTGCCATTGCATTCGCCCCATGTCTGCTTCATGTCATCGTCACCCACTTCACAAAATTCCATATTTTCCAGAAAAAATCTAGGATAAATTGACACAGCTGGATTTTTTCAAAGTCCTAAAAGACAAGGGAGAACGAATTGATTAAGAAATTAAACACAATCAAAATCAAAAGGCATGAAATTATTCAGGACATACATATTTTAACCGTTTCAAAACCAATTATACAGAAATGAGACATGTCTCATTTTCCCGGTTTGTGTACACTTCTTAGGATTAGTCGTTCCTATTATGAAGG